AAATTATTTATTATTTTATAATAAAGTATATTTAATTTATATTTTTATATAATATTATATAATTAAAGATTTATAAACTTACTTTCTTCTTTAAGTATAAATAAAAGTATAATAAAGTTAATAAATACTATTTATTAATTTAAGTTATTAAAAGATATTAATTTAATATTAAATAGTTTAATATAATTATAAATAAAAACTTTAATACTCTTTTAAATTTTAACTTAAGGAAGGTTACTTAATATTATTAAGTATATTTTAACTAACTATATATAAAAATAATATAAATTAATATATACTATTACTATATTTAATATTATTATAATATTAAAGTTATTATTATTATTTACCTTTATATTTATAAATTTAATAGTTAAATTTATTATAATTATATTATTAATTTTAATAATTATAATATTTTATTAATATTTTTAACTTTAAAAGTTATATTAAATACTTAAAGTTAATCTATAAGTTTTAATAGCTTAAATAATTAGTAATAAAATATTAAAATTATATTTTAATAATTAAATAATATATAAATATCTTTCTTTTAAAAATATAAAAAGTATTTAAATTAAAGATTAAATTTTTTAAATAAAGTATAATTAGATTTATATCCTTAAATAAATATAAAAGTTAATTAAATAAAAAGTTTATATTTTAAAAATATTATATAGATAGCTTCTTTAAAGCTTATAAAGGCTATTCTTTTAAGTGATTAGTTAGTAAATACCTGTCTGTGATTGGCTGAAATGTGGGATTGTTGTTGTACTTTGTGTGGGATTGTTGTTGTACTTTGTGTGGGATTGCTGCTGTACCTTGTGTGGGATTGCTGCCGTACCTTGTGTGGGATTGTTGTCGCCCTTTAATAGTTATAGTTGGCTTATAGTTGGTAGTTAGCTGTAGGCTTTTTAGTGACCTTCTTTTAGTAAATATTGGGTTGTGATTGGTTGGAAGTGTGGCGGTACTTTGCCCTTGCTTGCTCGCTCCGTTTGCTCGTTTTGGCGGTGTGCCGCCGCTTTGGATCTAGATGAGCTAATTAGAAGTTAAGGATTAACTAGGGCTTGTGTTAGTTGGAAGGCTTAGTTAGTTGTGTGGGGAAATTGAAGGAAGTAGTTTTAGTTAATTAAAGGCTTTAAAAAGGGAAGTTTTAGCTTAAATTAGAAGTATCCCTTTTATATACTTATTAGAGGGGTAAAGTCCTTAAAAGTCCTAATTTATACCTTTAATTCTTTAGTTAATTAGGGTTTAAGAAATATAAAAATATAATTATTAAATTTATAAAAATTTAGGCTATATTTTAATATTATTTTTTTAATAAACTAAATATTTAATATTTTTTAATGTAAATTTTTAGGTTATTATTAATTTTTAATTTTTAAAATATTATAAGATTTAGGACTATTTTTAAAAGAATAGTAAAGTTAATATAATACTTATTATATTTAAATTACTAGCTATATATTAGTTAAATATTAATAAAGATATAAATTTAAAAGAAATATTACTCTTTAATTTAAGTAGGTTTAAAGTTCTATTAAAATATATTTAAAATATATTTTATTTTATAAAGTAAAGGTTAAATTCTTTAAAAATCTTTATATTATTTATATTATAATAAAACCTATATATATTATTCTTTATATTAAAGTTAAATTAATAATAATAATAATAAAGATAGAAATTAATAATAACTTTAAATATAAATTAAACTTTAATACTTTTTAATAAAGTAAACTTTTCTTTTAAAAGGTAGTGTTTATAAGATTATTATTTTAAATTAGGTTAATTTAAATAAGTAAAAAGAGAGAATATTATTATTAAGTTTTTAATTATAGGGATATTATATTAGAATTATATATAATATAAAGTTTTAAATTATAAGTTATATTAAAGATTAGAAGTAGATTAACTACCTATATTAAGTTAATAGTTATTAATTCTTAAAAATAGTATTATTATAGTATTATTATTATTATTATTTAAAAGAGTATAAGTATATTATTAATAGTATTTATAAAGGTTTTCTCTCTTAATTTAATAAAACTTTATTAGTAAGAACTTTTAAGATAATTAAAATAGATTTTAAGAGTATTTTTAATTTAAAAGTTAATATTATTATTTATATTAATATAGAATATATAGATATTTAAGTTTAAGTTATTATAAAATTATATATAATATTAAATATTATAAATATTATATTTAAACTATTTATTATTTTATTAAAAGAATTATAATTATAATTTAAAGTTTATATTAAGAAGTATTACCTTTTATTATTATAAAATATTTATATTATTAAAGGTAGAGTTAATCTTTTATTAGTTTAATATAAAATATAGTAAGTTTATTAAATAGTAAGCTATTAATTATATATTACTTATTATTTAATAGTATATTTTAAGATTTAATTATAACTATAAAAGAGTATTTTATTTAAAATAAATTAAATTTTATTTTAAAGTTATTATAAAGTTAAAAAGGATAATAATATTAATAAATATATTATATCTTTACTAAAAGGAATAGAATTCTTATTATAATTTTTATTATTAAATTATATTAAATTATTAAGTAATTAAAATATACTTTAACTTTATTATATAAAAGGAGTTAGTGATTTTAAAGGGTTTAAAGTTATATAAATATTTAAGAGAATATCCTTTTATAACTATTTAGGTTAAATATTTTAAAACTATAAACCTTAAGGTTAGAGAGCTAGAGAAGGAAGAGATAAAGTATAAAAATAGATATTAAGGATTATTAAGTTAAGAATATTATTTAATAAAGTTAGTTTCTTTAAAGAAGGATAAAATAATAATACTTTATTATTTAAATAAAAATATAATAAATAATATATATTAAATAATATTTCTATATTATAGAATATTAATATAAAAATAAAGACTTTTTATACTTTATAAAGTATATATAAGAAATAAGTTTATACTTTATAAAATATAAAATATATTATTATTAACTTATTTTAAAGAATATTATAAATTAATAATACTAATAATTTATAATAATCTATCTACTTTATTTATTAATAAAGTAGTTAAAAGATTTAATTTTATTATAATTATAATACTTTTAAAAATACTTAAAATCTTATCCTTAAACTTAGTATTACTATTATTATTCTTTTAAAAATAATAACTTTTAAAGTTATTATTATTATTTTTATTATTTAAAAGGTAATAAAGATTTAATTATAATAGATATATTATTAATAATTATTAAAACTTTATTAATAAAATTAATAAAAAGATTAAAAAATAGAGATATAAATAAAAATAAAAAAGTAAGTTATTAATAACATTTTAATTAATATTTTAAAAAGATAATATTAAAAATAAAAAATAATAATATATATTAATAAATAATAAATAAACCTAATTATTATAATATAAAATTTAAATAGCTAATTAAAACTTAAAGTTATTAAATATAATAAAATTAAAATTATAAAATTTATATTTAATAATTTAAATTATAAAATAACTTATAAAATAAGGTAGTTAATAATTAATTAAATTTTAAATTATTTATAGTAGAATAAAGAAAGAAAGGAAAAAAAGGAAAAAGAAGGGTAAGATTATTAATTAAGTTATAGAGGTTTAAATTAATAAACTAATAGATTATATAATAATTTAATAAAATAGTTTTTAAAATTTTTATATTATTATTTAAAAATAAATATTTAAAGATATTTATTTTATATTCTATTTATTAAAATATTAATATTATTAATTATTATATAAATTATTACTTAAAAAGTAATATTATTAACTATAATTATTATTTTTAAAATTATATAATATTTAATATTATTAAAATTATTAAAATTAATTTTAAAAATATAAATATATATTATTAATTATAGAATTTTTATTTTAATAAATATAGATATAAACTATTAAAAACCCTTTAAACCCTTTATTTATAGTATAAAGTCTATAATATTAAGGGCTTATAGTACTTAATACTTATAGTACTTCTACTTTAACTTACCTTATACCTTATAAAGTATATAACCTTTTAAAGTATATTTTATAAAATATAATAATAATTAAAGTTAAATAAAAGTAAAAGTTACTTTTTTAATATTATATAATATTTTATAATATTATTAATAACTTTTAAATATATATAATATATATAAAAAATATATTAATTAATTAATCTATATATAAGATTTAAATTCTAATTAATCTATATATAAGAAATATTTTATTAGATTATATAGTAATAAAGAAAGCTTTACTTATTATTACCCTTTTACTTTATTTTAGGATAACTCCTTGCTACGCTTAAAAAGACAGCTGTTAAGGCCATTCCGTGCGAGGTAGAGGACTACCCTGACATCACGGGCACAGCGTTGATCCCTAGAAACACGAAATCCCGAGACACTGGCTACGTCCGATGGCAACTAGTATTTGTCTCCGACCTTAAGTCCATGCTTGGAAACCCGGGGCGCTTTCGGCACGCGGCAAAGGCCGATGCCGAGCGTACCAACACGAAGTGGGTGACATAATTAGGTCTCCTATTTGCTGTGGTGCCTGCTGGCCACCTTAGCGGTGGGATCTGCATCCCAGTTTACCCACTTCAATGTGATATCCTTTAGTCGTTGGTGAGAAATTATGCGCGTCGGCACCGAAAATAGTGGATTCGGAAGTCGGCCGTGAGGCCGGTCTAGGGTGCGCTCTTGTGTTGAGACCTCGCCTACACCAGTCGTTGGTCGCTGTTTCTTTCCCCTTTCCTCGAGTGAAGAGGAGACCATGAACTCCATCTGGTTTTGATTTGGAAGCTGCACTTTTGTCCGGTCCAACCTTGTATTCAAGGCATTCACATCCACGAGAACCTGCCTTGTCGCTTGATTTATTTCGACACGGTGCCATAATCTCTACACTTGCTATAAAGGCGAATTCGAATGTAAAACTCGCCAGACACCCTTTCAGACGAATTACCAGTTGTCGGTGATCGGAAGCCCAATGAAGGACGCCAATGGAGGTGGGGAGTGTCCTTCATCATCCCCATCGTCAGGGCCTGCAAATAACGGGGCAGGGGCGCAAGACTATGAAAACATGACCACAGGAGAGCAGCCATGGAACTATCTGCAGCATGAATCATTAGAGGATATCGAGGCCGAGAAGCCAGGCTCGCCTACAGATGATGATTCTTCGAGCTCATCAGGGTCCATCTTCGAGGACGGACGATCGACATCCTCAGGACGTCCCGAGGTTACAAGAGCAGTCAGCCACGTCTGTGACGGTATTGAAAGCCGGCATGATGTCGAGGCCGCCCTGCCACTTGAAAAGCAACCGACCCCGCGACACCTAGCAGACCCGAATCTCGTAACCTGGAATACGGAGGACCCGGAGAATCCCAAGACTTGGGAGACACGTCAGAAATGGGCCGCAGTATTTGTGGTGTCGACATTCACTTTGATCAGTCCCGTTTCGTCTACAATGACTGCACCGGCATTGAACTCCATTGCCAATGAACTGAAAATTACAGTCGAATTTGAGAAGCAATTGTCACTCTCCATCTTCGTCCTTGGTAGGTTTCCCAGATCATGATCAGATTGAAGATTCTCACCTGCTGATAATATGTTCCCTAGCATATGCGATTGGTCCACTGCTTCTAGGACCTCTGAGCGAACTGTACGGCCGCGTCATCGTCCTCCAACTTGCGAACCTCTTCTATCTGTTCTTCAACCTTGGTTGTGGGTTGAGTCGCACAAAAGTACAGCTCATAGTATTCCGGTTTCTTGCCGGGTTCGGCGGGTAGGCAGCTTGTGTATACGTTCTTTCAATGTTACCCCTTCAGTAACAATCATGCCCTCTTAGCCTATATCACAAAGGCTCCAGGGGCTGCAGGTTACAAGACACGTTACAGCCACCCTGTGACCACTCTTTACTGTCTTGTCTTGACATGAAGCTTCTAATTCACTTTCTTGGTGGCTGACTCTCAATGCTATAGGTCTGCTCCTCTGGCCATTGGCGGTGGAATTCTTTCCGATTTATTTACCGCAGAGGAGCGAGGAAGAGCAATGAGTATCTATAGTCTTGCCCCTCTTCTGGGACCTGCCATCGGTCCCATCGCGGGGGCTTTCATTTCCGAAAATACTTCGTGGAGGTGGATCTTCTATTCTACGACAATAGCCGACGCTGTGATTCAATGCGCTGGGCTCTTCCTTCTTCGGGAAACCTACACCCCAGTGCTGCTGCGGTGGCGCAAGGAAAAGCTCATAAAAGAGACCGGAAACATGGACCTACACACCGACTTCGATGACCCGGACAAGACTGTTGCCCGAACATTGGCTACAGCTTTTGTCAGGCCATTCCGCATGTAAGCAGCTTCTGCACACAAGTTCACCCCTTCAAGAACAAACACGCCTCGCTTTCCGGATATACCACAATGGCTTCAGGAGATACAGGTTTTACCTTGTTTCGTTCTTGTTCTGTATACGTCCGAACCATATACGGCGCCTTTATGCAGTGGTAAAAGCTACAGTTTTGAAGACAAGCCATGTCTTTTTATGGCCCTCTCGCCGCTAATTCTCTGTTCCTTTGATGGCTAACTCTCAACCCTGAAGGTTATTTACACAGCCTATCATCCAGGTCCTCGCTCTTTACATGATGTTTCTCTATGGGATAATGTATTTAATCCTGAGCACCTTTCCGGGGCTGTGGGACTCATATGGGATGAGCACTGGAATCGGTGGGCTGAACTATATTGCCCTCGGCCTCGGATTCTTCCTTGGAGCTCAAATCTGCGCCCCCTTCCAGGACCGTATTTATGCCCGTCTAAAGAAGCACTACAACGTAACAGTTGGGCGCCCGGAGTTCCGAATCCCTATGATGGTGCCTGGGGCCATTGTGCTGCCCGTCGGCCTCATCATCTATGGCTGGACTGCTCAATACCGAGTTCATTGGATCGGGCCTGACATCGGGGTTGTCTTGTTGTCCATTGGAGTCATTGTCGGTTTCCAGGCCATCCAGGGGTTTCTGGTGGACTCTTACACGAGGTACGCTGCAAGCGCTGTGGCTGCGGCGACGGTACTGCGCAGTCTTGCTGGCTTTGGATTCCCACTCTTCGCACCCAGCTTATATGCCAAGCTGGACTACGGCTGGGGTAATACTATGCTTGCTTTCATTGGCATTGCGATCGGCTGGCCTGGGCCAATTTTGCTCTGGAAGTATGGGGAGAGATTGAGGGAGAAATCTACTTTTGCAGCGGGGCCAAGATGATGATGGTGTGGACTATTATGTCACCTGGGCATATCACACGGTGTGTACCACTCTGACAATAACTTATTTCACATCGATTATTACCTGATGTTAGGACAGAGAGCCAGATCATCCTGAGCTACGTGCAGCCACTCCCTTCCATGCCATGTACACCACCAGCCTCGATGTAAGAACAAGTTCCTACCGCCCCTGCGGCAGTAGAGTTATGTGTGGGCTGAAGTGAGATGTTTCTCATGTCAATATTGTAACAAGGATGCCTCTCGGAACACGAAACTGATGCGGTATGAGTACTGCTCGAGGAGTCAAGCCAGCCTGTGAAGTCGACGTAGGCAATATTGGAGACCAGCATGTTTGAGGTACCAGCAAAAGAGCCTAGCCACATACTCCACGTCAGAATTTTGATGTCATCCCATGGGATATCCCGGGGAGGGATGGTGTGAGATACGATTCTGGACTGGACAGATACGAACCATTGTTGCCCGAGTTCTGGCTGATGCTAGGGCCCGCAGCGGCCCCTTCGATGTAGAAGTTTTCGAAGAGTATGTTCTGTACAACACCCCTGGAGTATATTCTCAGCGCCTCCTCGACGAATTGGTACTTGTCTGCCCAGGCGTGCAAGGAGGTTGCTTACCACCCTCCACCTCTCGGCAGGTAGTCGCTCTCATAGCTGTCTTGGGGAACCAGCTCGCCGACCCAAGTCTTGATATACGCCGAATTATGCATGTCGTTGTTGTAGGTGAGTATTTTAGCATCTTTGACAACGACATTCACCACTGAACTGTCTTCGAGGTACTGGCCTAGGCTTCCGATTGCGACGCCATTACCACCATGCACTGTTACCTAACGGAGAGAGTAGCATGTCAGCTAAGTAGGGATCGGTTTCTTGCTGGAAGAGATGTACATTTTGGATAAATATGTTGTACGACCGAGGTTTGATAGCAATAGCGTCGTCGCCTCCTTGGTAGACAAAGTTTGTAAGTCTGATGTCGTAAGCGTCCATAGTGTCGAACCCGTCCGTGTGTAAAGTATATCGTCAGCCCTATATGCTCGTGTGTAACCCAAACCTAGGGCTGAACTTATTTTGAACCCAATTGTGTCCCTGAGCAAAGTTTGCGTTAGTGGATTCTCAGAGACTTTAAGTCTGGTTCCGAGAGACGTGACACCAAAGGCAACTCCAGCAAGCCTGGCCTATTTCTGATCCTGGCTTATCGGAAGACAAATATTTTGTGACGGGTCGACATCTGTTGTGATACGTCCAAAGTACCTAGGTATGGTGTCCCCCAACAAGCTGATGAATAGAGAATGGGAGGACAGAAGAATGAGGGTAGCTTACATATGGAGCATCAAGCGCGGTATTGTTCACATAAATATCATCGAACCACATCGAAGTCCCGTTCATGATATTTACAGACCAAAGTGGACTCTGAACCACAGAGACTGTGTAACTTGTTTAGTAGAATTTGGGGATTTGTGCGGGGATATGGCACTCAACAACTCACAGTGCTCAACAAGGACATCAGAAACATTCCAAAAGACGAAAGGCATCGGTCTTCCCGGCTGTGTATCGCCTGCTTCGGCGGTGTACCAGGTGTTACCACTCCCGTCGATCTTGCCAATTCCGTAGCCATTGATGTGAATCCTCTCGCCTGAGATGATGAAACCCGCGGCGTGGTTCTGAAAGGGTATCGGGTAGGAGTTTGAGCGCCAATAGTCCAGGTCGTCCGAGAACTAGTATGTGAAGTTGTGTGACGTGAGCACATCTCAATCAAAAGTCCGGGCTCACACAAATTGTCTTTATTTGAGAAGCGAGAGGCAAGACATACCAGCCAAATTCCTTTCCAGTCAATGGTGACGTCGTAGATTACAGGGTTTAGCTTGGTTGCAATGTAAAAGGTTGAACCCTCTGGGAAGACCACTGTTCCGCCGTGATTGCACGCCTCGAATGCTTCGAGAATCTGAGGTACATCGTCTTCATTATTTCCAACTGGATCGAGTGTACATGTCTTTCCCGAGTCGGCTGGGCTGCGAGGAACAGACATCGACGCAGAAGCACCCTCTCCCAGCACTGCGGAGCCGAGGCCAAGGAGGGTTAACAGAATGGCACCGGTTTGGCGGATCATGATGGCAATTATCAGAGGAGGAGTTGGGATGGCCAGTAGGTATCGCAGATATATTTGTTGTCAAGGTGACTGAATACATATGTCTACGAGGTTTGATTTTCTTCATCACACTATGACGGCATTCGATACTAGAGCGTGCCGAAGCAGCCGTTCAGCTGCCCACTGCCCACGCGTAGAGTATGGACTCACCATTAGTCGTAATTTCCCAGCTTACTTAATCTGACCTGTCTTGATTGGAGGCAAAATTGTATAGATTGCGGTGAATCTAAGTTGAAATCTGGGAGGAATGCCAGGGGTTGGCGCCCCGGGATTTTACCAGTACGCACAAGTGCTGTTCGGGTGTTGCATGCGGGGAAAGCGGTGGAGGTCAGGAAAAGGTTTAGAGTTCTCGCTACGCTGCCAAGCAACCGAGAAAGCTTCTTCGTGCTCGGACGAACGCTATTTTCCGGGCTGGATCGTCCCATGCCCCCCATGCAATGGTATACGACCAAGGCTTATACGACCAACCCTTGTCCTAACTGTGTTGGAACCGCGGGGCGCGCTTCTCCAAAAACGCAGACAACCCCTCTTTGCAATCATGAGTGCTGAATGTCGCGTAGTACAAGGCCTTCTCATGGACCATTCCGGCCTCAAGATGCGAGTTCTCGGCTGGATTTATGAGTGGGTCGGTCAGCAACCTTGAAGTGTCGGCGCCGTCGGCGCCGTCAGCATGGGGATGGGCGGTACTCACCTGTCAAGACGGCCTGTTTTGCAGACGCGACGACAGTTGCAGACAAGGCAGCAATCCGCCTGGCAAGTTTGATCGCTTCCTCCTCGACGTGGTCCTTTGGAAACACCTTGTTGACAAGACCAAGGCGCTGCAGCTCGACGGCAGGGACCGAGTCACCCGTCAGGATGAGCTCCATGGCCTAGTTGGCCGCATAAGTTAGGGATCAAAAGGGAGAGGGAGAGTCAGGGGGCGTGTGGAACTCTACCCTATACTTGCCCAGGGCTCGTGCAAACCTCTGGGTCCCCCCAGCACCGGGGATAGTGCCGATGGTGATTTCTGGAAGCCCAAATTTGGCATCCTGGTCGGCGTAAATGATATCGCACTGGCCGGGTTCCAAGGTTGGCAATCAGCACAGTCTCTGGCGTGACCAAAAGATGATCACAGGCACCACTCACCGCCAAGGCAATCTCACAACCACCTCCAAGCTGCTCAGGGGTCAGTCTCCCGGGGGTTTGGTTGGAGGAGGAAGGATGGTACTGACAGCGAAGCCAGTCACGGCGGCAACAGATGGTTTTGAGAAGCGGGCAAAGGCGTCGGTGAGGTCCTTGAGGAAGCCCCGCTGATGTGCCTCAGCAGTTGAGATGCGGACCAGCTCCTTGAGGTCCATGCCGGCTGCCGTGGACGGTGGGTGATCAGCATGCGTGGCTTCATGTGGGTGTGGTGTTGGCGTCAGAGCCAGGACTACTTGCCAGAAAAGGGCGCGCCACCTGGGCTGCCGGTGACGACGAGGGCGCGGACGTGCTTGGCTGCGTCGAGGTAAGCCAAGGCTGCGACCATGGCATCGATCATGGCCTGGGTGAAGGCATTGCGTTTCTGCGGGCGGTTCAGTTGCACGACCGCGACGCCGTCGTCATCGGCCAGCACGTTGAGGTGCTCGGTGCAGAGGTGGGCGATATCTTGCATCACAGAGCCAGACATGTTGATGATGGAGTCGTGATGATTTGTCAGGGCAGGATTTCAAATTCCGGAGCTTTGGTTTCCAGCTGGGCAGAGTGGGAAGTTGCAGAGTTGCCCTTTTCAACAAAGCACGAGTGGGCGGGCGTGGGCGGGCGTGGGCAGGAGGTGGCAGCAGGTGGCAGGAAGTGGCAGGAAGTATTATGCAGTTTCAGAAAGAGGAATACTGGTCCGAGTGCAACGGGGAGGAGGAGGAGGAGGGGAGGCGCACATGTGAGGGCGGCGAGGCCAGCGAGGCCGTCGATGCCGGCGAGATATGCATGGTGCAGTCAGTATCTCTGGCGGCCCGGGTGAGGACCAGCATGATGAGTTAGCTAGGAAGGTAGCTGAGCATGTATGCACATATGTGCAGGAGGGTGCCGGCAGGAGTGTTGCGTCAACTTACATGTATGTATTATCGCCATGTATTATCATCAATCGGATAGGGCAGGTTCAGAGTTGAGACGGCCCCAGCAACAGCGCCGGCGTGGTTCAAACTGTGGTCAAAGCTAGTTTCGCAACCGGGCAAAGGCGCGCGCGTGAGGTTGTTTCGTTCTTACTACTATGTAGTATGCACTGATTAATGCGTATAGTCAGTCTCTACATCCCGAAGGCATAGGGTCGTGACAGCGACGATCACACCCGACGGCTCCAGGGAACTGGCTGGCAGGCTGGCAGGCTGCTGGCAGGGGTGGGCCTGGCAGCCTGCCAGCCCTGAGGCCCTCGAGCTTCCGCAGTTGCTGGATTGGGCATCTTGGCGTCCACTGTCCCAAGCCCGCCATGCCTCGCCCTCGCCCTCGCCCGCCGTCCTCCTGTTGCTTCTGTTGCTCCTGTGCAGTGTCAGCCTGAATGACAAACCTCTGACCAACAGGACCGACAGCACAAAATCAAGGAACTTGGTCCTTTTCCTCCTGCGCCGCATGCACCTCTCGTCTCCCGTCTCCCGTTCCGCCCACACGTGCAACCACCTCCGTATTTTGCCCTGGCCATCCCTGATCCTTCCTTCCCCTTGCCAATAACCTTCCCCTTCCCCGGATCCCGGAATGCCATGGCCCTCAGGGGTCCCCCAGGGGTCCATGGGAGCACCCAGGCGAGTGTGGCGTGACGTCAGCCCCAGCGACCAGCTGCCGCCTTCCAATCCAGACTACGCCTCATGTCTATCTATGTCTATCTATCAACCTGCCTGCCTGCCTGTCCGCCCGTCCCTGGAGCTTCCTTCCACATGCCGCCACGACATCGGTGATCTCTGCGCGCCCAGTTCCTGCCCCACGTCCCATATCACCGTGGTCCCCGGCTGTTTGACCAGACGTTCCCAAACCATCTTGTTCGTCCGCCTGGCCTGCCATGCAGTCTGTGCCTGTCTGCATCGATCGATCGATGCAACCGAGAAATCACCATGTTGCTTCTCCTGGGCCTCCTCCGGCCTTGCTCCATGCTTCTTTCCTGCCCGGCCTCGCTGCAGCCATCTTGGCCTCCATCCCACAGCGTGCCAGCGTGCCGGCGTGCCCACGGCGGAAAGGCGCCATAGATTTCGAGTATGAGTACAGACCTGACGAGACCTGACGAGACCTGACCTGCGACGTCAACATAGGCATGTCTGCATACGCACCTCGGGCCCGCGTACGCCGGTGCCACACCATGTGACAGCGACCCCGTATCGACAGAGGCTGATGAGCCCTCGGTGTGCCCAAGGATCGTCTCTGTGCTGCCACGGCCGCAGCCATAGTACCGTAGAATAAAAACAACTTAGAACGGCCATCGAGCGCTTACCATGTCCGACCCCCTCCGCTGCCTGTGCCGGTCCAGGGGCCCCATTTCCGCCTGCGGAACCTGCCAGCCATGTTTTCTTGTTTCAATACCCGCTGTTCCGCTCGCCAGACACCCCAGCTTCCTGTCCACTCGGCTCCTGGTCCCGCCTTGCATCAATTGATGTGGCCTGCCCCCATGGGTCCACCCTAGGTGCGCTCCTCCTACCCCCCGCTTGGCGGCCAGACGTCGGGACCTTTGTCCTCCGGGGACCATGGTCACTTAATTTTCCAGCCTCCGTCTTGTGCTTACTTGCTGGAAACGGCATTTGCCCCGGCAAGAACAGATGAGTATCCGACCCTCGATTCGTTAGAGACATGACCCGGTTATCTTGGCATCCTAAGCGAGTTTAGCATCTTCATGTGGTTCTCTTTTTATGTATTTTTTGTATGGGAAAGAGGAAAAAAGAATAATTAAAGAATGAAGGGATCATTTAAGTATGATAGCAATATTTAAATGTTTCTTTTTAAATAAAAATAAATAAATAATCTACTACAATGCAAGTATGCTTTTTAAAATAATCGGTCTTTTGTTTTATACATTCAATGTTATTTTCACATTAATACCGCTAGGTGACCTTTACCTAACCTTCACGCCGTGTCTGTTGATGCATCTCAGATGCGCGTATTTAGAGGGCATGGCACATGCCCCGTTGCGACGCTACCGACCACGCTGGGCAACTACAGTGCTGCCGGGCAACGTCCCAATCATTGGAATCGATTCTTGTGAACTTCCAGAGCCTTGTCGGCGTCGATCTTTATGCAAGGCATGGACAGCCTGGCCGTGGTATCGGGCTGCAGTGCGACATGGACCGGGACAAGCTACTACATAAGAGAGGTGAAGGCTACAACTAACCCTCAACCTTCCTAATCCGTGTCATCGTGGGGGTAAATTGCGAACGTGTCCTCGACCCAATGCACAGAAGTGGATGAAGAGTTGCACATACACACCCTCGATCAATACCACAGTTGCTGAGAGATAGAGGCGACTGTTGCGCTTGTTTGAGACCAGCCATATACGGATGGGCCTGTTGTGCGCCCGAAACATGTGAAACTCGAGGTCGTGGAACTCACACTGCACGGCTACGTACCTAGGTAGGTATTCAACGGTTGGAGTACTTCGCCAAGACAGTAGCACAACAAAAGAAAATTATATCCTAATAACCCTAAATTTCATATACTAGTATTTTATATATAATAGAAGAATCTAATCAAGCCTTCTTCTTTTTTAAAAAAAAAAAGGGAAAGAAAGAAAGAAAGAAAGAAAAAGTAAGTTTAGCTTATAGTAAGGTAGATAAGTTTAGATATGGCGGTTTTTGATTACGTTATATATACAGATGTAGTTAATGTGCCATCACTATTCTAAACCCCGTCTGGGAATGTCGCTAGTCCTTGTCATGCATCCCGGTCGTCACAATGCCTCCCCCGTACAAGTGATGCAAGGCTTCGGGTGCCATTGTAGCACAGTGCCGTTGACCTCTACCGTGAAGGTCATGTAGCAACATGCGACTTTATGCACGAAAACAAGCTCGGCCAGATCACCAGCTCGTGGTCTCAAGTGCCACTCGCCTCCTCTGACTGGTGGGCCCGCGGAAGGAACACCTCCAGCCATCAGGAGGGTTCCGTGGCCACATTGACGGATTCGGCAAGCCAACTGCTATATAAGACGTAGACATGGCCCGCTGTCTAGAGGGAAGGCTCACTGGGAAATTCCAAGGAACCTCTGGTGTTCATCCCAAGGCATTGCGACTCTTTGCTACGCATCAGAGTGTTTGTGTGAACCTTTTCTCTGAGACTTCATATCTATTCCACCTCAGGCCGGCTGGAGACGACCTCATCACTCTGACAACACTTCCCCCCTTACGGCTACTAGTACTCTACACTGCCCACCATGTCGTTTCACGCGACCTCATCTCTCTCAGAAGGGGACCAAGTCCTCTTTAACAAATACGGAAAAGGACCAACAGTTCCCCTTCCTCATACCACCATCACAGACGCATTCCAGGCAACTGCCGCAGCGTACCCGTACGCTACGGCAGTCCGGGAATGCTTCGACGCCGAGAGAACTTGGACATACGCCGAGTTGGACGCACGCTCCAACGTGATAGCTAACTATCTCGTTCAAAATCATGGAGTGGGCCCCGGCCAGAGGGTTGTCTGCGTATATTCTAGGTCAGCCGAGATGTGCGCCTTCATCCTTGCCGTCTTAAAGTCGGGGGCGCAATATGTCCCGATCGACGGCGCTGTGATGGTGGAGGATAGTCTGAGGCAGTAAGCATAGTTTTGGCCCTGGAAATAACACGCATGTTTCCCACGGATTTCTGACATACTCGCAGCGTCATAGGTGACTCGGGGGCGAACGTCGTGCTTTGCTTCTCTACCTTCAAGGATAAGGTTGAGAGGAGCATGCCAGTTGGGAGCTCTGCCAAGGTCGCCGCCTTTGACGCCGCAGACACAATCTGGACGACTGGAGACACCCGGGGGTTGAATGTCAATATTCGGCCGCAAGATGGCGCCTATGTTATTTACACGTATGTCCCTCCCAGTATTACGTTAAATCCGGTGGTGGAGACTGATTCGACTTATTAGATCTGGCACAACCGGGAAGCCAAAGGGCGTGGACTGCAGCCACATGAACCTCTGCAATACCCTGCTCAACGAGCCAGGCAAGCTCGGCATCACGGTTGGCACCCAGGTTGCCTGCGTCCTGATGCTGAGCTTCGACCTCTGTGCCTGGGAGATTATTGCGACGTTGATGAACGGAGGCACCCTGAATCTGCGAGGGCCCTCCCGTAGAGGAGGCGACCGCGAGATTTGGAATGCATGCTTAAGCCGCGTCGACGTTGTCATCAGCACGCCAACTGGGGCCCAAAAATACTTCCCCAAGCGGTCCGAATTCCCAAACATCAAAACGATCGTCGTGGGAGGGGAGCCTTGCCCAGTCTCACTTGCTGAGGAATGGTATGTGCAACTTTTCTTTTGCTGCTAGATTACATCCTACTTCTCACCTCAGCCCGTCTCCAAAGAGACCTATGAGCATTTTCATTATGCGGAGTACATTTGGTGTAGCCAAGCACCGGTGTTCGCGCTATGAAATATGATGTTCACAACAAATACGCCTTGTCCGTATTTGATCGACCAATTATTTCAGATTTTCGATCAGTGGCAGTCTTACTTACGCGTAAATACAGGTCTCCTCACGTCAAGTTCTACAACATATGTGGCCCTACTGAGATTACGATCCTGAACACTGCTCAACTCCACGAGCCATGCACAAAACTCACTATCGGCAAGCCAATTCCCAACACCAACGTGTACATCTTGGACGACTCGCTGAATCCCGTGCGGATCGGTGAGATTGGCTTGATGTGGGTCGGAGGACTCAGTGTCTCCAGGGGCTATGTCAACCTGCCTGAGCTTACAGCCCAGAGATACCAGCCAGACAAGTTCGCGAGCGACGGCAGCATGATGTTCAATACGGGGGATCTTGGACGCTGGCTTGGAAACGGCGAGCTCGAGCCGCTGGGCCGCAAGGACGACCAGGTCAAGATCAAGGGATTCCGCGTGGAACTCGACGGTGTCTCTGCCACCATGGAGTCCTTCCCAGGCGTCGAAAAGGCGGCTGCCATCAAGATCGGCGAGCTGCTCTGGGGATTTTACAGCGCCCCGGGCATCGTGGACGAGGTTGCTCTGAAGGCCCACCTTGCGACGCGCCTTAACCACTACGCCCTGCCTTCCAAGCTTGTCCATATGACGGCTATGCCAATGACCCCCGGTGGCAAAATCGACAAGAGAACCCTCAAGGAACTCGGTGCTGCCAAAGAGACCGAGGTTATCAAGCCACCTCAGGATATCCCGACGCCACCACCCACGGTATATTCGCAAGAGACAACAGTTGGGCTGTACAAGCCGGAGACCGTGGAGAAGAGCCTCGAGCGCGGCTCGATCACGGAGATGGAGAGCGTCAACGAAAAGGAGATAGAGCTACCAACCAAGAATGGCTTCCACGGACAGAGGTGGTTCCGCCACAAGGCCCTGTCCGCTTACCGGAAGCTGTTCCTCGTTATCTTCAGCATCAACCTCATCGCATTCATTGTTATGCTCGTCAACGCGCCGAGCGAAGGTCTACCGGTCAACAACCTCGCCACCGCGGTCGCAGCCAATCTCCTGGCGTCGGTACTCTTCCGCCAGGAATACGTCGTCAACTTTGTCTTCTGGCTCGCAACTCGCTGCCCTACCTCTGCACCGCTCTGGCTCCGCCGCCACCTCGCCCGCTGCTACCACATGGGTGGCATTCACTCGGGCGCCGCGGTGACAGCCACGCTGTGGTGGGTCGTCTTCTCCTGGCAGTCGACCATCTACTTCGCCCAGGGCAGTGAAAAGTACCCCATCAACAGCGCGACAGTCGGACTCACCTTCACCATCCTGATACTGCTTAGCTTCATCCTCGTCATGGCGTACCCGACGATCCGCCCCAAGTTCCACGACCAATTCGAGTGGACTCACCGGTTCGCAGGCTGGACCACCCTCGCGCTTGTCTGGGCGCATATTGTCGTCTCGACCGCCTCTCTCACACCGGCGGGCGTCCCACTGGGCGGCGAGTTGCTGCGCAGCCCTGCGATCTGGCTGGTCACCCTGACGACGCTCTCTATCGCGCTGCCGTGGCTTCGACTGCGCAAGGTCAACGTCGTCGTCGAGCCCCTGTCGAAGCACGCGGTCCGGCTGTACTTTGACTTCTGCACGCCGCCTCCCGGCCGGGCTGTCCGCATCACCGACAACCCAATGAGGGAGTGGCACGCGTTTGCCACGGTGACTGTTCCGAACAAGCCGGGATTCAGCATCGTTGTCTCGCGGGCTGGTGACTGGACCGGCCGCACGATCGAGAACCCGCCCACGAGGATTTGGACTCGTGGCGTCCCGGCCTCTGGAGTCCTGCGCATGGCACCCCTATTCAACAAGATCGTGCTGGTTGCCACTGGGTCGGGGATTGGACCTTGCCTGCCAGTAATAATGGGTAAGTCTTCTCCAAGTCAAGGCATCCATATTTCGCGCAAATGAGATAAAGTGCTAACACAGACAACAGCAAAGAAAGTGCCTTGCAGGATCTTCTGGTCCACTCCCGCTCCAGAAAAGACTTTCGGCCGCAAGATCATCGATGCCATCTACGAGACTGACCCCGAAGCAGTGGTGTGGAACACGCGTGAGCAAGGGCGCCCCAACATGGCGCTCGAGGCATACAAGCTCTACAAGGCGAGCGACGCCGAGTGCGTCTGTATCATTAGTAATGGCCCTGTCACTTCGAAGCTGGTGTATGACCTCGAGTCAAGGGGGATACCCGCCTTTGGCCCGATCTGGGATTCATGAGTGTGCAAATGTCCTTGGGGTCTGATCAACCGAGCGGCGTTCCCTTGACCTTTTGTGCTGTTTTCGTGGTGGATGATTGTTTTCGCTGCTGGATGAACATTTTCCTAGGCTGGACTTGGTAGCAGTTTCTTATGTTTGCCATTTGTCTCCTTTACACGCTCTTTGGCAATGACTTTGCGTCTTTTTGACTGATTTCAGGATGCTTACCCGGCCGTCTCTTTTCATTACGCACACGATCGGGCGTACTTAGGTTCCTAGAATACCTGATGAATGATAGATTTCCCTGCTCTTTCAATATCACGTTCGTTATTATAACCATACTCTAGCGTGGCTTTGAACATGGGCGCTCCCGACTGTTGCCAACATTGAATTAACGTTTCAAGGTACACGAGGAAGTGAAGATATGGATGACTTCATTCAACGAATGGGCTGATGCCAAATGCGTGATATGCTGTTTAACATAATCAAAGCCTTGAGCTGTAGAATCGCATAATGATGGGTGAACAATTGAGTGATGACCCATTGTAAGAAAACCACATTCTCTAAAAAGTTTAGGACCTCAGGATTTTCGGGTGTGCATGTGCAGACATTTTCCGTACAACTCGATTGGCTAGGAGCCCGAAGTGTTTCTGATAGTATACCTCGGGCTAGGTATGTGATACTTAGATACTTAAGTACTTGGATACTGAGTTGATAGTGGCAAATCACTCAATCCTGTGTAATGCATACTAGTTTGTGGCTGCCCAATAGTCCCCACAACCATCCATTTTTAGCCAAACCACATAATGTCATAGGTATATGGCTGCCATTGAAGTTACAACGTATCTTGTATTTACAATACTGGTAATTTTTGAGGCTTGTCCAGGGAAATTTGCCCCTAGGTTTCTGTGCGAGCTTTCTGGCGCAAAAGGGCCAGGATGCACTCTCATTCACTTGGTCTTGCGGCTGTACTCCGTACAGGCCTTCTACATTGATACCTTGGTACACCCTGAGCACATGGTTTTTATTTTAGCTTGTTTTGAGATAATTGATGCAATAAATCCACACATGGACCTATCATTTCGACTGAAGCTCTCGCATTGGATTGAGGTAGCTAACTATTTCCGCGACGTGCCGCTGGCAGATGACTCCAGATGTCCCTGCCAGTGATGGCCAGCAGACGGCTCGAGCTAGAATAACAAGGCTCTTCTAATGCTGGCCTAGGTCTGGGTTGTTGGAAAAGATAATAGGGTTGTGATCTCTCATGGGGCAATGATACGGGTACTAATAAATGATAGTGACTGCAACATACGATGGCCCCCCACCGCCCTCCTCCACCAACTTTGAAATTGTAAGGAACACGCAGCACATGAGCTTACCTAGATGCTTGTTTAAGTACTTACTTAGTCAATGGGTATAAGTCACCCAGCTGCTGAGGTGTGATACTGCATATCAGTGAGGACCATGACATCAATTGACGGGAGCACTTATTAAGAATGGGACCCCCACACCACCTGACCACTAACGGGGATTGGATTTCACAGCGACCAGCCGACACACCCACAGATTGCGGGTGGGCAGGTGGGATCAACCAAGCCGGGACCGGGGCCCCACAAAGAGGTGTGGCGGGGCGCATCGATTCATGCAAGCCCACCTCAGGTGCTTGGGGCACTCGCTCGGGGTCTTTTAGGTTGTGGCCTTATCTCGCGTGTCAAGTGCGTCTTATCATCAACAACAAGCAGAGTGAGACCTCGGGAGGCAAGCACATGCTGCCTTGCTGATCATCAGGGTGAGACTAAACTGGACGTCCCACCTGCCTGAGTGCTGGACTGGACCGCAGCCACCTGCTGCCCGCCGTCATATCGCTGCCATTGGCGTGGCGCTCACGTCTCGCCGCCCGCCTGCCCGCCCTGCCCGCCCTGCCGTCCTGTCCAGCACCACATCCACACACACAGCACGCACGTCAGGCTTCGTTCGTCCCCGTCGACGGCTGGGCTGCAGATGTGCCGGGATTGGGCGCCAGAGGATAACCGGGCGTTTGTAGCGCCCGTCGCAACCCACCACCGCCTCGGCACCGGCACTGGCACTCGCCCAGGCCCTCGCCTGCGCTTGAGCCCGCAGGCCCGTCAATCACAGCCTTTGCTTCCTTATCGCCCATCAGCCCAGTCCTCCCACGCTGTCCTGGCAACTGGGGACCTGGGCTCGCGAGATACGGATACAGATATAGTGCTTGCAGAACGGCCCCTCTTTTCCACCTCTGACGCTCCGCAACTCAGATCGCACGTCCCGTCCGGCTCCTGCTCTCGGTGCCTCCGGTAAATTTCACGACAGTCTCACCTGATTCGACCCGGGTGGGTCGGATGCTGACTGATGCCGGTGCCGGTGCCGCGCCGTGCCACCGTCCTTCTTCACGTCTGCTCCGTACCAGCCGCCGTCGCCAGCCCAGCCCGTCTCCGCCCTCGAGCCACGGCTCTGGGCCCCGAGAGCATCCGCAATGGAACCTCAAACCCCTCAGCTGGCCCTTCAGCCCCAGCCCGCCGCCCCAGCCCCGGACGCCGCCCCACCTCCGCCCACCAAGAAGAAGTCGAGGAGCCGGAATGACCCGGCTAACCAGAAGCGCCGCTGTGTCAGCACTGCCTGTATCGCTTGTCGCAAGAGGAAGTCCAAATGCGACGGCGCACTGCCCTCCTGTGCCGCCTGCGCCAGTGTTTATGAGACCGAATGTGTCTACGACCCAAACTCGGACCACAGGAGGAAAGGCGTCTATCGCGAGAAGATCGACAGCGCCAAGGCCAGGAACTCAACCCTCCAGATCCTCATAGAGGCTATCCTCAACGCTGCCGAGGAGGATGTCCCCGAGATCACGAGGAGGATCCGCACCTGCGACAGCCTGGATGCCGTGGCAGAGACTATCCTGCAGGAAGACTTTGCCAACAAGAACAGTGACGACGCTCAGTTCGATGACCAGTACACCACCGACCAGCCCGTCGAGGGCGAGCGAGACCTGGCCAGGAAGATGGGCGAGCTCCGCATAGAGAACGGCACCATCCGCTTTATCGGCGGCACCTCGCACCTCATCTACCAAGGCGACCCCCATGACACGCCCGCTGAGCCCGAATCTGTCAGCCTCCAGACGAACGAGGACCCTGTCACCAGCTGGTCTGAGGTGACCAAGGACAGGAATTTGGTCATCCACCTGATGAACATGTACTGGAACTGGCACTACCCGTACTTCACCACAATCTCACGCAAATTGTTTTGGCGAGACTTCCTCAAGGGCAAGCCACGAGCCTTACCAAAGGGCACCATCTACTGCTCGCCCCTCCTGGTAAACACCATGCTGGCACTGGGCTGCCACTTCACAGACGTGCCGGGCGCCTTTGCTGTGCCGGGGGACAGTCGGTCCAAAGGTGACCACTTCTTTGCCGCCGCCAAGAAAGTCATCATAGACAACGATGAGTACGAGAAGCCCAAGCTGGTCACCGTTCAGGCCTTGGCCTTGATGTCCGTACGCGAAGCGGGCTGCGGGCGCGAGGCCAAGGGTTGGGTCTATAGCGGTATGAGTTTCCGTATGGCCCAGGATATCGGCCTCAACCTTGATGCTGGGGCAATTGCTTCGGAAAACGGACAGATCAGCGCCGAAGAGATCGATGCCCGCAGGATAACATTCTGGGGCTGTTTTCTCTTTGACAAGTGCTGGTCCAACTACCTCGGCCGGCTACCACAGCTGCCCAAGAACTCTTACAATGTACCAAAATATAACGTCTTCCCCGACGAAGACGGCGGTATTTGGTCGCCATATGGGGACGGCGGATTCGATCAGGCCCTCAGCCAGCCGGCACGGACCCGTGCCGTCGGCCTCCAACTCTCAAAACTATGCGAGATCAGCAGTGACTTGTTAATCTTCTTTTACCATCCGAACCATATCGGCAGGTCAAGTGGGAAGTCGGTTGAGCTGAAGAAGCTCAGTGAGCTGCACAGGCGGCTGGAAGACTGGCGCAAGGAGCTGCCGCAGGAATTCGAGCCCAAGGATGGCCAGCTACCGAATGTGATATTGATGCAGTAAGTTATCCCGTCACATCAGCCGGAGCTACTGCTGATTTTGAATCCGCAGCATGTTCTATCACCTGCAGTATATCCACCTCTTCCGGCCATTCTTAAAGTATAATCCTGCCACGTCCCCTCTGCCACCGCACGTGTCTCCTCGACGCATATGCACGGCCAATGCCGGTTTCATCTCGAAACTGATGAGGTTATACAAGAAATTGTACAACCTCCGGCAAATATGTAACATCGCGGTGTACATGGTCCACTCTGCCTGCACTATACATCTGCTCAACTTACCCGAGAAGACTGCGAGGAGGGACATCATCCATGGCGTGAAGCATCTGGAAGAGATAGCCGAGGACTGGCTGTGCGCGAGACGATCGCTAAGCATCATCAGCGTCCTCGCCAGGAAATGGAACTGCGAGCTGCCAGATGAGGCAGCCGTCATTCTTCGCCGGACTGATGAAAATTACGGCTACTTGGGTACAGGAGATGTGCCATCGCCTAACCCGGCCATGATGCCATCCGTAACGCCTTCGCCTCCGTCGTTCCCCCAGTCACCAGCACAGCTCAAGAACAGCCCAGGCCGGCTTGATACCCAACCATCACAAATGTCGCAGGACGCGACTGCGGCCATGTCGCCCGACCTGATGTCAACCATGGGCATCGGGTCGATAGCACCGCCCGGCGTGCAGCCTCGCCAGGGGCCAGCTTCTGCCTCGGTCGACCCCGCCAGCAATCCCGGCCTTGCCTTCAACAGCTCGTGGACCATGCCAGGTGTTGGCGCGCCTGCCCTGCCACGTTACCACCAGTCCTACGCGCCCGTACAGATTACCAGCAGCGGGCAATCGGCACAGAGCTCAAGAACTGCGACGCGCAATCCCACGCCAAATTCGGTCTACGCCATCGACGGACAAGACTGGTTCCTAAAGGACGGCATCAACTGGCAGCAGAACTTTGAGGGCTGGGGCATGACCAGTCCGACGAACAACAGTGCAAACAATAACAATAATAGCAATACCAGCAATACCAACGGTGTTGGGGCTGGGGCCGGCGTGGCTGCTGGCGATGTATTCATGTTCAAGGGTCTGCAGGGAGGCGACTTGGACATGGGAGACAGCTGGGATTTTGACAGCTCCATGACGAATCTGGATCAGATCCCGGGGCTTGACTGAGCTACTTGCGTCCGAACGGAGTTTCGAAGTCTGTTATTTGCCGAGCCCGGAGTATTGTTTTGATTCTGGAGGCTGGTTCTGTTCTTGCAACGGTTTGGAATAGGGCTGGCAAAAGTCTGGTGTTGGCACACAACCGATATGGAGATACCTGGTCGGGATATATACGTATGTATAAATGCAAAAAAGCTTTCATCTGCCATGACTCCAATAGCCTTACTGCATGCACATCTCTTGTGATTCTGAACCCGCCACGCCCGGCGGCCGGCCGGCTAGCTGCACCCATTTGACCTCAACGAAGTCCAACGCTGTAATACCCTTCACACCACGATCATCCCGGCGCCCGGCCGGTGAGATATATATATGCAGGTCTGTCATGGCATCTCATCATCGACTGCTCTGGACCCGTTTCCCCCCTCCTCCTCCTCCTCCTCCTCCTCCATCTCCCTGAGCGCCCTCCGGAACACCTCCGCCTCAGCCACCATCTCCTCCATGCTCCTGGCCTTCCTCTGTGCGTCCTCAATCCGGTCGAACGCGCCGCCTGCCACAGGCCTGGCCCCGTCGGGCTGCCGCTCCTCCTGCTGCTGGCGGTCCCACAGCGCCCCGCCGACGTTGCCCTCCTCGCGCGCCATCTGCTCGTAGAGCTCGTCCCCCGCCGTGTCCTCGGGCTTGGAGCTCAGCCCGCGGACGCGCGGGATGACGTGGACGTGGACGTGGGCGACCGTCTGCCCGGCTTCCGGGCCATCCTGGACGGCGATGTTGAACGAGCCAGCCGGCCCCTGCTGCTGCTGCTGCTGCTGCTGCCCCCCCTGCTGCCTGTCGGGTGCCGGGAAGTAGTGGCGGGCCAGCATGCGCTGAACCCTCTGCACGGTGGCGAACAGGTCCGTCACCTCGGGCAGGGAGAGGTCCGTCAGGCGCCGGTGCGGCCGCGACGGGCACACGAGGACGTGGCCTGGGAGCAGCGGCTTGAGGTTGACCAGCGCGAAGGAGTGCGGTGTGGTGAGGAAGACCTTGGGTGTTCGGTGTCAGCGGTAGTTTATGTCGTGGCTGGAATGTCTATCGCCCCCTGTGTCACCCATCAAAACTCACCTGAGAAGTCACCTCGAACGGCCCGAAGGATATCTTCCCGCCCCGCGGACCTGAGCTCATCCTTGCTCTTATTTTTTGGTGAATGACTGTGTTGATGGGACTTTTCCACAAGTACTTGAACATTCTTGTTCTTAAAAAGTCAAGAAGGATAAGTTCTCACACAGATTCCGATGAGGAGTGGGTTTGCGGCCTGGCTCGAGTCGCTCATTGCTCACTATGGCTAGGCTGGGAGGTCGGAGGCTTGGGTGGTGGCCAACGCCCAAGCACTTGAAATGCCCAGTGTTAGCAGCACTGGCCGGGCCTGGCAAACAGTGGGTATCACTGCTAATTGTCAAACAACAGCACGCAGGGTAACTCCTCGAGCCAAATTTGTTTCGCCTGGTTTCTCGAATTTAAGTATTCATTGTGTATATTTGAGCACTTATATCATACTTCAATAGGATATCGCTGGCATAATTCAGCACATATGGCCGCTTGTCTATCTCTATCCCTTGGACGCAGGCCGTTACGATTGATGGTATAAAACAGATACAATACAGTTACAAATGGAAAGTGTATATCATATGCATCCGAACAAGCGAGCAGGCCCTGGGCGGCCTTCGCACACGGGAGGCGCGCGTGCAGCCAGCTCTCTAGAGCTGAGGCACGAACTCGTCTTCGGTCAGAGTGTCTTCCCGGTGCACACTGGGCCGTACTGGCCTCTCTTCTTCGACTTCATCCGCCTTCGTCATGTAGACTGTCACCTGCCTGTTAGCACTGACCGGGGAATACCAGAGATGGACGGACTTGACTTACCATGAGGCTTCACAAATATGGACAAAATCAATACCACGGTAAAGATGCCGCTGATAAGCACAAACACGGCCTGCGGGAAGGTCTTCACTGTCGCCGCATACAGGCCGTTAAATACAATCGGGCTGACGATTCTGGCCAGTGCATGAAGCAAGCCGATCGCGCCGAGGAGTTGTCCGATCGTCTCCGCAGGGACATGCTTAGACAAGGCGGCCTGGATGGTCGCGGAGCCCACCCCGCCAAAAGCGGTGATTACACCGCTCAGCACAAAGAGGGCCTCAGTGCGCACAAATATATACCCAGTGATCCCGATGATATCGGAGACGATAGCCAGGCGCAGGAGCCACACATCTAGACCATCCGCACCGGCACTTCGTTCTGCAATGGCACCTGATTCTCTGCGGCGCTTCTGTGCCGGGCGTATGCGGAAGATGTAATTGATGATGGGCAACAAGGTCAACAGCACGACGACTCGGACAAGAGAGACGAGGGAGATGAATCGTGACGTCTCGAAGTTGCCCCAGTGGAAGATGAATTCGCTGTACAGCAGGGTCACCTGCCCTGAGCTCATGGCCGCGCCGAGGATGACGGTGTCAATGGCAGCGAGGAGGATCAGGTTCCGTTTGACGCGCTTGTTTGCGTGACCCCTTGGGGCCAATACCTTGAGAGGCTCCAAGGGATTCGCTGCCCGGATCGAGGCCGCGGCATTTGCGTACTTGGGCGACGCAAGCCATGACCACAGCCGAGTGGTCGCGCCCTCTCCCTTCGCCAAGTACTGTGACGCCCATTCTCGTGTGCGCTGGGCGCGCGTCACCTGGTCTGCCCGATGTTTCTCGCGTGCCAGTAGTTGGCGTCGTTTCGAGACCGACTCGGGCAGGATGAAGATAACACATGCGATGAAGATCATGTGGCATCCGAGAGTGACATAGAAGAGGGAGAGTAGAGATCCAGTCCACTTCACGAAATAACCCGCAATGAGGGGCCCGAAGGCCAGACCGCTGAAAAGGCATGCGTGGATGTATCCGATGGTCACACCACGCTTCGACGGAGGTGTACAATCACTCGTGTATGAGTGACTGAGTACGGAGCCGGCCGTGAAAGAGCCGGCGAGTCCGTCGAAGATGACTCCTAGTATGAGCCACCTGTAATGGATGACGTCTGGAAACCTGGCTGTAAATATCGTCACAAGCTCGCCGAGGACACCGCCGAAAGAAGTCAGGGCCAGCAACTTCTTCCGTCCGAATCGGTCGGACAGCGAACCGATCTTGGGCGTGGTGTAGGCGCTCAAGACTCCTACTATGACGTTGAGGACGAGCATGAATGTCGCAACATGTTGCTGGACCTCAGCTTTGTTACATTGGGGGTTGTCACCGCCGAGCACGACGGGGGTGACGGTGAAGGTGGGATCACCCACAGACTGCTCGGAAAAGTAACGCTGGCAAACGAGAGCGATGATACTGCTGGTTGTCAGAAGGCATGCGAGGAGAAGAGGCAAAAGTAGGGGCCGGCTTACAGGTTGAGCTTTGGCACCAGGGACCCACCAAAGGCCAAGGTGAAGAGGGCATACGGAGGAAGCAGCCAGTAGACCTTGAACAGAGGAGTGTCAGCACAAAGAAAGGCTCAGGCAGGCTCAGGCAGGCTCAGCAGGGAACGTACAGAAGGCTGCTTGTACCAGGGAAGGCCTTTGAACTCGTCGAATCCGTCCCAGCTGTCCTTGTCGGCGGGTTGGACACCGTGCTCCGATCCCGCGTAAGAAGAGCTTGCGGTGCTGGCAGATAGCAGGCTTGTGCTCTCGTTGGGCGCTGTCAGCCTCTCCTCGTCGTCCGGCGTCGTTGAGAGCGAGTACGCATCGTCCACCACCGAGACCCGGCGCACTTGGTCGGCGGTCATTTTCGGCTGTGCCACGGCTGTGAGACCTCGAGCTGAGGTGCAAATGGTCCGGATGGTGTTTGTCAAGGCCGAGAAAAACTCTTCGTTTGGCAGCGCGCGGTTGTGGCGGCAGCGCAAAACCACCAATTCAGGTCACGATGAAGGCGCAGTCTGCGCTGTGGCCCAGTTGTCGGACGCGAAGACCAAGTCCGCTCGTCGCTATGACGGGGTGGCGGAGTTCGGACTATACGGAGGATGAGATGACAACGTAGGGCTGGCAGTCCGCGATGCTCTCCATTACCTGGGACTGGTGCACATTCAGGCTGGGAAACATGGACGGGTGAGGAGGGAAGGCCCTTGGCCAGCACAAATAAACGTCAAGCCCGGGAAAAGATAGGTGAGCGAGTCAACGTCAAAATGCCGGAGTGATTGCTGGACAATCCGGGCTGTTGTGAGGCAAGACAAGCTCCCGCTGCTTTATCTGATAAGCGTGGGGATTCCTACGGGGAAGTGCCAGCATTCCTTGAGCTGGCGCTGGCTGGGCTGCTGGGCTGGAGCAAATCCGATGGGCCCAGTGCCATGGGAAACGTGGACAACGCGGTCCTCCCCTTGCTCCCTTGTTGCTTTGCAACTTTGTAGCGTAACAGACGTGCGCTAAGACGGAGGTTTCAAGACGGGGGGTGGGGGTGGGCAGGTCCCGGGGCCCAGACCTGCCGCCCGTTTTCTCAAACAGTCTTTTATCAAGGTTCCTTCCCAATGCTAATAATAATAACGACGAGCTTGGAAGCAGCTTTGGGTGCAGCACCGGGGCAGCGGTAACCACCGTTACGACGACCGTTTACCGACCAACTAACTCCTAGACATGGTCTACCGGCTGGTCTAAGAGACTAAGACCATCTGAGCAGGTCGTTGTCATGTGCTGTCGAGCCGCGATTGCAACAACTGATGACGCACTTGTTTCGTCGTCTCGCATACTAATCTTCCAATCTGTCTTTGATTTCTAAGCCCCAAGAGGAAGACCACAAGTCCCCAGCCCCAGCGCCAGCTACTCCTCTGCACTGGATGACAGCCACACTCACTCGGACAGCGGGCACACTCTCCCCTATCGCCGCGCTCGTCCCCCGAGCTTGCAGAAGCTGCGAACCAATCCCGACCACACGGTGCGCTAGGCTGTTCGGGGAACGCAAGCTTGTAAGACGCACAATGAATCATTATGCAGCCCCGCAGAGCTGCCCTGCCAGGCTTATTCGTGTAAGTTGACCGGCCCACACACCATGGCGGGTACTTACTTAAGTACCTCGATAGTGTGTACATACTTGTGGTTGACGATCCTGTCAATCATCCATCCCGCGGCGGCGCCGCGGCGGCCTTCTATTGATATCGGCCCTCCCCCCGGGCAAGATGCCGCATGATATTCAAGTATTAACCTTTTTCTGGTTCAAAGGTTGATAGGCCTGATGCGGTTCTAGATTCCCATAGTCGTCGTCAAAAAGCGATCTAACCGTAATTTACTTTTGGACATCATCAACTAAGCTGCAGGCAGTGGAGGTCTGACTGCCATCTGAGCTTCTCGTGCACAAGCCAGGTCGTAACTGTGACCTAACGACCAATCCGAGGACAGTCACACTGTACAGGCATGGCCCTTACGTACTGGCTTTTTGCTCACACAAACGTAAATCCGCGGATGCAAATTTCCACCGTTGGAGAAGAGACCTGTCGCCACGCGTCGGTCCTTTGTGTGTCCATGAAATTCAGGTCGTCCAATGAAATAGCGACCAATCTTAGAATCAAATGCTGCAAACACAGCACATGAGGTCCACGGTGTCTTTTAAATCCCTAAGGTATGTTTTAAATACATACTACTTTATGTTTAGACCTTGAGTAACTATACTACTTAAATTTAGTATAGAGTATACTTAGTAGATAGGAAGGTTGAAGTACCTTTTTGTTTGTGTTTTTAATACTATTATTAACTTTTTTATCCCTTTAAATATATAATTTCCCCTCTTTTTTTTATTTGTTTTTATTAATATGTTTAAAAAATCTCTACTATTGTTAAGAGATTGCTTAGGGACTTTATATAGTGAGTAAGGTGGGAAGCTTTTAGGGCTATCTCTTAACTTTAACTTCCTTCTCTTCTTTTTATTTTTAGTACTAAAAACTATTAAAAACTACTATTTTACTTACACTCTCTCTCTTTCCCCCCTTCTTTCCTTAAGGGTACTAATTGTAAAGTGAATAGCCTTAATAAGGGCTGTATAGCTATTAGTGACCAACCCTTTTAGGTAGAGCCTTTTTAGTCCCCTAGCTAAAGGCTGTCACCTTGAAGATAAGGTTGAATTTGAAGTTGAATTTGAAGTCTATAGTAATGGTTATATAGGAGTGATATGTTAGATACTTTTAAGTGAAAGTATTTTACCCCTCTATCTGTTATATTATACTACCTTGTATTTATGTATAAGTGAGGACCTATTGGGGATATAGAAGGGACCGAGGTCCATAACCTTATTATCGACGGCCCGGTCCTTCACGGTTTATTGCAATGACCACCACACCAAACCCCTTGTTAATACACTTGTTGCAAGTGATCCTTATGGCCTAGATTGTGTATTTGGCTGAATGTGTATTATGTGCTGTGAACAATTCGGTGCCGGTGGATGTCGGGGACAGGACACAAGAACGGGTGGGAATCGCCTGTTGAAACACGTCTTATAAAGCGGGCCTTCCATCGTACAGCACCCTTTCACACTACCCTGCTGCTTTGGCACTATGCCCGGCCGGAACTCCATCCAAAACAACAAGAAACGTTTTCTTTTCTCTAAAGCCGTGCGCCGTGTCTATGCCGGCACGCTGCCTTCTCCGGCGAAGAACTTCTTGCTCGCCAAACACCTCTCACTCTTGCACCCAGGGCACCTCAGGCCCATCTGTGTGGAGCAGGTGATACCGCTGTCAAGGTGCTTCTTAGCGATGTCTGCCAGACCCTTGATGAACGTCGGATTGCCGTTCAGACTCTCAGCACGCTTGACGGTCTCCGGGTGGCCCGAGTCACCGATCACTTCCTGGTCCAGCTCGTACAGCGTCTCAATGTGGTCAGAGGTGAAGGCAATCGGAATTAGGACGAGATCCTTCTGCCCCTTGTGCACAAACTCTTCGACAGAGGTAGCGGTCTGAGGACCTAGCCAGGCTGAAGGGCCGACCTGAGACTGCCAGCAGAGCCGGTAGGGATTCCTGAAGCCGAGCTTTTGCTGAACGGCATAGACGGTTGCTGCTACTTCGGCAGGGTATGGGTCGCCTGTGAATAGTTCACAATCAGCTCGGGTCCAAAGCGTGGTGGGTGGAAACAGTACTCGCCTCTGTTGACAACGGACATGGGCAAGCTATGCGCAGAGTATAGCAATACGACCTTGTCGCGTCTCTCCTCGGGATATTCCTGAAGCTTTGCTTCGATATTCTGCGCAAAGGCGTCCACCAGACCCGGGTGTACGGGCCACCTATCGATGACGCTCCACTGTATGGCACCCTGGCTGTCCTTTTCAAGTCTGTTCCGCCATTTCCAAAGCTCGTTTAGTGAGCTTCCTGTTGTGGAGCACGAATACTGCGGGTACTGTGTGAAGGCGACAGCACGACCTCCTTTTCCGTTGCCGAACCCGTCTTCTAGCAGCTTTTTATACATCTCCTCCGTCAGCGGGTTGGCATAGCGGAATGCCGTGTATGGCTTGTGTGGTGCCGTTTCGGGAGATATCTCGTCGAGGATCTTGCACATCTCGGCGTTCTGGTACTCGGACCATTTTCGGATCGGGGAGCCGCCACCAATAGCAGCGTATTGTTTCTGGATCTTGGGTGTACGGCGGCTTGAGATGAAGGGACCGAGGTAGTTCTGTAGCCTCCCTAAAGGGATCAAATCTCCATCTGCCTGGTTGGTAAGTTCACCTGGTCAGCTGTTGGCGTCCAATGTAGTCATTGCGCCTCTGTCGGTGTGCGTACAAACAACCGGCTCAGGAAGTCCCCGACTTCGTCTGTGGTGGACGGGCCGCCCATGTTCATGAAGACCATGGCTGTCGGTCCTTTCGATCCAGCAGAACTCTGTGTCACTGGGGGGTTATGCACCGATGCCAGACATCTCGCGGATTGTGCGGCGCTCTTTTGCAAGAATAGTGGCGATGCTGTCTGTCGCGAGATCTTAGAGAGCCCGGCCACGGACTGTCGTAAAGCCATGGTGGCGGCAGCTTCGGTCGAATTGACAATGCTGATAGATTGTTCAAGAAGTGCAGACAACTAGGCTCAGGGCAGATAATTCTGTTGTTGTCCAGGCATAGATGGGAGCGGAAGGGCGATTGCAACGTATGCTGAATGCTGTACGGAAACCCGCGATCTCCAAATCGCCCGAGGTCCTTGCTGATCCTGAGCTCTAGCCAGCAATTGATGACGGGTGTGTCATCCAGGACCCCACAGCGGAGTCGAGCTCCAACATCCCTGGCTGCCAAGGGGCCCATGCTTGCTGCGACGGCAACTAAGCGTGGAGCATTTGCTAGCCGGAGCAAGCTTTAGGCGGAACAGCCAGTTGAGTGCCGCAAGAGCTGCAGCTGCCCGAATCGCCAGACCTGTCATTGGTTGCAGCTCCCTTGCGGGCGGCCTGATAGTATGTGGGTACTCTGGTACTCCGTACCTCCATTAACTCCCCTGTAGGAGGTGTCTGCCTAGCTACGCGTGCCAGACGCGGTGGGTGCCTGATACAGGAAGGAGGGCGAACAACTACAAAGATACCTGGTTTTATTTTCTTCGGTGGACGTGCCAGCCAGCAACTGGTTTCGGACTCCCGCTCAACCAAGAAACTCCTTGATATCACACAGCAACAGCAAGAAACCATGGCCTGGGATCCCGAAGCAAATGAGCGGCGGGCAGAGGAAGACGAGGGTGATGATGAGCTTGACGAAAGTGTAAGTGCATCCTGAGATTTCACAGTCACACCTTCAGGACTAACGGCCGAGCAGAATTACAAGGCGCAAAAGGACGCTGTGATCTTCGCCATTGACGTGAGCAAGTCGACGTTGGAGAAGCCGCCTGGATCTGGCTCCAAGAAGGATGACACAGACAGCATCGTCATGGCAGCGTTGAAGACCGCCTCCCAAGTCATGCAGCAGCGTATCATCTCGCAGCCAAAAGACATGATGGGAGTATTATTTTTTGGGACAGAAAAGACCAAATTCCGCGACCTGGTCGGCGACACGCTTGACCCTTACAGGAATTGCTATCTCCACATCGACCTCGATGTGCCCTCTGCTGCTGACGTGAGGGCCCTGAAGAACATGGCCGAGACTGGCAAAGACCCCAATGGGATCCTCAAGCCCGCCAAGGGCACAACTTCTATTTATCACATGCTGAACTGTGCCAACACAACCCTCATGACAAACGCGCCCAATTTCGGTTCGCGGAGGTTGTTCATCATCACAGACAATGATGATCCGCACGCAGGAGACGGGCGTGAGCACGAGAAGTCGGCCGTTCGCGCCAAAGATCTATTCGATCTTGGTGTCAACGTCGAATTGTTTCCCGTGACTCGGCAGGGACAGAACTTCGACTTGAACAAGTTTTACACTGTGAGTCCTGCGGCCAGAACCGACAGTGAAACACCCGACATCTATGCTAACAGGCTCAGGATATCATCTATCGTGATCCTTTCGCCGCAACAGATCCTGACAACCCAGATGAGATCAAGACGTTAAAGACCGGGGATGGAATTTCACTCCTGAACTCCCTTATTTCCAACGTAAACGCCAAACAGACCCCCAAACGTGCCTATTTTTCCAAGATGCCCCTTCACCTGGCCCCGGGACTTGACATTTCCGTTAATGGCTACCTTATCCTTCACAGGCAGGCGATTCAGCGCAGCTGTTACCTGTGGATGAACGGCAACGAAAAGCAGATCGTCCAAGGCCAGGCCATCAAGACGGAAGAGGGCTCCATGCGTACTGTGGACAAGAATGAGATGAAGAAAGCATACAAATTTGGAAGCGGCGGCGATTATGTCTACTTCAAGCCCGATGAGCTAGAACAGATCAAGCAGTTCGAGGGGAAGTGCTTGCGCATCATCGGCTTCAAACCACGCTCGATGCTGCCCCCATGGGCTGCAGTCAAGAAATCTGCATACATATTTCCCACCGAGGCAGATGTTGTCGGCTCAACGAGGGTGTTCTCCGCGCTCTGGCAGAAGTTGCTCAACAGTGAGAAAATGGCCATCGCGTGGTACATTGCGCGAAAGAATGCTGTACCACAGGTCGTGGCCATCCTACCGTCTAGGAACCCGTCGGATGAGGATTCTGGAACACAATTTCTCCCGGCAGGACTCTGGTTGTACCCTCTCCCGTTCGTGGATGACATGCGGGACCTCACGGCTCTGAAGACCCAGCCGGTAGTCAGAGCGTCCAACGAGCTGGTCGACAAAATGAGAATCATTGTGGAAAACCTCCAGTTGCCGAAGGGCATGTACGACCCGTCGAAAAACCCAAACCCATCTCTGCAGTGGCACTACAAGGTGCTGCAGCATATAGCGCTCGACGAGACAGTGCAGCAAGAGGAGAAGCCTGACCTCACGGTACCCAAGTTCAAGCAGATCAACAAGCGAGTTGGACAGTACCAGGTCGAGTTTAAGGAGATGGTCAAGGCGGAAGCTGCTGCTGTCCAGAAGCAGTTAGCTATCAAGAGAGACGCGGAGGAGGAGGCGGATGAGGACGAACGGCCCAAGAAGAGGAGCAAGGCTGCGCCGAAGAAGGCTGCCGCTCCTTCTAGTGGCACAACACTTGCAGAGTTGAGGGCGGCGATTGACGACGACACGCTGCGGAAGAAGACCGTTGCTGAACTCAAGGCAATTTGTACGGAAAAGGACCTGGGTGGCGCAGTAGGCAGGAAGAAAGCAGATCTGCTGGAGCTGATTGAGGAGTGGGTTGAGGGACAAGCCTAGAGATGGGAAAGGACTTGGCTGTGGTTGACACTGGCCCTGTTGTCGCAGCATTTAATTGTCTGCCATACGATAGCTTCCACTTGCGGTAGTGCCGCCAATCTCATTGAGATGACGGCCTGTACGTATGACATTGCCTGTTGGCGTTCTACGATCTTTGAGGTGGTTCACTCTTCCGTGGAAGAGGACTTGCCCTCCTACCTACCTAGGTACCTACCTAGGTAGGTACCTAGGTAGGTAGGTAGGTACTGGCTTAAGTAGGCAGAAACGTAGCTAATCACGACGATTGGCATGTCGAGTGTAAATTATTTGACTGTTCGACTCAGAATACATTAATAAGGGATGATGCACATATTACCATCTGGGCCATGGCCGTGAGTGTCTTACTCCAAGGGCCTAGTACAGCCCTGCAAGACAACCTGAAGGGTGTCTGGATTCTATCTAGGGCAAGATTTTCAAACGCGGATCTCAGAGTCAGATGTTGGACTGAAAACCAGTGTTGAGACGCTCTTCCCCATGTAACCGATTGGGACAGCATGCACATACGTAGCAGAGTACAGATCGCCATGCTGTTTGAGTAAGTACTTGAGTACCTTGGGCACCTACCTGAGTACCTAGGTAACTAGGTGCCCAGGTACTTTTGCTAGTTGGGCTTCAGCGGATGTCTTGTCAGAACTGAGGGGGAAGTCTTTTATGTCACTTGGATGTTTCCAGGAGTTCGCAGTCATCTCCTTCATCTCCGTCATCAAAGATGACCGAAATTCTATCTTCATGGAAAGTGCCGGTACGGTAGATACTGCAACAAGGTTGTGTAAGTGATCAGGGTCCGAGGCGCGCCTACGCGCCTGCGGGGGTTTGCCTGGACTGACCCCGGCAGCCCTGCCCCGGCCGGTGCACTGCACCGTGGCGCGCTAGTCAACCAACCACTCAACTAGGTACCTAGGTACCTACCTAGGCAACTAGGTACAATTCTCCAGCCCTTCGCTGTCAAGTGACCTTCGCGCGCATGGAAACGCGGAACATTTCTCTCCTTCACCCAACCCTTCGACTTGCTCTCCAGCCGCTGCCACACGCCTTGCCCAACCTCACCCTGGCCTGCCGACCAGAGCGACGGTCTGCGCAAATATCGACTTCCGTCGGGCATTCGGCGAGGGCGCGAGACGAGGTCACCGATGGGACTACGAACTTGAGCCTCAATTTCCCCCGCAGTCGCAACCATGGACGCCTTCCTACTCGACGCGCCCGAGCCCGACCACGCCTGCGCCTCGGCTGAAGACCTCGCCCTGGAGCTTGCACAGCTCCGCAACGCAAAGGTCACAGACACAAAGGCCGAGCACATCACAGCAACGTTCGAATTCAACTCCACTGTTGTCTTCAATGTACAAGAATACGACAACGAAGTCGCCGAGTCTCAGTCTGCTGGAGGCACCCCAGGCGCCGCACCACCCGCGCCTATGCAAGATGGCGCTCCTTCCCCAGCAACACGCGAGATCCGAGCTATGGATACGTTACTGAACCAACCAACCGATGACCCAGCCTTGCAGAAGCTCGTCGCTAAGCACATCATCGCGTCCTTGGGCAGTGTGGACGGTAGCTCATGGACTGTTCGCTCCGTCTCCCGGAACTCGTCAGGGTGGACATTCACATATCTGTGCAAGCACTCGATGCAGGCATGGGTGCGCCAAAACTCAAAACACTCTGCCAAACTACGCTTGGCCGAGTCTAGTGGGAAGGACGGCCAGGATCCCACCAGCATGTGTAAGAGAAGGCTACAATATCCAAGACCTTGACTTCGTCGATGACCTGTTGGCTGACCATAGACACAGCACGGCCTGCGTTTGACTGTCGTGGCTCGGTCACAATAGCCTTTGTGAAGAGTCGTCGCGCGATCACTGTCAAGCTCGAGCATACGCCGCTGCACAAAACCGTGGCAGAGCTTGCGGAGCTCTTCAAGCCCCCGCCGCTCCTTCCTAGGACAGAGGCTGCCAAGCGGAAGAGTGGGGATCGCAAGAGGAAGACACAAGCCGACGGTGTCGAGGCCCCAGGTGGTGGGCCAAAGAAGAAGAGCAAGAAGACCGCAAACACTTCCGAGCAGGACGGCGGACACGCGCCCAAACCCAAGAAACCGCGGGCTTCAAAATCGAAGAAGGCTCAAAATGTTGCTGCACAGCCCCAAGCCGACAGCGCTCAGAATGGCGCGTTGCTCAATCTGTCACCGCTTGAGACAGCTCGTCGACAGGAAGAGGCGAGCAAAAAGCTCCGGGACAACGGCATAGACCCAGACACGCTCTCCGCAGAGCAATTCAATATCTTCGCCAACCAGTCTCCGGACCTTCAGTTGGAGTCTCTCGCCATGCTCGTCAAGTATGGCGCAGAACGGCTGAGGATCGTGCATCCCAGCAAAGACAACACACCCCAACCTTCAGGCCCCTCGAGTGGCGATAGTCCAAATGCCTCGAAGAAGAGGAGGAGAACGTTGCCGCGCGAGGGACCTTCTGAGGACCGGGCTACAAAGGTGAAGAAAACCAGGGGCAGTTGTCAAGCGTGCCGAGCAAAGAAGATCAAGGTGAGTAGGGAAGCGCCGAGGCCTAGGGCCCAAATCCTCCCGCCGTGCATCGATACTGACTCTCTCTAGTGCACAAAAGACAAGCCAGAGTGCCAGGAGTGCGTTGGGGCAGGCATTGCCTGTTACTACCCACCCCCCCAGACCCGCAAGTCAGCTGGTGCCAAGTCTGCGGAAGTGGCTGTAGACGATCCTGGATCACCTGAAGCCGCTCATATTCCGAATAACATACCAGACTCGATGCCAGGTTCGGAAGTATTGCCGGACACGGCACCTGATGAAGAAGCGTCTGATTTGGGCTCTCCAGGCTTTAATACTTCCCAGCCTCATGAAGTCATGCCGCACCAAACCGACACAACAACCTTCGCCGAGGCAGCTCACGACGTGGCGCAGGATTTATACCAGCCAGCCCCAGGCGGTCTCTCCTATCCTCAAGGCATGGGGATACCCGAGGACATGCCCAATACTGATTACTTCCAGTCAAGGGCCGCCACGAATGGGATTACTTATCCCCAGCCACCACATCAAGCATCTGATGTGGCATACGCTGATAGTGGTGCATCAGCACCACAACACCAGCCTCAAGACCCAGACCCAGTGCCTTTGCAGTCCGATCAAATCCCGTCGCAGCCTGACCGCCAAACGTTGTCACGCAATGGCACACGACGCAGCTTGCCATCCGGCTCTGGTCAACACCTTGCCGTCTACCCCAACCCTACAGATCCGGCCCCAGCCGCTTCATGGCAGTCGACCAACACACCGTCAAATACCGTTCAGGCGTATTCAGAATCTCCGGCGACCAGCCAAAGTGCTCCGACCAGCCAATATAGAAACAAACAATCTGTGGCACAAACTACCTACGACACTATCGCGCAGGATACGCTCCAGGCAGCGACGACACTGACTCAGGCCGCTCTCCAAAAGCGACCCCATGCATCGCCAACTGCAAGAACAACATCGCCGTTTGCGAACCCAACACAAGTGGCACAGGTTGCAAGGACAAAATCGAGACAGAGCCAGAGGGCCCAAAGCCGCCAAACCGCATCATCGTTCCAGCAGTCTGCCGCACCACAGCCTTCTCCGGTAGCTGCTGCGTCCTCTCTTTACAACCCACCTCCTACCACAACATCGGAAAGCGTGCCAGGTTATGATCAGTATTCTCGTTATGGTAATACGCCAACACAGGCAAACACGACAAGCTCGAGAATAGCGTACGAACCCTATTCGCAACAGGCTGGATCTAGTAGCTCCGCCACGTCGTACTCAGGTTACGGCACCTATGACTCTCGATCGAAGGCTCCGAGCACGACCCCTCTCTCAAACCCCGTGTCACAGAGCGCAACGCTATCGCACGGGAAGGCTGCTGCTCCCAGCTCGAAGAATTGGGCTGGCGGTAATGGAAGGCAAAGCAATTCTTACAGCTCAAACAGATCTCCAGTCTCGGCTCCAGCCTACAATGTACCGGTGTCTCCGAACCAGCAACAGTCCACGACCATGCAGTCGTTCAATGCACGCCCCCAGTCAACGGCTTCGGCGCAATCGAGGGCGAGCGGAAACACACCTGCCTCCTATCCTCAACAGTCTCGACAACAACGGCCACAACAATCACAGCATGCCTACAATTCTTATTCTTCTCAGCCTCATCCAGCTACCAACCAGCAGCAGCAGCAGGATTGGTACGGTTTCGGATCTACAGACAATGCGACGTCCAATTACGGGTCCGGGTATGGTCAGCACAGATCTATGAACCTCACTGGTAACACCTACTCGAGCATGAACGAGCAGGAGGCACTGTATGAAATGTTGCGGAATAATTCACGTCACTAAACACCTTTTTGGGCCCCTCTGCCCACACATTTTTCTGGTGGCTCTTGAGCTCATGCCTGAGTACATTGAGGCTCAGGGCAAACTTGTAGGTTAGAGGCAGGTCATGTTGGTTTTGCGAGACAATGAGGAAGCTTGAACAGATCAAGCATGTGTACATCGTGACAGGCCAACCTGTCAGTTCATGGTAATCAACTTTTTGATGGAGCCTCTCAAACTGAGGTCAAGTTCTACTATTAATACCCAAATATCATGTTGTCAGGGTGACCCATGTGGCTGGCCTAGGTTCCAGTGATCTTGCAGTGTTATAGCTGATCCAGTGGTTTGTAAGACCACCAATTTTGGTCCTCGTTGAGCAGTCTCTCGAGTCCCCTGGTATGACCGGCAGTGGTATGTGCCGTGCAAGTCCCTTCAGGTCAGCTCCGCAAGTCAGGCAGGCGCCCAGCCCCTTCGCCAAAGACCCAAAGAGCCAGATGCCGGTATTAACATGATCATCAAGGCGAGCCCATTGTTGTTCAAAAGATAGTAACACTGCGGCGGAGAGGCGGCGCTCAAGCCGAGTGAGCAGGCGATAGCCCAGCAAAAAAAGCACGCTCCACATTGTGCTCGCCTGAATGAGATGTCTTCGTCCGTCTACCTTGTCCCGGGATTCCTCCCTGTCCTACGTACTGCCTCAGGTTGACGCGCACGATGGCAACAGGGCGGTTCATCCCGATAGTTCCAAACCCTGGATTCAGTCTGCTCGAAACCCAAGGCCCTGCCGGCCTCCGCCCGGCCTCCGCGGCTCCTTCGTGTTGGTTCGATGGACAATCTAGGCCGGGTGAACAGATCGCGAGTGGTGAAACGCCGCGTCAGAGCTGCTGGGGACCTTCCACCGAGGTTTCTCCCGGGCAGGACAGTCGTGGGAAGGGACACATATATCCCCAACATCTGTTCGGCCCGTGTGTTTCTGGGACGGTGGCACACACACAAGGCTGCCGGGGCGGCGGCGGGTCGGCACATGAGGCCCCTGGCGGCCTAGCCAGCGAGCCGGGGTGCTTGTTACAAACAGCTTCCTGATAGCTGGTCGCGCTGGTGTCTCGGAGGAGGTTGGTTCGAGATGTGCTATAGAGTGATATAGGCTGACAACTCACCCAAGTCCCGGCAGTAGCGACCCGGCGCATGAACCTGGATAGCACGCCCACGTCCCGGTGGAAACAGATGGTAAACTCTCAAATTCACACGAATGGCTGTACGCTTCAGACTTGGAACAAGGAAGTTTCTCGGTATTAGCCACTGGCACGTTCTGACCAATGTTTCGTCCAAGGAGATCTCCCGGCCTGGAACCTTCCAAAAGAGCTCGTCAGGGCCGTCCAAAGGGGCACAGGCCAGATCATATGGCACTTATTGTATGTTCTGCATTTCCAGGGTTCACCGCAGCTTTGCTGAGCGGCCTGTGTTTTGGATTTTCCTCTTCCAACCAATATCCCGGAACGAGAGGAATTTACACTACGGACCGGATCCTCCCCCGGGGCCAAGGCCCCCGCCGCGCCCGCCGAGCCAAACCGGCTCGGTGGACAAGCCTGTCTAACTACCTCACTGTTCAGTTCCATTAGTTCGGGCCCGGGTGTGGCGGCACCTATTTAGCTCCGGAAACATTTGTGCCGTGCTGCATGATCTTCAGTCAAGGTTTCTGAGGCCTCATATGCCTTTTCTTTTGTCACTCTCTCTCTTGTCACGGCGTCCGAGCTTGGATTCCCCATGATGATGGTGGATGCTTGGACTATAGCCTCTCAGCCTTCTCCCTTCTGGCTCATCCAGGGGAAGGTCACCCCTGCCCAGCTGGAGCAGCAGCACCATTGACCGCGCCCGATAACTGTCGGAGGAGGCCAACCGCGACGACTTAGCGGTAGGAGAGAGCTTGCTTGCTTCCGCTGCTTGATTCCCTTGCTTCCATGACACGTTGAAGCTTTGCGTCGTCGCGGCCTCGCCGGGGTTGGCTCGCCTGTTGGGGTTTCTTTGTGTTTCTACTGGCGCCTTGCTAGGCTACGCTTGAGGCGAACTGTTGCTGGGCGGCTGCTTAGAGGTGGTGTGGACCCCCGCATTCTCGCAAAGGTCCCCTGCCATCTGGGAGGCTCACGTAGGGTCCAAGACTCCCAGGTGGGACTAACGGCTGTTGGTGTGTGTGTGTGTGTGTGTGGGAAGCTGCGAGTTGTGTGCTTGGTGCGTGTGGTTTTCGTATCGCCGAGTGGGCGGGAAAAAAGGCACTCTACTTTGCTGTGGTTTGACTGGTTGGGGTGGGCATTTGATCTACAGGCTCAGCGGATGGTCAGATGGTGTGGTCGTGGGCTTCGTACACGAGAGCGCTAATGCCGGGGAGATCTCTTGGGCCTGGCGAGGCGTGGGGATTGTCTCGCGGGAAACTCGTCTCCCTCGCTCTGTGGCAAGCTCAAGTGCTCTCCTCCAGCCTCCCTCTTTGCTACTTGGGATTCCTAGCACGACCGTTTAGTCCCAAACTTTGCTCAAGTGGTGACACCTTGATGCGCTGCATTATGCAGCCCGTCCCAAACCCAGCCCGATGCGGGCTGTCTGTTTTGTAAGTCTTGCTGTTGATGTTGGTTGTGGGACGCAAAGGGGTCGTCCTCGATCTTGGTCGCACAATGCTGCAGACGGCCAATGCCTCGCCGAACAGCGAGGCCGGTTGCGGTTGTTTATGAGGTGGCAAAGTGCAATTGTGTGGTTCGAGTACGTTTCAGCACTGCTGCTGTCCAACCTTAAGCCTCGAAAGCAAGGACCGAGAGGAGACGGTCTTGCAGGGAAGAGCTTCACACTCTGCAAGTGGTGTCCGGCACGGGCTCCCAAGCATCGACCGGTCAGAAAGAACGGGAGGCCAGCGGCGTGTCACATGTCATAATTGGGGTGCCTCCGAGGGCAGATTTCTTTTTTCCTTTCAGCGACGTTACCTTTGACGAACGGTACTTGGAGGAGACGGCTAGGATGACCTTGCCATGCTGGGGCCTGACCAAGCACGCCTGGCACCTCGGTCTGCGATATCAGGCCTTGCAGGCCCAATTGCTGTTGGAAAGTCCGGAAACATCTTGTAGCGCCAGCCTGCCAGTCTGATGCGAACCGGGAAGAGGTGACGTCTGGCGGCAGCAGGCGCGGCAAGGAGGCTCCTTGTGAAGGGCAGCTGGGTCCCCAGCCTCCACCTCCACCCCACGTTGTGGCCTATCTACCGCATGTAGTGTAGTGTAGTGTAGACTGGCTAGGTAGGCAGGTAGATAGTGCCTACGCGCGGTCCACACGCAAGACATGTAAGTTGGTTGGCTGCACGGCCTCGACGTGACCCAGACTTGACCAGCAAACCAGGCCGCAACCAGCCGTCTCCTCGGCCCTGCGGCTCTGCGACGCGCACGATCTCGTGGATAGAGGCACGAGAAGCAGCCTGTGAGCCCACCTGCCTCGGTGCTGAGCAAAGGGTCAGGGCCGAGCTCGTACGGCGGTACGGTGTACGGTCGGCCGCATTCAGCGCCCCGGGCCACTGGGGTGGACCTCTGCCAAATGATCAAGAGTGGCGAGTGGGCCGCACGGCAGTTGCGGCAAGCCCATGGTGCCATGTCGCCATGTCGCCATGTCGAACGCGCGTGCGACGTTCCCGGGCAGCAGACTCGGGCTCCCTGTGCACCACGAGCCCGCCAGTGCGGACAGTCCCGCCATCATGGAAAATCGAAGTCGGTGGAATTGTAGTGTGTGTGTGTGTGCGTGTCCACCAGGGACAAAAAAAAGTCAATTCAAGCCTCCGGAAGCTGGCAATTGGCTGGCCATGAAGCTGACCGCCCCGGTCTCATCACGGCAGCGAGTCATCAACACGAAGACAACCCCGGCCGGAGTCGCGCTTCGTCCCCCTTGTTTTGAGCAACCGAGAGATAAGAATACTGTACACTACAAGCCGGCGACGGTGACAAGGGGGACAGCCACACAAGACAACAACAGTTGTCCTGCGTCAGGCTGTGCGTGGGCAGGTGGTGTGCCCTGTGGTGATGGTGTCGTGCCGCGTCGTGCCGTATCGTGTTGTGTCATGTGGCTGTGTGGTTGTGTGGTGCCGTGTGTGTGCTCAGATTTACTACATAGTACCAGTCCAGACAGTACACACGCTCATCATCATGCCCAGGTGGGCATGTCAGCGCCCATGTCGCCGTGGCTCCCGAAATCAAACCCAGAGGGTCTCGTTCATTTCGCCGGATGTCTGCGGATAGTAGTAGATAGGGGAGCGCGACTATGTGCAAGACAGAGTTATACCGTGTACTGCCAGACTGCCAGGACTGCATAGTACATACTGCCATGTTGATAGGGAGGTAGCAGTGGGCTCCTGGGTGCTCTGGCGCTTGGCTCTAACCGGCGTGGTGGGTATGGTGGGCCGGGGCCTGTGGCACCCGGGTATTTGTGAGGCTATCTGGAGGCGACGCGACTCACATACGAAGGCGCCAATCTCACTCGCCCACGGGCAAGCCCACGGGCGAACCCACCAAGCCCACCTGCCCACCCGGCCAGCTCAGGCGGAGCCAGTTCGGCCCACCATGCTCGCCCGCCGGTGTAGTGACGACATGACGGGGGATGGGGGGGCGCTGGCGGGCAGGGATCCGTGGCAATCAAACGGCAGTGAGCAATCTCGACGGGCGGCGATCTGATCTGTGCGCCCGTCCCCTTCATTCCATGTCCCTGCCCGCCAGCTGCCCGCCCAGCCAGCCCAGCCCGCCTCTCTCATTACCGACGAGGCTCCGTAGCACATGCCGCTGCCGCTGCCATTACGGGCAAGACGGGGTAGCATCCGTCGACGCAATTTGCTCCAGAGGACCAATGGTACCGGGAGTAGGGGTTGCTGAGCCTCGACGACGTTACTGCGAAACCTGTATGGGGAAAACTAGAGGAAGACGGAGAGAAGCACCCACGCGCCATTGGCAGATATAGCAGGGGGAACAAGACAGAGAACCACCACAAGAAAGACACAACAGACAGCCCCCCACGTCCATGCCTTGCTGTCGTGCTTGCATCTTTCCAGGGTTCTTCACTCCCACCGAGCAGGGTGCGGCACGTCCAGCAGCTGGAAAGGAAAGAAGAAGAGAATAATGACAATAAAAATAAAAATAAAAAGGACTGAAGACTCAAGACAGCAGAAGGCAAAACGGTGGAGCCGATGGTGGGGGCTCGGGAAGGAGCGAGGTCCTTGGTGGTAATAATAAGAGGGCAGGCCTGGCCCCCTGCTCCTGTCCAGAGATATTATTACCTCAGTACCTACCTACCTGGGTACTTACTGTGTATAGTGTAGACTCACCAGCAGCAGCAGCAGCCGCCGCTCTCTGCCTTCCACGGCCAACACCAAGACCCTGGCACCCCTGCCCACTCCAGGTACGCGGCCAAGGCACTCAGGTGCCCAGGTGCCCAGGTACCCGCCCACCAGCACATGCGACCCTGCACCGAGCTGGTGGCTGTCGGAAGGTCGAACTGTCTCTGAAGGGTGATGCCGCGCTAGCCAACACCCACAAGCCAGTCGGGTCCCCGGCAGCATAAACAAACCTAGTTGATTGTGTGCAAGTGCTTTGGCTCATGATAAAAAGTTCGCGCCCCGTGTCGGCGAGGTACCGTACCTCGCAGCACACGGCACCGTAGCTCTGCTCAGTGCCCACCGCCCGCTGCCCACCTGCAGTGTTCAGTGCTTGCTGCTCCTTCGCCGCCGCTGCCAGATCTGCCTGCTTGCTGCTCCCTCTCCACAACATCGTCCGTCCATTTGGGTTTGGGTTTGGGTCTCCATTTCCCAATCCTGCAGCTGCACAGTCTTGTACCCAGGTACTGTGGTCACCTCAACCTCCGTGCCTCCATTCACCCTCTCCACTTCCAAGTCTCACCTGGGCATGCCTGTCTTGCCTTCCTGCCTTGTCTCTCGCTTCGCTTGGCTTTGCGCTGCTTCACACCACCACACCCTGGCAAGCCTGGCTCCCACTACCGAGCACTAGGGCAATCTCTTGTCGACTTTTCCTGATTCCATCCGTCCATTCCATCTCCGGCCTTTCCACCTTAATTCTTCCTCCTTCTCCTCCTCCTCCCCCTCCTCCCCTCCTACTCCTGTTACTACGCCTCCCGGCCATACCCACCCACCCCCTTCTTGCCCTCCTGTCATACACGCGGTGCTGTTGCTGCTGCTGTTGCTGCTGCCGCAACTCCTTCGCAGGGGGAGTATCCGTGGACCGAACTCGACGACGCCTTCCCGGCCCTTTGCCCACAGCGAACGGCCCCCGAGCTGCAGGCGTGCCACCGGGGCTTCTCTGCTTGTTGCCCTCTCCGACGATCCTGAGCTCCACGGGGACGCTGTAGGCCCTTCTCTCCGCCGCTGTTGCTCGGGGCTTGAGCATCGGATACGTGCCCTGCACTTTCTGTGCCCCGGCCCACGACCTTGTGCCGCCGCCTGTATTTTACACAAGCCACGCTGCTACCCTTGACTCGGATCAACGCTCCACCACCGTCCATCAATTTACTGGGAGGAGCCTCTTGGGGGATGGCCGCAACTGAGAATCATTCCACACGTCTTTGAACATATTTATGCTGCTGAATGGGCCTCAATTGATATCCGACCGTTGATCTGATCAACACCCCGTACCCAGAGGAAAGGTAAGTCGGTTTGCTTGCTGCTCCACCCCACCACTTCGACCGCCGCACATCGTCGACGCCTCTCACACCACGACACTCCGCTTGGGCCCATATCCTGACACAATCACATGATGCCTCGTGCTGACCCACTAATCAAGCAGGCTACTCGTTGGAAACGTCCATTGTTCGGCTTGCAAGCAGTCTTTCGCCGCCATGTACAGACACTCACGCTCCGGGGCCATACTCGCCTTGGCCACGGCACTTCTGGCGGTCGCCTCTGCAGACCCGACGTACCAGTTCGAATACTGTGCCTCCTCAAACACAGGGGACGGGTCTTCCGCTTCTTCGATATATCAGTCACAAGGCCTGTGCTACGGGACGTGTAAAGACGGGGGCTACGCTTTTGCCGTGTTGCAAAGCAGCGACTGTTGGTGCTCGAATCTTGTCCCCAGCTCCGACGACCAGACCTCGACAAGCAACTGGTGAGCGCACTCATGGGCACCATGAACCTCTGGAAGAAATCATGCTAACAAGTATATCAAGTCAATCGTCCTGCCCGGGTTATCCCTCTGACTATTGTGGGGGTGATGGCACATATGGCTACATTGCTCTGGGTCCCTCGCCGTCCGGCACAGCTGGAGGCAGCTCGAAGACCACCTTGACGACATCAAAAACCACATCTGTAAGTTGTCTCTCATGTTCCGGCGCGGAAAGCCGTCATCAGTGAAAACCCCTGGAGTCTGTTTCCTACGCCACATCCTTTTCTCTCTGGGGTAATCGGGTCGGATCTCGTCTGGTCTATAAAGTCGCTTAACGACTCTGGGATTCAGGCACTGGCGATGACAACCGCTACTGAGATGCACACGGAGACTGAGACTGAGACCGTCGTGCAGGCCTCAGTGACTACCACCTCCGACATATCTTTGCCTTCCACTTCGCTTACCAGTGTCAAGTCTTCCACAACTTCCACGTCTGCGTATACTACCGAACCCGAGACTACTGTATGGACTTTGTCATTTTCTTTTCTTCCTTTTTCCTTTTTTTTTTCAAATAGTTTCTTTTGGGGGGGGGGGTTGGCGGGACGCTCGCTTTGTCTACTAATGTTCTGACTTGGGATGAAATGTTGCACTTTCCTGAAATTGCTTAGCTTGCATAAGTGTCATGTCAACTAATGGCTAATCGGATGGCAGTCAACGACACCGAAAACGACTAGCGAGAAAACAACCGCAGGAACACCGACAACCATTACAGCAGTTCAGACGGTGACGAGCGAGGGCAGTGTCATCATTCAGACAGTCACGACGGTGTCAACGCCAGTGGCACAATCGGACAGCTCAGGCCTAGGCAAAGGAGCAGTCGCTGGCTTGACGGTTGGAATTATTGCCGCAGTAGCAGCCTTTATCGCCGGAGCTTTCATGTTCCGCCGTCACAAGAAAAAGATGCGTGAGGAGGAGCAGCCGATGACCGCTGCCTCTATGGCCCACCGCCGGGGCAGCTCTGCCGGCATTATGTCCAAGACGGGCACCATGTCCAGCGTGGGCTACGGCATGCCCATGGACGAGGAGAGCAGCTACATGTCCCAGAGCAGGAGACTAAGCATGAAGCCCCTGGATCCCCGGCTCGACCCAAAGGTCGGGTTATACCGTACTGCAAGTCACGACAGCTTCAACACGATTCGAGACGACCAGGATTATTCGCGAAGGGTACATCAGCCCCCGAGGGCATTCCGCGTCACGAATCCCGATCCCGAAGACGAATGATCAGGGCGAGATGTTTCGGTGATCTATTTCATCATCGGTCACCTTGTCTGGGCTGTTGCGACGTCTCACGACGCAAATGATTTTTTTTTGGCGGCCGACTAAATCGACTTCGAGTCCCATCACCGGCGTTGTGCATTTTGGAAATACCAAGGCGGCGTTTATTCACTTGGAAATGTTTGTGCGGGGCGCGCGGGTACACTGGATAAGGTTGTCACTGGGTTTGGCTGCGTCATAAAACGGGTTATTGCATGCAGTCTGCTCGTTCGGTCCTCCTGGGCAAGTCACGAACAGCAGCTGCCAATTTTACTACTTCTAGTGTCTACTATCTCCGGCCGAGGACTGAATTCGACAGTTTGGTCGGTCACTCTACGAGAACGAAAAGCCGAATGTGTGTACAGTAAATCGCGCTCAGATCGGACCGATACCACGACGAACAAGAGGTGCAACTTTCCAAGCGTCACGGCCGAGGGCTGGGACTGGTCAGAGAGGGCTTTAATTCGAAGGGATTGTATATAGGACCAAGCGTGAATCCAACCACACAAAAATACTGTGTTGTACGCAATCTGATTGTTGACTTGAATGAAGCTACATGAAATGAGGAATTCGAACATGTGTCTGAGCACCCTCGACGATCCCAGCATGGGCACAAACACTCCTAGGCGGGCTCTTGGAGGCTCTCATACACCAAAGAGGTAGCCAGGCTGGCTGGCAGCAGGTAGGTAGGAGACGCGCAATCGAACACGAAAGCAACCAGCCCCTGAACTAGTACGTCCAAGAAGGACGATCACAAGCATCCTTTCCGAGGAACAGCCTGCCACAAAACCCCCCGAGGAAGTGAACACGATATGCGTGGTGGTGGGGCAGCTGCGCGCTCAGGCGCAGACAGAAAATTGACGTTTGCGGAAACAGGCGATCCCAACCACGGGCGATTGGGCGCGAAGCGGGCTGCCAGGAAGCCCAGAGTCCTCGGCTTACGACCGGCCGGGCAGGGCTGGCAGGGTAGCACACGGGGCGTTGTTGATCCCACTTTCGCACAGTCGGGGATAAGCGCGCTATTGCGGGAAGCTTTTTGAACAAGGTAGGGACATTTTATTGCGGCACGCGCCATGAGATAGATCATGGGGGGCGGAGCCGTGGGTGGCGCCCGTCAGCCGCCAGGCCGAGCCCGAGCCGGGATGGAGCTTCAAGGCTGGGCCGCGTCCAAGGCTCTGTCTGGGTGTGTCGTTTTCTCTTTTTCTCACCATCTTCTCCTCTTGCTCGTTTGGGCAGAGGCTAGTTGTTTCTCGCCAGCTGCATATGTTGCGTCCAGGTTACCTACTGAAGTAGGTAGGATTGTTCCCTCGGCCCCTCAGGGACAGACGTCTGCCGGCGCCGAATAAAACTGCGGAAAAGCGACTCGTTTCAAATCGTTTTAGGGCGCCGCGTGTGGTTGGCATTCCTTGTGCAGATCTGCGCGATCGGCACCCGTGATTGGGTCGGGTCGTGTGCTTGTGCAGATGCAGTGCATATTGGGAGGGAGGGCGGTGTTGGGTGGCTTCACATGCAACAATAATAAGATGCTAGATCCCCCTCCTAGGGGGGACTACACAGTAGAAATACATAGCATGGGCATGGTGGCATTCCACGATCGAGATTCAAGATTGCCCTCCTTGTTGACCGTACACGCACTCGCTTACCTCAGGCTTGAGATCCGAGAGGTTGGGCTCTTTCTTGCATGCGGGTTTGTTCATGAGCGATCGAGTGAAGGATCAGCGTCTGGAGCCAGCCCTATCCAGAGCCGAGACAGCAATCTCCACCCCATTAGCAGACAATCTGACAAGTAGATGCCATCGTGACCATGTCTGTTCCAGCAAATACGCTCAAGGCCTAGTGTTGACTGACCTCAGCCCAGCCCGGTGCCATGGCGAAAGTTGCGTGGCGGTGATATGTCTATTTGTTGAACTGCAATTCGGTCCGACCTCTTGTGGCGCTACTGTCGTAACAAGCCTGGACAGGACGGCGCCGCCAGTCAAGCCTTGAAAGATATCATCAGCAATTGGTAAAGCTAGGCCTTCGCGTAAAACAGCTGTATAGTCTAGGAATCCCGGATAGAGTCCTGTGGAAAATGGTGCGCAACGCATACCCCATGCTTGTCTGCTCATGGTTGCCAGTCGGCCGACCTAGCTGCCTGGCCGGCGTTTTCACATTCAACTCATACCACCATTCACGGAGTCTCCAATCTAACAAGGTACCATAAGCTCCAAAGCACTCGGGCAGAGCGAAATCAGGTCCGCATTGTGCAGAAACCAAGTGACTGCGGAGTTCTCCCAAGTGCTGACAGCTGACACGTACTTTTAAGGACGAAAAAGGCATCCCTTGCTTCACTCCTGATCTGAGGCACTCGACTGTCCAATAACAGTGTGAGCGCCGTTCGAACCTTTGACATCACCATGTCTCACTCAGCTCTCATTTCAACTCACATTGCCGTGGCTAGCACTTCTGCCAGCTCACCTGCAAGTCTTGTAGTACATCGTCGTAGAAGGCAACTTTAGAGGAACAATGTTACTCTCTAGACGAGGAGGTCTTGATGGCAACCTCCATTTTCGAGCCAAATGACTTTTATGCATCTATACGCTTGTAACCAGCCCATGGAGATGTTCTTTATGTATATATGCCAGTGGTGAAGCATGAAATCCTGACGATCCCGTAATATCAACTACCATCAACCCGTCAACCAAGCGTTTCTTGCCAGGATGGCATCTACCAGCCTCTGGCCAGGAAAATCCCCCATGATGACTCCGGTCTTACCCTTCTGGCCATCCTCTAGACTCCTCTCAAGCAGCCGACCCGTCCGGTCATTCATGCCCTCAATCATGGACCCATTCACAGCCTCCAGCGGGCCCGCCGCAGCCTCGATGGGCGTGACCCCGACGCTCGCGCTAAGGTGGCTCAGGAACAGCACGTCGGAGCCCGGCGGGCTGGCACCGGCGGCCTCCAGGCCTTCCCGGATCGCCTCCCACTTGTCCTCGAGGTGCTCCAGATCCACTATGATCCACAGGTCCTCGAGTCTGATGCGCGGGGATGTCCACGGCACGCCGTAGGCGGTGCCGGGGGCGGTTGGGAACTCGTACAGGACGATGACCTTGCCTCGCAGCTGTGCCATCGTCGGCAGGAGTGGAGAGCCCTCCGGGGCCGACGGGCTCGGCCACGGGGTGAGCAGATGCTTGGTGCTGCCCGGCTCGGTGCGGGGATTCTTGAGACGGTAGTGGTTGAAGGCCTCCTCGAATGTTGTCTTGTCAGTGGCGTCGTCTGCATCCTCCTTCTCCTCTTCTCCGTCGTAAAAGACCCCCCCGGGCTTCCTGCGCACTGGGGGGCCTTCCTCTTTCAGTCTCATGATGATCCCCTCCGTTGGGTGCTGGGCAAGGAATTCAAAAAGCGTGAGCAGCACGTCCTCCAGCGTATAGCCGGTGTAGACCTGCGCGTGGAAGATGCCAATTTCTGTGGTCCCGGCCTTCCCTTCGGCAGCATCGTCGATTATCATGCGCCCCCTGATGTCGAAATACCGCAGGCCAGCCCTGAGCTGTGTTCTCAAGTCGTGGTTCTGGCATTGCATCTTGGTGTTGTTCACCAGATCAAAGGTTTCTGTGTCGTGCGTCCCAGGAATCGACAAGCTGGCCAAACTGGTCTGGTCTGGCACGCGGGCCATCCAGTCGGGATGTATCGACTTGTCCAAGTCAAATGAGAATGACGAGGTGTAGTTTTTGTACGATGGCATCTTCTCGGGTGAGGACCACACGAAGGGTCTCACAGCTGAGTTGGATAGTTGCAGGATCAAGTAAAAGCAAACGATGACGAGCACCGCCACGACGATGCTGTTCGTGCGGCTTCTCCTGGTCTGTGAGGCGAACATGATGAAGAATTGGGGCGGAGAGCTCTCCCTGTTTGTAGTGATGGGCAGTTATATCGGATGATTTGGATTGGGGACTCGGATACGGCGGGATTCAGCAAGCAGGATCTCGTCAGTCTCGGCGAGGTCGTTCCGTTCAGGCCGTAGGAGCAGCCATCGCTATGTTCCTTTCTCAGGGCCGCCAGTCTACACAAGTGCAGCTGGCTTTCCAGTTTGGAAGAAACCTGGAAACGTCCGACGGTGTTTTCTTCCACAACTAACAGAACAAGTGGTGATAGAACGGAGCAACCCTAGGAAGGTTGTATGTGTGTGCATGAGTGGAGGTGCTGCGCTCCAACTTTACCAAGTTCATTAGGGGTAGCTGAGCAGACGCACGGACCATCATTGACTGCAGTCAGGCAGCCCAAGCCAACAAGACTGCGGAGCAGATGAGATAATCAAGGGATCTATCCGTCTTGACTTGGACATAGACAGACACTCCGACCCTCAGTGGCGGCCTCGTACCCGATTGATTGAACAGCCAGGAATATTGGGAGATAAGTCTATTGCATATAATACTCACGAAACTTTGGGGGTGCATTGAAGGCACAGGTGACTTTCAAGGTGTGAACGTCAGAATATTGATATTAAAGGATGAAGTGGTATCATAACCCCATTGCTCCTGCGGTCTAACGAATCCAGGATAGCCACATCGGTTGGGGTAGAAACCGGGTATATCGCGAATCGAAACAAGGAGCCACGCGCCAGTCAAGATACGTAGCGCCTTTCTTTTTTTGAGTCGTTCATCTTCCGTCGTTCCAACTCCGTCCTGCCACCGTCCGGCACACCAGTTCCACCTCTTGCACAGCCCATCTTTCTCGAAGACAGAAATTAGGCCCGACACTAACGCCAGACAGGCATAATTAGTAGATAACTTTCTCCTCCCACACTGGGGGCCTGGCACCATCCTGATCCCACACAAGCTTGTTCTTGTCATCCAGCTCACAGCCCTCGTCTGTGATCGGGATCACCTTGCCCGTGTGCGCAACCTCCTGCGCTGAAACACCAGCCTGGTCACGAGGGATCCAGAGAAGCGGTGGCTGTGATGTGACAACATTCGGCAGGTACGCCTCGGCCTCCAGCTTCTCCGTCACCTTGAAGTCAACTTCGCGGTCGGGCAGGTATGAACGCAGTGTGAAGTAGTCGGCATAGACCCAGGGCTTGAGGAACTTGATGATGAAGTTGCCCTTCTTTGCCTGACCGCCCGGAGATTCCTGGTGCTGGTCAGCGAAGGAGTACATTTCAGCCAATGCATTTTGCGTCATGAAGCTACTCACTGTTGCATATCCCGTTCCGTTGGCCACGGCTTTCTCATCGCTGATCGTCGCCTCCAAGCCTGCGCGGCGTTGTTCTTCCTCGGCCATCAAACTCTGCGGGAGGTTGTACAAAAGCGGGTCCAGAGCATTGTTGAGGCTGAGATTGAAGAGAACAGTGAAGATAAGGAAGGCAACCATAAGTACCAAGGGCCCGACGGCCACCGAGGCACCGAAAAGACCGATCAGGCAGAGCTCACTCAAGTAGATGCCGGTGAATAGCTGCTTCAATGCTCGCGGGTAAATGAGGCCGCGAGTGTCGATCTGAGTGTCCGTGACGAACAGAACATTGTATCGCCAAGCGAAGTAGAACAAGGACATCCCGATGGTCGCCCATCCTAGCATAAGAGGCGCGATTGCTGCGTATGTGATCGCAATCACTGTGATGTTAGTGTATACGGGCAGGGTGCTTCCCCATGAAATTGCGCTCAGATTCGCCCACTTGTTGTAGAGGGCGCGAGGGGTGCCGGCAAGATATTTGTAGAGAAGGTTGAAGATGATGAAGCCAACAACTTGGGAAATGACGCCCGAGGCGATAGTGAGGCCTTGGACAATGAAGTAGGAGATGTAGAAGTTGGATGCCTTGGGGAGACTATTCGCCAGAATTGACGTGACTGCCGCCGGGTTGTTCTGGATCTGGTCTACCACTGCCGACGCAGATGAGGTGAGTGTAGTTATCAAAAAGACCTGGATGACCTGGAATGCGAAGTACGAATTTTGCGTGAAAAGCTCGATCCGAGAGTAGGAGGGTTCTCCCGACAGCTTCGCACAAAGCCTCATGATGACGGGGACCAGTGACATCAGGATCGCGAGTGCGACTGAAGGGAGAAGGCCACTGACCACACCCATAATGATGTCCGGGATCTTTTTGAGCCACGCCAACCAAGCCTGGTCCTCGAGGTATTGGATGTTGCTGATGGCACCGACGACGCCCACGGGAATAGCCCAGAAGATAATCAGTGCGGTGATGAAGGCAATGACAGCATACCGCCGGACAATTTTCTGCCACCAAGAAATGGACAAGGAGCTCCATACAACATCCTTCGGGGTGATACCGATGTAGGACGGGGCCATGGTGAGGCCTGTGTGGTGTGCCAGGACTTGATAGGCCGTCTCAGCTTCGGCCTGGCTCTTGAACTCGATGAATACGGCAGGAATCTTCTTGTTGCCGCCAGAAAGATACCTGGCCTGCGCAGCTTCTGTCTCGGGGACGAGCCTAGCAAGTTCTGAGCGGCACCAGTCAATGCTGTCCACCTTCTTGCCGATTAAACCCAAAGGGCCGGTGCGATGCGTGGGCCGCTTCTTTTGTGGGACCCATCTGCTCGCAACGCTCCCAGACTCGGCATCCAGGGGAGGGTGGTGGTTCTCCGCGGGTGCTCCCTTGGAGGTCTTGATCCGCTCCTTGTTGGCGAGCTTGATGAGCTTGACCTCGGCCTTCTCCAGCTTGTAAGCCACCTTGTCCCGTTCTTCGACCAGCTTTTCGACTTCTTTGATATCGTGGTTGATCCAGATGTGCTTGACCGAGTTGCCGAAGATTTTGCGCAAAGCCCTCTCCTCCAAATATTTGTCAGGAACCGAGGTGAACAAGACTGTTCTCGAGGACACCCTGTTGGAGTAGAAAGGGCTGATGAGGAAAGCCTGGCGCAGGTTGATGTAGTAGACACATTCCCGGAAGATCAGGTACATGACGAAACCGTAATAGACCCAGGCGACAAAAGCGTGCGCGTAGTAGCGGTTGCCCTGGGCGATCGGGTCGATGTTGGCGTAGGAGAGGATGTCGAGCTGCGCCTGGCCACCGCCCCCGGTGATATTGACGGGGAAGAGGACAGGCCAGGTAATGCACACCCCCACGAAACAGATAATAACCGTCATCTGCCAGCGGCGTCAGTACAAAGCGCGGGCCCGGTGCTGTGCACTGGATGCGGTTGGGGCACGTACGCGGATAAATCGCAGATACAGGTAGGAGTCCAGGGACTGAGTCTGGAGAGCCAGACTGTCGGGTATCTTCCAGAAGCGGCCGATCCAATTCAGGTAGCCGCCTGGCAAGGCTGGCGTGCGCTCATTCTCGCGCAGGCTGCCGATATAAGAGCGAGGGGCATAAAAGCGCCTTTGGCTCCGGCGGAGAATGATGAAGATGAGAAAATAGACGCCAGCGGTGATTGCGACAGGTACCAAGGTGGAGACCATGCCAGAGAGAGACACCGGCCTCGTCTCCTTGAGAGCCTCGCCCTGGTTGCTCATGGTGGCAAGGCTGGTGACCTTATCGACAGCGTCGCCAATGTCCCTCACAGAGAGGCCGCGTTCTGCCATGGTGTTAGTCTTGAGATTGAAGCTCGTGATGGTGTGTTTGAACTGGCAAGAAGATGCATGCGTGATTACCTCGGCGGGGGGGGGCTGAAGAGCCTTGAATGCAGCAGGGCACAGAAGCTTTCTAGAGAGTCAAGGGCGGGCAGACAAGACGCCGCAGCAGACACGCGAGAGTGTGACAGGTTGGGTTGATGAGTGAGGCCGGGTGAGGGCCGGGTGAGGGCCGCGGAGAGAGGGCCGTTTTTTGTATCGGCCGTGTGTCAGAAGCCAGTCTTGTATTAGGAGTGATGACGGGAGGCCGTCGGATGAGCCAGGTGCAGGTGAAAAGGTCAAACGGAGGAGCTCGGGGCGGCCGCGCGAGGGTTTTTGACAGGCCTCAGCCCCAGGACAAGCTGCTAGCAAGCTATCACGATGTAGCAGGGCTTGGGAACCAGGCTCGAGAGATTCTGAGCAGTGGTGGCATGTGGGCGGGGCCGGGTGGGTGAAGGGGAGGGACAAGTCTCGTCCGAAGGGGACCGGAGCGGGAGGCCTTTGCAGCGAGTCCATGTCGCAATAAAAAGAATGGCACCTGGGCATGGGCTCTGGAATTCGAGTGGTTGGCCAATTGAAACTGGGACTGGCTATGACGACGTCGCGTCGTGCTCCGGGGCCTAGCAGAATGAGGCCAAGTCGTGGTTCCAGGTGCGCTGTGTTGATCCCTGCCGAGCTGGGTCAGAGAGAGAAACAGCCGTGTTTTGTTATCTATGCATGGCCCAGAGGTAGGTAGTACGGCGGTACGTACCTGGGTACGGCCAGCGCAAGGAAACAAGGGTAGCAAAAGCAGGGCAGAGGTCCAGAGGGCCTGGCAACCACGCAGCCGCCCGCATGTGCCTTCCCAGATTGATGGGCGACAACTTGAAGTTGATGAAATCGATCAGGATCTCGGCTCTGGGGCCCCTGGGCGGCACCTGGCGACCGTGCGACCGTGCGACCTTTGGTGGGTCTCCCTGCCAACTCCCAGGGTCTTCCTCGTCAGGCTTGCCTGGTCAAGTCCCCTTGGCTCGGCCGAGGGGCCAAGTACCTCTGGCCAAACACATGACACCATCGTGCAGGTTGCTGCACTTCACCGTCACCCAACTCACTGGTCAAGATGGGCCTGCGCTGGGCCAGGAATCACACGTGTGTTGCTGTGTAGTAGCAAGTATGTTCCTGTCGCTGCCAGTTGCCAGTTGCCAGTTGCCAGTTGCCCTCCAGGCTGTGCCAAGTCCTACATCGTGTTGCCCCTGCCAGACACCTGTCATTTTCGTCCTGATACTCGGTACTCGGTAAAGACCCAGGTATCTACGGTGTGCCTCTGTGGCACCTCTGTCGACGGCAGGATGGCAGGACTCATGAGAACAATATCACACAAGGGACAGTTGCGGGGCCCAACGTCCCGCTGCGAATACCACCGTCCCGACCGGAACGAGTCAATGACAGACAGGACGACACCATGACAGGATGACAGGCCCAACTTAGCAGCCGCTGCCGCTTCCGGTTGGGTGGGCATTTACACATCTCACCGCGGCCGAGAGCCCACCACACCACAAGAGACAGCCCCAGTGGACGCCAACGCCGTCAATGATGTATGCGGCGCACTGCATCCAAGCGCAAAACATTGAGCTCTGGTCACTACGGCTTCGTGGCTGGGAGGCGGCCTGGAATGGCAGTCTGGTCACTCCAGTCCACCCTCTTCCGAAACTTTGGTCCCGTCACGCAGCATTCTTGTAACATGAACCAATACCGCACTTGTGTTCTGGCTGCGGAATCAGGCACTGCAAATGGGCAGCCCGGCACCCGGCAGCCAGGCCCATCTCGCCGGCCACGAAACTCGTCAGCCCGCAGGCCGCTGGCGCTCTGGGCCTTGTTGGAAGAATTCTTCAGCTGCCGGACAACGCCGTCGGTCGGTCGCCGGTGGCTACAAGGCAGCTCAGCCACGACGGTCCAGGCCCCACCGAAAACTACCACCCTCTTGCTTTGGCTTCAGATGGAGCCTGGAACCAACTATTGGCAGTCCACCCCCTCCAATCTCAACCCGCTTGCCCGCATTCGACAGATGATTGCGAACTTGCTTCGTAGCAATCACAGGCTTTTTTGCAGACGGCTGCACCCGCGAGGCCTCGCAATGTTTGGTTTCAGCCGCTTCGCTGCATCTCATCAAGCCACATCCCCAAAGTCCATTCCTGAGGCGCCCCGTGGGATTGGCTATGAGCTGAATACAACAAGAAGCTGTGGGTAATTCCACCAGGCCCACATAAGAATCCCTGGGACACGTTCTGAACATCTCACCTTGTCCGTCTTCGGCTCATGCAGAGCCCTATAGCCTCCTCTAGTCCGTTCACATGGGACAGTGCAGTTCTTGCGCGATCGTCCGATCGCATCCTGCATGTTACCACACCCACATCCCACAAGCTTTTTGTGTATATGCTCATAGGCGGCGTGGGTCAGGGCTAACGTTCGGGAGAGGACCCTCCCTATGACAGGGATCTAGCATAGTTGGTCACGGATTTCATGCCCTTTCCCACCGCCCGAAGACAGTCAGGCCCATACTTCGTACAAATATATCAGTCAACATGCAAAATTCGCGCGGCGAAAGCCGACATTCCCCTCTTTCTTCTTCCAAACTTAAATTGCACAACTACTAGTACACGTACCAGATCAAGCTTCCAGATAACGTGCACCACCTCCCCGGGCAAGCAGATGTGGATGCACGGACTGGTTGGCTGGAAGTTTATTTTACGGCCAGCTACACTGGCCCACGAAATGGAGCATGGAATGGTTTCTGCAGGGAGATAGACTGACCCTGCCTGACTATGTGCATGCAATTCTTCGGCTCACGAGACCGCGAGAACTTTGTGCCTCATAGGCTTGTATCAACCTCGCAAACCGCGAACTATGCAGGGTGTAGTGGTGCCTCACCTCGCTTCAGATGGCGGTAACGACGCTTGTCTGGGTGATCTCGAAAGGTGTGCCTACGCGCGGAAATTGACACGGAGAATTGGGGTATCAGCACAACACGTATCCAATGTGTCACTCGAAGGCATCCCTATCAGTGGTCTTCCTTTGAGCATCTATCAAAATGTGCAATCTAGTCATTCACGAGCCTTGCACGTGGGAGATCGCATCTGACCACTCGTATTACACCATTCGGACCCACCATCGAAGTCATCGTGGACCCATCAATACTCAACTCAGCATGAACATGTGGACCGCCGTGATCCTCGGGGCAATGTAGGTACACCAACGACAGACAAGGCTGTGGGCACTGTGACGCATTATTGCCATTTGTAAACACCCGCACATCGCGGTTGAAAACGACCGCCAACCAGCCACAAGTTGTGTTTCTCAGCCAGCGTGCTCATGAAAACCACTACATCATCCCCTGTGAGTCCGGACGTGGATGCTCTGAGGACTATTCGACCTACCGCATGGCCCCTCGCCGGAGATGTGCTTGTAATAAGACACTGATCGAGTACCGTCGGTTCCAGCAGATTCTCAGGTCCGGGTCCGGTCGATAGAAAGAACGCAATTGTCCTGAAGGCAGAGTCGGGCGTTCATGCCTTTGTCAAGGAAGTACAGGCGGTACCCGTTCCGGAGGTGGAATGGGTAAGCTGACAATGAAAACGGAGGGCCTGGCAACCAACCGTGTGAGGGATTCCGAGACAAAAGAGAGTAGACCTCAGTTGCGGCCCTGCTTTTCTTTTCGAGGTGCACTGAGCATCTGATCTGTGATCTGTGAGGCCCTCGCTGGTCTCTCTGTCTGTCAGTCTCTAAGAAAGCCCCTGCAACTGCGGACATATTCCCTTCTTCAGATTCTTCACAACAAAGTCTGTTCGCCCAAGAGCACCCTCACCATGGCGGACGACAACCCACCCGCTCAGCAGGACCCACTCGCCGACCAGCCAGGCCATTACCCTGCCAATGATTATGCAATTGCATATGAGTCAGAATGGTCCCGGATTCACGGCGACGATCCGACCCTCGGGCACCTGAGTTGCAACTACTTGGGCACAAAGGGTTGCCCGCCGACCCTCCTAGCGCTGAAGCAGCACGCACAATCCCTCGCCATCCTCATCGCTCGCCTGAGCCCCAGTGTGAGGACCGGCGTAGTGGATGGGAATCCTATATTTGACAACAGGCAGGTTGACGGGGGCCAGATCCGGCACAACGTCGACGGGCGCCTGGAGCTGAACGACGCTTTCGACTGGCTTGCAGACCTGAGCACGCCGTACGTCAACGACGACGCCAACCACCACAAGCCGCTCAACATCTTGTGCAACGAGGTCAAGTCTCAACACGAGGTGACCGGCCCCGAATTCCAGTGCCCGCTCACCCAGGTCGACCCGAGGGAGATCAAGGAGGACAGAGGCCACCCGTACAAGGAGAACGTCTCCCTGATGCCGTACGCCAGCCACCACCTGCTGGCCATGCACGCAAACGCGTGCCTGGAGCAGCTGGACCACGAGTTCAGCGACCAAGGTGGGATCCTCAGCCTCATCCCCGAGGAGGGCAGGGGGGCCAACTCGGCGGAGCTCACGGCGGCGCAGAACTCGCTGCTGGGCCAGCTGCTGCTGTACGTGCAGAGCCTGGCGCTGCGCAACCACGAGATGGACATGACCAACGCGAAGCTGACGGACGCGCTGGCGGGCGAGGCGGTGGTGCCGCTGCAGCACCTGTCGGTGCTCGGGCCGGACGGGCGTTCCGGGAGGGAGATTGCGTTCCCGCAGGACCGGTGGGTGCTGGTCAACGCGGGCGACGACGTGTTTGGGCACCTGCACGACACGTTGGACCGCGAGGAGGCGGCGCTGGCGGTGCGGGAGCACGAGTGGGCGCAGGACAAGGGGCTGGGCGGGGACAGCTGCTGGCAGCCGGACCGGGATCGCGACCGGCTCGCACGCGGGGTGGTGGCGGTGGACATGAAGTCACGGTTCTACCGGCTCCACGGGCAGGGCCGCAGCACCATCTTTGTGCTGCCGGCCTTCGCATCGCAGCCCGGCACCGAGTGGAGCGAGAGGATGGACCGGTACAGCAGGCCCACGGTGGTCGGCACGGTGGCACCCAGGACGGTGCAGCGGGCGAGCGAGTACCAGAAGAGGTGGACGCAACAGAACAATGCCGCGCAGCGTGCGCAGGCCGCAGCCGCCCAGCTCCAGGACCAGAGCGCCAGAGACCAGGCTACCATCGACTATCTGAGGGCCGAGGCGGTGAGGCAGGACGCGCTGCTGAGGGCCGCCCAAGCTGCCAACCAGGCTCAGGCTCAAGCTGCCGACCCTGCCCAAGCTGCCAACCAGGCCCAAGGTGTGCGCATCCAGGCAGACAACAACGGCGACGACGACGTGATGGATGGGTAACTTGGCCCGGAGTGTCTTTGTTTTTTCCTTTTTCGCTTTTCGCGTAGAGGCAGTGTGCTTGTGTGAGGGTGTGAGTTGGTCTTCTGGGGGATACTTGTGTACACTTATACTAGATATCATCATCGAGTTGAGCACGACTTTGATACGGCCGTCTCTCTGATCCGTCAGCATGTGAAATGGAAGGGGTCGCGCGTTGGATTGGCCAATGAACGCGTGGGCCCTCGCCGTCGCCGTGCCAACGCCGCGCCTAGCACCGTATCAACACGGTGGGCGTGCTACAAGGTACCTAAGTACCTGGTTGTTGAAATGCGGGATGCACTTCTCCAGCCACCGATTACGCCAACTACAACCACCATTGGCCGGTGGGTCGGGCCCAGCCCGCTCTCCCGCAACCCGGTCCCTCCCCATCATGTGCCATCAAACCTGTTGACTTCCGACGATGACAATGGGCCGGCCAGATGAAATTGGAAACTTACCAGCCCCTCGGACCTCGACCCCTCCCCTCCTTGTGTGTCTTGCAAGACCAGTCGTAAAACCAGCAATATCTCCCACCCAACCCCAGTCCACCCGATCCATGCCCTGCCCGGTTCGTTCGTGTCTTCCTGTTGCTTCTCATTGCTAGCCCCCCTCCCGTGAGAGTTGTCCCCAATGCCGGCTCATCGTTATTTCTGAACACCACTGCTGAGTTGGGCCGAGCCGGTTGGGCCTTGCCCTGTCATCCTGTCCTGTCCTGCTGTGCTGCTTGATATTGGGAGGCTGGGTGGCCCCATATCCACACTGCGGGTCTGCCTCTCACAGAGACGGACAATGAATTGATTTGATCAACACGAGATCTGCACGCTGCGAGTGGCACTCCCCCCGGCGACCACAAAGCACGCACCACATACACCATGCCGGGTCCTCAAGCCGGCCCCGTGTCTGCTTGCACGGCGTCGTCACTTGCTACCCGAGCCCAACAGCGTGAATGCGGTCCGCCGCGGCCGCATTCCACCCCCAGGACCTTCATGCTCACGGTTGGCCTGTTGCTGGTCATGATGCACGCCGCCCGGGTCTCCGCCTCAGAGACAACCCTCCTCCCGTACATTCCAACTAATATCCTCGTCCCCGGGTCCACATCCGGGGTCGCATACGGCCGGGAGACTGGCAACGCCAACAGCACGGCTTATATCTTCACCCCCAACGCTGACGGGTCAGTCGACCTCCTCGCTGTGGACATATCATCCTCCCTTGCTGCTTCATCCGTCAGCGGCAGCGCCGAGACCTTGACACCAGGACTGCCCTTTCTCTCATCGAGCACCAACACCACCACGTTCACGCCCACCCTCACATCAGACGGGTCCATCCTTGCCTACGCTGGCGATTGCAGTTCGGCCACTGGATCGTCGGTATGGGTCTACAATGCTACCACATCCCACCAGGCTTCGTGGGTGGAGCACTCCATCATCAACAACGGCGCTGCCGCCGGGCCTTACTTCCTCGGAGGTGGTTTCTCCTTCTCACAAACGATATCGCCCAGCCTGTCACAGCCTCTGGTATATGTATATGGCGGCCAATGCCCCAATGAGACCCTCGGCGACCAATGGACATCAGCTGCCACCTACTCTAACTCCATGGTCCGCCTGACGGCCTCCCCCAGCCCCTCTTCTGCGCCAGCCTACACCGCGAGCCAGCTGTCCCTCAAGTCCCAGCCCATCGCCGAAGCAGGCTTCAGCCTGACCTCCCTCCCGCCGGCGACGTCAAACATCTCCGGCATCGTCACGCAGAGCATCAACAGCGTAGTCCTGGGCGGCCACACCCAGACCGCCTTCGTGAACATGTCGACCGCTGCGGTGTGGAGCCTGCCGGAGGAGACCTGGAGCTTCGTCGCCATCTCCGGGCCGTCGAGCTCCTCCTCAGGCGAGACTGCGGAGCTCGCCAAGAACGACGGGGCTGTCACCGAGGTGCAGCCTCGGTCGGGCCATACTGCCGTGCTCAACGAGGCCGGGTCCGCTCTCGTCGTTCTTGGCGGGTGGGTGGGGGACACGAGCCAGGCCGCGCAGCCGCAACTGGCTGTCCTGCAGATGAGCGGTAGTGAGTTTGGGGAGTGGACGTGGTCTGTGCCTAATGAACAGCCACTGGCTGACGGGCAAGGTATTTATGGCCACGGCGCTGCCTTGTTGCCTGGTAATGTGATGATGGTATCTGGTGGTTATGCCATCTCATCCGGCTCATCGGGCTCAGGGCTGGGCAAGCGGGACTCCATCGGGGTGGCGGGTGGACAACTTCAGATGTTCTTAAACATGACAAGCCTTACCTGGAGCGATTCGTACACGAACCCGATCTCTGCGTCGGCGCCCTCAGCAGGCGGGACCGCACCGCCGACCTCGCCGTACAAATTGGGTCTCGGTTTGGGACTGGGACTCGGTGTTCCCGTCCTGCTACTCGTGTTGGCTGTGTGCTTCTTCTGTTGGAGACGAAGGCAGCGCCTTCGCCACCAGGCGCGAGATGAGCACATCCGGAATCTGACCACCGGCACGGCCTTCATCACCTCTGATGAGATGCTCGAACGTGAGAATGTGTATCCTTGGGGCCCGCGAACTGCAGCTCGGTGGTACACGGGCGGGCATGACCCATATCTGCGTGACCAAGGGAATGCATTTGGGTACGAGAACTTGCGGGCCCCTGAAGGGCCACGGTCAGCTTCCGATGACCCGATTGCCGTCGAGTCCCTGGGGGCCTACAGGAGAGACATCAGGCGCAGGCCAGTACCGAGGGTTGCAAGAGGTCTTTATCAGCCCACTGGCGTTACCGGAGATGATGTTATGAGCCCAGGTGGCATCCACCCAATCTTGGAGGATGAGGAAGACGAGATAGCTGCGGCCGATGCCATCGCCCCGGATCGGGATGAGGAGAACGATGACGACCCTTTCACCACACCCGTCCCTTCCACACCAACAAAGGCGGGTCCCAGCTTGGCCAGTCCTATTGTACTTGTGGCGCCCGGCAACAGGACGGCGGGCTCAGGGCCAGCCAGCCCGACGGAGAGCACACCCCGGCCACGGCCTCAGCACCCCGAAGTGCAGGATTGGATCAGCGACATTGACGCATCTGACGCCCTGATCACAGCCCGTATTCAGCCTCACAGCACCACGTTCCGCAACTCGGGCAAGATTTCTCCAACCAGACGGCCGTCGGTACGCCTGTCGGAGGATGAGACTGCAGGCGGTGCTCGGACAGACAGCAACTTGTCCGAATCAAACCGCAGCACCTTCAGCTTCATAGTGAACCGGTCCGACTCCCTGCGTGTGGCAGGTGCCGGCGCTGGATCTGGGGCGCTGGCTGTCAGCAAATCTCGGGGCGAGCAGGAGAGGACGGGCACCTCGCACTCCGACAAGAGCGGCAGTAGCAACAGCAACACCACTCAAGAAAGCTTCACGACGGCCAAGTCAATCACGGCCCTCCAGTCCGAGGGGCCTGGACTACTTCTGGGCCGGCCGCGGCCGATCTCAGACATTGAAGACCTCGGCCACATGTCAGATGACGACCCCCTCGCCCCGGGGAGCCCAAGCAAGAGCAAGCCGCCGCGTAGGAGCTGGTTTGGGAGCCTCAAGCGGGTGTTCAGTGCAGGCGCTGGCAGCGGGAGTTCGAATGGAAGTTCGAGTCGGACAGGTAGCCCGACCCACGGGCGGAGCAGCGACTACGACGTGCTAGGCTTGGGAAACCTCGGGCTGGGTGGCGTTGGGCTGCTACAAAAGCGGAGGCAGGGAAGGTCAGCATGGGACGAGGCTGGAGCGTCTGCGAGCGGGGGTGGCCAGCGCACTGGCGAGAGCTGGGAGGAAGACGACTGGGACATCGAGAAAGCGGTGGAGCAGAGGCTGGTGCAGGTGATGTTCAGCGTCCCGAAGGACAGGTTGCGTGTCGTTAACGCCGACAACGCGGATCTTGTGTCCTTGGAGGAGTCGGTGATCCTGGTAGATCCGGCAAAGGATGACCCTATGACACCGGAGACTGCCGCAGCTGGCAGGGATGAGGAAAAGGTGACAACACAGGATGACGGTCATGAGGAAGCCGCAGAAGATGTCTCGAGCGTGGCCAGCCAGACCGAGGAGACCAGCAGGGCAAGGCGCGAGAAGATCCAGCAGGGAAAGCAGCCAGAACGACCGCCTTTATCACTCAAAGTACCTCAACCACCAGGGAGCGAAACCTCAGAGGACTCCAGGCGGAGAAGCATATCTCCAGTCTTGAGGACGGCGGAGACAGTGCGCATCGAGAGGCCCCGGACGCGTGTGCTTGACATGGTGGAGAGCTTCGAAAGCAGAAGTAAAAGCTCAAGTCCTGAGAGGAGGTCTACCCCTGATAAGAGGTATTAAGGCATGTACGATGGGGGTCCAGGATGCGACGTGGCTGTTCCATTTCCTGTTGAGTTATCATTATGGAGCGAAGGTATATATTTGTATTCAAGAGCCGCAACAAAGGTGACGAGGAAGAGGCAGGATTAGCCCTCAGGGGCGAGGCAAGGATACTGGAGGGAGGGCTGGTTTCGCAGCAACAAATAGCGAAGGAGTTGGAGTCTAGGCAAGCATTTCAGACAGGAACGGTCGTTTAGGTTGGAGCACGGCATCACACCGGCTTCGAGGGCCATGGATTTTGATTCGAACTGACGAGGACGAAGGCATCGTGCTGAAACATAACCCATTAAACGCACATTGACAAGCGATTTGTCTGACCAAGTCGACAGCAACGCCTAACAGTGATGTATCTACTCCAATCTTTGAGTTGATATACTAAGTGTGACCACACAGATGGCGTGGTTTGCTGGCGTGACGGTTGCCTTGCGGCAGCCCGTCTCGATGGAAAACGCCAGCTTACCTTGGAACCTCACCCCGCCCAAAGTCAACCCGAACCCCCTGCGCCTGGGGCTTCTCCCTAGCAACATTGACTTGCGGTTAGGTTCCGTTTCTACCTGCAACCGACCTCCCTGATCGCGAATCGACGCAGCCGTTCATTCATTGCTTGGAAGAAGCTCACGCGCATAAACCTAGACATTCTCATCGATCCACAGCTCTCAGCCACCATGGATAACTTCAAGAACCTCAACTTGGGGCAGACCTTCAGGTAAGCCAGCATCCTGGGCCTCGCGCTGCCCTTGCGGTAGGAGCTCTGACAGCTGACGACGACCTCCTCGACAGCGGGTTTGGGAGTACCGTTGGCTCCTTGGGGTCGCAGTTCACCCCATTTGCCTCCCGTACCTTCCAGTCGACCAAGGAGATGCTGGGTCAGACAGAAGATAAGGTTGGTGGAGCTGACAGCATTACCGTCCTTGATTCACATGCTGACGATCACCCACGTGGTAGACCCAGCTCCCGCCCGACTACATCGACCTCGAGAAGCGTGTCGACGCCCTGAAGCAGGTCCACCAGAAGATGCTGGCTGTGACGTGAGTGCAGTAGATCTCGGGCTCTGGGCCTGCAGCCACCTGCTCGGTGTCGTGCTGACAACCATCCCTTATCAGCAACCAGTACTCGAAGGAGGCCTACGACTACCCCGCCAACATCAGCGAGACCTTCAACGATCTTGGCCGCACCGTCAGCGAAAAGGTCTCCCTCCTATCTTCGGCCTCGTCACCCGCCGAGGCCCAGGCCGCCCTGACCGCCCCCCCTTCCGCGAAGCCTCAGCCCAAGACGTTTGCCCACGCCATTGCCCGCGCCTCCCTGGCTAGCAGCCAGCTCTTGCATCAGCAGCACACTGGGACTGGCGATGACCCACTTGCAGCCGCCCTCGAGAAGTTTGCCCTGGCCGAGGAGCGAGTCGGCGAGGCCAGACTTGCCCAGGATGCCCAGATCCAAAGCCGGTTCCTGGCGGGATGGAACACCACCCTGAACACCAACATCATGTTCGCGACGCGGGCGCGCAAGGGCGTCGAGAAGTCGCGTCTGACTCTGGATGCAGCCAAGGCCAAGGCCAAGGGAAACACATGGAAGATCCCCGTGCCGGCCGTCGCTGCCGCCCAAAGTCCCAGGGCTGACTCCCACGAGGAAGCCGAGATCAGCCCCGAGGCTCAGGAGGAGATCGAGAAGGCCGAGGACGAGTTTGTTACACAGACCGAGGAGGCTGTCGGTGTGATGAAGAACGTAAGTCGCATTGGAGCGCGCAACACGTATAGTCGGTCCGCATGGCTGATCATGATCGCAGGTCCTCGACACACCTGAGCCGCTCCGCAACCTTGCTGAGCTCATTGCCGCACAGATGGAGTACCACAAGAAGGCGTACGAGATCCTCAGCGAGCTTGCACCCACCATCGAAGGATTGCAGGTCGAGCAGGAGGCAAGTCGCGCCTCGGGTTATACGCTTCCCTGAAGCAGCTACTAACTTGCGCTGGACGTGATTAGGCTAGCTACCGCAAGAGCCGTGAAAGCACATCCTAGAGATATTCAATGGGCTATTCTATGTGCGATGCTAGGCCTGCAAAGGGCTGTGTGCGCCGGGGCAGACTGTGCGGCGCCCAAGTGGAGTCGCTTCGCGTTGACGAGGCTGTGTGTTCATGTAGAGAGTTTCTGAAATTGGCAGATATGGGGCAGGGCACCTGGGTGCGATCGGTGATTTCTCCGTGGTGGAAGGCTTTTCTCAAGGGACTTGTCTGGTAGATGGGCAGGGCTATTTCTGAGCAAGGTCTCAGTGTTTCCTCCATTCAGAGGGGTTCCTCGGGGTTTCAGGCCCCTTGCGCTCTTCAATTATTCTCCCCTGTGTTGTTCGCGACCCAGTTGGTAGCATTTCTGCTGGAATACGACCTTTTGTTCCTGAGCCTCGCCGGGGGGAGGTTTAAGGGAAGCTTCTCTGCTGCATAGGTACTAAGTACCTAGGCAAGCTAGGTACCTAGGTACGCATGTGAGACTCAGGCTCGGTGGCCCGTGCGTTGATCTTAGCTGGAGCTCGAGTGACGCTGCTACCTGGACTGGCTGCAACTGCTGCAACCGCTGCAACCGATCTCTACTATCATAATAAATCGCATCTTCGCAACCTTTTCGCCCTTCTCGATGTGGTAGCAACCAAATTCCCCTTACTAAACCATAATACCACCAATATGGTCAGCTGCCCCTGCTTCGTCTTCTCGGATGCGCGTTTGCTGACTTGCAAGTCTTTCGCAGCTACCCCTCGGCCTTCTTAACGCCGCCCAGGGCCACCCTATGCTCGTCGAGCTGAAGAACGGCGAGACCCTCAACGGCCACCTTGTCAACTGCGACACGTGGATGAACCTGACGCTGAAGGAGGTGGTCCAAACAAGCCCTGTAGGTCCCTTGCTGCAGCGCCAAACCCCATCTCGTACCAGATTGGTTGGGTGGAAAGGCTGACCCAGGGACTCCTGGCTCCAGGAAGGCGACAGATTCACAAGATTACCGGAAGCATACGTGAAGGGAAACAACGTACGTACTGACATGCGTTTGCGCTCCTCAATGAGCCGACAAGCAACTAACAATAGCCAACCCCGGCGCAGATCAAATACCTACGCGTACCCGACGAGATCATCGACATTGTGAAGGAGCAACAAGCAAACCACCAGGGTGGATTCCGGGGCGGACGGGGCGGCCAGAACCGCGGCGACCACGGCGGAAGGGGCGGAGATCGGGGCGGCCGTGGGAGAGGCCAGGGTCGCGGGCGCGGAAGGGGAAGAGGATAGAGGCAGCACCATGGTGTGAGACGTTCAAGAATGACACACACACAATGATACCCACTCCCACCGGAGACATTCCTCGCACGCTTTTGAGCGATGAGGCCCGGTCAATGTTATTACAGGGCACCTGCGCGACCGGTGCAGGCGGTCGAGGTAGAGACAGCGCCGGTTACTCAACCAGAGGGCAGTGCAGTCCAGCCCAAGCAAACACCGGCACGGCCAGGGAAGCGGCGAGTGCGCTCGGGAGACGAGTTTGAATGTGCAACTGCAGTACCCAAGCACTCCACAAGGCAATATAGTGAATCGATTACCGCGCGGTCTCGGGCATGAGAATGATGATCTCCTGGACATTCAGACTTGGCACGTGATAGTCTTCAGAAGCTCTTATCAGCGATAGCTACCCCCAGTTTGGAGCTTCGTCCTTCGCATCGCAGCGCATACAGAATTTTGGCACATCTCCCGCACCCGTCGCGACAAGGCAATGTCTTGCGCGCGCATCACTATTGATGGGCTATGGCGCTGCCTCTGTCCCTCCATTGATGCCACTGTGACCAAGTACATTACCACCGCACACCGCCGTCCTCGCCCACTCCAAGTCGCCTCCTCGCCGCGATGCCTTCACACCACCGGTCGCCTTCATGAGAGCGGCGCGAAGTCCAAGGAGGACCCTTTTGCCTTGCTTTCCGATGCAGTCGACGAAAAGAAGACCCACAAGCGCCAGATTGCTCCTGACTGGCTTGCGCAGGAGGCCCCGAAGGAGCAGTCTCTGGAAAGAGCAAGTACGAGTCCAACAGACGAGAGCCAGCTCCATACGGACAATACATCCGAGGGCAACGATGCAACACTCGAAAGCAAGCCTGCGGTGCATCTCACCAATCCTGGGATCTTCAAACATGCCTCGGACGGTCAGGGCGGTCCGGACGACATGGTCCAGCGGCTGTTCTCGGGCAAGCGGCTCGCCGAAGACCTCCCGCGCGCGACTACCGAGCAGATTTACCAAACCCTGCGAAGGTTGAGAACCTTGGGGCAGCCAAAGTACAGGCGGACCACGGCAGCGCTTGTCAGACATCTGCTTGCGTCTGGGGAGGCGCCGGACACCTTCCTTTACGAGACTTTCCTCATGGCACATGCCGCCACAGATGGGTCTGCCGACGTCGTGAATGGGCTTCTTCGGGAGATGAAGCACAGGAAGTTGCCCTGGTCGTCTACGGCATACCACGCCGCCCTGCAGGTATGGACCCCCCCCCCCCAAACCCGAGGCAGCTCGTCTGACCTGCTAAACCGGTACCTCGTGTTCTAGGCCTTGGCGATACACCCTGATTACCTTCTCCGCAACACTATTATCAAGGAGATGAAAGAAAGATGGTTAGAGATAAGCCCCGAGGGCCACCAGCACATTGCCATTGGGCTACTTCGGGACGAGCAGTACGAGCTCGCCCTGGAGAAGCTCCATGAAATGTATGAGAAGGGCCTCAAGGTCGAGGGCTGGGTATTCGACATCTTCATTTATGTTTTCGGAAAGATGGAGTTCCTCGATGACGCCCTACGGATAGTTCGCCACAGGCTCGACAGAGGCCATGAGGTTCCGGTCAACATCTGGTACTTTTTGCTGGAAGTGTGCAGCAAAGGTCAGAACATTTCGGCAACGAGATACATATGGAACCGTGCTGTCCAGTCAGGTATCGTGAACCCCTCAGATGGCGTGGCACTGAGCGTTCTCAATATGGCTGCGGTCTACGGAGACACGGATCTTTGTACGCCGGTTATAGAGTATCTGGCATCACGGGGCACGAGGCTGAACCGTCACCACTACGAAGCCTTGGTTGACGCGTATGCCGCCCAGGAGAATGTCGAGAAAGCACTTGAGGTATACTGCATCATGCAGGCTGCTGGCGTTGAAGTCACCAACACGAGCACTGGCTCTCTCGCGTTCGCCTTGACCCGCAATTCCACTCTCATCGATCAGGCTATCCACGCCTTGTCCCGGCTTCGTGAGAAACACAGCGTGCCCATCACCGTCTTCAATTGTGTGCTCAATGAGATTGTCAAGGCCGACGCGGAACAGCCTGATGACTCGTTCGCCAAGGCTCTTGGTCTCTACCGACGTATTCGAGAGTTCGTTCCCGATGGGCCGAACTTGGATACTTTCAGAAACCTGCTGTGGAAGTGCACTAGGCCGGAGCTCGTGCAGTTCTTTTCAGGCGAGATGTACCACTTCAATATCAAGCCAAACTTGGTCATCACGAAGCACATGTACAGAATCAATGTCGAATTCAACGGGCCGAGCCACAGGGCCAAAGACTACTTCTTCAAAGTTGCTCCATACTTCAACGCCGGGAAGGACCTCTCAAAGGGGCAGCGAAAGACGGAAGTCATGGACCTGTCCGTCAAGCTTATCAAGAGGCTTGTCGGCGAACGGGACCCGGAGGCCTGGCGTATATTGGACATCTGCAAGGAAAACGGCCTAGAAGAGGAAACGATCAATGCTTTGCGTGCGGAGGTCGAGGCTGGGACCATCACAGGAGCCAGGGCTTCCTCCCGGGATGGATTGGCTGATCAAGATTCAGGCTCTAGCCAAAGGGTCGACGCACAACCGTTTGTTTGAGTTGAAAGTCGAGAAAGCATCGCATACGTTCGAGACTACCATAGAGAGCGGCCGGGACATGCTGCTGCGGGAGCAAGGACACCGGCGCAGCAGAAGGCTATCTTGCAACTTTGTAGACTCCGCATACGGCGAACTTGCTGCAAGGACGGGGCTGGGCTCTTGCTCGGTCGGCGCCTTGTTGCTGTGCGTCATGGGGCCTGGCCGAGAAGCCGTTCGAGTCCACTAATACAAGCAGAGTCCACTGTGAGGAGATATGTCTAAGTTCAATCGAACAGCAAAGTGCAGGAAGGTTTTTTCCTCAGATGTTCTCCTTTCCCGGCAAATTGACTCCTCATAGCGACAGGGCAATCAGGTCGGTCTAGTGTACAAACCATGTAGTCTTGGTAACTACGGAGTACAGGCGACGGCAACATCGGGACGCAAGCCGACGAGATTTGCGGGGAGTCCGCGGCGCTTCGAACCCGAATATGAGTTAACCCCCGCACCATGCTGTAAAGAGATCATCGTTTGCGTGACATTGGCGGAAGAAATCAGTACGACCTTGTTAGTCTCGCCTGGAATTATGAAAAGGTCCGAAGGCAACAAAGAGGGTTCAGTAGTAGGAAACCACATTATCGTGTCCCACCGGCGCGCACGTGCGGTGCAAGGGCAATAATGGTCACGTAAATACGCGTGTATATAGGATGCAGATGCCGCCACAATGACCCGGCTTCAATAGCTCCAGGCACACAGGCTGGTACGGGTCCGTTGATTTCAACAGCAAGACTTCAATGTATACTAGCATGAGATTCTTGGGCCTCGCCTGGCTGTCCGGCCTCGCCCTGGCGAGCCAAGGCCAGTCTCAGGAGGCGGTTTCGTCGAACAAAACCTTCCACAACCCGATTCTGCCGGGATGGAACTCGGACCCCAGTTGTACGTTCGTTAGCCAGTGGGACAGTTTCTTTTGCACTGTGTCTTCGTTCCTGGCGTTCCCTGGTGTCCCGGTCTATGCTAGCAGAGACTTGGTCAATTGGAAACTCGCAAGCAACGCCCTGACTCGACCCGAGCAACTGCCGGAGCTGTCTAGAAACTCGGGGCAAAATGAAGGCATAGTAAGCATCACTCTTCACCGTTTACAGATCGCCGTCTTCCATGTTTTGGAATGTTTTAGAATACAACAACACTTTAGGACCCGTAGCAGGACTAACTTCACCACTAGTGGGCGTCAACCATCCGGTATCATGAAGGGACCTTCTACCTGATCACATCTTACGTATCCTGGTACGCAGGGTGGGGACCCATAATCTTGTAAGTGCCACTCTTCACCTGTCACTGATCCCCGTCGTTCAAGTTTTGGAATGATTTGGAATACAGGACTAACGCGACCGGTAGGCTGTTCACCACGACAGACCCATATGACGATGCTTCCTGGACTGGACCTCTACGCGTTGTAAGCAGCTTCTAAGTACAGTGTTTACCCCCTTCAAGAACAGACATACCCTATCATTAGTCTATATAACAACCTCAAGGGCTATAGTCTTCATGACATTCTAGGCTACCGTGCGGCCTAAGTTACTGTTTGCTGTATTGACATGAAGCCAATACTTTATTTCTTTGATGGCTGACTCCAAACGTTGTAGCAAAATCCTGGAAATGACATTGACCCGGATATCTTCTGGGACAATGGGAAGGTCTGGATGTCCGTGGCAGCGGGAATATACGTCAGCGAGATCGATCTTGCGACCGGAGCCGCGACCGAGCCCTCCAGGATCTGGAACGGAACGGGTGATCGCAACCCAGAAGGACCTCACTTCTACCACAAAGACGACTACTACTACTTGCTGATCGGCGAGGGCGGGACAGAGACCAACCACTCAGTCACAATTGCTCGATCCGAGGTGTTTGAGGGCCCCTTTGTGGGAGCACCACATAATCCCATTCTCACGGCCAAAGACACCAACAATTACTTTCAAACTGTTGGACACGCAGACCTGTTCCAAGATGCCTCTGGTAACTGGTGGGGCGTTGCGCTGGCCACTAGATCCGGTCCAGAATGGGAGATTTATCCAATGGGCCGCGAGATGGTGTTGTTCGCGGTCGACTGGAAAGAAGGCGATTGGCCGGTCCTGGACCCCGTGTTCGGTACCATGGCTGGGCCTCTGCCGCCGACGAACAAACATGTTCCTGGGGACGGGCACTGGATAAATGATCCAGATGTCGTCGACTTTGCTCCAGGCTCGGACCTGCCCAGGCATTTCTTCTTCTGGCGTCCACCCAAGACCTCACTATTTGCGGTGTCGCCAAAAGGCCATCCCGGCACACTCCAGATATCCCCGTCGCCCGTGAACCTTTCGGGCACACCGGACTTCAATCCAGCTGAGGATGGCCTTGGATTCATTGCCCGCAAGCAAAGTGCGACTCTGTTCAATTACACCGTCGACCTTTCGTTCAAGCCCCGTGTCGAAGACGAGGAGGCAGGCATCTCTGTGTTCCTGACGCAGTTCCAGCACATTGACCTAGGCGTGGTCAACCTACCACGCGGCAACGGCACCAAGTCGACTCCCTTCTTCAGGTTCCGGGTTGAGGCGTCTGGGAAGCCCAACATCACGGTTCCCGAGACAGTGATCGTGCCAGTTCCGGATTCATGGCGATCAGGCAAGATTCGTTTGTCGGTCTCTGCTGTCAGCGACTCGTTGTATGTGTTTGGCGCGGCGCCGGCCTCACGCCCGGGAGAGTACCGGGAAATTGGGTCCGCCAGTGCTTTGATCCTCTCTGGAGGCACTGGGCCATTCTCAGGTGAGCGAGCTACTTGCAAATCTATATCCGTTTTGGGCCGAGATGCACTAACAAATCTATGCAGGTTCTATTGTCGGCGCGTACGCTACTAATAACGGTGGCAGGGGCAAGACACCGGCGTACTTCAGCAAATGGAGGTACACTCCTGTTGCTCAGAAGATCGATGACGACAGTTTCATTCCGATTTAGTCTCAGAATCTGGTAGCCACTACACAGCTTAGAGAGGTAAATACAATTAATTACTGGTTCAAGTTCTTGTGTAGCCGACCTTTGGTTCATGAATATACAAGTATCTGCATCGTTTGAGGCCCTGCACGGTTTCGAATCGGAGTTAATGGTAGATATGCCCCGCCGAAATGGCTACCTAGGTAGAATAGTAACATTATGTCCTCGTGAATTCTGTGCTGGCCTCGGGAGGCGTATCTGGCAACATTTTCACACGTTTCCACGCCGTGACTGCAAGCAAAATCAGCGTTAGCTTGAGCTTTCCAAGCCTGTGAGGAACAAACAGTGGGCGTTATGGATTTAGCTTCCATAGAATTCCATGCTAGCACTCGAGTGCGCTGTGACTCGACGCGATGAGAACTTATTCAATGTAGTGAAGCGCGCCCTTGTATCCTTGGCCCCAATTGCTACTCAAATCAGCTCGACGATAGTCCGAGCAAGGGACCTTTAGCAATGACCATCATCTCCGGCCCAATTACTCACATTGATCCAGTGCAAGGATGTTACCTAAAGATGTCGGATATTCGCACCCGCAAAAATGGAGCGTACACCCAAGACTAAGGAATAAATTCCTACAGGACAACCTCCTATAGGATAACCTCTTATAGGATAGAACAAGCTTATAGGATAACTAGTTTAGTGCTAACCTGAGTACCTTCATCTCTAAGTTACCTATATATGTACCTAGGTAGTATGGGTGTACCCTCCGTTTTTATGGGTGCGAATATCCGGTCTCTACCTAAAAATGTAGGTAATGCGAGACGGGTACCACTTAAGTAAATTAAATATTTAGACCCAAAGCTAGCAGACCTTTTACGGGCCTCTACAGGCCGATCACAAAGTTGAAAGCCCGTGCGATTTCCAATTTCCATTATGACGCATCGGGGAAGCCAGCCAACCTTGGGAGGATTAGTAAGACTCGCTCGCATCAGACTGATGGAGCTACTAATACTGGTTGCTGATAAATGCGCCTAAACGCCGCTTGTATCCAGAGGCTTCGTACCAAGAACGATGCTGGCATTGGGCGGCTACCCTGGTAGCAACACAAGTTTACTAATCGCTCCGGTACCTAGGTACTTCATGGCCGATGTTTGCAGAGACAGATAAACGTTGTATTCCCCCCCCCCCACCCGGGGACGGCAGATCCCACACAATTCCAGGGTCCAGATAATCAAAGCCCACCAGTTGACGCGGAGGGGTGCGAGGGTCTCCTCTGGCTACAGCCTACCAGGCAGGGGGAGTCCCCGGCAGACTGTGACTAGTTTTCGAAATCTACACCTACATCACTGATGGTGCTGGCGATTAGGGCGTTTCCTCCAGCTAGTCTATATGCGCTTGGTAATCTCGCTGCAAAGGTTGGTCCGTAGACCTCGCAAAGCTGTCGCAAATATGTCTAACTCCGTTGGCAATAGCAAAAGCCATTATGGAGCAACAGCTTTGTAACACCAACACCATGCTCGGTGCCATTATCCCCGTCATATGCAAACACTGTCCAGCTCCAGCCTGGCGATGGGCAATGTATAAGTATGACGGCCTCTTCATCTTACTTCAAGGTGATACCCCAACACTCTACTAGTGTCCAACAATAACAACAAGCAAGTGTCCATTCATTCAAGGACCTGGAATACCCTCATTACCTGGGATACCCTTATTCCCCATACGACATTTAACTTGGAGCATCATCAGCGAAGCTCCTACTTTGTCATATACTCACCTGTCCCAACAAGGTTCGCCAAGACACAATATGTCGGCAGTACGGGACTCTGCCTTTGGTGGCATCATACGTCTCGTCAGTCGCAACAGGTACTTTCAGTACCCCGAAGAGAAACCAGACTTTCAACTACCGGAGCCATGGGTGAAGCTCATGAACAACGAGGAGCCAAGCCAGCCAGCCACCTTCAACAGTGTGCCGACTTCCTCTTCGGACTCATCCGTGTCTGATGACGAGGAAAAGCAAGCAGAAGGAGATGTACAGCCATACCAGAAGCCAGGCGAGAGGTCAAATCTAGGCCTCCAGCGGACCAAGAGTCGAGAGGAGACCACACCTTACACTGCGGATCGACTAGAAGTGGACGAGAGACACGAGCTCGAGAAGACCCGGTCGATTCCCATTGTACCCCGCAAGACAAAGGACGGTGCAATTCTTGTTGATTGGTACTATTCCGACGACCCTGAGAATCCCCAGAACTGGTCCAACTCCCGCCGTGCCTTGGTCACAACTATAATTTGCCTCTATACCTTTGTAGTGTATATGTCCTCGGCGATTTACACCACCTCAGAAGAAGGAATCAAGGAGGAGTTCGGTGTAGGCCAGACCGAGGCCGCACTGGGTCTCTCGCTATTCGTGCTCGGCTATGGGACCGGGCCTCTGATCTTCAGCCCGCTGTCTGAGCTCCCAGCCATTGGCCGCAACCCAATCTACATCATCACCATGTTTCTGTACACCATCATCTCCATCCCGACAGCCCTGGTCCAGAACTACCCCGGCCTGATGGTTCTTCGGTTCCTGCAGGGTTTCTTTGGGTCTCCGTGTCTGGCATCCGGCGGTGCCTCCGTTGGAGATATGTACTCGCTCCTGTCACTGCCATACGCCATGATCGCATGGGTTAGTGCAGCGTACTGCGGACCGGCCCTTGGTCCTCTGCTGTCTGGATATTCGGTACCAATCATGGGATGGCGCTGGTCTCTCCTCGAGGTGATCTGGGCTGCGTCACCAATGTTCCTGGTCATGTTCTTTTTTCTCCCAGAGACAAGCACGCCAAAAATCTTGTTGCGACGCGCCCGCCGCCTGCGGAAGATGACAGGCAATGACCGCTTCATGAGCCAAAGCGAGATAGACCAGCGCAACCTCAAGACATCGGCCGTGTTGGTGGATGCGCTCATCAAGCCGCTCGAGATCACGATCAAGGACCCGGCCATCCTATTCGTGCAGATCTACACGGCCATCATTTACGGCATCTATTACAGCTTTTTCGAGGTTTTCCCTCTCGTATATCCCGTCTACTACCATATGACGGCTGGGCAAATCGGCCTAGTGTTCTTGTGCATCCTTGTCGCCTGTCTCATCGGTATCGCCATCTACATCAGCTATATTTACTTCTGTAGGTCACCGGTCCCTGTCTCTGATGTGTTAGAATCTCACACTTCAGGACCCCAGAGCAAGACTAACGTCACCATCAGATATGAACCCTAGGATCAAGGCCAAGGGCTGGCCCGTCCAGGAAAGCCGCCTCGTTCCCGCCCTCGTCGCCGCGTTTGGGCCCACCATCGGGCTGTTCATCTTCGCATGGACTGCCGCTCCTCAGTACCCCTGGATCGCCCCTACGATCGGCATCACCCTCTACGGAGCGACGGTCTTCGTCGTGATGCAGTGCATCTTCGTCTACGTCCCCATCAGCTACCCGCAGTACGCAGCAAGCCTCTTCGCCGGTAACGACTTCTTCCGAAGCGCCCTTGCGTGTGGCAGTATCCTCTTCGCTGGGCCGCTGTACGGGAACCTGGGCGTCGCGCGAGGCACGAGTCTGCTTGGTGGACTGAGTACCATTGGCATACTCGGTATCTTCCTGCTCTACATTTATGGGGGGAGGCTGAGGGCCATGAGCAAGTTTGCTTCTTCGGACTGATCGCCCCGGTAAAGAGAAATATAGAAATTCAAAGCTTTTATAGGATGTATTGGGCGTTTTTGTGGAAGGAATATTACTTAACTATCAACTGGGCTTCGGATTTGGAATAGAATCTGCAAAGGTTGCATTAGACCGTGACCGAACAAAATGCTCGCTTCCGAATAATATGTAATTTCCTTTTATAGGACCCTCTTAAATCCACATTGCTAGTATATCTGAGAACTGCTGTTGTCCACATTGGTGCTAACAATATGTCAGGTAGATGTGGCATTTAAATGTTTGAAGAGCTTCACCCATGCCAAACATTCATGCCACCGCAGACTCGATCACTCCGATTGTTGCATATTATCATGAAATCAAGTACTTGTCTCTATTAGCACATGACTTATGATTTATTTTGCGTGCCTCTGGTTGAGCCGCAGCAATGGTAGAACAGCTAATGTTCCCAATAGCCTTGCCCCTGCGTGAACCCGAGCTGATCGACAGCCCTTCACTGTCCGTCTATATGACCCAGAACAACCCAAAAGGAAAACCACAGCCCGGGTCTAATCTCCAAAACTTACCATGAACGCCTGAACTCTCTATATGCTGTCTAAGTCTTCTAACAGGCATCTCACATCACCAACACAGCAAGACCATACGCCAAGCCTTCACACAAACACCCAAAGGAACTCAACTAGACTAGGGCCCTAGTCCTCAAGGCCATCTTTGCTTTTGATGTCCCTTTGTTTCTGAACGGACTGGTGCCGAATAACAAACAGGGTGAGGACGAATCCAACAATGCAAGACCCCAGTGTGACCAGGTAGGCGGCGCGGTAGCACTGCAGCCCCTCGACGCAGGAGCGGTCGCCGTTGGGGCCGACCACGCTGTGGTGGTCAAACACCACTCCGTAGAACAGGTTGAATACATTTCCGGAAACGACCGGGCTCATAGTCATAAGGCCCCAGTTCTGAGACAGTCCGTGTATGCCAAAACTCTCGGCAACAATTGAGGGGAACACGCCAAACAAGAATCCGTAGCCAAGGCCTGAAAGACCGGAAACGAAGCCCAGCAGGTTCGGGTTGACCGTTTCCAAAGCGCACACCTGGGCAACGGTGAAGATGAATCCAGCGACAACAAGGCACCAGACGCGGCTTGCATGGAGCACTTTGACGAGGAAGTCGGAGCCCACACCTGGCGAGGATGGTCAGACCACAGGAGAGGCGAAGGGAGTTGGTGACACGCGGGAAAGATGGACATACCGCTCAGCAGGCGACCCGAGAAACTGCAGACAGACAAGATAGATACGTGAAGCTGTTGTCTTTTGAGCAGACTGTCGTTGCTCACAGAATCGTCGTAATGCGACCAAAGTGCTTGCACGCTATGCCCGATGTTGCTGTTCTCATGTGTAAGTCTCGCGCGCACGAGGCTGGCCCACGGTGCAAATTATACTTACTTGATGGTCATCAAACCGATGCCGGCTAGGATGCCCATGATGGCAAAGAACTGCCAAAACTCGAGACTGCGTATGATCTGCCAGCCACGAATATCTACCAAATGAGACCGATCCATATCAACATTCTGCACATAAACTTCACCTGCCACCGAGGAGTCCTTGGAGGAGACGAGTGACGAGGTTTCGTCTGAATCGTCCGTCCCGGCGACGATTGTGGAAGAAGCTGCCGTCGTGAGCGTGGACGATTCGCCCGAGCCTCCGGCCTCGCCGTCTCCGGTCCGACCACTGGTCAAATCGTAGGGGTTCTTGGGCCTTGGGTCCGCGGTGCCGGGTTCTTGATCCGCTTGGTTCATGTGTGAGGTGGGCGAAGTAGCTGAGGGGAAAGAGGAGGGGGGCTCACCAGGCTCGACAAAGGGTGCATCTGACCGAACCTTGCCCTCATCCTCGTCGGCAGCCACGGACTGGTAACTGCCATGGTGCGGGACAACGCGAAGGAACCAGAAACCGAGAAAGGTCATGCCGGCCGTGCCGTAGGCCAGAAGCAGCAGGAAGTCGCCCGTGTCTCCGGGGAAGAGGAAGCCGCCGACGAGCGAGAAGAAGAATGCACTCAGGCCAAACGCAGCCAGGGGGAAGGCCGTCGCGGTGCCCCTGTGATGCGGCCAGTTGAGGGCAGAGGTCTTGACGGCGGCGGCAAAGGCAGTGCACCCTCCCAGGCCGGACAGGAACGAGTACAGGCACATCATGGCGACGGAGCCGGAGCCTTTGTCATAGGCGAGGTGTAGCGGGAAGTAACCTAGGGCCAGCATTATGGATCCGAGGAGGGCGGCCGGGCGCGGTCCCTTGGCATCGACGAGGATCCCGACAGGCATTCCGAAGGCGTACATGCCGAGGTTGCCGGCGAGGCCGATGAGGTTGCTCTGTGTCGTCGAGTACTTGAGGCGGTCGGCGAATTGAGGGGCCCACGCCGAGTAGACATACTGTACAGAGGGGCAGCAGAGCCGTCAGCAACCGCCTGCTCGAGCTTGACCCGAGGGGCCCGCGATTATACGAGAGCCCGGGGAGTGCTGCTTGTGTGACTCGGGACTGGGGACTTGGGTGCACTCACGTTACTTCCGCAGGCCAGTGACACGAATGTAGCTGCGACGCTCGAGATGATGCGAGCGCGGTGCAGCTGCTGACGGTCCCTCATGTTGGCCATGGTGCTGGATGTGTTAGGAGGGGCGGTTTCCAACCATCAAAGCGGTAGCAACGCGAGAACCCGAGTGTCGTATTCTGGGGTAATGGAGAGAGAGAGGGGGGGGAGACGGGGGGAGAAAAAGGGATTGAGTGAGTGAAAAACAGGCCGAGAGGAAAGAGAAACACGCGAGCAAAGAAGGAGCGTTCTGGAATGGAATCAAGTGAAGGGCGGCGGGTTTATCACGGAAGAATGTCGTGAGCAAGAAGTGGCAGATTAGGGTCCTGGCCTGCCTGGGTAGACTACGTGTTGCCGTCTATTAAAGTGGCCCCGGTTTTGTTGGAGAGCCATGGCGCTGCATTTCGATAGGCCATGACTGATAAGAAATGCAGCTCCCAGGATTGCGAGCTGACAGCCGAGCCTCTGGGAGCCAAGAGCTACGGTATTATTAGGCTTGCCGGGTAGCCGTTGGGCTGGTCCCACCCCTACGGCCCCGTCTTGGCCCTCCCGCTTCGATATTTCAGGAAGATGAGGATATCCTGACAGTCTGATGTCCGATGCGGATGCGCAGCGCCAGGCCTTTGATATCATGAGGTCTGGCGAGAAACGGTGGCACAACCTTGGGACTCACTGCCCACCGTCCCACCCAGTCGACCCGTCGATACATTTATATACTGTGGCTGCGATGCAGGTACGGAGTACATACTACGTACGGGTGGGGCGGCTCAAGAAAGGAACAATATGCGTACCTTGTACCTTGTACCGAGTACGTAACGTTGGGCGGGCGCGGCTCGCAGCTCGGGAGCAGTTACGTACCCGGTCAGCCGGAAGCCTGGTCTGGCCCACGTGATTTCGCTGGGCATCCTGGGCAATGACAAACAGGCCAGGCCTTGGAACCAAGCTTCCCTCCTGGTTGGCTTGCCTGCCATGTCGGCTGTTGATAATTCGGCCCCAACCTCAAACCATATTCCCAGCCTCTGCTTCTCCAAGCATCACTCACCAGCCAGCAACAGCATCGACATCCCGCGCCCTGAGCAGCGTCGAACCACCCCCTGATTCCTGCAGATCCATCCGAAGAATTCATCCCCTTTCGATCCGTCAGATATCAATACTTGCTGCTGGTGTTGTTGTTCGGGCCCAGACTCCCAGGATGGGTGCCTTGCTCTCTCTTCCGCTGCTGGCACTGCCAAGCGCAAGCACTGTACGTCTTGACCCATCGGCCCTCCTCGCGCGTCGTGTCTGAGAGAATGTGGCTGACACTTCTTCCTTGTGCTTTCTAGCTGGTGTCCTTCGCTGCCAGCTGCTGTGGCGCCGCAACCTGCTCCATGGTGTGCAGCGCCTGCGGCAAGTGCGGCAACAGGTGAAGCCCCCCTCGCTCCGAAGCATCGCCCTCGCCACACCTCCCGGACCACGGCTAACACAACACCACAAGTGTCGCGACTCGGATTGCTTATGCCTTGATCCTCCTCGTCAACTCCATCCTATCGTGGATCATGCTCACGCCATGGGCCATCAAAAACCTCCAGAAGCTCACACTCGACTACGTCCAGATCACATGCCCATCCGGCCAGTGCTACGGTTGGCTTGCAGTGCATAGGATTAACTTTGCCCTGGGCCTGTTCCATCTGATTTTCGCCGGTCTTATGGTTGGTGTCACCTCGTCGAAAAACCCCCGGGCCGCCTTGCAGAATGGCTACTGGGGCCCCAAGGTCATTGCCTGGTTGGCCTTCATCGTCATCTCCTTCCTGATCCCGGACCCGTTCTTCCAGTTCTGGGGCAACTATGTTTCCTTCTTTGCCGCCATGCTGTTCCTGATCCTCGGCTTGATACTGCTGGTTGACCTAGCTCATACCTGGGCCGAGTACTGTCTTGAGCAGATCGAAAATACCGACTCCGGTGCCTGGAGATTTGTCCTCATCGGTTCCACCCTGGGCATGTACATTGGCTCCCTCGCCATGTCCATCATCCAGTACATATTCTTCGCGAGCAGTGGCTGCTCCATGAACCAGGCCGTCATTACTGTCAACCTGCTGCTGTGGATCGCCGTCTCGGCAATTTCTGTCCACCCAGCCGTGCAGGAGGTTAACCCCAAGGCTGGCCTGGCGCAGTCGGCCATGGTCGCCATCTACTGCTCCTACCTGACCATGTCGGCAGTCTCTATGGAGCCCGATGACGATGGCTCCAAGCATTGCAACCCCTTTGCTTTCTCCCAGGGCACGCGGACTACAACGGTAGTACTCGGGGCCGTTGTCACAATGCTCACCGTTGCCTACACGACCACCAGGGCAGCTACTCAGAGCCTCGGCTTGGGTAACAACAGAGGCGCAATCCGCTTGCCTGACGAAGACGAGCATGACCTGGTCACCACCCAGCCCAGTGGGCGCAGGGAGATGCGTGCCGAGGCTCTGCGAAGGGCTGTGGAGGAGGGAAGTCTGCCAGCCGACGCCTTGCTGTCAGATGATGAGGACGATGGCTCCAGCGGTGACAACTCGGCGCACGATGACGAGCGTGGCAGCACTCAGTATAGTTACGCCATGTTCCACATCATATTCTTCCTTGCGACAGCATGGGTTGCCACGCTGATCACGCAGGGCTATGATGACCAAAAGGAGGACGATTTCGCCACTGTTGGACGTACCTACTGGGCTAGCTGGGTCAAGATCATCAGTTCTTGGATCTGCTATGCCATGTACGTCTGGACGCTGGTCGCGCCGATCATGCTGCCCGACCGCTTTGAGACTTAAGGGATGGCCACGTCACACATTTTCTTTGTCGAGCGTCTTGCAAATCACATGGAGGTTTTCACTGCCTGTGCTCTCGGGCGCATTGTTTTGAAGAACAACCCTCCAAGGGGGGTTCATCTGTATAAGAATGGCTCCTTTTACCGCCAAACATACTATCGAAATGAATATCGAATTAAAAAAGACTCGTTGCAAACAGATGCTGGCCGTATCACAAACCTAGTGACCGGGCTGCTTCTTCTATGGAAATGACCTAGATACCTCGATTCTCCAGCGGCTATCCGACAGGCCCCAGTTTCGCACCACTTTGGAGTTCGGCGCTATTCCAACATCTGTCGGAACAAGCGAGTCCACCTCGTGCCGTGTCTAGTGGTGAGGCTGAGAAGAACCAGCAACAAGATTCGGCAAGCTCGCGGGCGGCGGCATTATGCAAAGGGTGCAGTACCCGTCAGCCCACCGCTTGCCCGTGATGAAGGAGGCATTGACGACAGGTTGGGGCAGTCCGAGGCGTCGGGGCCTAGAGATGATCTGGCCAACGGCACCACTTCGTGACCTTGGATCAGGGACCTTTGTTTGCTTTCCCCCCTCATGCATCGCTTCGGAGTGCATACCACGCGGTACGACATGACACTTCACAAGCCAGCCCAAGGAGCATAGTAGAAATCCGCAGTATGCGCACGAGTTGTGAGGGGGCCAGGTAATGAGGCAGGGAGGAGCGGTGAGGGCCGTCCCCTTCCCTTCCGCCCGTCGCTTGCCTCGCAATAGCTATCTATTCCGCTCGCCTGCCTCACGGCTGGAACCAGGGTGGATGGTTCCCAGTCTGGGCTTATCGGTCCCGGGTCCTCTCTACATGTGAGCTGAGACTCGAGAGTGAATGGCGGGCGGGTGGACGGGAGGAAACACGGAAACACCTCGCGAGGATTCGATGAAGATTCTAAAACAGGGCAGAGGCGCGGCAGAGTCTAGACCCGCCGCCGTGGTTCAGGACTTACGTTCTGCCCCAGGCGCTGCCATCGCTTACTCCTGCTAGGCTTTCTGCCAGACTTCGAATCACACCAGCCGCAGACAAGGTCAGGGCGGTCCGAGGAGAATCTTAACTGGAAGTCCCACACACTTGCGACGCAGACTCGCATCAGCTGATGGTATCGCTGTCTCTGTAGAACCACACTTCGCTACCTCGTGAACAACTCTTATTCCTGATTTCCTCAGCCGACGGGTGTCGATCCCGGAGCGGAGGGTGGCCGACTAGAGAAGCCACAGACGGCTGTTGCTCCCAGCTCGCTCCCTCAAATGCTCTCATATGCCGGCCCGACTGGCAGTCCTGGACAAGACGGGCAGCGGCTGGTGGTCTACGCTCTCGGTCAGACTCGTTCCAAACGGCGCGATGCCCCCCTCCCCAACGATAGATTGGCGCAGGGCGGATAGGTGCAGACGGCCTGTGTCCCTGCCTGGCGGTCTTCTATTCGAAATGAATTTGGACGTTTACTATTTGCTCTTCGCCCATTCCCCTTGTCCTGTTCTGCGAGTAGGCAACTTGACACAAAAGCTCAAACTGCATGATTTCCATCGACGGAGGCTGTCATATTTCGCGTGTGACCGTCATCACGTCGATACGTGCACACGTATCGATTCTCCGTGACTCGTGTGTGCATAGACTCTTGGAACAAAGCTTCCTTCGCGCTGCGGCCAGTTGAAGCTGTGCCGTCCCTGTGCTCCCTTTTCAGCTGCCTACATGAACAAGTCTCAGTTCCAACTTCACCGGTGAGTGTGGTTTCCCCACGGGGCCATTCCTTTTTTTACCTGAACTCCTCGTTTTCTTCAGCACTAGGAGGCAACCTCGAGGCGGCTCAGAGGGGGGAGGTCTCAGATGTATTAAGGGGCCCGCATTAGAAGATGGTGGGGGCGAGGAAGGAATTGTGTAATTGCAAACGGACACACAGAGATTGTCGTCAAAGCCGACAGTAGCCCCTTGGGCGACACCTGTGCATTTGGAACTCCCATCTGGGAAGGGTGGACCAGCGCGGCAAGATTAGGTATGCAGCGATCTGTCGGCACTTCGGCCCCCCCTCCATGCTCGCCTGCCGTCCCCTTCGAGCCAATGGCGTCCGCCGGATCCGCCGTGAAGAAAGGAGGCAAGAATGGCGGAGGTGGTGGGATAGGGTACACAATTGGACGTTTTGCGCTGTCGACGGGGGTATTGACAGGCCTTGGGGCTTCCAGAACGGGATCTTGGAACGTGGACCAGTGTTGTACATGAAAGAGGGCTAGTGCGTCGACAGGTGTGGTTGCACAATGTGTTCCGGCTCAATATGGAAGATGCCATCACCGAACTCTCTCGTCATGGAGACATAGAGATACCAATCTGTGCGGCGGTCCGCGCTGGAAACATGATGGTACTCGCGTGTCACCCTCTTGGGCCCAACACGGACGTTTCTCTGCTACTTTTGTGTGCGCATGCAAGGTCAGCAGAGTGGCTATCGCCTGCTGCTGCGTGGTGGTTACACGGGTTGGCATCCAATATCATATTCCGGTCTTTGCTGCCCCTTCGAGGGTTTGCCCCCGTCGAGACGCCAGTGCCAGCCGGCCGCGTAGGCTCGGTGAGGGTCCAAATATGCGATAAGCCTTTTACAGCTCCGTTCTGGAGTAGAACGTCTTGACCGAGTGCGAAAAGGGTCAGCAGAGCAACCGGCCAGTCTGCAATCCTCATGATGGCCTGGATGCATATAAGGCAGGGCCGTTAACCACTGGCAAAGGGGATGGGGAGTCGCTTTCACCATGAGGCCCTCGAAGTGCGTTTTCCCTTTCTCTGAAACTCGTCTGCTCTACAAGTGAGAGACCCGTAGCTGAGACAACCCTGAGTTGTGGCTCCTTTGTCTCACAACCTCGAGTCTTCAAACCCCCAGTCCGCAAGACGTATTGATCTTGTTGATCATTCACTGCCTGGAGATGTCTAACGACACCAACACACGCCAAACCAAGTCCCACGAACCCAAGCCTAGGTACAGTGAATCCCTCGAACCCCCACCGAGCCGCATAGGTGTTGATAGTTCTCGGAACAGCCAGCCTTCCAATTCGTCCTCGAAAAGAGGCCATCACACATCGCCGATGCTCCATCTTTGGGAGCATGAACACCGAAGGGGCGAGCTACCTCCTGCCGACTGGCTTCAAGCCCACCAGGTACGACCGGCCCCTCCCCAACAGTGGAACATGTCCGTTGACAGGTATGTAGGCTGCAGAAAAGCGCCGCCCGAAGACGTGAGGTGTTGTTGTACGCGCGAACTTGGTCTATTTTGTCCATCCATGGCTGTTTCTGCTTCTGTAGCCCATTTCACTACTGTGTCCCGATAGTTTGACGTGCTTGTTTGTTTTTGTTGTCTTTTTTAGCAAGAAAGAAATTAAATCCCTTCTTGTGTAATTAACAAATGCCTGTGCACCGACAAGACCAACTTTTGGAGTATCGAGATGCTTTGCACGATGCGCCTTTACGCCAATCCCACAACCTCTACGCCCTCAAGCTCATGCAGACGAAGATTAAATGTTCGTGTTGCTAGTTGCGTGAAAACCATCCAATGTGATATTCACGGCACCAGCTTGGACCAGCTAAGAAGAGATGTTAGAATATACACTGGGCTTCAAGATGGGTGGTATATTTTTGCGAGTCCTACCGCGCGTGAGAGGTCGTCAATCAGGTCGTTGACGTCCTCGATACCGACACAAAGCCGGATTATGTCCTCGGGCATCTGCCTCTCAGCCCGAGTCTTCGGGTCGATGCTGGCATGGCTCATTCGGCAGGGCATGCTGATCAGACTGTTGACGCAACCGAAGCTCACACTGATCCCCCAGAGCCTGGCAGCCTCGACGATCCTCTCAGATATGGTAACGTCGCCGGTCTCGAAGGACAGGACAGCGCCGGCACCGCGTGACATGGTCCAGTGGAGGTCGTACTGCGGGTGCGACTTGAGGCCCGGGTACCGTACCTTGAAGCCGTGCGACTCGAGGAACTCTGCTATGGCCTGTGCGTTGGACTGCTGCTTCTCCATGCGGATGGCCAGGGTCTTGATGCCCCTCATCAGCAGCGAGGAGTCGTCGGGGGAGAGGCCACAGCCGGTGGAGTTGATCATAAAGTACATCTTGTCCCCGAGAGCTGAGTCATTGCAGGCAATGACGCCGGCCATGATGTCGTGGTGACCCGAGAGGTACTTGGTCCCGGACTCGTAGACAACGTCGACGCCCAGTTCCAAGGGGTTGCAGAGCATGGGTGACAGCATGGTGTTGTCAGCCACGACCAGGGCCTTGCTGTTGAAGTCGTGTGTCATCTTGGAGATGGTGGGGATGTCGACGATTTTGATGAGAGGGTTGGTTGGGGTCTCGAGCAGGACCATGGCGGTCTTGTCGGACAGGACGCCCTTGACGCTGTCGACGTTTGTGGTGTCGACGTGGTGGACGACGATGCCCATGTTTGAGGACAGGTAGGTGAGCAGGCGGTTGGTGCCGCCGTAGAGGTCGTCGCCGGTGATGACCTCGTCGCCGGGCCTCAGGAGACGGGTGATGACATCGAGGGCGCCCATGCCAGAGCCGACGGCCAAGGCTCGGGCGGCATTCATGATCTTGGCCAGGTGGCGCTCGAGGTGAGTGCGGGTTGGGTTGCCGGAGCGAGTGTAGTCATACTCGCCGTTGGGGTTGGCACCGGACTGCTTGAAGGTGGCCGAGCGGTAGATGGGAAAGCTGGATGCGCCATACTGGTCCTTGTTGTCAGTGTAGACAAGCTCGGTGGCAAGGGCGTAGCGGCGGCGGCCATTGGCGGGGCTGGAGGGGGCGGGCGAGGGAGGCAGGTTGTTGCCGTCGAGGTCGACCTTTTGCAAGACCTTCTTGGCGACGCTGCCGCCTGCTGAAGATGAGGCTGCCATGCTGCGAAGTTTCTGAGATGTGGTGGTTGCGGAGGTGAGGTGACTCAGTGGCTGGGCGAGCGCAGCACTTGAGGCAAAGAAGAGTCACGGGCACGCAGACTCGGCTGCGGCGGGGTGGATTGATTGACTATGAGCCGGCCTCGTTCAAAGACTTGGAAGGTTCCCTCTGCGCCCGTTGCTCCTCTGCGGCGGCGCAATTGATACGATACGATACGATGGTCAGGCAGTACAGTAGAGTGTGAGGAGGGAAAGGTGAGCAGACGGCAAAGGTCTGGCTGGAATCCGGGGTATCTACCCGGTATTTGGTAGGCTGTCGGTCGAGGTACCGGTACATTCTCTGCGGGCGGTGCGGCACTGCGACGCTGCAGCCCCGTGGAGGCTCTTCTGGGAGCCGATACCGGGCGAAGCTCGGCCTCGTGCTGAGCTGCTGAGCGGCAGGGCGGGTTTGGCATTCTGGAGCCCGAATGACGTGATCGAGCTAGCCCGGGGTCGCCCCGATGGCATTTGTACAGTGACATTCTCTGAATGCACATGAGGGCTCTTGTATTAGTCCATGATATATCCAAGATAATATCCCTTGTTGTGTGTTTGAAGTGTACACAGCATGGTATATATAAATATATCAAATAAGTGGTGGAGGCGGACTCCGCCACGTGGTTCAAGACAGAATATACACCCGTGTGTGGTGGACAACATCCTGTGGGATACCCTCCCGTGGAACAGTACACAGTATCCCACGTGAGTGTTCACCCCCGGAGAAACACTTCACACATTGACAATTACTTACATTGTCTCGGTCTACCTAGGCAGGTTGACAGTGGTGCCCACTCACTCCTATATGAGTGCTGTATAGTACGCGGCCCTGCGAACCAATTGCAAAAAAGAGACCCACGTTGTAGAGCCTGCAGGTTTGCCCCAGTACCTGTACCTGGCCTGTTTGGCGGCATGGCCTGCTGTTGATGACTTATGACCATCTTCATGTGTATATGCTGCGTACTCCGTACATGCCACGATACTCCCCTCTGGCCAGGCAAAAGCAAAATGGACGACCACGGGATCGAACCGTGTACCTCGCGCAATTCCAAGGAGATGGGATGCTAAGCGCGCGCTCTACCATTTGAGCTAGACGCCCTTGATGATCTGCAGGGAAGAGGGGGGAAAAATGAAGCATTGGTGGCGGAGAACGTGAATGAGAATCTTGCTGTGGAGTGATAGCGGATTGGCCTTGGCTGTCGGAGAGGGGTGGAGTCTGATTGGGCTGCGCTGAGCTAGCGTGCATTACGTAATACGGGCCGGGGCGTCCGTGGTACGGGGTACGTACATGCACCTGCAAGCTCAGGGGCAGGGAAGGGGCAGGGAAGGGGCAGGGACGGGCAGCAGACTGGCTTGCATTGAATCTCTGCTGTCGTGCGGTTGCTTGGCCCGCGACAGTCTCCAACCACATCTTGGGTGCTCATGTGCTGGCGTCATTGCATATCGCAGGCTCCCACTTTTTCCCTCTCTTGAAACTCGGGTGCCTGAGTACTGTGGTTATCTGTCCACACGTACATTTACTGTGGAGACCCTTCCTCTTTCTGCCTGCTCCAACCTACCAACAGTCACTCATTCATTACCTGGGCAGATAGACAGCAGTATCTACTAATAATAAGGAGTAGTCTACCGTATAAAGGTAGGCAGGCTCCACTCCACACCCGCAGCAGCTCCAGTCTCCAGATCCCCCTCCCCCCTCCCCCCTCCACCCCTGAGCGCCGCAGGTCCACGCCCTGGCAGCCCGGCCGACTGTAACGCAACGTAATGCAGCTTGTTTTGCATCTGAACATCTCACAAGCTCCCGACCCGGCCTACATGCTCGAGCATCTCCAAGGTCCCGCAAGTACTCGCGACCGCCTCTCGCCAGCCAAAAGATACCATACCCACTAGCCACCTCGTCCGCCTACTAGTATAGTAATAAGGCCACGGGTTGCCGCTGCCCGGAGTCCCCAACACCAATGGCTCAGGTTAACAACATGCACAACCTCACCACCTTGATCAAGCGGTGCGCTCCTCCAATTCCACCTTCATGACACCACAACACCATTACACCCTCCCGCATATGCAAACCCGACCCCGACAACCCTCCCCTCCTCCCCTCGCCATGGCCCCCGTCGTCGTCTCCTCCGACACAAACCAACGCGTCACTAACCTGCTGCACAGACTCGAGGCCGCCACCTCGCGCCTCGAGGACATTGCTTCCTCAACCATCGAGATCCCCCAGGCTGTGCCCGCCCTCAAGGAGACCCTCGCATCTCCCGATGGCTCCACCAAGGCCATCTCTGATGCGCCCTCCCGCGCACCCTCCGCGCCCTCCCGCGCACCCTCCGCGCCCGCCCCCGCGCCCGCCCCCGTCGCTCCCGCAGCCGCCGCCGCCGACGAGGACCTGCCCGACTCCATCGAGGACTTCGATGCCTTTCTGAAGACATCCGTCGAGAAATACTCCAAACTCAGCGAGGCCATTGGTGGTCTCGTCGCTGAACAAGCTGCCAAGGTCCTCCATGGTTTCCGGGAGGAGCGCAAGTTCCTGCTCATCACCACCAAGGCCAAGAAGCCCAACATGAGCAACGGCGATGACATGGAGGCATACCAGCGGCTGCTTAAGCCCATCAACGAGTCCCTGATGGCTGTCATGAACATAAAGGAATCCAACAGGGGGTCCCCCGTCTCCAACGAGCTCAGCGCCGTGGCCGAGGGCATCATGGTGCTGGCCTGGGTTACCGACGAGGGCAAGCCGCACAAGCACGTTGAAAACACGCTGGGCTCCGCACAATATTATGGAAACCGAGTGATCAAGGACAACAAGGACAAGAACCCGCAGCAGGTCGAGTGGATACAGTCTTTCCACCAGATCTTCAAGGACCTTAGTGAATATATCAAGCAGTACTTCCCCTCCGGCATCCCTTGGAATGCCCAGGGCCAGCCAATCCAGGAGGTCGTCAAGGCTGCTTCCGCCCCTGCCGCCCCAGCTTCTGCGCCAGCACCTCCTCCACCAGCTGCCGGTGGCCCACCACCACCCCCGCCACCAGGGCCCCCACCAGTCCTGCAGATCAAAGAACAGAAGGAAGCCCCCAAAACAGCAGCAAGCGGCCTCGATGCCGTGTTTTCCGAGCTCAACAAGGGCGAGGCCGTCACCGCGGGCCTGCGCAAGGTCGACCGGTCCGAGATGACGCACAAGAACCCGTCGTTGCGCGCAAGCAGCACTGTCTCCGACACCTCCAGGGGCAAGAGCCCCGCGCCCGGGAAGAAGCCAAAGCCAGAGAGCATGAGGGCCAAGAAGCCGCCCGTCAAGGCCTTCGAGGGCAACAAGTGGACGATCGAGAACTTCGACAAGGAAGCAAACCCCATCGAGATCGAGGCTTCGCTGTCTCACTCGATCCTGATCAGCAGATGTAACAACTCGACCATCATAGTCAAGGGCAAGGCCAACGCGGTGACCATCGACAACACAAACAGGCTGAACCTGATCGTGGACACGCTTGTATCGTCCGTTGACGTGGTCAAGTCGCAAAACTTCGCGTTGCAAGTAATGGGCACAATACCCACCGTCATGATGGACTCGGTCGATGGTGCCCAGGTCTACTTCAGCAAGGAGAGCACGGCCACCAAGATCATCCATTCCAAGTCTGCGGGCATCAACCTCAACGTCATCTCCGGCCCAGATGATGATTATATCGAGGTGCCCCTGCCGGGACAGATTAGCTCCTACTACGACGCTGAGAAGGGGACATTGGTGGACGAGATCGTGTCTCACTCTGGTTAAAGGTATGTCGTGGTGTGCCTCTGGCTCGGCAGGTATCTGTTCCTCGGCTCGCTGAGTGGCGGCTAGCTGGAGGCAGCGAAGGGAATTTTGTTTGTGCTGGGATACCAGTCCGACGGTGCGACGGCTCCTAGTATTCGAGCACCGTCTGCACTGTCTACGGACTGGTCTGTCCAAGGGAGCGTTTCAAGCTGAGGTTGTGATCATTGTCGGGAAGTGATAGGACCGCATCAAAAACACGTCACATTTTTTCCGCAATATATTTACAGAAAGAGTATTGCCACGAGAGTGGTCGTCGATGCGCTTTGGATTGGTCGCTTCTCACCCCGTCCTCACCCCGTCGCGAAGGAAATCTAAAGCCTTGTCTCTTCAGCCCTGGTCAAGATCAAACATCAAAGTTGGACTTTACTCGACTCACCGTCGTGCATGTATGACCTTTGCTCCGTGGCCCTTCAGATACATTCTGGGGCCGTGAACATTGAAATAGAGCGAGGCAAATCTCATTTATATGGGTCTAACGTTGCCTACGCGCACACATACGCGCGTCATACATAGTCTAGTGTACAAGGCCCATCTCTCCACTCAAGCCGGGATATGATAGAAACGTCCAAAGCCCGATGGGCTCATGAGAGGTGCCTATGCTGTCTATATGAGCAGTAGCTTGGAAACATATTGGAATATGATGACTTTTGAGCCCAAAGCAGACAAGATCACTTCTATTTGGGTCAGCGCCCACGCGTCCCAGTCCTGTTCCACGGCTGCGGAACCTCCCAGGCCCCCCTTGACCTGATGTCCTTCTATGATGAATGGGCCCAGCTATATATACCCTTACAGCTTGGACTTGGGCGCCTCAAGGGTTGGCGCCAGCAGGTCGCGCATATCGCCGGCCGCCTCGTTGAGGTAAAAGCTCATCTTCTGGCTTCCCATGCCCTTGGAGACGATGTTGAAGTTGATGCTATTCACGTGGTCAGCCAACATTTCGATCCTACACAGGTCCCATCCCCTCCTTTCACAGTGTGGAACTTACCTATTCTCATTGATCATGTAGGCGATACCAAAGCCAGCATCGATGACCTGGCTCCATCCATACCCGTTGAAGAACTCGGAACTCAGCTGCGACGTCGAAAGGTACCACGAGCTGCTGTAAGCGTAGGCGGGGTCCTTGTAGATCTCGGGAAGCTCCTCGCCGGGGGCAAGCAGCTTCTTGAGCCCGAAGAGGTGGCGGTCCACGCCCTTTCCGTCGCTAGCGGCGCCGATGTACTCGATATGGGCAGCGACCGCATCGCGGAACAGGCCGACCTTGGTCTGGTCGTCAACCCCGTGGTCCGCCATGGCGTTGCACCACGCAACGCTGGCATCCGACACGGAACGGCATGTCTCGGTCCGGCCCTGCTGGAACCGCCTCGTCGCCGCGCTCTCGTACGTGGGGCGGTTCTTGCCGTACATCTTGTGGTAGGCCAGCTGGATGATCATCTGCACGTAGGCGTCGGGCGAGCACTTGAACTTCTTGATCAGGCCCTTGCCGTAGCCTTGGTAGGACTGAACAGCCAGCTCATGCTGCCCAATTACCGAGTTGAAGTCAGTGATGGCGCGGTCGATCTCCTTCTGGACCTCGTTGTTGATCTTGAACCTGACCAGGGTCGGCTCGGGTATGTTCGAGCGCACGTCGGTCGCGTTGAGGTCAATCTTGTTGTTGAAGATGACATCGTTCACGTAGTCGTTCAGACGGTGCGTTGGTGTGCCGTCCATCATGCTGTGCTCGCCCATAAAGCCTGAAGTGCCGTTGTCGTTGACGATGAATTGCAGGGGCTTGTCATACCAGCGGTTCTGTCCGTCGCCGTGCCAGTAGCTGTGTGCGCGCTCCTCGAGCGTCACAGGGGCGGCATCATCGAGACACACGACGAACGAGGCAGACTCGATCGTCTCGAGGGCGGCCTTGTTGCTGGGGTCAGCGCTAAGCAGTGCTTCTCTGGCGTCGGTAGCGACGTCGCGGTTCTCGGAAGTGAGGGCACCGAGGGCTGGGCCGCGCGACACGGCCAGCTCGTAGACGCGTCGGAACTGGGCCTCCAGCTCAGTCACACTGAGCTGCTTCCCGCCGACCTCGTGGACGACCTTGTAGATGTTGTTCTTGCGGATGACCACCAGGTGCTTGTGCGCCTTTGGGTCGAACTTGACAGGGTAGTCGGCCGGCTTGGCGGGCACGCGGCTGGCGTTAAACATCCACTGGTAGCTGTCCATGCAGATGGGCAACTTCTTCATGTACTCGGGCTCCAAGGTGCCCTCATCGACGGCCTTCTTGAAGCTCAAGACGGCAGTGCTGATGGCGGCGGCGCGCTTGACAGGGTCCCGGCGCTTGCGATCATCGCGATGGGAGTAGAAGTAGCTGACGTAGGGGACGACTGGGTCTCGGTACGAGAGATATGCCGCGTCGTTCCACCAGTCATAGATCCAGTTCTTGTGCTTGGGGTGCTCGCGACGGGCGAGCAGCTTTGCCTGCAGCTTGGAGCCGACGCCATCGGGCTTGACGAAATCTGCCACGGCCTTCTTGCTCTGTTCGAACTCGCCGGGGCTGAGCAGCGGGTGGAGAGATTTCAGGTAGCGTGCCGCGGTCTCTTCGAGGGTGGGCACGGGAAGACGGGGCAACGAGTCCTGGAACCGGAGCATGGGCCCCTTTGACTTGTCCTCGGCATAACCTGTGGGCGCTCATGGTATCTGTCAGCGGCCTGCTGGTTGACGGTGGGGGTCCCCTCGCTGCAGGAGAAGGGGGCGAGATGGCATGGTGGGCGCAACGGGTGACTGACCTTGAGGCAAGGAGCTGTTGGCTCGTCGACTGGCCGGGGCCATGGCTGCTGCGATCTGTTGGAGGGCGGAAGTTGGTGAGTGGAAAGGGTCTTGGTCAGGCCGGAGAGTGGTGAACTAAGAGGGAGGACAGGCGTGGGGCGACAAACCAGTGGAGCCGTCCGACGCGAGGGAAAGGAGATTGTGCTGCTGCTGCTGCTGCTGCTACCACGTAGGGCTCGCAAAGGTTGGGACCGAAGCTCAGTCCTTGCAAAGGCAGCCAACATCACCAATGGGTTGTGAAGGAGACAGAGGCGCGCAGGCTCTACGAGGATGCAGACGGTGCGGGATAGGCGAGCAGGTGACAGTGGCGGCACTGCTCAGCGACAAGAGGTATTTCAGAGGACCCGGGGCTGGTGTGGTCTTCGGCAGTAGGGATTGCCGTCTCTGGAGTAGCCGGCGATGCTGTGTGTTGTGGGTATATGCAACGCCGAAGCCGAGGTATTAACAAGAGCCGGACTATAGATACGGAGTACAGAGATGGAGGGATGGGTGGGTGGCTAGTACAGGGGTCCTGTCCTCACGTCACCACACAGTTTCTGGTTGATGGGTCCCGTGGCAGGCTGGCGGGCTGGTAGAGCTGCACATACAATAGATGGTGGATGTTGCTAACATGTGGGAGAGGGAGCGACTGAGGCATATGCCATTTATAAAGGGTACGGGACGGTACATACATACGTGCCCGCCCTTGATCCCCCTTCCTCTTGGCCCGTCTCCAAGCAGCCAGATTTGCCTACCCGTGCCGTCGCACCTTCCTACACCCAGCCAGCACTAGCATTGGCCAAGTCCAGTGCATGTTTCCCCAGAGCCCCCAGACCGACAACTGACTTGTTGTCCCCCACCCCCAGGGCCCCCGCGCCAGACCGTCCGTCCGCTCCGCCCAGCTCCGTCGAGCCGAGGTTGCAGGGATAAAAACTGGAGACCCCCCGCGACATAACGGTCCGATGCCCACTAGGCCGTCTGGCGGTGCTGTCTCGTGCACGCCTTGTAGCAGTCTGTTAATCAGGGCTCTACTTCGTTGCAGTTGTCCGAAATAGCATGCTGAGCGGTTTTGATTGAGGCGGCGGATGCACGCACCTGACCCGACCCCTTGGGATTTTATTATCGGATCCAGCAGAGCAGTCCATTGCACGCCACGGTTCCGAAGCCACCAACTTATCAGCCACATTCACTGGCACAAACGTCATCCTTCACATGCCATTCCCTGCTACTGCCCAGGTACCTAGGTACCCGTGCACCTGAATCAGACCCCGTTCAAATCCCAGCCCTTGGATGCAGAGCCAAACACCAAGTCCGTTTGGGGTGAGCCGCAGCACGAATACCAGAATCCTGGGTCGCGCTGATGCTTGCTGCAGATAATCCCGTGCCTCCAAGATGCTCAGCACACACACAACCAACCCAGCTCTCGTCAGCCAAGAGAGGGGACACCCCGTAAACCCAGGAGACTGGCACCTGGCCTCTACCACCCTCCGCGTCTCCGAGACGGTCGAATGGGGCCCAGCGGCCATTCAAGACCTCAAATCAGAATGTATATGCAGGCCAAGTCTTCCAAATCGGTCATTGCAATTAGAGTCTCTATTCTCTCAAGGCTTCCACTTCGACCTCTCTGACCCCTCCGTTTCTCATCCTGGACAGCATAGGCAGCTTTTGTTACAATAACCATTCCCATCATCTCAAGGCAAAGAAAAAAAAAGTAATAATGTTGGAATGCGATTCTGCGCATCGCCGACCCACTTGACGCCTCTCCGATTCGTCCAATAAAACCCAGTCAGATGATTGGTTGGGGGAAAATAGAGTAAAAACAACAGTCGTGCCTGCAGGCGAGCATCTTCGTCTCAGACCCGAGGTGAAACCCGTTGATCTTGGTGGTGCCAATCGTAGCTATCCGTGACGCTCTATGCCTCGTAGCTCTTGATCTGGCCCCCACTGCTCAACGGCTGCACGCTGCTGCCGACCGCTGTCGCCTGCAGGCTCAGCTTGTCGCCATCCATCGACACATCCTGTGCCATCCTGGCACCCTGCTCGCCGCCGGCGAGGGCTGCCGCCTTCAGCTCGTCCTGCACACCGCGCACTCGCTTCTTGAAGGCCAGACGGTCTAGGAACAACTGCTGCCGGCCCCGCTCCAGCTCGCGCCGTTCTTCTTGGAGGATCGCCTCCATCTCGTTGAAGAACTTCATCTTGAGCTCCATCTTCTGCAGGGTTATGTTGACCGCCGCCGACACGATTCGCGTCATTTCGCGCTCCTCGTGAGAGGCCAGTCCGTCGGCACGCGCCCCGATTGTCGCCAGCGGGATGTTTGCGAGCGCGGTGGTCTTCGTTGTGGTTGTCGTGGTCGTGGTCGTGGTCGTCGTGGTCTCCTGCTGAATATCGACCTCCATCGAATCGCCTTCCTTCTCCTTCTCCTTGCCCTTACCCTTCGCATCGGAGCCCTCGTCGAGAGCACCACTTGACTCGAGCTTGCCCCGGAGGTGTTGTCGCAATTCCTCCGCGGACTTGCTAGCGGCCGCGGCAGCGCTGGCAGGGTCTGCTAGACTGGCTAGGAACGCCACAACCGACATGACCGGGTTGTCAGCCTGGCTGAATGGCAGCTGCCCACCTTGGCTTCCCAGCATCGAGACTCCGATGGGGGCCGCAAGCGAGTTTTCTGACTCGAGGTACTTGTCTTCGATGTCGAGTTGCAGGAATTGAAGGACGCACTCCTCACGAGTCCTGGTGCCGACGTGGTCTGCAATCTCATTCCAGTCGTCGTCGAACCTCTCCAGGCCCTCTAGCAACCGCAACAGCTCCGAGTCCGTCCAGGGCGCATCTCTATCGAGCGTTGTCGAGTAAGTGGGATTTTCCATCCTCTGGTAGTTGGTAGCCAACTGGTTTCCTGGGAATCGACCGTCCACAAAGCAGCTCGGACAGATGTCCGTGCTCTTCTTGGTGTTTGATGCGGAATCAACGAAATTGTTGTGGTAGTAGATTCGTGTGCAGTCGGCACTGCAGGTCTGGCAATTGACCTTTGCGATGGGTGCCTTGGTGAGCTCGTCAGACGGCGTCCCCGACACTCCGTTAGTCGCTGGTCCGTCACCGTTGGTCTTGCCCTCGCTCTTGTTGAGTTTTGCACCCTTAGCATTGGCCTCATAAATATTGCGACCAACCTCCAGGTTCAGTTCGCTCTTGGGCACTGGGCCAGCCTTGGCCTTGGCCTCAGTATCAGCATTGGCCTTGCCCGAAGCGACAACGGTATCTGCTGCCGGCTGCCACGGCTGGAGACCTCTGGGTGTGTCACAGATTATTTTGAAGTGACCAGTAAATGGTGGGCCGGTCGGGGACGGCCTGTGGTCTGGGTCGACCTATTGAGCAGTCAGCATCCTTGTAGTTTTCTGGTTCAAGCCTCGAAACTTTACCTGGTAGTTAATCAGGCCCCATTGCTCAAGGAAGGAGTGAACCCTCATGATGGCGCAAACGTCGCCAGCAAGGTTCCGTCTGCAAGCTGTGACTGTGAGGTACTCGGCAGGGTTGAGGCGATAGGTGTTGATCATGAAATCGCGGTAGTCCTTGTAGACAGATGGAGTTTTGCTTCGATTACGATTGTTGAAGAACTCAGGTAGAGCTTTTCGCTCGGTGGTGTGGATGACGTTCATGTCGAACCAGGTACTGTAGCTGGGCAAGATGATGGAGTGCTTTTGGGAGATGAGGTGTTCGCGCGCGGCATTCTCGATGGCCTCCTTGGTCTTTCCGACGGTGCTCTCGCCGTTTGCCTCGCTTTCCTTGGGCTGGTCCCCCTTGGATTCACCCTCGGCATCAACCATATCCTCATCCTGGGCAGTAACGTTGTCTGGGGCGGGGCCTTCCGGGGCATCGAGAGGGTTGTCTGAAGCGGCGACTGGTGCTGGTGTGGTGCTATCTTGTTTGATTTGTGGCTCAGTGGATGTGGTTTCACCCATTTGGACATCTGGATGAAGAAATGTTTAGTCTGATGCAAGGGTTGGCGGCTGGGCTGGCGCTCTGGCGCAATGATGCACGAGTTTGTAACCAACCTTCGCTAGGATTCACATCTGCCAGAGGTGGTTGCGCAAGAATTGGGTTGCTGCCAGGCGATGCGCCATTGGCAGGGGTGCCGTAGCTGACGTTCTCCTCCTCCATGGTGATGAATGGGGTTCAGGGCTGGGGATGCAGGTGAATTTGATGCAGGAATGGCGCTGGTAGTCGATATAGCGCCGAATACAGCTCTAATCCAGACAATTCAAGATGTGCAGCGACCAGTGCTGAAGGAACATTCAATCCAGGAGGCTGCAAGCTACCGTTCCGAATGGACTGGGTGGCAGGGAGGGGTCAGGCGCGGTGTTGATGATGATGGCTTGCCGTCGCGAAAGATGGGTCCCTGTGCTGGACTGCGCTCTTGGGGATGAGCATTGTCGCGTTGCAGGATCAAATTTGGGCGCGACAGCCCAGCCAGCAGACGCACGGGCCCTTCCAAAAAGTGGCAGCCTCAGGCAACAAAAGCATCCAGCCTGCCAGCCTGCCTGCCAGCTCCCCACCCAGTATCCCTGCACCCTGTACCTGTACTGCATGTAGCCCCCCAAGTGAGTAGACTACTTACTGCACCTGCCGTTCACGGAGGGCCGAGGTCAGTGTCGGATGGCCCGTTGCCAGCCGATCGAGTGACGGGTTCGACTTCGCCGTGTGCCGACCCCATTCCTCCAATCCGCCTCGTTCCCTGTCGCTCACCACTCTCTGCCACACACGAGGTGACGGAGGCCATCCTGTACCTTTCAATATGCTTTGTACGGCACGGAGAATAGCAGCGCACCAGCTGCGGGGGAGAATTGCGCAGCCCAGCGCGTCCCCCGTTGCATTCTTCAGCCCCGCCGCCCTGCGCCGGTTAGCCTCGACCCTCGCCGTCCTCGAGCAGAAGGAGGGCAAACTGAACCACGGGTCCCTCAGCGCCATCACAGCAGCCCAGAAGGTCGGCGGCCCAGTGCACGGCTTCGTGGCTGGGAGCAACATCAAGCCGGTGGCAGACGAGGCCGCCACAGCAGACGGCGTGGAAAAGATAATCGCAGTAGATAATGGCGCCTATGACAAGGTATATTTTATATACACACACATGCTGGCCCTGGCCCTGGGGTCCAATTGGAAGACGCCCCACGGAGACTTGTTCTGAAGTGGTTGCCAATGCAGAGATAAAATGCTAACCACTTTTCACTCTGAACTACAGGGCCTCCCCGAGAACTTTGCCGACCTGCTCGTGGAGAACATCAAGAAGGGGGGCTACACACACGTCATTGCTGGCCACACTGCATTCGGCAAGAACCTGCTGCCCCGCGTAGCGGCCCTCCTCGACTCGCAGCAGATCTCCGACATCACCTCCATAGAGGACGAGAACACGTTTGTGCGCCCCATCTACGCCGGCAACGCCATCGCGACGGTCGAGTCGTCAGATGCCGTCAAGATTATCACCATCCGCGGCACCGCCTTCGCCCCCGCCTTGCTCGGCAAGGGCTCCGCGGCCGTCGAGGACGGCGCCGACCCCAAGACGGCCAGCCCCACCGAGTGGGTGTCTGAGGACCTGGCCAAGTCAGACAGGCCTGATCTGTCGACCGCGGGCAGGATCGTGTCGGGCGGCCGGGGCCTGAAGTCGAAGGAGGAATTCGACAGGGTCATGCAGCCGCTGGCCGACAGCCTGGGAGCTGCCATTGGCGCGTCCCGTGCAGCCGTCGACAGTGGGTATGCGGACAACAGCCTGCAGGTTGGGCAGACCGGCAAGGTGGTCGCGCCGCAGTTGTACATGGCCGTCGGCATCTCCGGGGCGATCCAGCACCTGGCTGGAATGAAGGACAGCAAGGTGATTGCTGCGATCAACAAGGATGCCGATGCGCCCATCTTCCAGGTCGCTGATGTCGGGCTTGTGGGTGACCTTTTCGAGAAGGTGCCGGAGCTGACGGAGAAGCTGAAGAAATAGACAAGATTTCTTTCTAGTTGTGTAAATCAATACATAAACCAACCAACCTGTACTCCGTGAACCAGTCGTGGAACATGTTTCTCTAGTCGCCTTGTTTTTCGGATGGCCGGTGGAGAATCATGCCATGGACGAGAAGGGTACGCTCAGCATGTCGCTCGTGGCTGTGAACTTGTCCCGCTCCTTGCCCTTCAGCTGGCCCCGGTCCCTCTCGGCCTTGTCAATTGCCAACCACCCCTCCCAGTCGACAGCGGAATTCGCAACCCTCCTGCCTGCGTCACTCTGCACCCCCTCCCAGCCAGCGCTGTCGACCTTGCTCGCGTCCGCTGCGCCAGACTGACCAAGGAACCCCCTGCCCGCCTTCCAGTCCTCTGCTATAGCTTCAGCCGTTGCGAATGCGTCTTCCATGGTACTGGCGATCACGCCCGTGGGGCCCCGCTTCACCCAGCCCGCGCAGTACAGCCCTGGGAATAGCTCGGCGCGGCCAGTGTCAGCAGTGCTGCGGAGGACGCGCCCCCCGAACTGGTCATTGCCAATCACGCCGCTGTGGTCGTTGAAGGCAACGCCGAGTGCGCCGAACTCGTCAAGGGCCACAGACTTGTAGCCTATGGAGCGGAAGACAAGCGGGGAGTCGACTGGGATGGTCTCCCCGGAGCTGATGGCCTTGGCGCCGGGGTCGAAGGCGTCCGGGGACAGGGAGGTACGATCGAACACGGTCTTTCCGACGGCCGCCGGGTCTGCGGGGTCCGGGTGGAATTCGACTGGTGACATGCAGAAGTCCAATGCCCAGGACCTGGAAGCGGAAGAACGTGGCGTCCGAGAGCCCCTGAGGAGGACCTCGGTCAGGCGCTTGCGCGCGCGGGGCAAGGACTTGAGGTCGGACGGGACGAGCGAGGTGTCGACGGGGTCGGCCGAGACGCCGGCGAGGTTCATCAGCTCCCGGACCTCCTTGATGGTGAAGGCGGCCTGCATTGGGCCTCTCCTGCCGGCGATGCGGACGCGCCTGACCTGGCTCGTGGACAGAGCCTCCAGGGCATAGTCGGCCATGTCGGTGTTGCGCAGCTTGTCCACGTCCTCGAGCAGGACGCGGGCGACGTCGATGGCGACATTGCCCTGGCCGATGATGACAGCCTCGCCGTGGGAGAGATCCGGGTTCAGGCCTGCGAACTCGGGCAGGCCGTTGTACCAGCCCACGAACTCACGGGCGGAATAGATGCGCTTCAGGGTCGACTCGCCTGGGATCTCGAGGGTCCTGTCCTTTGCTGCGCCGTATGCGAACAGCACGGCGTCGTAGTGGCGCATCAACGTGGCCAGGGGCACCGATTGGCCGTCTGGGTGGAACGGCGGGTGGCCAACAGACACGTTGCCGACAAAGGTGAAGTTGGGAGAGGAAGCAACCTCGGAGAACTTGTCTTGACAGTTCTGTTGTGGTGGTAAGCCAAGGAAGTGCGAGCCCATTTCCAAGGCGGAGGTCTTACCTTGACTTCAGGATGATCGGGAGCGACGCCGAACCTGACCAGGCCGAAGGGCACGGGCAGGGCCTCGTACATGTCGACCTTTGCGCGGTCAATCAGGGACATGACGCGGTACGCGGTGTAGAAGCCGGCGGGGCCGGAGCCGACGACCGCCAGCCGGAAGGGCCGGTCATGCCGGGAGGCGGCCGGTGTAGAGTACCGGCACGAGAGGACATGCGAGAGGTGCTGTGGCCTGCAGCGGATGGATGATCTGCAGCTGAGGGCGACGCCGGGAGCCCACCTGGCGATGGGGAGAGGCATCATCAAGAGACGCTGATGATCATGGGCGACGGATTGCGGATTTTGTCCAAGTTCCTCTCGGCTCGGGCCCGATGGCCGAGAGGGCAAGGGGGATGGATGATGAATGAGGCACCTGGAGCAAAGCTTTTTTTTTTTGTTTGTTTCTTCGGTGGGGGTGGGCTTTTCTTTTCTTTTCTTTTCTTTTCTTTTCTTTTCTTTTCTTTTCTTTTCTTTCTTCCCTCTTCCAATAAAGATATGAATCTCATGGAGAAGGGGAGGCTACCTATATAGTCACCCCTCGTGTTGAGCTGGTCCTGGATCTGGAATAGTGATGAGGCCAGAGTGTAACTGATGTAAAGTGATGAGGGTGTGAATCTAAAGTGAGCCGTAGAGACTTTAGCTTGCCTCGGTTCAACTTGAAGCCAGCGTCCACCTACCCAGCTCTAACGTCCACCTACCCAGTGATTTCCATAGACCTACCCAATACCTATTTTTCTTAGCAACTCCCTTACATTTATAAGTACTTTCTAAGTTAGCACTAAGAGACCTCATGGTATGATTTCCTTCTCTAATTTTCGGTACTTTAGGTATAAACCCCTTCTGGCACCCCTTTACCTTTACCTTCTAGCTCACCTTCTAGCACCCCCTCTAGCCCGCACACCTTTAAGCACCAACTCCCCGTTCAGGTACTAACTAAGTATTTAGATGCCAACTAAACGCTAGAGGGCTAGAAGGTAAGTAGGCTAGAAGGTTAGAAGGGGTGCTAAAAGGCTAAAAAGAGTATAATCTTTACCTTTACCTTCTTATCTTCTAACCCTCTAACATTTAATTAGTATTTAAATACTTAGTTAATACTTAAATAGAGAGTTAGTGCCTAAAGGTATGTAGGTTAGAGGTGTGCTAGAAGGTGTGTTAGAAGGTGTGTTAAAAAGGGTGTTAGAAAGGGTGTTAGAAGGGGTGTTAGAAGGGGTTTAAAAGAGGCTTATACTTAAACTATTAAAAATTTAAAGAATCTTAGTTAAGTATATAGTTTTATATAAGTTTTATATATAAAAAGTTAATATTAAATAAATTTATATTTAAACTTTTAATATAAAATTTATTTTTAATTTTAAAAATAAATAAATAAATTAAATAAAGAAATTTAATTAATATTATTTTTATAAAAAATATAAAAATAATTAATAGAATTAATATAATTAAATTTTAAATTAATTTAAATAAAGTTAAAAATAATATTAAATATTATAATATTATTTATTTTTTAATTTAAAATATTAAAATAAAAGCTTTTATAATTAAGTTATATATTCTTATTATTTTTAAAGGTAGTTTTTTTAAAGTTAAGTATAAGTTAACTTTTAATATAAAATTAAAAAAACCTTTTATTATCTTTAAAGTTGTTGAATCACTGTTCTTTTCTTTCTCACTAGTGCTCTAGAGCGCGACGGAGGATTCGTCCACGGAGTCGTGACCACGCCGCGAGGCCAACGCGATGCCGACACGCACCGACCTAGTCCTGCCGGAGGAGCAGGTCCTGCGCGCAATCAGCACGTAGACATACACTGTCCACAAAGCTACGACAAGATCTTGAACACAGGAAGACAGTGACAAGAACGAGGAGGGAAAGTTGCTACTCATGCCAGTGAAATCCACGTCGTGACTCCACATGCCGCTCTCCAGACGCAGACCGTCTGAAAGGTTGCGACATGGAATAAAAAAAAAAAAACCAAATTCAGAACAAAACGCAAAGAGAGATATGAGTGGCTTTTTACGAACGGCGCCGCGAGCACGGGCGAACTGCCCAAGGCACCGGTGATCCGGAGGGCAAGCAACAGTCACTCGAGAATGTAACAATTCTATAGATGGCAACGGTCTATCTCTTGTAGTAGAAAAGGATGATAAGAAGGGGGCAAAGGTCAAGAAGGGTTAAAAAAAAGGTCGAAATAGAAAAGAAAGGTGTAAGAGCCTATTCTAAATGAAGCCAGTGAGGTCTCTAGGCGAGACGATCTAAGGGTGCCTCCTTGAAGAAATTGAAGTGTTGAGAAAATTGACTTGGAGAAAGAACCGTTGCCGCGGTTTGGAAACTTGTTGCCTATAGAATTGTGCATCCTTCGAATAACGGCAGAATCCGATGCCTGTGCTCAAGATGAGACTCCGACGCAGTAGGCATATCCACCCCAGAGCCCGCCACAGTCCGGAGCCGCAGCCGGGTTCCTGTGTGAAATGCCGTCAATATATGGATCCACGACCAGCGAGTGCTGGGACAACATACCATGCATAAAACTGCTCCAATGTGATGCCGTACTTGACCGAAATGTCGTAACAGAACAGCCCGTCCCCAGCTGATGATTGAGTTAGCTCAAATGTCTCCTCCCGTCGGACACGACAGGCAGCCAATCTATTTACCTATGTGCCAGCTGTTGCAGTTTGCCGCAATGCCGTCTTGGGTTGGGGCGGGAGCCGTAGCGGTCGGCTGCGCGGCGCTGGTTGTCGGGGCTGGAGAAGAGCAGTCAATCGCGTCAGAAAGCTGTTCTCGCACACACCGGGCGGCATTTCAGGACTCGGGTCACTCACAGGAAACAGTCGTGGTTGAGCCGGCTGTGGTGCTGGGCACAGGGGTGGAGTCGTCGGCCTCTGGGTCGGGAATGATGTCGTCCACACGGATACAATAGCGATACCCTGCCGAGAGAAGACCACAAATCAGCTCTGTCCATGCGTCTGTCGTCGTGATCCCGGGTGTGGGGGGGGGGAGGTCTTACCAGTCCACAAGTTGCCACATTGCGCGCCGACAGCAGGGTTTCTTCACGGTTGACAGGTCAGCCAATGTCGACAAGGGAAGAGGTTCAGACCTTTGTAGGTTCTGGGTCTTACCATGCGTAGAATTGCTCAATGGTGATCTCATTCCGGTCAAGGACGTTCTGACATGTGATACCGGATACAACGCTCATATAGTCTTTGCAATCAGCAGTCGTGCCATCCTAAAGTAACGCGGTCCATCAGTTAACCCCATGCTCAGTGTTGCCTGCGCTGCAATGACGAGGAAAATGTTTGATAAAGCGACGATACTAACCCTTATTGGAAGCGGAGTATCGGTTTCAATCGTCTGGGGCACCGTGTAGCTTGCTCCGTTCCACTGAGACATGCAGTACCGATACCCAGGCTGCGGTGCGCAGGCCGTCGAGGGGTATTAACGAGTCACCGTCAACGTAGATGAAACAGTCTGTTCGCGTGCCCTCAGCAAAGGGCAGGAGCACAGGTAGACCCGTGATTGCTTGCCGGAGGATAGTAGGGTAGATACCGTGGGCGACGCTGCCGTCTGAATTTTACTTGCCACGCCCAACCGTCCCCCTCTGTCACTCACCCCTTTCTTTGCTGTGCCACAGTGATGAGATGCGCGCCCCGCGCCAACTCCCAGCAACGATCGAAAGAAGAAATGATAACCCCAGCACTACCCTACCACGTGGTCCAGCCCCGGTCGCGCGCCTCGGCCCAGGCGTCCTGCCCGTGCCGCTGCCTGGGCACCCTCTCCCACAGCGTGTTCTCAAGGGCGCGCACGCCAAAGTGCGGGCGCGGCAGCTCCCTGCCGTGGCCGGGGCTCGCCTCGGTCAGCGCCTCGGGCACGGCCTCGGTCTCAGGCAGCACGTCGGGCTCGCACGGGTCGCCGGGGTCCTTGCTGTGCCGCTCATAGTCGTCGCGCGACAGCGGGTCGAACTCAACGCGCGTTAGCAGCTGGTCGCCCCCCCGCCAGTCGGCCGCGTCGCACACGAGCAGGAGCCCGTAGTACCGGTAGGACGCCCTGTCGTGCTGCGCGTACGAGGCGACCAGGCCCGGCAGGCCGCTGCCGCTGCCGCTGCCGCCGCCGCCGCCGCCGTGGTTGCCGCTAGCCGCCGCGTCGACCTGGGCCTCGTAGGTGCCGCGGGCGTCCTTTTCGGCGCGGTAGTGGGCTATGCAGTCATCCTGGCTGGCGCCGGGGAGGAAGTAGAAGTCCAGGCGGAACTCGACGCTGTTGGTCTGGTAGTGGGGCCCGCTGATGAGCGTCCTGTAGAGCTCCTCGGCGTGGCTGGTGTCCGGGGAGGCGCCCGGGTGCGTGAAGTAGACGGAGAAGCTGTAGAGGAAGGGCAGCGGCGTCGTGCTCCGGAAGACGCTGAGGGCAGGCTGGCCGGCGTGGTCCTTGGAGGGGATGGCGTAGTTGCGCACGACGTGGGGGCCTTGTGGGCTCAGGTCTATGTGTGGGCCCCGGCCTATGGGCATTGTGGTGTGCTCGACCGAGATGTGGGTGGTGGGTTGTTTGGGAGGGGGTGAGGGTGTGAGGGTGTGCGGCACGGTGCGGGGTGTGTCCCTATGCCAACCAGTGCCCAGCCTGGTCTAATCAGGGCAGTGACGCGACGCGGGGGTTGATGAACGGGCCGTGCCGGGCTGGATTCTCGCCTGGTTGCCCTGCCAATAAACCGGGGACCCAAGCCGGGGACCCTTGCAGGTAAACAAGGAACCAGCCCACCTGATATCCAGCCTCTTGATTTATGAAGTATGCATCCGGTATGATATGATCACCACCTGCAGGTAATCTGTACTCCGTACGGTCGGTCTGTCTGCTGTAAATGTCCCATGTCCCGCTCTGCCATCTCATCCTCATCCTCCCCGCCCAGTGTTAGTTATCTGACATTCCAGTCGCTATCGCGCCCCATCCTCAATTCTTAGTCCCAGACCAAACGGCACCCGGTCTTATTAGTGGTGTCTTGCCCACTCATTCTCGAGGCTTTCTCGTCGCCGCAGCCGCAGCCGCAGCCGCCGCCCCCGCCGGCTCGCCAGTCAGTATGAGTGGAGCAAACCAGCCGTACATGTACAACAGGTTCGACAGCTTCGACGATGCACGCTTCCCGACCTCATCCTTCGACCCCAAGGCCGTCACCAGGTCCAGCTGGGAGCCGAGGCCGGCCAAGCCCAAGCATGAGGGCCCGCTTGTGTCCTTCAACCGCCACCCAGAGTAAGTCAGCCAGCCAGCCAGCCCCCTCGCAGTGGATGAGTGGACCGGCTGACCCCAGGTCTTCGCACACACACAGCGCACATGAGATCCGGGGCCCACGGCCACAGTGGCAGACCTTCGGGCCTACCACAAAATGGTGGATCAAGTGGGTGAGGATCGTACAGCTGGCATTCCGCGTGCTCGAGATGATCGCCGCCGCTGGCATTCTCTTCCTCATGATCGTCATTGTCAAGGTCAACCTCTTGACTGCCTGGGTCTTAAGGATCACCGTGAGTCGCAATCCACCCTGTCTCTGCCTGACACCGACAAGCCATCCATACTGACCCAATCCCATCCCCAACACAGGCCGGTGCGGTTCTGATCCACTGCGTCTACGGCATGTTCCACCTCGCGCGCCCGGCTGGGTCGAGGCCCCCCGGGTCCTCCGCCGGCTACCAGATCTTCTCCTCCATATCTGATCTCACCACCCTCCCTCTCTATGCCTTTGGTGTCCTGTCCGTCCATAACTCCCACGCCGAGTGGGACACCATGCTCAGCCCGCCAACCCTCACCATGGATTACCTCGTGCCCTCCCTGTACTACTCCCTCATCGGCGGCGGCGTCCTGCACCTGCTGTCGCTGTGCATCGGCCTGTGGCTCGCCCTCAAGTTCAGGCAGATTGCCAGGATGCCCCCTGACTGCAACCCTCTCGAGGACCACTTGACCTCCAGGCAACACAAGAGGAACAAGTCATCCATGACCGCTGCCTCTACCTTTGTCGCCGACGACGAGAAGCGCCTGTCGACCCCTCTTGGCGCCCGCCCGCACTCTGGTCTCCCAGATGACCATCTCAGCCGCCCGCCCTCCATCCCCTTCCACGCCACTCGGTCCCCTCGCAGCTCTTTCGGATCGGCCGACTTCCCGGCACGGCAGTACCAGATCACGCCTGGGAACTCTCCCAAGAATTCACCCCGGAACTCGGCCACTGGAGAGGACCTGAAGATGATGTCTGGTGCCCCGTCGTCGTCGTCACCCCTGTCCAACAAGCCAGCCCCGCCACCTCACCGAAGCCCGTGGCGTGGCTCTCATCCCTCCTATGCTGAGGTGCCCACTCGGGACATCGTTCCAGACTCACCCAGGAGCTATGGTCATCAGTCCAGACCGAGCACCGGCACAGTGGCCTCGCATCATCCGACCATCACAAATGCGCCCGATACTGCCGCATTACCGAGACCTGCGAAGTTCACAGAGTCCTGGTACGCTTCGGAATCGCTGATCAACCGAACCCAAGCGCGCAATCGGGCCATCAACGCTGCCGAGAGGGCGGCTGAGAAGAAGGCGGCCGAGCAGAGGAAGACGGTCTTGGGCTACGAGTCCATCAGGGACCCATACGACACCCGTGACTCGGACTCCGAGTCTGACTACGAGGACGGCGGGGACGGCCGGGGACACGGCTACAGGGGCCTGATGAGCCCGGGGGCGGACGAGCTGGACGAGAACGACGGCGACCTGGGATCCCAGCACCCCAACCCGCTGCGGTCCAACCCCTCCCTTGCCAGCTTCGGCCAGGTCTCCGGCCAGCAGGGCCGCAGGCCCAACAGCGACAGCCCCATCATCCGCAAGTCGTCCGCCCTGTCCGAGATCGACCTCAACGACCACCGCGTGAGCGGCAACAAGCAAGCACCCAGGAAGGCGGCCGGCGACGTCGCCGACGAGAAGCCTGGGCGCAACTACGGCGGGCTCAAGGCCAGCCTCAGCAAGCGCTACACGTGGGGCGGCGCCGCGCGCAACCGGAATAGCTCCATCCAGCCCGAGTCGGACTTCTACTCGAAGCCGTACGGCGAGCTCAAGTCAGCCACGCCGCCAGTCATCATCGGCAGCGACAGGCAGGTCTCTTCCGGAAATGACCTGGACCTGAGCGGAGCCGGCGGCGGCGAGGCTGCGAAGAGGTACTTCTCGTTCGGTAAGAGGAACGTGAGTGGGAAGGTTGCCGAAGAGGGCCGGGGCATCGGTTGGGCTAGGTAGTCGGGAACTCGGATGTGTTGGTTCTACGACAGGTTCGGCCATCGGGCGGTCAGCATGGTGACATTTATGACGTTTGTGTGGATCTGGGTCCAGGTGGTAATGCTGGATGACTTACGAGCATGGGCCAATGTGTAAATAGTGATTTTTTGGGATATTTTTGGGATAGGAATACCTCGGGTCGGATTTTGGGTAGTGGGGCATATTGTCAACGATATACATAGGTATGACCCAATGGATCATGGATTTTGTTACACTTGTATGTTATAGTCATCACCTGAATGTGAAAGCATTGAACAAACAAGGAGATTGCAGATTAGCAGATACCGAGTGCAAAAAGGATATCGAATACCCAACGCCACGCCATGCAACAACGCTCAGAGACAGAAGCCAACTCAAGCAGAATATGCCCCATGTCCTGCATGCATCCCGTCCACCTATTATTCAACAGCACGCCTACCTCGCCCACCACGCCGTCGAGTTACACAGAGGCTACCCTCGACAACACCAGGACACAGAAGTATGGGAGCAGAGAATAAGCCTCTGCGACCTCAGTCAAGCTTTTCTGTCAAAGACTTTAGCACGCGAGAGTAGAACTTGGCCGCGTGGGCCCGCGGGAAAGAGATCTCCTCGACGAGGTACTCAGGCAGCATCTCGATCAGCTGGCTGTCACGGCGCTCATCCAGCTGCGGCTTGTACATGAACTCGGCCTCGTCCGTATTCTCCTCCGAGTTCTCGTTCGCGATGGCCAACTTGAAGTGTAGCGCTGAAGCAACAACGGTTAGCCGCAGACAACATTGAGACATTCCTGCCTAGGTCGGGGTTGCACCTACTGCCGTTCCTACCCGTCTGGATGCAATCGTACACATCCTCCGGCCCGTCGCGTCTGATGCCCGTCACAACCAGCCCTGTCAGATCGCTGTAAAGGTTCTCCTTCATCTTGGCATTTTGAGTAGCTTGCAGCTGAGCCTGAACCTGCGCCTGGTCTATGCCACGCCCGCCCATCGCGCTGGGCTTCATGGCGCTACCTGGGACCCTCACTGTCGCGGCTTGGGCCGTGGCAGTGGCGGTCGCCTCGGCAGCTCGCGCAGCATTCAGCTTCGTCGTGAGAGACTTGATCTCTGTCTTGGCCTCGGATAGCGTCGTCGTTATCTCCGTGACCTGGGCCTGCAGTTTGTCGACTCGGGCTTGACTAGCCTCAAACTGCTGTTGGGATTTTTGTCCTTCTTTGGCTAGTTGCCTCTGGGCTGCGAGCTCGCTCTTGAGGCTTTTCACGAGCTCGTTTGAGGCTGTTCGTGTTGTCAGCATCGAGATGGTCGGCTTTGCACAGATCTTGGAGTCTAGCTTCACATACCTTGGGTCTTCTCATCGCTCTGCCTTCTCAGTTGGTCAAAGTTCTTCTCCGCCTCCACAACAGCCACGTTGCGCAGCTCTCGGTATCTCAACTCCAATGCCTCATACTTCTTTGTCAATTCACCGAGTTGCCGTCTTGTGGACGGGTCGCTCTCGATAAATGATGAGCTGGCCGACCGTTTTGACGCGCTCAACGGGACATGGTAGGAGCTGCTTCGCTGCGCAGATGGTGGAGCGCTGAACCGCGAGAAGTTTGGGAGGTCCTCCACCTGGTCTTGTTCCTCCGCGGCATCGATGTCCATCCCACTGTCTGCCTGCGTCTCTGGGATCTCGGGGAACATCTGTTGTCCAGGCTTGTCGGCAGCCTTGCGACCTCGTTTTGAAGCTGGCGGCTCTGCCTTTTTCTGTACTGAATCAGGTACCACAGCATCCTTCCTTGGGCGGCCGCGCCCGCCCTTGGTCTTGGTAGGCTCGTCGCTGTGCGGCGGCGTTGCTAGGACGTCGTCTGCGTCGTCCTCATCGTCATCCCCGGCAGCCTTCTTGGGTTTGCGACCTCTAGCAGCCTTTGCTGGTGGGTTTGCAGCCTTTTCTGCAAGCGCCTGCCTCTCTGCCTCCTCCTCGAGTGCGGCCGCAGCCGTAGCCCCGACGCGACGCGTCTTGGTCTTGGGCTCGGGCTTTGCGACCTTGTTGGCGGAAGCGCGACCTCGACCCTTCTTGGCGGGCATATCGTCTTCTGTCTTCAGCGCCCTCGATTGCGCGTTGATTCCGGGGTCCGAACCAGAGTCGGCCAAGTCAAGCAGGGTGGGCTGTTTGATCCGTGGCATCCAATTGAGAAACGCGTCGGCTCGATGTTTCGACCCGTTATTTCGGAAAATCGGGACGGTTTTTCAACTCTTTGGAGAAGGATGGGAGAGTAAGGTCGATGACAAAGTGATAGAGTAGGAATGAAGACCAATTAAGGTGCTCCAGAGACGGTGGGCTTGGTGTCGCAGTCGAGTGAAGGACAAGGTGTTGAGCCGAGCTTGTTGGAGAAAGTAAACAAGCGCCACAGCCCCTGTTTTCCGCTGAGCTGTCTGTCGGTCACAGTACACGGCCCAGGTGCCCAGGCTGCCAGGTGGGGGGTGGGGAAGCCCACGGCCGCGGCCGCATGTGGGCTTCGCGTGCAGCTAGCGCCACCATACTACCTAGGTGGACGACGTAACTTTTGCCTCTGGCCGTAACATGCCCATAGCCCGGCCAAAACACCTCGGCAGAAGGCGACATTTTGTCAACTACATTTCCCCAACTACATTTCCCTCACAGTCGACAACACCCGGCCTCCCTTTGCTCCCTCTTTTCGAATCCAATCTCCCCTGCTCTTCAGCTCGCCGGCATCCCGTCCTTTCCATGAGCGGGATCCTGTCCAGCTTAGTGATGGGCGACCGCAGAGCCCGGACGTCTGACGCCGTCCTGAATATCGTCACTGCTGGTGCACTTGTACGTCGATCGCACTCCTTGCTGTGCTGTCGCCTGACTTGAAATGGGACAAAGCACGCACACACTTCTCAGGCCCATACTGATGCCACCCACAGGCTTTTGTCTCCTATTTCTTCGTCAAAAACCTCCTCTCCTCCTTTGCGAACACCCTCGCCGACCCGGAGAAGGAGAAGCACGAGCAGGCTAGGATAAAGGCCCAGGCGAACCTGTCGCGGTTACGGCGGAATAGAAATGAGGATGGCGTGGACGACATGGAATCGAGCGGCTCACGGAAGGGCCCGCGGATCGAGGACATCCAGCTGAACGAGTACGAGGCCATGGTCGCCCTCGAGGTGGTTGCTCCCGAGGATATCCCCGTCGGCTTTGACGACATTGGCGGCCTGGAGGACATCATCGAGGAGCTCAAAGAATCCGTCATCTACCCGTTGACCATGCCGCACCTGTACTCGCACGCCGCGCCGCTGCTCTCCGCACCCTCTGGAGTGCTGCTCTACGGCCCTCCGGGTTGCGGCAAGACGATGCTCGCCAAGGCCCTTGCGCACGAGAGCGGCGCTTCCTTTATCAACCTTCACATCTCAACCCTCACGGAGAAGTGGTATGGGGACTCGAACAAACTAGTCAGGGCCGTCTTCTCCCTGGCGCGGAAGCTGGAGCCGGCCATCATCTTCATCGACGAGATCGATGCGGTGCTGGGTACGCGGCGGAGCAACGAGCACGAGGCAAGCGGGATGGTCAAGGCCGAGTTTATGACGCTCTGGGACGGTTTAACTTCGTCAAATTCGGCCGGGGTTCCATCTAGGATCTGTGTGCTCGGCGCGACAAACCGTATACACGACATTGACGAGGCCATTCTGCGAAGGATGCCCAAGAAGTTCCCGGTCCCGCTGCCAGACAAGGACCAACGGCGCCGCATATTACAACTCGTTCTACAGGGCACAAAGCGTGATCCGACGTTCGAGCTGGAATACATAGCCAAGGTCACGGCGGGCATGTCAGGCAGCGACATCAAGGAGGCGTGCAGAGACGCGGCCATGATACCGATGCGGGAGTCTATCAGAGAACACCGCGCCTCAGGCCAGTCGATGTCTGGTATCAGCCCCGATCGGATACGAGGCTTGAAGACAGAGGACTTCTTCGGAAGAAAAGGCGGTGGCCAGATCCTTATGCAGAACCACGAGCGACACTCTTCGCAAAGGGCCGCCGCTTCTGCTACTGCTGCTTCCAAGACCTCAAGTGATGAGTATGAGGATATTGATGAGCAAGTTGGCGAAGCTCCAGACTGATCGCGGGGTAAAAGCCTCGACGTGTGCACGAAAATCACGTATCGACGGATTCAATGCAAGAGGAACACGAACAGAAGTGTGTTTGGGAAGCAGCAGGCGCTTAGATAGAATCGTCACACCTCTATTGGGAGAGCTGTAGAATCATGGGTATGCTTTTAAGAAACTCATGGGGGCCTGAATACTAAATATTACCTCTCACTTGTCTGCCTCGGGCATTTATAAGTGTCACAAACTCAACCAAAAACGATGTGAAGCGGCACCAGTTGCTAACAACGATTCGATTGGATATAGTGGTCGAGATTGTGGAGTCCTCCTCATACGAATGACGCTTTAACATGACTCCTCTTGGAACCAACATCAACCGAACCTTTTCTCTTTCTGGACTTCGTGATCAGCACTGTATTTCCACAGTCACGACCACACCAAGAAGACCGTGAAAGGGCGACATAGGAAACGAGATGGCTTCACGACACAAAAACCGCTGTCTTGCGGTTCAGGGATTCACGGACGCTTGGGAACCAGGGTTGTGTGATGGACAAAAATCCAGCCCTCGTGATCCAATTCCTAAAATACCCAGAGTCATCAACTACGTTGCTACAGGGATTCATCATCAAGCCCTGCTGCTATATAACCTAGTAAAAGGGCATAAGAAGAAATCAAGGAGAATTCGTTTGACACCAAACCACCCCGAGCTTCAGAGACCGGGGTCAATAGCCTCCTCTCCAAATTGCATGACATTCATGCTCCAGTCATCGTGAACAACATCCAATCGCGTACATGGGTATAAAGCCGGGAAAATATCTCCACAGAGAAGAGAACACAAGAAAAATTGCCACAGGTGGCTTGGCTGGCATTCAAAGTGCCGGGGCCAAGAAAGAAACAGATCTCAAAAGGGGCAAAATTGGATCCACCACACAAGACAATAAACAATAAAGACTGCTTCCACGGTATGCGGGCAGTTCTGGAGGGCGGATGTGCAGTTCAGCCGTCTTGGGTATGACAAGAAAATAAGGGGCTGCAAGGTTGTATGTGGTAAATAGGCACTTGTCGAAAGTCAAAAAGTGAAAAGGCCAGCAGCGTCAAATGAATAGGCAAGAAGATCGCGGAGCATTTCATGGCTCGCCCAGGGGTGGTAGTGATGAGTGCGATGGTAACCTGCGCCAAGGCCGGATGGGGACCTCAGCGTAAAGGAGTCCGGAAAGGCGCTGCCTTGAGAATCTGCGTTCCGGTGATTGTATCGACAATGAAGACTGCTGCTGGCAGGGTCCGAAAGGAAGATATTTGTTGCTTGGATGAAGAAGGTCGAACGTAACAAGGATGCCCTCAGTACAGCATCGCGGCCGCGACGAATGCAATGACAAAGCCAGCAAAGGCTGCCTGTCCCTGGTCAGGATTCCTTGCGTCGCTCTTGGACGAGGTTTCCGCGGGTGCTGCTTCGCTCGTCGCGTCCGCCGACTCGGCAGCAGAAGTGACAGCCGTCACAGTTGGCGTGCTCCCGCCCCTTCCGCTTTCCTGAAAGATACCACCGAACGTCGCTGATGCGAAGGTGGTGCTCGGGGTCTGCGTTGACGATAGGGCCGAGCTGCTGGCAGTAGTGGTGCTAGCAGAGGATGAGGAGCTACTGCTTGACGAGCTTGACGAGCTGCTACTCGCAGCCGTGCTTGAAGCTTCTTCCGATGTGGATGAACTGGAGGTGGCTACGGCCGCGACCTTTGGCTTTTTGGGGGCTTGGGACGTGGTGGTGGCCTCCTTGGATGACGAAGGGCTCGAGGCATCGCCTGTCGAGCCATCGGTATTGAAGACCACGATGTTTGCCGTGGAGCCTTTTGGGACTGTCACAACACAAAAGTCGGCGCCGCCAGCGCCGGAAGCTGCGGTGGCGCTTCTGACGTGCCCGAAGCCATCAGAGCTGGGATCGATGGCGCAAGGCAGGCCATTGCAGTTTCCGTCACACTCGATCTTCAGGCCGAATGAGGGCTTAACACCGTTAAAAGAATCCGTGTAGATAGGGTTGTAACCAAGCTTGACGTAAGTGTTACCAGTTGCGTCCTGGTTGGCTCCGGCAACATAGGGCGACCAATTCCCGATGTCCTGTGAGCCTGTTCCCCAGAGACACGCTTCTTCCGTCGTGCGGCCGGGTGGGTTGATGTAAAAGTGCGAGGCGGTTGAGCCCCAGTAAGACGGTCCGGGAACAGCAATGGTTGCGCTGTCCATGACGCGTGTGGGGATCAACATAGCTTCGTTCCCAGGAAGCACAGTCTGGCAGAATGCGACAACCTTGCCACACTTGTTGACGGCCTTGACAGACCCGACGCCTGGGACGCAGTATGGCTGGTCTGGGAATGGCTTGACGATCTTTCCGGATTTGTCGCAATAGAGCCCTCCGTCCATGGATTCGGGATAAACATACGTCGTACCCTTTTTCCATTGATTCATGACCATTCCCGGCTCGCAAGCAAAGGGGCAATACGTTTCCGCAATGCACTCCTGGTCCGGGCTCAGAGCCCAGCCCTTGTTCATGGAGCCCGGAGTAATAGCGACCAGGCCAGCCTCACCCTCTGGAAAGGCACATTGGCCTGCTCTGTTGACGAGCCGGCCACGCGGCTCGAGTAGCCCGAGTTCTTGCGCATCTTGTCCGTTGTGGGTGTGGTTCTTGCTGTAATGCTCGTGAGCGCGACGGTGAGCCACCGTCGCGGATGCCGGCTGGCCGGCCAACAACAGCAAGGCCGAGCCCAGTGCGGCCGTAAGTATTGCTTTGCTCATGGGTGACGGCGCGCGACAGCAGAAACGAGTGTGAAGTAAAGATCGTGAGCAGCTGGGCGCTACCAGGTTGGCCCGAGCTAACTCTTGGGCCAGTTGTCGTCGTGACGGATGAAATCGTCTGGAAAGTGAGGCCGCGGGTTTGACAGATCGTGTGGTGGTATTATTCCAGTCCGCGAGGTACACTCTCGCATTCCTCAGGATTTGGCAGTCAACACACCACACTCAGCCACTTACTTGTTCGCGATCCAACCGTCGCCAACCAAAAGAGTGTCTTTTTTGCTCAAGAGCAAGAGAAATCAGCAAGCATCGAAGCGAGAAAGACTTGTAAAGAGCGTGTGGGTTCTGGAAGAATTGCCCGAGTAGCGCGCAAGAAGCTGGGGGACCTCAGGAAACGAAATGAGCGAGGTTGCGAGGCAGTTGGTGAAGAGGCGGGCGAGCCAGATGGGGGCCCCCCGGGGGTCAGCAAGGAGAACAATGACCCACGAGTGCGACTTATCGACCAGGTACACAAAGGAAGTAGCCGAAAAAGGATCTCTCGCCCCCCCTGCCAGAGCTGCAAGAGACAGGGTGGTACTACCGGGATGCCTTCTTCACCACTGTGTACTGTCGCATCCTCCGCACTTGGCTTCTTTTAGGTTATTGCTGTGGGCCTGTCAAGCCGTGCCCTGACCAGTCGGCGCTCATTGTTGCGCCTTCTGGGCCCGACGTGCGCGATTTGCTGGAACCCAATCGAGACGACAATCCGGGCGCGAGCCGCCGCCAGCCCAACACTGTTCAGCACAGGCTGGCTGGCAGGCTGGCAGACGCACGCGGGCAGACGCAAGGCACGCATGGGAGATTAAATGATCAGTGCTGTAGCGAATCAGGGGCCGTGCCATTTGCAGATAGCCTCACCCTCTTGCTGCCCTTTTGGGCCTAGCCGCACCCAAGTCAGGAACGGGCAAGCCAGCGGCTGCAAGGTACACCAATGACAGGCCTCGCGCAAAATGAGACGACAGGGAGTGGCCAACATCGGTGGTGGTGAAGTCGTTGATCACGATTTCATTTGCTCCCTTCACCAAGATGATTGCGGCAGTACTGGATTGTCGGCTCGCCGCCGTTCGGAGCGCAATGACTTCATCGTGTCTGAGGACATCGCGATCGCTTGAGAGAGAGAGAGAGGCACCCAGTCTGCCAGTCTGCCAGTCTGCCAGTCTGCCAGTCTGCCAGTTCCTCAGGTGTTGAAACCGGCCAGGTTCCGGTGCGGCTGTGGTCCGCAACAGACCCATCGCCAAGACTCCTTCTCACGTTCCATGGCAGGAGGAACGGGAAAAAGAGATGAGCCATGTCGCGACGCTTGACTGGAGACCTGGCTCCTCAGGCTCCTTTATTAATAACCTGCGAGTCCGATTATCTGGAGACGTGGAAAAACACACCAGTTAAGGTGACCGTGACCGGAGAGGATCAGGCTTCTTTCCCATCCGCCGGAGGATTTTGAACCCCGACGTCAGCTGATCCCCAACCTTTCAGCTTTAGTGCCTCGTCGGCTGCAATACCGATCCTTTCGTGGACGAGTTGGTCGGCAGTAATTTGAAGATCCAAGGTTCGGCAGCGTTGGCTCAGCATCGCAAACTGGAATCAGACATCTCCGACTATCTCGAACCGAGGGCAATTCATGCTGTGAACTCGTCGCTGGTCATGTCAATGGAGAGCTCTCTCGACTTCTGACCACGGCATCCGACATCTGGAGGGTCTTTGACGACTGAGTTGTGACTACTCCTCCGAACCATCTTGGAGTTCTCATTCAAGCATACCCCGGTGGCATCTTCACCCATGCAGGGACTTCGTCAACGTTGACGCCATCCTCAGACATCCTATCTGCCACTACCCTTACGACTGTCGGCCATCCTGCTGCAAGCGGCCCACCGCCCTTCTTTGCTCCCATCACAGCGAACCTGCCGCTTGAATGGGCAAGGAACCCATTCATCAATCCCTGGGCAACCAGCGTTGCGACTACGCCTTCCACCTCATGCTCCGTCACCTGCAGGTTACCCCAGAATAAGCCCTCGCTGGGCTTCAAGTTCCTCGTCTTCCCGCCCGCCGGCGGCACAAGTACAGATGAGGCATCGGCGGCGCTGTTGGTCACGGCCATCATGAAGATATTGTTCGTCTGTGACTGGCGCTTAAGTGGCTGCTGATTCCGCCCCGGTGTCAAGCCCTCGAGGCGCTTCTGGACATAGGATGCGGCAACGTAGACGTCTGCTAAGTTTAGAGTTGGCGCTGAGCGTGACGTTGGTGGTGGCGCTTCATAAGTGAGGAGAAAGCACCGCCTGATGAAAGAGCGCCACACGATGGGGCGCAGGCGGAAGGTGAGGGTGAAAAGAAGGCCTTTATGATACAACCAGCGCTCGTTGGCCGATAGGGCTTGTTGAAAAGCAAGAAAATCCCCTTTACGGATCGCTGTCATAATTGGGAGAAACACAGCGGCGAGCGTTGCTGCCTCAGGTCTGGCGAGCAAAAGCTCACTTGGGAAACGCCCAAGCATAATATTGGCCGGTATCAGGTAGGTGAGAATGAGTCTCCGGTGGCGCAGAAAAGACGGTGGCGTTTGCAGGTAGGCTTCCTCGAGGCACAACGACGCGCGTACGAAGTTATCGCAGTCGAAGTTGAACCTCCCAAGGTAATATAGGAAGGTAACTCGCTGTGCAGCCGGATATAATTGCAGCGGCGGTCCACTCGCAGATACGTTGAGAAGCAACTGTGCTGCAAGGCGAGATTTCCCACACTTGGATGATTGTGGTGTTAGTAATATGGCCAGTCTGGAACCTTTCGCCGTGTGTCAACTCACAGTAAAGAGGAGTTTCAGGACGAGATTGGCGAAAATGTAGACGCCAACCTTTTTGCCCTCCGGTCTTGCAAACCTGGTACTCGATCGGTCCGTGAGGCAGGATGTGAATATCTTCTGGATGATGTCGGCAGACTGCTCGACCATGGATTTGCTGTCTTCGCCCCCGGCGACAGACCTTCGCCCTTGCATCAGATCAGGACGGCGGTGGAGCATCATGACGACCTTAGAGAGTGCCTCGGAAAGCGATATGCTGGTCTGGAACATGATGCTCCCATATTGTGGATGCGACAAAGCAGTAGCGCAAGATCTATGGAATGTCAGCTGTGCTTGAGAAGCGGCAGAGGGCATATGCACGGTACACACGTTAATAGACCTGACAGTGACTCCTGGACGCTCATCAAGTCGTCGAAATCCGCGTCCCTCCAATAAAGCAGATAATCCTTGACGAAGGTGACGAAGCTGGGCCACGGCGATCCAGTGCCGTCCGGCGGGTCGTCTACCTCGGGGAGGGACTTCTCCACCAGCCTCTCGAGTTGGTTGTTCACACCCAGGCCCTGCCTCATTTCATCTCGGAGCTGCAGATAGGCGTGGCTTGTTGCACCGGGCTCAACCTGCAGCCACGCGTCGAGGCTGTCGCCATCCAGCGCAACCACATGATCCCTAATCGTGGATAGAAACTGTGCGATCAGAGGAGGCATTATCGCAGTGGGGCTTGCTACTTGCGATGCAAAAAGGGAATCAATTGAGACATTGCGTATTTGCATGGATGAACAGAGGGCCATTATTACGGGCTGTGACCGCGCGAGTGAGATGGGTTGGGATGGGATGGGCTTACCTAAGCAGCGTGGGTTCCCATTCGCGCTTCATTAATGCTTGTGTAGTAGTATTCAACCATCGATTCATATGACAGGCCGGGGCTGGAAGATCGCCTGTTCTAGTGAGCCTAGATTGGATGGTTTACTGGCTAGTGAATTCAGAAATCGTCGAAATGTCGGTCCTTGTACAAACAATAGGCAATAGAAGTCCGCGACTGCCACTGCCTATTCCGCGCGCTTTACTCAATTTCACTAGGTGATTCCATGGTTCGTGGGTTTGCAAATAATGTACCCAGGTAGCGGTGAGATGTCAGGGATTGTGCGCAGACGGTCAGATATACGTCGTCCCTAAGTACAAGTAAGACGGAAATCTGCCTATCTCTTAGCCGGCCCCCCCATGGGGCAGCCCCCAACAAAAGGCTATCACCCAAAGATCTTGGAAGCTTTCCAGGTAGGGAGTCCGGTCTGAAATACTACTGTTCTTGAAGGTGTGGCGGTGATATGGGAATAGTACATGTGAAAAACCAGTTGCTCGACACAGCTTGCAGCGAAACTCCTGCGAGCCCCACCAAAGCACGAGGCCGACCTTTTATCGGCCGCTGCATCGAAATGATCGAAGTCATATATTCGGTATTCTAGCTCATCTTCGCTTATACCCGCAGCCCAGTTACCATCATCGTGAGAGCCGCCTGGCTTGATGTGTCCTCTTACACAGACTCAATACGCTGGACAACAACTGCTGTGGCTGCGCCGCCCCCGTTGCAGATCGCGGCAACACCATACTCGCCCGGCTTGAGCTGGTGAAGTAGGGTGGTAAGGATTCTTGACCCAGAACTTCCCAGTGCATGGCCCAAGGAGATGGCACCGCCTAGTGGGTTGACCTTCGCCCCCTCAAGTCCAAGAATCTGGCGTCGAGTTAGCACGAGTGTCGGTGGACTTTTTGCTCGAGTAGGGCCACTTGGTCCTTGCTCCAAGAGAACTAGTGAAGGAGGGGAAACAGGCAGGGAATGAAGGGCAGATTGATTTTACCTTTTCATTGGCCTTGATGACAGCAGCAAAGGCCTCGTTGAACTCCCAGATGGCTACCTGATCCTTCGTTATACCAGCCCTCTCAAGCGCGATGGGGACAGCCTTGGCCGGTGCAATAGGGAAGTCAATCGGATCCGTTGCTGCATCGGCAGACCCGCATATCCTCGCCAGTACTCTTGACCTGGACCCGAATTCCCTTGCGATAGTCTTGCTACCCAATACCAGGGCACTAGCACCGTCATTGAGCGTGGAGGAGTTGGCAGCTGTGACCGTGCCGGTACCGTCTCTGACGAAGGCAGGCTTCAGGGTTGGGATCTTTTCCAGCTTGACGTCCATGTAGCCTTCGTCTGTGTCGATCACGGTCTCGCCCTTCCTCCCTTTCACGGTCACAGGTGCAATCTCGTCAGCAAATGCCTTGGCCTTCCATGCTGCTTGTGCCCGTTCGTATGACTGAATGGCGTATTGATCCTGTGCCTCCCTAGTGAGCTCGTACTTCTTGGCTGTGTTCTCGGCGCAGTTGCCCATGTGTATTTGGTCGTACACGTCCGTGAGACCGTCCTTGATCAGGCCGTCCTCCATCTTGACGTGGCCAAAGGCCGGCAGGGAGCTCGCACGCGGTACATAGTAGGGTACTTGTGACATATTCTCCATGCCACCGGCAACCTGCGCCTCTGCAAGGCCGAGCTGGATGTTCTGCGCGGCGAAGACGACTGACTTCAAACCCGACGCGCAGACCTTGTTGATGGTGATGGCCTCGATACTTGGAGGAAGGCCCGCAAACAAGGCCGCCTGCCTTGCTGGGCTCTGGCCAACTGAAGCTTGCAGCACATTGCCCATGTAGACGTCTGTGATCTTGGAGATGGGTACCCCGGATTTCTCGATCGCGGACTTGATGGCCACTGCGCCGAGTTTCGGTGCCGGGACGGTAAGGAAGGAGCCATTGAACTACAACGAGTCGTTAATTCGGTTGTTTTTGGTCGTTGGGGCTATTCGATGGAACGTACTTTGGCAGTTGGTGTCCTGGAGGCGCTCAGGATATATGCGTCTCTTATTTCTTGTTGAAGGGAAGGCGCGGCGGAGAAGGAGCGTGTGGAAACCGGCGTGCATGTGACAGCGCTGCCCCGAATGCCCGGCCGGATGCAACGTAGAGGCATGATGTCTCTTGGGGCTGATCAAAAGGATGAGATGACGCTGCAGAGGCACAAGAGACCCCAAACAGACAAATAGGAGAAAAGGGAGGGCCAGAAATATTTAAAGAGTGCATCCAACAGTCAGTCAGTTCCCGGAAGCTGGGGGAGCAGGGGCATGAGATCATCCTCGGCATGTGAGCGTCCCTCCCGCCTTTGGGGGAAGGGTCTACGGGTATGCGCGGGGAACAGCAGGCCATGCCCCTTGGGCCTCCACTAGCCGCCGCCACTATTCCGAGGTGCCGGCCACGGTCTTGAGAATACCTAGGTACTTAGGTACCCAGGTAGCCACAACGGGGCCGCCAGGACTTGATACTGACCCGAGTTCAGAAACCACCGGCAGGATGACTCGATCTGCGGCGACAAGGCCCCAGGGGGATGGGGACCATGGGCTGCTTTGTGAGGCCAGAAGCGGCAGCGGGAGCGGCGACTGATTATCTGGGCGTCCACTGGCCGGGCCATAAGGTAGGTACCTAGGTACCAACGTACTCCGTACTAGGATAGGACGGTGGGATCGCCCCCCAACTCACTCACCTCACGCCGCAGAGCATCTACCTAGGTACGCTACCCATCCACTGATCACAACCTGAGGCTCACCAACGCTCATTGACAATCCCTCAACCTCCAAAGCTGCTCGTCCGCATCTTGCCATCCATACCACCACCCGCGTAAACAGTCGTCATCTACGACAATGTCGACGGCAGCCAGGCGTCGTTTGATGCGTGACTTCAAGGTCGGTTGCAGACTTCCCCCCCCCCCACGCCATCCGCCACCCACCGCTCGAGGCCGCATCACCATCACTGACAACATGGCGAGTCACAGCGCATGCAAACCGATCCTCCAGCGGGCGTCTCGGCGTCTCCAGTGCCTGATAACGTCATGACATGGAACGCAGTCATCATCGGTCCGGCGGACACCCCATTTGAGGATGGCACCTTCCGACTCGTCATGCACTTCGAGGAGCAGTACCCAAACAAGCCACCCTCGGTCAAATTCATCAGCCAGATGTTCCACCCCAATGTATACGCCACGGGCGAGCTGTGTCTGGATATCCTGCAAAATCGTTGGAGCCCGACGTACGATGTCGCTGCGGTGTTGACGAGCATTCAGAGGTGGGTTGGCTCGAGACTGTGTGGGACGAGAACAAGGAGCCCCAGCTCCAGCGCGGATCGTGGCTGACAGCTTGTTTCACAGTCTTCTCAACGACCCAAACACTGGGTCGCCGGCGAATGTCGAGGCATCCAACCTGTACAAGGACAATCGCAAGGAATATACCAAACGGGTCCGTGAAACGGTCGAGAAGAGCTGGGAGGAGTAGGCTGCTGCGGAGAGGGGATTGCATACAACCAGACAGTATCAACCACGGGTGTTGGGAACAAAGGACACCATCTTGGCGTAGGCGTTTTGGCTTGCTGTCACGGGTATTAGGAGCCGTGGATTTCCTCATCATTAAGGCGGGTTCGGCGTATCCGGTCTTCTACAACTTCATACCAGCTGCAAGGGTGTTGGAGCAGGTGGTTCCTACCCTCTGGCCTTTGGTGAGCCAGAGGGTGCTTCAGCAAAGGATGGCAGAGGGGCACATGCGTATGTAAATTCATATCCCACCCTCTTGGGATGTAGGCATCAATCTGGATCATCATACTTCCCCACTAAGCGTTCAACGCTGAAGCCTTGAGTGGCGACAGCGTTGGTGGTGATTTGACTGGCCGCCGGCGGGAGCTGGGGAGGTCTGCCTACCCATAAGAGGCTATATTATAGGAGGCGAATCCCCAGGCCGTTTTATTAGCAGTGAGGAGGACTCAGCATTGGGTCGTGTGAGATATGTGAGATATGTGAGATACTGCTGCGACTAGCGGGAAACCGACCTGCCCAGGTCTCAACCCACTCCAAGCTTGCATGGCAACAGGGATGTTGGTGTGTGAGGAGACGGTTAAGCCACAAAGTCTCAATGCGTGTGCGACTGGGCCCTTCTACTTGGAGAACAAGCATTGCTGCACATGTAGACTATGCCACACAGCAGACTATCCCGTACACTGACTGATTCGAGCACGTAGAAGCAACTGTGTCCGTTAATCGGTCATCAAGGAGACTGGACAGGCGCGACCACTTGCCCAAATGCAAATAAGCCTGCAGCCCCGCCTGCGTCGAACATCGGCAATGCAGCTGTTCGAGTGAGCTGTCTTTGCCTGGTATGACCGAGTGTGCCTGGCCAAGCCAGAACAACTGGGACCAATAATTAAGTACCAGTACAAGGGGGCAGCGCATGAACGACTGAAATTCGTGCCAGCCACCTGCAGCTCATGCACGCTAAGCGCGTCACTGACCAGTGGAGGGGGAATGGGGGACCGCTCCTCCAACAAACAACAGATTCAGATTCCCCAAAGGCTGCCCCTTGTTTTTTTGTTGTCCCCCCCTGGACTGACACGCAACGTCACTTGTCTTGACGAGGCTGCTACTGCCGCTGGTACTTGGACTGTTGGCCTGGCCTGATTGACACAGCCGCTGTTGTGTGTCGGGTCTCGACAAAGCAGCACTCACCGACCCCTCGCTTTTGCTTGCCTTCCAAACCTTGCAGATTCCCCCACTATTATTGCTCGATTGAGGGAGTCTCACCGACCGACGGCAGGGCCGCCAACTTGGCCACTTCTACTCCCACTCCCGCTCCCGCACACCCTCTGCTCCCACCTGCGGCCTGCCGCATCGTCTTGGTTGATGAGATAGATCATAGCCATTTCGAGCGCACCATCTCAAGCGCCACAATGTCGAGTGGGAACACCATTAAGGTCGTGGCCCGGTTCCGGCCCCAGAACCGGATCGAGAACGAGTCGGGCGGCCAGCCCATTGTCAAGTTCGAAGGCGATGACAGTCTCACGGTTGATGTATGTTACTCAAGAGTGCTGTCTTCACGCTAACGTTCACTCAATAATAATCGGCGTCACCAACCTCTGATGGATGGCTAATCATCGTTTGCTCCCAATAGTCCAGGGAGGCCCAAGGCTCCTTCACCTTTGACCGCGTCTTCAACATGCAATGCAAGCAATCTGACATCTTCGACTACTCGATCCGCCCAACTGTCGACGATCTCCTGAACGGTTACAATGGGACAGTCTTCGCTTATGGTCAGACCGGTGCTGGAAAGTCCTATACCATGATGGGCTCGAGCATCGACGACGAAGAAGGCCGGGGTGTCATTCCGCGTATCGTCGAGCAGATCTTCGCGAGCATCATGTCCAGCCCTAGCACGATAGAATACACAGTCCGGGTCAGCTACATGGAAATCTACATGGAGCGAATCCGTGATCTCATGGCGCCTCAAAACGACAACCTCCCCGTGCACGAGGAGAAGAACAGGGGCGTCTACGTTAAGGGCCTTCTAGAGATTTATGTTTCAAGCGTACAGGAAGTGTTCGAGGTCATGCGAAGGGGTGGCAACGCACGAGCTGTCGCTGCAACCAACATGAACCAGGAATCATCCAGGTCGCACTCCATCTTCGTCATCACCGTCACGCAGAAAAACGTCGAGACCGGATCGGCAAAGAGTGGCCAGCTCTTCTTGGTGGACTTGGCTGGTAGCGAGAAGGTCGGCAAGACTGGAGCCAGCGGGCAGACGCTAGAAGAGGCGAAGAAGATCAACAAGAGTTTGAGCGCGCTGGGAATGGTCATCAACTCGCTGACGGACGGCAAATCATCGCACGTGCCATACCGTGATTCCAAGCTCACCCGAATCCTGCAGGAGTCTCTAGGTGGTAACAGTCGGACCACTCTGATCATCAACTGTTCGCCTAGTAGTTACAACGATGCCGAGACTCTCAGCACCCTGCGCTTCGGTATGCGAGCCAAGTCGATCAAGAACAAGGCCAAGGTCAATGCTGAGCTGAGCCCCTTGGAGTTGAAGCAACTCCTTGGAAAGGCCAAGACCCAGATCACGACATTCGAGAATTACATTGTGAGCCTGGAAGGCGAGGTCCAACAATGGCGAGCAGGCGAACAGGTTCCCAAGGAGAAGTGGGTGCCCTCGTTGTCCGCGGATGGCGCAACCAAGTCGCTGCCTGCCAGACCCTCCACGCCATCTAGACTCCTGCCAGAAAGTCGAGCGGAAACCCCGGCCGCGTCGGAACGGGCCGGAACACCGTCAATTCCCATGGACAAGGACGAGCGCGAGGAGTTCCTGCGCCGGGAGAACGAGCTTCAAGACCAGCTCTCCGAGAAGGAATCGCTAGCTGTCACGGCCGAGAAGGCACTACGTGAGGCTAAGGAGGAGCTGGGACTTCTCAAGGAGCACGACAGCAAGGTCAGCAAGGACAACGACAAGTTGAACAGCGAAGTGAATGAGGTCAAGATGCAACTAGAGAGGCTTAGTTTCGAAGGCAAGGAGGCTCAGATCACCATGGATGCCCTCAAGGAAGCCAACTCTGAGCTCACCGCTGAGCTTGACGAAGTTAAACAGCAGCTGATGGACGCCAAGATGGGAGCAAAGGAGAGCGGCGCTATTCTCGATGAGAAGGAGAAGAAGAAGGCAGAGAAGATGGCCCAGATGATGGCTGGCTTCGATCTAGGCAGCGACGTCTTCAGCGACAACGAGCAGTCGATCGCCGAGGCCATCAAGCAACTCGATCGGTTCCAAGAGATCAGCAACGGGGGCGACACAATCCCCGCAGAGGATCTTAAGGCTCTCCGAGAAAAGCTTGTTGCGACGCAAGGTATCGTGCGACAAGCCGAGCTTTCGCTCTACAGCTCGTCGCCAAGCAGCTCCGATGCTAAGCGACGTGCCGAGCTCGAGGCCCGCCTTGACAGTCTTCAGCAAGAATATGAGGACTTGCTGGCTCGCAACCTCGGCGAGACCGACGCCGAGGAGGTCAAGGCCAGGCTTGAGCAGGCTTACGCCTCCAAGCAGGGTACTCAGATGGAGCTCGTTGATGAGCTCAAGGGCGAGATCAGCAAGACGGCCAACGAGAATGAGCGCTTGAGGGTTCTGATTGAGGATCTTCAGCGGCAGGTCAAGGCCGGCACCGCGGCGCCGATGGACAACGGAAAGACCGTTGCGCAGCAAATGGCCGAGTTCGACGTCATGAAAAAGTCGCTGATGCGCGACCTCCAGAACAGGTGCGAGCGTGTCGTCGAGCTCGAGATCTCCCTGGACGAGACACGGGAGCAGTACAACAATGTGCTGCGGTCGTCCAATAACCGCGCGCAGCAGAAGAAGATGGCGTTCCTGGAGCGCAACTTGGAGCAGCTGACGCAGGTGCAGCGGCAGCTTGTCGAGCAGAACTCGAGCCTGAAGAAGGAAGTCGCCATCGCGGAGAGGAAACTGATCGCCAGGAATGAGCGTATCCAGAGTTTGGAGAGTCTCCTTCAGGATAGCCAGGAGAAGATGGCACAGGCCAACCACAAGTACGTAGGAGGCGGCCATATACCCCAAAGAGCCTTACTGATCATTGTTCCTGCAGGTTTGAGGTCCAGCTTGCCTCCGTCAAGGAGCGCCTTGAGGCGGCCAAGGCAGGCAGCACTCGCGGCCTGAACTCGCCCACTGGTCCGGGAGGATTCAGCTTCGCCGGCGCCGGGAGCAGAATCGCCAAGCCACTGCGTGGCGGCGGCGGAGACGCCCCTGCCGCCAACCCTACCATCCAGAACCTCCAGGACAACGCCAACAAGCGGTCGAGCTGGTTCTTCCAGAAGGGTTAAAACAGCAGGGACGGGTTTTGTCGTTACTGGTACAAGAACGAATATTTAGAAGAAACGACATCAACGAAGAGCCTGGGCGGGATACAGGTATCTCCCCCCAGCCCATGAGTCAGCCAGGAGGATACAAACAAAGAACTATACCCCTCTCCAGAATGCTTGTTGCCTTTTCCCTTTGTCTAGTATAACACCTTACACGAGTCAGCCATTCATAGAGGAAGAAGATCAGACGTGGAGTTTTGTCGTGCTGTTCTGTTGGGAAACCAAAGTGGTTCGCTTGGAATAACCCGACTACTGCAGGGTAAGTGATTCACACCTGGGAGGCCCGCCTTGCGGTTGGTCTGGTCTGTCCGGCCGTCCGACCTGGACGTGGTGGTTGTATGAAAGGGGGATATCAGGACAATGTAGGGGATCGTGTCGACCGCCAAGTATTATTTGCCGTTGGGTCTGCATCGCAAGGAGCGAAATCCATCCTTTAGCGTCTACTATGTATGTATTTTCACGTGCTCACGTGTAATATCATGACAGGTCGGAACGCACATTGAGGGTTAGAGGGAAGGCAAATTTCTCAACGGTTCTTGTGTGAAATTTTGCATTTATGAAATTGATATGCCTGCTCGTTTGAGCACTTGTTCGGGGGAGGTGGCAGGTCTGCCTTATGTGTTGTTGGTGAGTTGGGCACTAAATGCAAATAACATGGCCCAACCGAAACTCGCCCAGAACGCCGCTACCAAAACATGTGTCGCTTCCGGTGCAAAATAAAGTTCAAATGTAATAGTGACTGAATCCGCAGGTCTAGAACCAAACCACAAACCTGACGGCACTGATAATGATTGTGATCTTTGACAGCATCCTTGTCCTCACAGACGCTCACCCTCTTTTCAAACTCACTTTGGCGCAACCACTGTCTAATTCGAGTCAACGGGCCTGCTGGCTTTGACCGTGAGAATGAACTCGGGTACAACAATAGCGACGAATAGGACATAGACAGCGAACTCGACAGCGATGATCTTGCCAATGAGCTTGTAGAGACGGATCCAGCTCTGACGAGAAAAGGTCCGCCAGGCGTCCGAGTACGTAACATAGCCCTTGCCACCGACGACCGGGGGCTCCACTGCGCCGGCGAACGAACGATCAAAGGCCAGAATGGGGCTCTCGTCTGGTGGCAGCAGGCTAGCCTGGACGCGGACGAGCATAACCTGGGCGGGAATGACCAGGAACACCATGGCTGCGACCACGACGAGCGCGAGAACGAACGACTTCCAGATGATGTCACCCCCGTACTGGGGGACCTGGGTCGGGTTGCGGACGTCCCATTTGGCCAGGCCCAGGAGGTAGGAGAGCGCGATGGGCAGATAGGCGGTCAGCTGGGTGGCAGCCCAGTAGACGACGATGGGGACGGCGGTGGCCTGGAAGGTCTTGCCGAAGGGCGGCAGGCGCTGGTAGAAGCGCAGGGTAGAAGGTGCGGAGATGACGATGTGCGTCCAGGCGGTGGAAAGCTGAACGGTCACGAGGCTGGCCAGCAGGACACCGACGGAGCGGGGGACAAAAGGGACGCCGCTGAAGATGGCACCCGAGGCGCCGGCGGCAAGGGACAGGACGATGGCGCAGGGGAGGCCTCGGAGGTTGGCGGTCCAGCCAGCGGTGGAATAGAGAAGACGGTTGATGCTGCGGAGGGACGAGGTGACCAGAACGGGCTCCTGGTCGACCTTGACGGGCCGGTCGTCGAGGGGTGCGTTGTCCTCGGCGATGGAGTCGGAGTCGTTCAGGTCGACGGGCTCATATGGTGGCGGTTCGGGGTCTTCGATCATGGCGAGGGTCGGGTAGATATGGCTCAGAGTGTAGCCGACGTAGACGAATATCGGGAAGAAGACCAGGAAGTCGGCAAAGAATACGAGCCACGCCCAACCCGGCAACTCATTCATTTCCCCCTGCCCATCACCAACGTAGGCCTCACGCATCTCCAGGGCCCTCTTGGCCACCGAGCCACTGAAGGTGGCGGCGTGGTGCATCATCTTGCGTGGTGTTTCGGCCCTGCAGGACAGGCGGGTGGGACGGGGTAAGGCTGAGTTTGAGGAGAGAGAAATCAGGACCAAACGGCGAGGGTGAGAAAGAGGAAGCGCAAGGTGCACAAGAGTGCTGTGTCTGAACAAGGGACGGTTCCTTTATTAGAATGAATGTTGGCCGAGAGGGATTCCGAGCCGACCGCGAGACAGACAAGGGGGGCGGCCAACGTCAGGCAGCAGGTGGTGATCAAGGTGATTTACATTGATGTACAGCCCCACTGCGCCGCGAGGTTGCAGGATCCCCAGGGGACCCCTGGCCAATGGCGAGCAGCCCCAGTCGCCCCCCATACTCCAGCATCTTCCTTGGCCTGTCGGTGACAGGATGCGGACTCCTGAGAGAGGCGATGAGGTGAGCTGCCTGTCAGGCCTGTTTCAAATGTTGAGCTGCCAGGCTGCCTGCTGCCACCACAGCACCACTGCAGTCAGCTCCTTGACAGACGGTACGGGACACGTCTGTTGGATGACGTGCGGCTGGGCCGGCGGCACGGTGGGCTACTTTCGATTCTGCGGGTGTTGCTGTGGGTATCAGAAACGCACTGGAAATTGGAGAATCCAAAGGGCGGCCAGGTACACATACATTCACAGACGCGTGTTGGTAGTATGCATCGCAGTATTTGACGAGTACTTAAGTACCTACGTACAGGTAGGTACTCAAGTATGCTATCCGATGTGCGGCCCAGCCCACGTCTTGTGCAGATGCGGCTGTGACTGTCGATGCATCCGAGCCCACCGTCCGGAGTGGCGGGCCCAGGCAAGGCTGCAGGGGGCTTGCGTGCGCTGCCCGGCTGCTCGACCAGATCCCCAATTTATTACACTTCCCAAAACGCCGGGCAGACACCAACTCCAACACACAATCGTCACTTCACAGTACTTCGAGAATCCCCCGGCAAGGCGGTGGGGGGCAAACATGTCTGCAATTCGAGACAGGGGAATGGACCGTGACATGACGCCCGTTTTGGATCATCATAGAATCTGACCCCGCAGTGATTATTTACATGGCAATCCGTATCCAAGGCTGTCCCTCAAATGATTGCTTAGCAACAATAGCTAATGTCCCAAGTGTACCTCCGAGAACGCCCACGCTGCAAAGATGTATGACCAAGACCCTCATTAGAATAGCTTCAAGCCTGACGACTTGGCGATCCTGGTGCCGTTCAGCATGGCCCGTGACTTCTTCGGCCTGGCCTGGAGCCGCCGGAATGCCTCTTGAATATGCCTCGGCTCCACCGGCGTTCTGCCTTCGCTCGGCGGGTCGAACAAGCCCTGGTGCAGCTTCCTCTTCTTCGTGCCGCTGGCGTTCTCGCCCCCCGTCCTCTCCCGCCACAGGTCCTCCTGCTCCTTTATCCGGAGCGCCTCCTCCGTGAGCGTCTGGACCATCTCGAAGGTCAGGAAACCGAGAATGTCCACGATGTCGTCCGAGGGCTTGCTGTCCGTCACGATGCCGAACCCCGCCCACTCTCTGAACCGCTTGCCCTTGCGATACGTGAATGAGGCTTGCCGGTACTCGGACCATGTCACGTACTCCTCCTTGGTCATGGCCTTGGTCCGCTCGTCCGCCTTGCGCAGCCGCTGCAGGGTGATGTAGTTCATCTCCTCCTCCTCCTCGTCCTCCTCGTCCTCCCTCTCGGGAACCTCCTGGCTGTAGAAGCTGCTCGGCTCCCACGGCAGCCCCACCTTGGCCTTCTTGTTCTTCTTGGCCGCCTCGTCCACGGGACCCGCACCCGGCATCACGCCGGCGCCCATCGCCGGGTCCTCGGCGGCACCTATGTCGGCCTCGCCCCCCTTGTCCTCCGAGTCCTTGACGTTCTTGCGCACGTCTTTCCATGACAGGAACGTGCGCAGCCGCGACACCTTGGGCGCATCGTCGCGGATCTGGAAGATTAGGTCGTTGATGGTTATTGACCGTGAGCCACGGCGCGCGGCGAGCTCCGTGCAGGCGCGCAGGATCTCAATGACCTGCTGGCGGACAATCTCCTCAATGATGCCCATAGTCTCGATCGAGGGCTCCCCTGTCTCGCCCGAGACGTACATCATCTGCTGGATCTCCTGCCGGTACTTATACTGCTTGCCATCTTTGTCCGCCATGATGGGCCAAATGACAGTACTTGTGGTTGTGGCAAAGAATGATTGAAAAGATATCACTCACTCAAAGGTTGCGTGCAAGTGCGGAATGAATGAGAAGGGCCAGCCAGGTCAGATTGGTGGTTCCTCGGGGTTGGGGTGCCTGAGGTGGTGCAGTGCACGGACCCGGACCACGACTTCAGCCTTGAACTGCCAGTGTAAGTTTTGGGACCTACCATAGCACTTGCAACGGGAGCGTGACTGCTAGCCCAACGCTCTACCATCCGGCCAAAAGACTATAATAACCTACCTAATTAATTACTCTAACAGTACATAAGTACTACCATAGCGCTCCCTAGGGGGTTTTTAAAAATAATTATTAGACTATTCTTTTAACTATTAAGATATCTTTTATAACTTTAAAGTAATACTTTATATCTTTTAATTATTTTCTTATTAATATTATTTAATAATAATTATAAAATATATTAATATCTTTCTTTAAAATTAAATTTTCTTTAAAATTAAATTTTCTTTAAAATTAAAAAGTTCTTTAAAAATCTTTTCTTTTTATTTAAAATCTTTTATTTCTTTTAAAAACCTTTTTTTAAAGTTTTAAAATATAAAAAGAAGGCTTTTAATTAAAAATTATAATATATAAATAAATATATAAAGTTAATTAAAAGTTTATTTTAAAAGAAAAGATTATTAAAAGAATAGGAAAGGAATTCTTTTAATTAATTTTTATATTAAAGTAAAACTTAATATTAAAAATATAAAATTAAACTTTTAAAAATTAAACTTTTTTAAAAACTTTTATTATTTAAAAGTTAATTAAAAAGATTATTAATAATTATAATTATTATTAAATTATAATTAAATAATAATAATTTTAAAAACTTTAAAATATATAATATAATATATTATTATTACTTCTTTTAAAGTTTTTATAAAGCTTTAAATATATAAAAAAGAGTTTAAATAGTTTTAAATAACTTTATTATTAAATTAATTTATATAATTATTAAATAAAAGAAGTAATTTTAATAGTTTATTATTTAAATTACTTTAATTACTAACTTTTAATAGTAGAATTAACCCTTTTAATAATAAGTTAATATCTTTAAGTAATATAATTAAATATTAAAAGGTAATTATAAAGCTTTTAATATAATTATAATACTTTTAAAAGTAAGTTAAAGAGTATACTTTAATTAAAATTACTTTATATATTACTTTAAGCTTTAAATTATAATAATAATAGTTATAAAGCTTTTATTAAATAGCTTTTATTAAATAACCTTTTAAGTTTATAGAAAGTATAGTTAAACTTATTTATTAAAGTTTATTTTATTTAATTATATATATTTAAATATTTATAATTATTAATAATTATTAATATCTTTATTGTTATTTAAAAATGAATTAATAAGAATATTTTTTTATATATTTAATAATAATTTTAAATAAATTAATAATTTAATTAAAAATAACTTTATTAATAAATAAAACTTTTAATTAATTAAAAGTAATAAGAATATTATACTTTTTATTATTATTTAATATTTATAGTAAGTATAAAAAGTCTAATTAGATTTTAATTTCATTATTAAATTAATTAATAAATTTTAAACTTAAAGTTAAAGTTTTTACTTTAATTATTTATAATTTAATTTAATTAATTAACTTAATATACTTTTTTAAATTTAACTACTTACCCCTTTACTTATTTATTATAATATTAAATAAAACTTTTAAATATAAAAGTTTAAATCTTTAAGATTTAATTATTATAATAAAAGTATAATTATTATATTAATATTTAACTTTTATAATTAAATTTATTTTAAAACTTTTTTATACTTTAATAATAATAGCTATTAAACTATAGTTATAATAAAGTAGTTTATATATATATAGGGTGCTATAATATTTATTTATAACCCTAGCTTTAGTATGTAGGTATTCTCTCTTGTGGCTGTTGCACTGCAGCGCAGGATCAGGAATATTTCAGGTGATGTAGTCATCATGTATTGCTGGTGTTTTCTGAGCACTGGGTGATATCCATCCCTTTCATAGCCTCCAGCCGTGGGCCTCTCCAACCCCAAGCGACGATGTAGTGCCCGGCCAGCAACTGCCATTCCTCCACCTCGTCTAGACCCTCCAGCCCGTCAACCCTCTCCTTCTCCTCTTCTGATACCCACTGGCCCCAGATGCTGTCCACTGTCTTTTGCCTGACTTCCGTGAAGCCGGCTTCTCTGAGTCGCCCCTCCTGATCCTTGGGCTGCCTGTACACCTCCAATGTTGGCATCCTGATCTTCCTCGCCGCCAGGTTCGAAGCCATTTGCCGGCCAAACGCATCGTCCGGCTTCACAGGCTCGTATAGGACGAGACCCAAGTCTGGGATCCTGTCAACAAAGCACTTGATCACGTTCTGGGCCTCGGCCGTCTCGAGGTAGCAGAGACAGCACTCTGAGATCAGCAGAGTTGGGACATCGGTTCGTATGCCTTCGAGCCTGCTGAGCAGGAGGTCGCCCTGCTCTGCGTTCCTGGAGAGATCTCGCAGATCCAGCCCATGGCACCAGTACTGGTTTCCATCGCCCTCAGGTGTGCTCCGCCAGGATGCGGCTGCCGGTCCATCGTCGCTGGGCACCGGATCCGGCAGGACACTCCTCAGGGCCGGTGTTGCCTGGACCACCATCCTTTTGCGTGAGCTGATGGGGGGGAAGTCAACCTCATGATAGATCAAGCCGCGTCGGCGATTCTGCGAAGAGAACAGGCGGAAACATCTTGTATCAGTGCCGGCGCCCAAAGAGACAATTTGCCTCCTGGGGAGCGGTTCGTCCGCACCAGGATCGGGGCCGAGGAAGGAGTCAATGAGCCTGTCCAAGGCAGTCGTTCTTGTGTATGTGCCCCTGTTGATGATAGGTAGCCTCCTGTGCGGTTGTTGCCCCTGGACAAAATATTGCGCAAATCTGTCGTCCAAGTACCCCAACTCCACGGCACTCAGGCGCATCACAGCTGCATCCGTGTCGGTCCCCTGAACGGTTGCATCTTGCTGGGCTTGACTGGAGGCTCCCGTGCCGGGGTGGCCACCCCGACCTCGATTGCGGCCCCGCGGACCACGATTAGAACCGCGCAATGATAGCAGGTTTGGGATAGAGGGCGCTTGCATGTCCCGTGGCTGAGACATAAGTGTTCCTTCGAAGTTGAGGGTTAAACCTCAGTCACGGTCTTTGGGTGGTGCTCCGGGGGAAGAGGGAGGAATGAACGTCGTATGTACCTAGGGCTAGGTAGGTACCTACCTAGCTCGGTACAAAACTGCCCCGCCAGGAGAGCTGGACATGGAGCTCCTGCCTGGGTAGGTATCCCCAGGTACGCAGCTTCCCCTGCAGCCTGTGACGCGTAACCCCGCTTGTTACAAGCGATAGAGGCCTTGCCGAAATGGCAAGGCAACTCTCGGGGAACGACACTTCGTCCATCGTCAGCTTCACGCAGCATTCACAGGGGAGGGGCAGCACTCTGATTACGACGTGGAGTCCCGCGCTGTGCCATTTCTCTCTTTGCAACCATATATTTAGTCCTCGAGTGTCCATTTAGCCCGCCACAATGGCTCCAGCAACGTCATCTCTTGTGGTTAGCCAACCGCTTCCTCCGATCGAAAGTTACCACCGCAGGATCTAACCTTCACTTCTTAGACGAAAATAAAGGTACAACTTAAGCTGTCCATAGCACGCCTCCGCATGGTCCAGAAGCGCGATGAAGCCGTGACCAAGACCCAAAGGAGGGACATGGCCAAGCTCCTCGAGGTTGGCAAGATCGACTCTGCCCAGATCCGTGTCGAGAACATCATCCGGAGCGATATCACCACGGAGCTTCACGAAATACTCGAACTGTACTGCGAACTGCTGCTGGCGCGTGCCGGGCTGTTGGAGGCGCCCGCTTGCGATCCAGGACTGGAGGAGGCAATCAAGAGTGTCCTCTACGCCGCCCCAAAGACAGAGATCAAGGAGTTGCACACGGTGCGGGCGCTTTTGGCTGAAAAGTACGGGAAGCAATTTGTGCTCGACGCCATGGAAAACAAGGACGGCAAGGTGAATGAGAAGGTGGTCAAGAAGCTGAGTGTGACGCCACCGAGGCCGGAGCTAGTCCAAGGGTATCTAGAGGAGATTGCCAAGGCATATGGGGTCAATTGGCCAAAGAAGGACCTAGGAGAGGCTCCACCGAATTTCCTGGACGATGACGACGACGATCCAAGTGGGGGAGGGCAGCAGAAGAACCTAGAGTCGCCACTAATAGCAGAGGATGCATCTTCTGAGAACCCTGCAGAGGAGCTCAGCAAGGCAACACCGCCCAAGAGTTTCGGTCCGAACAGTCCGTTGAGGGTAGCGCCTTCGAGCCCGTCCACGGAGAACCCACGGCCGAAGGTGACACTGAACAAGATGGAGCTCACACCGAACAAGAAGATGGAGGCTGCGAAGGCCGCACCAAAACTATCAGCAAAGAAGGATGACATTGGTAGTGGGATACCGGACGTGGACGAGCTGTCGAAGAGATTTGCAGCCCTGAAGAGGTAGATTGATAGCATGTGATTGGCGTTTGTCTTTCACGAAGGTGAGGAGATACAGCGGTAAGCGTTTTGAGAAAGTAACTCTCAGTGCTGTCATTTTAAGAGACCTCCTTCATGACTTTTGCAGACTGCCTTCGAGGCATAAATCGGACTAGGCGCTCTCGTGGGCATACCTGACTAGACCACGTTGGAGATTGAATGCAAAGTCTCAGCCAGTGCCTGGTAGTAGTACGTGTTCTCCTAGCAGAGAGTTGAATACGGTCAGGAAATCTTTCATATAAGGGCAAAAGTCGGCCTGCAGAGGAGGAGTGCATCTGCTCTCTCTGCAAACAGCTGGAGGTCAGAGAGCCCCCAGGTCTATCTCAGCAGAGCCAGCTTCGAAGGCTCTGGACACCTGAGAGCTGCATTTCGAAAAGATTGTCTGCTTTGGAGGTTGGTCTCTTTTGGAAGCTTCGTCCCATCCCACATAACATACCTTCCCAACTCCTTCACACCCGCGTCACTGCCTACTTCACATCTAGGTAGGTACCTAGAAACAATACCTGCTATCCAAAAATTGCAAAGAGGAAAGCGCATTTGATTTCGCACCGATAACGTCCTGGTTTACTTCTCATCTTTGTCGCGGCCAGTAGCCTTTGCGTCAACAGACCGCCCTCTCAGCGTCGCAACAACTCAACCTTCATCGAACATTGAACGATCTGAGTCTTGAAAGCCAAAGGAAAGCAGTCTGCAACAGCACAACATGAGCGGGGGTCCAGTCGACCTTACACCAGATGCGCTTCGTGCCATCGGTTTGCAAGAACTCGATAAACGCATCCAGGGTCATGCAGACTTGGTCAGTATCTACCTCATATGGCTGCAGGAACACCTGAATGTCTGGGATCTGTCCGATTCTGCCGCTTTCCGACCGCAAATCGAGTCTTGGTATACTTCACTGCGTTTTCACGGCTATCAAGACCAGCCAATCCGCGATGCGTTCACCGCTTGGGTGTCAAACCAGATTCAGACTGATCCCATTTGCGCCCGTCGATTGCTAGTGGCTGAGGAAGAACTCAATCAAGTCTGTGGCGGCAAACCGACCATGCAGCCCAGAGACTTTGGAGTGGACCATGGAGCCGCTGGTGTCATCACAGTGAGAGAGGACAAGGTCATTGACGTCTCATCGGGTGATGATGACAGTGACGTGGAATTCCTGGGATGGAAGCCGCCCGATATCTTACGCAGTGCTTCCAAACCCGCTCGACATCCAGTTGCACCTCTCACTGGGGCCAACAAAGACACCCAGCGTATGCAAGGAGCCGGGGTTCGCGAGCCCAACGATCGTTTGAAGCGGATGGAGACAGTAAACGTATCACCTATCCGTGTGCCCAGCGGAAGACCACACAAGAATTATGTCTGCGATCGATGCGGTGAGAGGGGTGAGACAGGAAATTCTCAGGGTCAAAGTCCTTTTCATTAATTCCTCCACTGGCAGGTCATTACAAGGAGCAATGCCCAACGAACCTTGATCCAAGCTTCGATCCGAGACCTACTGGTGGTTACCAGTGCTACTGCTGTGGTGCCAAGGAAAAGCACTTGACGACTCTCTGTCCCCACAACGAGAATCCAGACTCGGTGACCCAGCAGCGCATCAGAGCCGGGGTCCCGGTCATGATATCGTCTTCGCCGCTTGGTGAAGCTGACTGTTATCGCCCGCTAGCTATGCGGCCTCGCAAGGCCAAGAAACCTCCGCCCAAAAGCACTGATAGTGCTTCCTCACATGGAATTCATCGAGCCACCAGCCAAATAGAAGAGTGTGATGACCATCGTATGGATCCTGCCCGACGCGCTAGGCTGGAACGCGACGACCATGAAGGCTCTTCTCCCCTGTCGAGTGGCCGAAGGAAGGGCAAAAAGAGGAGTCACTACTCACCACCTCGCGAGAGACGTAGTCGAAGATCGAGCAAGAGAGTTCGACGTTGGCGTGAAGAGTCTCGAAGTGGTTCTCGATCTAGCCGGAGCGAGCGAGAAGCTTCTGCCGAATTACTGCCACGAAGAGGCTGTCGCAATAGTAGCGACGGCCGTCTATCCTACTGGGACGATGAATACGATGATGTCAAAATGTCGGACATGGGCTCTTTTCCGGAAAGCGGGCAACCAGGGTCTACCGTGTACGAGCCATCGGGAAATGTGAAGGCTGAGATACAGCGTCTGTACCCGGACGCTGGCCCTTGCTGGGTCTCCGAGATGGCGGGCTTTGACGTCGATGAGTTCTTAGATGGACTGGGCGATCACGAACTTGCCGCGATCACACTTTCAAGCGAGGGCGAGGAAGATGCACGAATGGGAATGGATATTTTCAGTGACGGACATGATCGCCAGGCCCTGCCTCCTAGAGTCAGATTGCCTCCGGCGCCAGGAGCTCTCACGGAGTCAGTCTCGAATAGGAAAGGGGTCTCCCACGACCGCCGAATGGAGACATCAGTGGACGACAGATCTCACGCGGACGACACCGAGGAGGCCAGCCATTACGTGCTTCAGAAAGACGATAAGGACAGGATCTCTGATGTGAACAACCGCAAAATCGTGGTCAAATTGCCACAGGGGGGTGGTGAAGGATTGAAATTGGACAGGTGCCGCGCACAGCTGGAAGTCAACCACGGTGCCTCACCCGATCCAGTCGTGAATTCCAGCAGTTAGAAAGTTTTGGGAGACACCTTGTCATTACTGGTGGTGACGATGCTTGCAGGGAAACGAGAAAGCTATCCGTGGCTAACGGGCTATTCGGATCTTGTCTAGGGCGGAATGTGTCGTCTCAAATGCATCCTCATCGAGGACGTAGCGTATCCAAATTACTAGACAGGATTAGTGGTTGAGCCTCCCTCAAGAATCGGCGACTGAGAACTCGACGGAGATACTGCCTGGTTACTCTACACGAAGTGTTACAGATCAACAATCCTTGGAGAACGTCATGCAGGCATCGGGTTGTTGTTGTAAGTACATAAGCCACACCTGCGCGGGGGAGAGAGCGGGTGCATCCGTTTCCCTCTGCGGTCCAATTTACATGCCGCAACTTCATGTCGTGCAAATATTGTTCCATCCATGGTTGCGACGGCAAGGGCCTTTTGTTGGAGCCCGGTTCAAGTGCAGCTCGCTCTGAGTTGGAACCCCAATAGGATGTGGGTGCATCTCTTTTCCTCTTGGCCTAGTCTCTGTCCAGTATTACGCTACAGGCACATATCACATACGTTCTTCTCAATGAGATGCTCTGAGGGGACAGGTGATAAGGGCGGCGAGAGTCGGCTAAGGGGAAAATAGATACACCAACATCCCCAAGGCGTAGATTCGAATACTTATTAGTAGACCAAGCTAGGGTTTCCAACTGCGAGCACAACGCCGTCCGCGAGTAGTAGCGCTCAATGTGGGCATTCCGTCAGCGCCAATTGCGAATGGGCATTGCTACTGTCAAAACGCATATGGGGATACAATGATAATCCTCTCCATGAATAGCAGAATCGGATTGGTCTGCAGATGGGTTCACTGCCATCCCAGCCGAATAAACTCCGTACGCCTCGCCCAAAGCCCGAGTACAAAAGTCAGCCCAGATTAGTGTACGCCGCTGGTTGTCCCGCAGTGCCTCTCCACTTAGTTTTCGGGTCTTGCATATTTGTTTTGACTCAAATACTTTGCAGCTACTCGAGCTTGTCCAGATGCTCCAACCTCGTCAAAACGACCTGCTTGCTCGTCTCCTCGATCTCGCCGGCCAGGAAGACCTCGTCGAGGATGGCGTAGACCTTGTAGAAGTTGAAGACCAGGTCCAGCTCGCAGACGTTGCCGAAGAAGGCGTCAAGGACCTCGACGAAGAAGTGGATGGCCTCGAGGAAGGCGAGCTCGTTGTCGTTGGTGTCGACGCAGGCGCAGAAGAAGAGGCCTGCGTACCGCCGGTAGACGATCTTGTTGTTGCGGAACTCGACGAAGTTGGACTGGTACTTTTGGTCTCTGGGCGCTACGAGGCGGTGGACCTGGGGGGAACAATTGTCAGGGAGTCAGGGACGGAAGAGTGGGCGCGACGCGGTGGGTGGTTGGTTACCTCGCCCTTGAGCTTGATCTTCTCGTCGTCGCTGTACGGCGCATACCACTTGGCGAGCCGGGTCTTGCCCCTGAGATTTCGAAACGGTCAGCTTTCTTGCGCCACACTGTCCACTGATACCGGGCGACGGGGCGACTGACTGGCGATTTTGTATGAGTATGAACGACAACATCTCGGACGGGTTCGGGCGCAGCTCAAGAATGATGTTGCGACGTTGAAGCTTCGGCGTTTGGGACGGTGCGGCTCCGTCTCGGGACATTCTAGCGTAGGCTCCCAACGGCCGCGGCCCCTGAGCTTGGGGTTAGGCCAAGGGCTGCCGTGGGGCCGGGGCCAATGTCGCCCGGCACTCCCGGGGCCATGCAGGCGGGCACTGTCCAGATTACCTGCATACCTACCTAGGCACCTAGGTAATGTAGTACCTGGGTACTTGGTTGAGTGCCTACACTTCCTTGTATTACTCAGTGTCGGTCTTTCTGAGCTTTAAAGCTGTCCCGGTGCGTTGTCGTTCAACGCAGCCTCCTTGCATCTGACCAGAGCACTGTGATGCTACGTGTCCCCCTGGGATATTTCCGTGCCACTACTCAGGTGCTTGAGTAGGTACCTACCTAGGTACCTACAAATGTGAATCCAAGGTTGAGTTGGGAGAGCCCCCTAAATCGTGAATCCAACAGTAACGTGCAGCTGTGCTTTTCGACTGGGTTGCTCCAGCAAGGTACCTACCCTAGGAGCAAGCCGGTAGCCATCCGGGTGCATGGCCCCTGCATTTTGTACAGGGTACTTGTACCTGCCCACTCAAGTAAGAGGTAGGTACCTCGACGTCCTACGTAAGAGCCTGAAGTGCCAATGCGACTCCATACTCCATACAAACATCGCGCTCATTTGAAATCCCCGAGCTGACCACGTCGTCTTCCTCCCGTGCTCAAAGCCCAACGCGGTCTGGAGCACTGTTTCTGCCGGGCCTTCATGCAGTAGTTGTGTTTTTGCTTGGTTGCAACAAACTTATGGAACAAGAGCGAGGATCCGATTGCTAGACCCTCCACAGCTCCACGAGCCAGCCACCTGCCGCGCCGGGGCCCGCGCCAGCTTGCACCACAACTCCAAGCTTGCAGGCTCGCGAGCCTGGCTCACGCCCTCGACATCTTCTGCTGCCGACACAGCGAGTGTAGCTGAGCTACACACGACAGAGCCTACCATGGCGCGCTTTCCCAGATTCAGATTCCTGGCCCTGGCCGTCATCTTCCACCTGATTTATATATACTCCATATTCGACATCTACTTTGTCAGCCCCGTCGTTTCCGGCATGCGCCTGTTCGCTCTCGAGCGTCCTGCACCCAGCAAGGCGCCCGCGGATCGATTGGTCCTCTTTGTCGGTATGCTCCCCTCGCCCCCTCCCTTCAAGGTCTCATTCAGCGCGTTCGATCACGGCTGACGCGCCTCTCAAACCAGGTGACGGTCTACGCGCCGACAAGGCCTTGCAGTCGCATCCTGAGCCCTATCCTGAGTCCGACGCCGACCTCGAGCCACGGCCTCTGGCGCCGTTTCTGAGGTCGCGCATCCTGGAACATGGAACCTTTGGCGTTTCCCACACCCGCGTTCCCACCGAGTCAAGGCCCGGACACGTGGCGCTTATTGCCGGCCTGTACGAGGATGTCTCGGCCGTAACCACCGGCTGGAAGTTGAATCCGGTCGACTTTGACAGCGTCTTCAACCGCAGTCAGCACACCTGGAGCTGGGGAAGCCCGGACATCCTACCAATGTTCGAGCATGGTGCTGTCCCAGGGCGGGTCGATGCCTACACATACGGTGCCGAGGCCGAGGACTACTCACAGGATGCACTCCATCTCGATCTCTGGGTGTTCGACCGGGTCAAGGCACTCTTCGAAGAGGCAGCCCAGAATAAGACCCTGAAGGCCGCCCTCAAAGAGGAGAAGATAGTTTTCTTCCTACATCTGCTCGGCCTAGACATGACAGGCCATTCCTACCGGCCATACTCCAAGGAGTACCTGCACAACATAAAGGTCGTCGACCAGGGGGTCAGGGAGATCACCGAGGTGATGGAAAAGTTCTACAATGATGACAGGACTGCGTATGTGTTCACTGCGGACCATGGCATGAGTGACTGGGGTAGCCATGGAGACGGCCATCCCAATAATACACGAACGCCCCTGATCGCATGGGGTTCTGGAGTCGCCAAGCCCGAGATCCACCCTGGAGCTGTTGCGCCGGGCCACGACGAATACTCGTCCGACTGGGACCTCGACGAGATCAGAAGACATGATGTCTCCCAAGCGGACGTTGCCGCGCTGATGGCATATCTCGCCGGGGTCCCGTACCCTGCAAACTCGGTTGGAGAATTACCGCTACCATACCTTGCCGCAGACATCAGTGAGAAAGCCGAGGCACTCTTGGTCAACGCGCAGGGCATCCTTGAGATGTACAGGGTCAAAGAGGAGAAGAAAAAGTCCTCCCAGCTGAGGTATCGGCCTTACCAGGCCCTCGGAGGTCTAGGCCACACGTCCGATGAACGTGTTGCCGCCATTCAGGATCTCATAAAGGATGGAAAGTACGAGGAAGCGATCGAGGAAACCGAGGCCCTGATACAGTTTGGGCTACAGGGCCTAAGGTACCTCCAAACCTACGACTGGCTCTTCTTGCGAGCTCTGATTACCATTGGATACATTGGATGGATGGTATATGCACTTGCCACTGTCGTCAACCTCCATGTCCTCCACGGAGAAGTCGAGCCTTCAAGGAACACCGTCTCTACGGCCATATCCTCGTCAGTCTATGTACTGATGGCTGCGTCCTTCATTGCATCCAAGTCGCCGATCACTTACTATGCGTACGCCCTCTTCCCCGTGTTCTTCTGGGAAGAAGCCTACGCTCGCCGCGAAAGTCTCACCCGAGGAGCTAAGATTATCTTTGGGAATACGCGACCAGTATCTCTTGTCCTCGGAGGTGTGACTTATGTTGCCATCATCCTCTCGTTGGCTGTGGGCTACATACATCGCGAGGTTTTGACCGTGCTTTTTGTTGTTGCAGCCTTCTGGCCACTTGCATCCGGCCTCTCATTTGTACAGAGTCGCCTGTCGCTTTCGCTGATCTGGTGCGTGTCATGCCTCTCGATGAGCAGCTTCACGCTCCTTCCTCCGGCCATGAAACAGGAGAACCTCAATACCATAGTCTTGGGCGGTGTGCTCATGATTGCAATCGGTCTTCTATATCTTGCATTCGAAGAAAGGGTGCTGTCGGATTTCTCAACAGCAGTGCCAAAAACAAAGCAACCGAGAAAGGAAGTCTCGCGGGCTCTTATTGGTGTCCAAGTGGGCTTGATTGCCTTAGCTGTGGTCGTTACTCGATCGAGTGTGCTCTCTCTGCAGGCAAAGCAGGGGCTGCCCCGTGGCAACCAAGTCGTCGGCTGGCTTGTTCTTAGTAGGTCTCGAAGACAACCGACTGAGCCGCAGTACCCAAGGCTGACCTCGTACCTCTCATCTAGTCACCTCGCTGATGATGCCTTTGGCGTACCGGTTCGAGTCGAACAACAATTACCTGCATCGACTCGTAGTCGTTTTCCTTACCTGCGCGCCGACCTTTGTAATTCTCACGATCTCCTATGAGGGCCTGTTCTACGTCGCATTCTGGGTCACTCTTCTGACCTGGGTGAGGCTCGAGTATGAGGTCTACACCCATTCGATTACCCGAGTCGAGGTCGCGGTTGACAGCAAATCAAGCGATGTCTCAAAGGAGACGAAGCAAGTGCCAGACAGGTTGCCAAATCCCTACCGTCCGCTGTCACTTTCTGACGCCCGAGTCGCCCTGTTCTTTTTTGTCTTCCTGCAATCCGCCTTCTTCTCCACCGGCAACGTCGCCTCTATATCGTCATTCAGCCTCGAAAGTGTGACGAGACTCATTCCCATCTTCGAACCGTTCTCACAAGGCGTACTGTTGATCTCGAAACTTATGATACCCTTTGCTTTGGTATCTGCTAATCTCGGCATACTGAACAAGAGGATTGGGGTTGCACCTTCAGCGCTATTTATGGTGGTGATGGCTATAAGTGATATATTGACCTTGTACTTCTTCTGGGTGGTCAAGGACGAAGGCTCGTGGTTGGAGATCGGAAGCACAATCTCCCACTTCGTCATCGCCAGTTTGTTGAGCGTGTTTGTGGCAGCATTAGAGGGAGTGTCGGCGTGGTTCATCCGTGGTGTCGAGATGGATGTTCCCGGAGTGTCGGGCTCTACAGCCACGAACGGCACGGCTGCTTCGGGCAATAAGACGCGGGCGAACGGGACGGGGACCGTGGCGGCAGCTGGAAAACCGTTCCAGGGGTAACAGAGAAGCCATGATATTCTTTCAAGCACCATGCTCGCCGGGCTGACTAGCTCATCGGGCTGCTCCGGAATGGGCCTGCGTGCCTGATCTCTTGTGGAATATAAAGGGCGAGGAGCACGACTCGGTCTCTGAGTTATCACAGTCCAGGCCAGCGTCCCCGCAGCGCTCTTCAAGCGTTCGCCGCGACAACATGGTCGTTGAGATGTGGAAACCAAAGGCCAGCGCATTTGCAGACTCCCGAAGCTACGAGTCCGAATCGCTCCACAGCTGCGGCCAAAAAAGAACGGATCCTGTCCGGCGATTGAGCTCATCTTGAAGAAAGGGGCCGGCCGTCTGGGTAAATACAATACCGTCCATAAGCCACCCACCAGGGCGTGGCATGGGACCGGACAAGTATTTTGTCCGAGGATTCCTTATGTAGCGCAAAATCCTGAGGATGTCCCCCCTGGTAACATGGTGTTCTTAACGTCGCGGCGCCCAAGACCCGCACCGCCTGTAACTAATCGGCAGCACAAATACGAGGACATCACGCCAGTCAACGACAGCGGGCACCACCCTCAATCTCCCGGTGTTACCCTGGCGGGCAAGGTATGCATCTGAAATAGTAGGCGGGCGCGGCGCCGTGCCTCGACTTGGGGTGGGGAATAATTCAATATTGAACTTGGAGCACCTGCGACAGACGCTTGCCCCTGATACCGTTATACCGTGATACCGCTGTCTCGGAAAAACGAGAGTTGGCCCCCCCCCTGCAAAATGCCCCCTATTCCTCGGCTAAACCAAAACTTTACTAGCAGGGTGGAAAACCCAACATTTTTACCAAGACATTTATATTAACCTTATTAACGCTAGCAACAAGTTATCTTTATTACTTAATTAAATAAAAGTAATGCCATACTAGTTTTATATAGTTAATTTAAGCTTGGCCTATAAAGGTGCATATAACCTACTTGCCTTGGCATAAAGTAATATTAGCCCAGCTAATATTATAAATAATATACTTTAACTAATTTATTAAGCCTAAACTATTTAATATTTGTTATATAAAACCTATTTAAAAAGTTAAATTATATGGTTTATTAATAAAAATATTATACCATTTAAATAGTTATATGTTTAGAAGCTAATTATTAAGGTAATTAAGGCCTGGCAAATTGCTTAGAAGTACTTATAGGTACCCTTAAAGACCGCTTAAAATAAGGCTGTTGTAGTAGATTAAGCGGTTTAAAGGGCGTGAGAGAATACTATTAAAGTTAATAATAAAGAGAATATATTTGGTAATAAGAAAAAAGAGGCTTTAAAAGGTGCTAATAATAAGGACCCCTTTGTTAATAAGGCGGGGTTTTTAGCAAATAATAATAGCAATAATATTAAGTACTTTAAAAGTTGCCTAGTTAACCCCTTAGTGCAAGTATGCCTAAATAAACTAGCCCTAACTTTATTTATTAAAATTTATGGCCTAAAAGCTAATACTATTTTTACTATATAATTTAAAAGACAAACTATTATATTAGGGGAGGAGAATAAAGGTTAAGGGATTTAGGGCTTTTTACTAAATTATATTAATTTATTTAAAAACTTAATTAAAAAAAAGTATAAAGATTATTTAAACGCAATTATTAAGCTAAGAGATATTTTTATTAAGGCTAGTTAGCTTATAGGCTAAAAGTTTTTAACTTTATAATTAAAAACTATAAGGAAAGATATTAGTAGGAAGATTAGAATGCTTAATTATAATAATATTATAGATATACTTTTTAGGTTCTAGGGACTTTTTTTTTTTTGGTTTTTATATAACTATAAGGTTATATTATTAATATAAAAGTTGCAAATACTTATATTATAAGGTAATTACTTAGCTGGGCACCTACTAGTTAAAGTCTTTTAGCCATTACTAGCTGTTTGGCAGGTAGTTGCTTTAAGGAACAATTTGCTAGCAATTAAGTGGGTAGCAAACCTAAATATGCCTAGTAGAAATTTAAACCCTAGAACTTCTTAACCTATATTAATAACTATTAGGTAAAAGGTTAAAATAAAGGTAGAAGTAAACTTTATATAAAAGAAGTATAAGTAACTAATAAGGATATAGCTATATTTTTTAAGTAATTATTATAAAGTTAATTATTACTATTAAAATAAGGGGGATTCCCTATAATAGTAGTATTTTATTAGGCGGGATAGCATATATATTAGCTTGTTTAATAGGAATTTAAGGGATTAATTTAATGTAATTATAGTAAATAATACTATGATTAGATGCCTACTAAAAGTCCTTTTTAATTGCTAGGCAGCTTAGATAAAGCTTGACAAGGAGGAGCCTAATAGTAATGGGGTTAGCTTTATCCCTTTTAAAAAGAAGTAGTGAAAGTAAAAGTAAAGGGAGAGTGGTATTAATATAATTGTTAATTTATTATTTAATATTAACTTGCTTGGGGTTAAATATAGCCAAGCAGCCTTAATAGGGCTGCTATTATTGCCACCACTATTAGCTTTTTTTTACGAGTTTAATGGGGCCCTGTTATTATTAGTAGCAATAATAATGGCGCCTAAAAGCCTATTATGAAGGTGGAGGCTGCTAGTTATCCTTTTATTATTGCCGCTATAAATAAAGGGGGATAAAATAGTTTTATATTAAGAGTTTATTATAAAAGCATTTTAGAAGTATTTTAAAAACTTGTTAAAAAGGGCTTAATTTAAGCAACTTATAAAAGTTATAAGGCATAAAAAGCTTAACCTTTATGGGCTTTATAGGAAGAAGGATATTTAGTTTAATAGGTATAATTTAGGGGCCATCTTATTAGTTAAAATGCTAGTTAAGCTATATTTAAAAGGGAAGGAGGACTTTACTAGTTTCTTTAATAGTAATAATAATAAGGAGGACTTACTATTATAATAGGGGCTATTAAATAGCCACTTAGTGGACCATTAAGTAGATATTAAAAGTATATATTTTATAAAGCCTATAAAGGTTGCCTAATTAACTAATTAGCTTTATTTAATATTAGGCCTTATAATTAGGTTAGCTACTTAATAAAAGGGTTAAAAGCCTACTAAAATAGTCCTTTATATTTAATAAAGTAGAGAAGTTATATAATAAGTTTTAAAAAACTTTTTAAGTAAGAGAAGCGGTAATTAGGCGTGTAGAAAGATATGGTTAATAATGGGAAGCAATTAAAGAGAAAAAAGTTAGTTATTTTAAGTAAATAAAGTAAATTAGGTGCTTAGCATTAGGTAATTAATTAATTAGGTGGATTTGCTTATAATTAATTTATTTACTTTAACCTTAACTACTAACCTAACTATTTAACTTGCAAATAATACTTTTCTATTTATATAACTACACTTAACTAAAACTTTATTAATTTTAGTTCTTATAATTTCTAATTAATACTATTATATTTGCCTTATTTTATACTTTTTTTTAATATTTGCATATAATAAAAATATTTTTAAATAGCCTTAGCTTTAAACCCAACCTTTTAGGTATAAAAGAATAAAAATTAAGTAAAATTCTTATTTAAATTATAGTTTAATAACTTATACTAGTATTAATAATATAAATAGCGCTTTAAGTTATTAAAATATGCCTTAATAGAATTAAAATTAGGGGAGTATAAAGGTAGATATTTGTACTTTATGCCTTTTATATTTATTACCTTAATTATTTCTATACTATGGTGCCATAAAGCGTTATCCATTATAAGGATTAATTTTAGGCCTAGGTATAGGTTTATTTTCGGTAAGATGCTCTTTATTAGCTACTGTAAAAAGTACTTTTTTATTATATAACCCTTATATACCGTAACGGCAAGTAAGCCGTTAGATGTAATTGCAGGGAGGATGTGAAGATAAGCCCCTCGCTTAAAGAGACTTTTAACTTGTGGAATATACCTAATAAGTGCCTAACCTATTCTCCTCACACCATTCTACTTGTTAAAACCAGACTTATTAATAAAGATAAACATTTTTATTATATGGCCTAGCTGGTATACCTATTAGAGGTGGTAGTTGCGAAGCTTCTTATTGCGCTAGCGGGCTAGTATATATATTTGTTTATTACTTTATATATAAGCTTTAAGGGTATTACCTATTATTTTTATAGTAATGTTAATTTAAAATTACTTGGTAAAAAAGCATTATATTTTATTAAGGTATAGGTTTAACTTATTAAATAAAAGATTTTTTAGCTTTTAGCCCATATAACCTATATATTAGTTAAGCTTTATAGACTTATTACAAGAAAGTAGGTTAATAAACCTTTAAAGTTTATTACTTTAGCTTAACCGCATTTAATAATAATAGTAATAGTATGTTTAGGGCAACTATATAAGTGGTGGCAACCCTTTAATGGTATTTTTAAATTATAGTATAGCTAACTTGAAACTTGGCTTATAGCTACTTGTTTGGTGGGGATAGATTAGAGCGTAAATAAAACTTTAATTGCTAGAGTTTACGGCTTAATAGGTAATGGCTTGCTATTATTAGCCTTTCTTTTTCCTCTTTTGGGGTGTAGGTGGCGTTAGGTATGGTGTCTTGTTGAAAATGTTGGGTTTTCCGCCCTATTAGCAAAGTTTTGGTTTAGCCGAGGAATAGGGGGCATTTTGCAGGGGGGGGGCCAACTCTCGTTTTTCCGAGACAGCGTGCGTAGCCGCACAGAATAATAGTGGAAACACTGAAGTCCACTAGTCCTCGAAGAGTATGGGTCTCAGCAGGAAGACTTGTTCATCAACATCGCCCCATCCCTTAACAATTTCGCTGCACGCGAACCGTATCTTGTAATTGTTTATCTGTTTCAAGGGTAGTATGCTTGTCCGATACTGGATCCAGATCCAGTGCTATGCACGATTTTGGACCGAAACCGAGACCCAGGACATTCGTTGTATCCAGATGCAGATACAGGGGGCAGGTCGAATCTCAATCGCGGCGCAGTTCAAGGGATAAGTGGGTGGGCCCAACCGGTCATCAAGACTCGATTGGGCAACATCATGTACATGGCAGCGAGGTGAGTGATGGGTCACCACTTGGACCTCAGGTGAAGGCCTCGGATCGTGGCCGACGCTGGCGTCAATATGAAGGCGCATTTCTGCTCGCGGGAAGACCCTCAGCGATTTCCTCAGCTTCTGTCCCTTTGCAGAATGCCATTGTGAAAGCAGAGGCACTCACTCGATCATTCAGTCTGGACCATAGTCACTCTTTGTTCTATTTTGTTTTCCCCGTCCAGACATTCCAATCATTAATCGACACTCCTTTTTGCAGCTTTCTTCTCCCAGTCATACAGCGTTATCTCTTGTCGATATATTTGTAGCATAATACCGTAATCCGCACTTCAAAATGGTTTCTCTCTCACAAACACTCTCCTTGCTTGCCGTTGGGGCTTTCCACGGTGCCCTGGCCCTGGATGCGGCAGGGTGGAGAAACCAGAGCATCTACCAGATCATCACAGATCGGTTTGCCAGGACAGATGGTTCGGCGCCACTCTGCGACGCCTCCCTGGGCACTGCCTGCGGAGGAACTTGGAAGGGTATCACCAACAAGCTCGACTATATTCAGAACCTTGGCGCCACTGCCGTTTGGATATCGCCCGTTGTTAAGAATGTCGAGGGCAACTTCGGCTTGTCTGGGGATGCCTACCACGGCTTTTGGACCGAGGACCTCTACTCGCTGAACGAGCACTTTGGCACAGAGGACGACCTGAAGGAGCTTGCCGACTCTCTGCACGCTCGCGGGATGTACTTGATGGTTGACATTGCGCCAAACCATATCGGTCTGCCCACGACGGCGGGGAACTACAGCAAATTCAACCCTTTCAACGATGCTAAATACTTTCACGACAAGTGCAGTATCCAGTGGAACAACCGCAAGTCTGAGCAGCTGTGCTGGCTCGAAGGCCTTCCCGACCTTCGCACCGAGGACGATGATGTCCGCAAGATCTATAGGGAATGGATCAAGGACCTCGTCTCGAAGTACTCGATTGACGGGTTCCGCGTCGACACAGCACTTGAAATCGAGCCTGAGTTCTGGACCGAGGGTGGCGTCAAGGACGCTGCCGGCGTGTTTCTCCTTGCTGAAATCAACCACAGCGCTCCTGAGACACTGGCCCCCTATCAAAAGTACCTCGATGGATACATGGATTTCAGCAGCTGGAACTGGTACGTGGAGGCGTTCCAGGCGGTCGATGCGGACCTTGCGGCCCTCTACACGGGCACCAACAAGCTCGCGGCCATGACCGAGATCGACCCCTCCCTGTTTGGCTCGTTCCTAGAGAACCACGACCAGGTCCGTTTTGCTTATCGCAACGGGGACGTGGCGCTGGCCAAGAACGCCATCTCGATCTCGATGCTTCGCGATGGAATCCCCATCGTCTACTACGGCCAGGAGAAACACTACGCGGGCGGCAACGTGCCAAATAACCGCGAGGCACTCTGGCTGGGCGCCGGCTACGACATCTACTCCGAGCTTTACGGCTGGATCCAACAGACCAACAAGATTCGAGCGCACGCGGCCCGGGGCAACCCCAAGTTCCTGACGGAGGAGCGCACGACGGCGCTCTTCTACGACGGCGACAGCACCAGCAACAGCAGCAGCGTCATCGCCTTCCGGAAGGGCCAGATGATCAGCATGTATACCAACGGAGGGAGCGCAGCTGTGAACAACGCCAGCTACGCCCTGGGCGCGGCCGTGACCGACTACGAGGCCGGCGAGGAGCTGATTGACGTGCTGAACTGCGAGTCCTTCACGGTGGACAGGGATGGACGCCTCAACGTGCAGATGCCAGCGGGCGGCCTGCCGCGTGTCTTTCTGCCTGCGGCGCAGACTGATGGCCTCTGTAATAATGTCGGAGCACCTGTGTCTGATGCTGCCGAGGTGGTCTCCGTGGACAAGAACATGGGAAGCAACAAGCGGTCTGCTCCGTTTGTGACGAGGAGGACTCTCCGGGCGAACTAGAGGAGAGGCGGTGGATGAAATCACTTGTACAGACACACGGAAACGTTTAATGCGGATGGAAATGAGTATTTTACTTCCTACACGTAAAGACAACTGGGGCTATTCATTCTGATATAAGACCCACACCAAGTAAATTGAGATCTAATAGAGTGCACAGACCTCACAACGAGCTATCGCCTGTCCCTGTAGTCCGGCATGATCATCTGTTATCGGCGGCTCGTTCCACTGTCTCTCTTACGGACAGAGCGTGTTGGCCGGTAATATCGCAGGGAATAGTATGGTTCGCATAGTATTCTTTGCAGATCTGCCGCGTCTCGGCTGTGCCCTATAAAATGTCGTTACCGCCCTGAAATGGCAAGGCCAGCATACACTCATTCTGGCATGGCTGGGAACCTTAAAAGAATGCCGATGTCACCAACGCGTGCAGCTGACCCAATTGTGTGGACATCTTTGCTGCTGCTGCACCAGTAAGGAACTTCCTGGCGGCTGAATAGGAAGCACCTCTGCGCCGAAACACCTAGGACGCCGACTCGATCGGGAAATGTAGGATGCCCAGACCTTGGGTCTAAGACTGTCAAGCCTCCGTGTTGACGTAGACGGAAGGCGAGCACACCCACGCCCACGCCCACCAGCCGTCGCGCGAGCTGGACCTCGGCATCACCACCAGCCCAGGATGGGAGCTCCAACAAGCCGCCGTGGGGAAGGCAGGGGGTGTGCTGCTCGACGCATGTGATGTGAAGCGGAGCTTCGGGGCTCGCAGCGCCGGGCCACCAGGACGGAAGTGTCGGGTTACCCCCCGCGCTTGCGCACGCGCAACGTGGCTGGCGGCGGAGCCAGGGCGAGCTCGAGGCCGGGGGAGTGGCGTTGGTGTTGTCTTGGGTTTCGTTCGTACTCGTTGTTGCCGCATCTGTTACTCTCTGGAGAAGCCTGCAATGCCTTGCATACAGCGTTGAGGTCTGCCGTGATCTGGGAGAAAAGCTGCAATACTCGTGCGCCGGCATTTGGGAGGGGTGGGCGATTGCCGCATCTGGCAGGCCTTGCGCTGTTTTCTGAGGCCTCGATGCCTGTGTTTGTTGGGGCGGGCTGCTCGGGCGCTGCAGTAGCAGTGCCTTTTATGGAGGATGTGCTTCTCAGTCAGGATTTGTGAAGGCGCTCCAGAGTCCTTGCGGCATGGTGATGCAGTTGTAGTTGTCGGCTTATGAGCAGCATCTGGGGCGGTACGTACTCAAGTATCTTTGTCCCCCGGGTCTTCCCCGGATTCCCCAGACTTTGGCTTGGGCCTGGACTGGGCCTGCAGAAGAGAAGCTTGGCTCCAAGCTCCCGCAGGAGGGTGTGGCTCGCTGCTAGTGCTGGGAGATTGCTTTGACCCGGCAGAGGCAGGTACTGCCCTCATCGACGTCGAAGGACCCGAATTCACACGACAGACGCCACAGACACACCTCAGGCACACAACGCACCCGAGGATGGGTGCAACGATGGTCCATGACGGGCAATGCCGGAGTGCACACAGATCGAGGGCCATGCGTGCGAGACGATGCGGTGGGTGCCTCAGGGACGGCGTGGATAAATAAGACGGAGACGGAGAGGCTGGGGCGTGTGCCGAGAGATCATTTGGTTCCAACTGTTGCTGTTTCTCTTGCCGTTGTAGCGTTTTGCGGCACGCACAGCGCAGCCATACCACGCCTTCAGCAGCTCTCTTGTCGGCCCAGCTGGGAGCAGACGATATGTCTATGGCTTGATGCCATTGGAGGAGCTACGACCTACTGTGTACTGGGGACCTAGTAATAGGTACCTACCTGCCCGGGTACCCTGAGCTGGTGGGCTGTTTGGGTACGTGGGTACTGGTGTGGGTTCAGCGCAATACTCCGTACCTGCCCACTGCCCGCTTGCCCCTGCACGCCTGGGATCTGCGGAGGCCCGGTTCATCTAAAAATCCCGACTTTTGAAACGTTCGATCTGCCCAGCTGTCTACCGGGGCGCCGCCTACAGCACTGCCCTTGTCCTGTGCCCAGCGCGACCAGTGCCAGACAATTAATTGCATGCGCCTGGCCGCCAGCTTGCGCCCGCTGCCGGTTCCGAGGGTCGACGTGCCACAGTACACAGTACTGCTCTACCTGGGTACGCTGCCCCCAAAAACGACCTGCCCGGTGCGCCCGACCGCCCACCCGACAGTGTTGGAACCATCCCGCCCGACTCAATTCTGCCCACTCCCAGCCTGCCATTGTCCCGACCGGAGACACACCTTGTCGCGCCTGAGAATGGACCTTGGCCAACGAACTGTCTGACCCGGCTCCCTCACCTTGAACGCGCCGTCGTCGTTGCCGTGAGACGTAGTCCCGACGACGCCCTGGAACATGGACCAGCCTTCCCTCGAGCTGCAGCAGCAGCAGACGCAGCAGCAGACGCAGCAGCAGACGCAGACGCAGACGCAGACGCAGACGCAGGCCGACAATCACCACCAACAGCAATCGCAACCACAGCCCCAGTCCCAGCCCCAGTCCCAGGATCAGTCACCACCTGCGAACCAAGACGGACGAAGCAGCAGCGGTGCCACGCCGACAGCATCCGCAGGAGGAGGACCAGGAGCAGCAGCAGCAGGAGGAGGAGGGAAGGGCAGTGCCGCGGCTGCGGCCGCCGCGAATGCTCTGAGCTTCAGGAGGTGAGGAGACCGTTGACGACGTGCCGAGAAGAGGTTGGACTCGAGCTCGAGCTTTGGGTTGACGATAAGGACTTGAGCTGACTCGCCGTGCTTTGACCAAAGGCAACGGGCATCTCGTGCTTGTGAGGTGAGTCGTTGGTTCTAATTTTGTCATGTTTGGGATATCTCTCCTGCCCCCCTCCGCCCACTCGTTCGCCCACCCGCCGATTACATTGCAGCTCCTCGGCTGAGGTGGGCGGGCTGCTCTGCATGCCTCGGTAACTCTGTCTGTATCCCACCTCCGCCGGCCGCCTCGCCCTCGCGACGCCGAACAACCAATTGATCTGCCACCTTCATTGATGACAATCTCGCCATCAGGCTGTCTCGCTGACCGTTCTTCTTGCCAACATAGACCTGTCATGCGTACGTCAACCCCATCGTCGACAGACATCCCCTGGGCCAAGCTACCCAGGGCCCCGGGCAGCCGAGGTCCAGATCCCCGGCCTGAGACAGCTTCGCGATGGAATGCCCGTCAACCCCGCTCCCCGGCACAAGCCGAGCACGACAACATCGAGTGACTCCGGTGGCTGCGGGTGTTGAGGTGACTTGGCTGACACACCCTCGTTGAACAGGAGGAAAGTTCGCTGCGATGCCGCCTCTCTGGGCGTACCCTGCACCAACTGCGTCGCCTTCCAGATCGAGTGCAAGATTCCCACGCCCAAGAGGAAAAAGACCCAGACCGCCTCCACCACTAGGGACTCGGATAGGTACATATTGCGCGACCAGCCAAACCCTATTGCTCCCATTTCGATTTCGATTTCGATTTCTCAAAGAGCGCAGGTGCTGATCAGTCTTGCCCAGTGAACGAGGCGATGGCCCAGAGGAACAGTCTCCACGCCCTGGCACAGGAACGGCCACGTTCAACACCAGGCCACCCGCCGTATATCACACTTCAGAAGGTACACCAACGACCACCATGACGGCGGCACAGACCCACAAGGAGGAGATCGACAACAATACTTATGTAAACCTAGTCATGAAACCAAAGTTCATCCGTGCCCCCATCACCGAAGCCGGCCGTGTTGCCTACCTGGGAGAGTCCTCCAACCTGACCTTGCTTGTCAACGACCGGCAAGGAGCCGCGGATGTCGTCCATTACCCCCTGCCCGAGAACGTCCGAGGCTCCAGGGCGAGGCTGACCGAGCTGGACAACGTCGAGATCGATATACTTCACCAACGTGGTGCATTCTTGCTCCCTCCCCGCTCCCTCTGCGACGAGCTGATCGACTCGTATTTCAAATGGATACACCCCATCGTGCCTGTCATCAACCGCACCAGGTTCATGAGACAGTACGGGGACCCCAAGAACCCACCCTCGCTGTTGCTCCTCCAGGCCATCCTGCTTGCCGGATCCCGTGTCTGCAACAACCCGCAGCTCATGGACGCAAATGGGTCCACAACCCCTGCTGCACTGACCTTCTACAAGAGGGCCAAGGCACTCTATGACGCCAGTTATGAAGATGACAGGATGACTATAGTCCAATCGTTGCTGCTGATGGGTTGGTACTGGGAAGGCCCCGAGGATGTCACCAAGAACGTCTTTTACTGGAGCCGCGTCGCCACAATCGTGGCACAGGGGTCCGGCATGCACCGCAGTGTTGAGGGTTCCCAGCTCAGCCGGGCTGACAAGAGACTCTGGAAGAGGATCTGGTGGACACTCTTCACCCGAGATAGATCCGTCGCTGTGGCCCTCGGGCGACCCGTTCACATCAACCTGGACGACTCAGACGTGGAAATGCTGACAGAGGACGATTTTATCGAGGACGAAGACGGCCGCCCGAGCGAGTATCCCCCGGATCCGATCCACGTCCATTTCTTCCTACAGTATGTCAAGCTCTGCGAGATCATGGGGCTTGTGCTATCACAGCAGTACTCGGTGGCGGCGAAGGGACGTCAACGAAACCCCATCGATCTCACCCACAGCGACATGGCGCTGGCCGATTGGCTCCAAAACTGCCCAAAGGTGGTTTACTGGGAAATGCCGCGACACCACTTCTGGTCTGCCTTGCTACATTCGAATTATTATACGACGCTCTGTTTGCTACATAGGGCACATATGCCCCCGGGCGGGGGCTCCTCGCGGTTTCCGGAAGATGCGGCATATCCGTCCAGGAATATCGCTTTCCAGGCGGCGGCCATGATCACGTCGATCATAGAAAATCTTTCGGCTCATGACGAGCTTCGTTACTGCCCGGCGTTTATCGTTTACAGTTTGTTCTCGGCTCTCATCATGCATGTGTACCAGATGCGGTCACCTATCCCCTCGATTCAGCAGGTCACTCAGGACCGGATCAGGACGTGCATGGTGGCCCTGAAGGATGTCTCGCGGGTGTGGTTGGTTGGGAAAATGGTGTCGACGCTTTTTGAAGCCATTCTTGGGAATAGGACCCTTGAGGAGAGGCTCCAGAAGGCCGCTGGAAAGCGACATAGCAAGTTTCAGAGGAGCATGCAGCAACTGGAGCAACACGCTCAAGATCAGCAGCAACATCACCAACAACAAATGAGGGAGTCGGCAAAGCGCAAGTACGACGACATGGCCATAGACTTCAGCGTCTCCACGCCAACACCTCAGGAGTCATATGAGCGCTCCAGGCCTCAGACACCAAGTCAAACCACAAAGAACGAGCACAGCCACCCGATGGGACCTCCCCAGATCACATCCCCTGGCGGCACCAGGCAGAACAACATGGACGCGTTCATGGGCGGAACGGCTTCACGGCCACAGACCAGACCTGCGACTCCGTTCAACCCATCCTTTTCTGTGCCGACTACCCCTCCAGACCTCTATCTTGTGACGCGAAACTCCCCGAATCTGTCGCAAGCCGTATGGGAGAACTTCCAGCCAGACCAGCTGTTTCCTGAGAGTGCAAGCATGCCTCTCTTCCCACACCTTTCTCCGACCCAGACACATCAGAACCTCGACCCCAACTTGATGGCACCACAGATGCAACAGGGCAGACAGGGGCAGCAAGCCGCCCCCCTGCAATTTGGCGGCCACCAACAGCAGCATGGCATGCTCAACAGCACGAGCAAGGGCAACAGCCCCGTGCAGCAGCACAACTCAAGCTTCCTGCAGCCCGGCCTCGCTGGGTTTCCTGGCCAGCAGGGTGGGTCTGGCCAACAACAACAGAACCAAAATGCTATGTGGAATACTGGATTCGACTCGGCCCTGCCAGACGGCCAGAGCCCGGATAGCTGGAGCACAGGGAGCGCCCAGGGAGCACCGGTGCCAAGTACACTAAACGTTGAAGACTGGTAAGTCCACAAGGGACCTCCGCTGTTGCTACCGCACTACTTGACGGTGCCCTCACTGACTGTCATCCTTTAGGCTTCAATTTTTTGGCATCAATGGCGATCAAGTAAGCCAGCTCAATCTTGACATGCCGTCGATGTGATTGGCTGCGGACGAATCCTCAACGACAAGCGTTACAAGACCCAGCCTGGCGGCCCCATTTTGGCACAATTCTGTCTCATCATGAGTGCGGGTTGTACATTTTGCATCAAGACATGGCTATCAAAATCGCGTGGCTAGCTCGCTTCAATAATGCAAATATCATCACGGCATCGTCAAGGAGACTCTTGTGGCCGTGGTCCGTCGGTACATCTTGGGTAATAAAAATGCGATTCCCGAACCTAGTCCGTCGTAAACGAAAAATCATCCGCGCCTGCTACGCCTTTCTCCAGAAGCCCCAAGCTCACTGCCCCCTCAGTCTGCTCACATAGCCAGCCCAATCAGTGCTCCGGCCCCCGGCGCCATCGCCATGGTCGCCCTCAGCCCATCCTCTCTGATCCCATGCCGCCCCCAGGGCACACAGATGCCGCATCGTAGGCCGCCCGTGCGGACAGTTCCAGGGCTTCTCCATCTCTCCCATGTGCCGAACGACCTTCTCCATCTGGCGGTGCGACAGCGCCTTGCCGATCATGATGCTACTTCGGCACGCGCGCATCGCGAACATCTTCCTCACCTTGGATGGCCGGGGGATGTATCTCCTCGGTGCGGTTGGGCTGACGCGGTGGTCCGCATCTCCAGTAGACGTGTCACCCTCACCGTTGTCGTGATCCGCAGGAGGAGGAGGAGGCGACGACGTGGTCGCCGGGCTCTCCCCGAGCAGGGAGATCAGCTCCTCGAGGTCGGCCAGGGAGAAAGTCGTCTCCCTGCTGAGCGGAAGGCTGAGGAGCTGGCACCGCGACCCGACGGGCTCGTCGCCCGATGTGTCAGTCTCGACCTGGAATCCGTTCGCCTCCAGCGCCGCGCGGTTCTCGAGGACGATCTCTTCCTCGACGGCCGTGAGCTCGAGGGGCTTGGGCCGCACAAGCCGCTGCGACTGGACGGTCGTCGTGGTTTGTAGGCGCTCAAAGTTGAACTTCTCGTCCGATGCGTGCTGGTCAATGATGAACAGCTCGTCGTCGTCCCCTTGAATATTCGGTCGGGCGGCCCCTGTGCTTGTGCTAGGTGTCGCCGAAGACGTGCCGGGTCGCACCGCCAGGATGAAGCCCAGGTTGAACTGTCCCACAATCTTCATCTTGGCGAAGTCCCCTTTGTGGATGGCGAGTGAGAGCTTGTCTTCTGCCACCTGCGTCCGGGCTTCAAGGCCAGATTCCACATCCTCGGAGGTTTCAGCTTTGCTTGCGGACGCGAAGTCACGCATCGGATATTCCCGTGAGTCCAGACGCCTTTGAAGACAGTCCACGTCGACATGGAGCCGTTGAAGGAGCGCTTGCGTGGAATGTTTGTTCTTCCCACCCCCTTTGAGAAATGCCTGAGTCCTCTTCTGGTTTTCTTCGCTAGGCTTAGGATTGACCTCTTTAGCGGCAGTGAGGGCATCTTGCTGTTCCGATTCTCCCCTACCTTTGACCTCGTCCTCTTCGAGGTACTCTCCGTCATGTTCATCACGCGCTTCTTCATCTGCTTCGTGAGCAGGCGATGCCAAAGACTCATCACCATCCTCGTCCTGATCCACGAACAATGCAGAGGACGCTGAGACCGCGCTGTCATCGTCTTCACCAGTTCCCCGATCAGATACAGTTTCTACTTCAGAAGCACTATTGTCTTCGCTCTCGCCTTCACCCTCGTCCTCGCCTACCTCATCGACCTCGTCGAGCTCGTCGACCTCTGAGGTATTCGATTCCTCGGGGTGTAGGCTTTGTCTGCCCTTAGATAGATTCTGTGAAGCAGAAGCGGCAGAAAACATCTGTGTCAGGCGTCCGCCGAAGGAAGGCAAGGGTGCCGCTGCTTGAGGGGCCTTCAGAGCCGTGGATTGGACATCGTGTTGTGCCGCTCCTTCATCTAACCTTGGCTTTTTGGCAGAAGATCCGATGACGCTTGTGACCGACTGTTCGCCGACTGTGATTGTCGCGACCTCCTGTGACGGTCGCTTCGGCGGCCTCGAGGCGGACACATCGAGCGGCGCATTGTCTGCGGGCTTGTTTGGCTTCGCAATGGCTGCAATAAGTGGCTCGTCGGGGGCCTGGTCATAGGGTGGTTCGTCTCGTAGAGACTCCGGGAGGAAAGAACGCTTCATACGGGCCAATCGGCTCAGGAACGTCTCATTCTCGCCTTCATCAATATCGGCGGAACGGACTTGCTCGTCTGTCGGCTCCAGTTGTATCACTTCGGCAGGCTTGTCTGAAGTCTCCGGGGCGTCACTTGACCCGTCTCCTGAATCCGCATTGCTTGCTCGCTCGAGGACTGTCTCACTCGGTTTAACCTTTGCGGCCGGGGCTGGTCCTGACCTGGCTTCCTCCTGTGAAGCCAGCTTCCTGTCCAGCCACCGTGTCATGGGGTTTGTTTGTGCGTCTCTCGAGAGAGCTTTAGCTGAAGCCAGATTCTTCATCCGACGGGCTCCCGAGATGTCCTGTTCCTCGTCTGATATCCTGGAGACCTCCTCCTCCTGCCGAGTAAGAGGAGATCCGCCCACATCGCCCGCCGTGTCACATCTATCGGCCAAGTCTCGTTCGGGGCTATTCGTATCATGGCGAGGCACTGTCAACTTTTTGAAGGGCGGGATTTTAGACGTCGCAACCTGTGACACCGGCATTTTGTACTCCTGCTTCTCAAAGAGCTCAATCAGCGACTCTCTAAGGTGGTCGAGCATTCGACCCTGGTCATGTAAGAGGATAGTCCTCTTGTCGGGGCTGACATTGACATCGTAGAGGTGTGTGTCCAACTGTATGTCGGCGAAGATGAAGGGCGACTGAGTCGAGTTATACGACCTGTACACTTCGTTGAAGACTTTGGCGAACTGTGGTAGCCCGCAAGGTCGACTGTTGACATAAAACATCTGTCGGTCCGGAGTTTGCCTTCCTTCGCCGTGGAGCGGCCGTGACACATGGCCTCGGACAAGGACCTCGTGATGGTCGCCATCCTTTGGCGCACTCCACTTCTGGCTCAGGCCGCTCGTGGGCTGCAAGTCGAGTTTCAGGTCCAGGACAACCAAAGCAGCCATGGTCTTGGCCCCAAAGATGTTGATTATGTTTTCTCTGGTGGTCTTGTTTGCCTTTGTAGAGAAGAGGACGACCCGTTTTCCCTTGTTAGGCTGTTGAGAGACTGTGAATTTGACCCCGGTTTGGATACAGGCGTACTGGTTGAGCAGATTGATGACCTTGCCCCATTCTCGCTTGATATTCCGTTCCAGCTCTCTGCGCCGTACCGGCAGGGTGTTGAACAGGTTCTCGACAGAGACTGTTGTGCCCTTCTGGGCAGCAACAATGCTGGTGGACTTGAGCCTGCCCGAAGTTTCAAATTCCAGCCTGGATCCCCTTGGCGCATCGGACTGAAGACAAGTGACAACGGTGAATTTAGACAAGGCACAGAGCGAAGAGAGAGCCTCGCCACGGAAGCCAAAAGTCTCTAGTGTGCTCAAATCCGAGTAAGTCGACAGCTTTGACGTGAAGTGTTTCAGAGCCAGAGACTCGTGGTTCTCCGGCGAAATGCCTGTGCCATTATCCTGGACTTCAATCAAGTCGAGGCCCTGGTTCTTAAACCGGACATCTGTTTACGGGTTTCATTTAGTATCACACAAGGCACACGGAATGGCTCAAAATGCCTACCGATGCTCGTTGCGCCGGCGTCGAGGCCATTCTCAACCAACTCTTTTACGACTGAACACAAGTCGACAATGACCTGACCGGATTGGATCTGGTGGACCTGAGACGGGGAAGAGAGGATGTCAGCTGATGGTCCCAGTTCGAAAGACCACGGCACTGACAGAGCTGGCCTCGATGGCCCTGATGGTCGCCATTGTCTCGGCGAGAGGAGGCCTGCTCAGCCAACAGGCTTCCGAGGATGACGACCCAGTATGCAGCGAGTTGCCTTGATCATCCCGGCGCAGGATTACAATATTGTGCAGCAGAGAGTCTCAGATGGATGGGGGAAACATGTCGATAAGAAACCAGAAATTACGCATCACAATGCCCACAACGGCCAAGTTGCCTTGATAATGGCCTCGGATGAGCCGAACGAGAAGCACGCGTTTGGTCGCGTCTCAGCTTACATAATCCACGAGCCAGTCCGGTCTCGACCATGATTTATTAGCCAGGGCCCTGCTGCTGCTGCTGCTGCTGTTGAAAAGTCAGAACGAGTCCATCACCGAAGGCTGTCTGCTACATCTTGCATCTTGCACGCTTCAATCTGCACGGACAAAAAGTTGGCAGGTTGGCATCTTATCGACCTGACGCCTGACGCCTGACGCCGTGCAGTCTGCTCCGTACAAACGCGTCCGGCCGTCTCCCTGCTGCAGCTCGTAACGCAGCTTGCGGTCTCTGCCAGCCAAGTCCTCAGACGCCGTACAACAGATTCTGCAAGCTGCAGTGCAACCCACCCAACCGCCTTGGTCTGTTAAATTACACGAGTCCCGGGCCCGGGACTCCCTTGTCACTCGCCTGCTTGTGGTGCATCTAAGTACGGCTTGCGTGGGAATGGGAAGTGCAACATGCGCTACTGCAATGGACGGGGCGTTGTTACCTGTGTGCGTCTGTCTGTCTGTCGGTCCGTCTGTCGCTCTGGAGAGTATCCTCTGGAGTATCGGATCCAGTGGTGGACCCAGTGGTGGACCCAGTGGTGTCTGTTGTACAGTACCGGTACGGAGTACTCGGCAGCAAAGCAGACGAGCGGCCAGGAGGCGCGAGAGCTGGTAGGGGAGTGCAGGGGTGGACTCGGGTCGGTCTGACGGCCGCGGCCGCCGGCCTTGTTTCGAAACCAATTCCCATCCCAACATCTCGCATCTGCCATTTCCCATGCTCCAGCATGGCGGCCACTCAGCCAGGCGCCCTGGCCTGCCCTGCAACCGAGCTAGGCTGCTAGAGATTATGGGCGGCTGGCCGTGCTGAGCCTGGTGCTGTTTTTGCGCTGCTGATAAGCATGGGTGCATGGGTGCATGGGTATGCTGGGCAGTGAATGACGTTATCGCCTGGGCAATGCACCACAGCTGCACAGGTGAAGCGCCGTGTGCTTTTTATCCCACGGTGGCAGTCTGGTCAGCACTGACAATCCTGCAGCGCGACTACCGGTGTCTAGAGCTTGGGTCCAAGACTTTCTGCGACGAATGCGGAGGAATGGAAGGCGAGCTTGGATTGTGCTCCAGCCTTGATGAGCCGGCGCTGCACCGACTGGAACGCTAGAAGGAGGCCGCGTCGTCTCAAATGCGTCCCGATGCGTCTCTCACGGAGCAGCAAGCAAGCAAGCACTAAGCACTGCTTGACTGGCAGATCCGATCTCTGCTGCGCGAACGTCTTGTCCCCGGTGCCCGTAATGCTTGCTGTGTGCTGGACTACATACCTACTTAGTACCTAGGTACCTAGGTAGGTATCTACACCCTTGTTCAACGGCCAGCCGGGCAGGCAGCGGACCTGCCTAGGCCCATGGGATGCAACCACCCTCCTGCTCTAGCAAGTCTGGCTACTATGTAGTACTGAAGGAACCTTGGATTTTTTTCCCAGGGGGGGGCCACCTGGGATTGTTGGAGCCAGCAGGTTGTCGGCCCCACACCCGTCGGTACACTCCTACTCCGTACTGTACTTGTATCTGCCCGTCAGCCCGCGGTCCCGTAATAATGCTCTCCATCTCCAATACATGCATTGTAAAAACAGGGAGCCGTGGTCTTGCAGGTCCAGATGCTCTGATTTCCTCATCTCCCAGCCTGGCCAGCCCTCCTTCCCGGGGCATGAGATAATTTGTCCAAGATCAGAGAGGGATCCATGAATCTCCCCAAGATCCCCGACATCTCTTGGTTCTCTCCTGGACCCCCCGTCTCGGCCAGCAGCAACCCCCCCTCCCCCCCCACGGATCTCCCAGGGCGCGCACGGGGCAGCCAAGCCTGCAAAGTCCAGGCGCCGTTGGTGCTCCCGACCAGGCCGTCTCCGTCTCCGTCCAGGTCCAGCCAGCCACCCCAACAGCCCCTGCCCATTGGGGACCTGACCTGGTTTTCCCGTCTGCTGCTAGCGTGTGAAACTTCCTTCTGTCTCTCCTTCCTGCCCGCGTCTCTGCCCCCTCGACCGAACCTCTCCGCGGCCCTCAGCACCACCCCTCCCCTCCCCTCCCCTCCTGCTCCCACGATCACGCTCGAAACACGGCCGAGACGACGGCAGAAGCGCCATCGACCGTCGTGGGAATGCAGAGGCGGTCTTCTGGCTCGGACGACGGTGACGGCCTGCAATCGCAACATCATCTGCCTGTCAATGCCGCCGCCGCCGCCGCCAACCCCAGCTCCAACACCTCCCTCGGCCTCCCCCTCGCCCTCGGTTCCGGTCTCGATGCCACGCCCTCTGCGCAGGCTACCTCGGCCCATACGCACGGCAGGGCTCCCGGTCAGCAGGCGCCCCGGGGCTCAGACAGCAGGCGCACCAGCTTCGACCTCCGATCCCACTCCGCCCGCAGCCGCCGCTCCGGCAACTTCTCCTCCTGGAAGCCCATTTCCCCCCAGAACGGTGCTGCCGTCGACAAGACCCCCCTCGCCCTGCCCGTCGGCCCCTCAGCCGTGCCAGTCATGGCCCCGAAGACCGACCAACACTCGGAAGGTGTCGACAAGTCGCCCGATCCCAAGGGCCTCCGCCGTCTGCGATCCCGAAGCCCGTGGGCGCTTGGTCTTTTGACCCTCTTGGCATCGATAGTTGGTCTTGGTTTCCTCGCTGCAATACTCCATTCGAGCGCAACGCGATGTCTCGATGCCAAGGGCTGCATCATGTCCTATATGCGGCCGGCATACGTCAAGCTACACGACTTTGACACCGAGCACACCCGGTTCGGCAGCAAGTACTCGCTCTATTTCTACAGGGAACTCGAGGTGGACGAGGAGGTCAAGGTCTGTCTGTCAGCCTCGATGGCTCCCGCCCTGATCTGCGCGCGACAGCACCCGTGGACTGACAGCAATCCCAGTTACGAGGCACCCCCGTCCTCTTCATCCCTGGGAACGCAGGGAGCTACAAGCAGGTGCGCCCGCTCGCTGCCGAGGCTGCGAACTACTTCCACGACACGCTCCTGCACGATCCCTTGGCCCTCCGAGATGGCGTGCGCGATCTCGACTTCTTCACCGTTGATTTCAACGAGGACTTCACCGCTTTCCACGGCCAGACGCTGGTCGACCAGGCCGAATACCTGAATGAGGCCATCCGCTACATATTGTCTCTATACCTAGACCCGCGCATGACAAACCGCGATTCAGACTTGCCCGATCCGACCTCAGTCATTATCGTGGGCCACTCTATGGGCGGCATCGTGGCTCGCACCATGCTCATAATGCCTAATTACCAGGCGCACTCTATCAACACAATCATCACCATGTCTGCGCCGCACTCGAGACCACCCGTCTCCTTCGACAGTGAGATTGTCAAGGTGTACGGCGAGATCAACGACTACTGGAGGAAGGCATATGCCCAGAAATGGGCCAACAACAACCCGCTGTGGCATGTCACCCTGATCTCTATTGCCGGTGGAAGCCTGGACACCGTTGTGCCGTCCGACTACGCCAGCCTGGAATCCATTGTGCCAGAGACACATGGCTTCACCGTTTTCACCTCCACCATTCCGACCGTGTGGACCAGTATGGATCACCAGGCAATCCTCTGGTGCGACCAGCATCGAAAAGTTGTGATACGGGCATTGTACGATGTGGTCGATGCGCACCGCCCTTCGCAAACGAAGCCCCGCGCCCAGCGCATGAGTGTCTTCAAGAAGCACTTCCTCACCGGCCTCGAGGAGAACGCAGAGAAATCCGTACTACACAAGGAACATAGCACATTGCTCACCCTCGAGGATGACTCGCATGATATTGTACCGCAAGGAGACCGATTGGCACTGCGAGGCTTGGGGCAGCAGGGCAAACCGCAAGCGCACCTGGTCCCGATCCCACCCTTAGGTTCGTCGCCGAGCCGGTTCACACTTCTAACCGATCAGCCGCTCGACGGAGCCGGTGAGTCCGGGAAGCTGGAGGTCCTGCTCTGCAGTGTTCACACGCTGCAGCCTGGCCAGGCGGGTATGATGTTGCCGTGGAAGATGGATCTGTCGTCAGGGGAGAGCCGGAGCTCGACTCGGCTGGCCTGCAAGAACGCCGCTTCCGACGTTGTGCAACTCCCTGCGTCAACCAGATTCACCCAACAGCCATTCCCCCCTGCCGGCTCCAGGCCCGTGACACCATTCTCGTTCCTGCAGTATGAACTGGACGACATCGCGGATCATCAATTCGTTGCCATTGTGGATAAGGGAATCACTTCATCTGGATTCGTGCTCGCAGAGTTCAGCGATATCGCCGATTCTCATCGAACCCGTCACATCAGTCTGCGTCGGATGCTCGCCTTTGGCATGGATTTTCGACTGCCTGCCCATAGGCCGATCGTGACAGAGATCAAGATACCGTCAATCCAGTCCAGCCTACTCGCGTACAGTTTGGAACTCAGTGGGCAGTCCTGTGGGAAGAACAAGGAGCTCTTCGCGCCATTGGTCCGTCAATATCTTACAGAACCGTACGAGTCTAAGTTCTTCGTCAATGCTCGGCACGCCAGCATTAGCATGCACGGAGTTGCCCCATTTAATCCTCCGCCGATGAAGAGAAAAATGACCGAGGAAGGACTGAGTTTCCAGTTCTGGACCGACCCGACGTGTGACTCCAGCATCAACGTCCGCCTGACCGTGGATGCCCTGGGCAGTATGGGAAAACTCTACATGCGCTATCGGACCGCATTTGCGGCCTTCCCGCTGCTGATCGTTGCTTTGATCATTCGCAAGCAATTCCGGGTATACGACAGTCAGGGCGTCTTCATCCCTTTCAATGAGAGCCTGGACTTGTGTCTGCGACGGTCTATACCGTTGATCCTCGCGTCATTAACACTCTTATCCCTCTCCTTGGACACATCTGGAACTCATGGGACGGCAAGCTACTGGCCGTTCAAAAATGTGACAGACGGCATCGACTTCCAGCAGAACGACCTCTTAGCTGGGACACGAGACCCGTTCTTCTGGTTCATGATACCTCTCATTGGCATTGTCTGCGTCGGCGTATGCGCGGTTCTCAATTACGCAGTGCTAGCTGTCACATCGGTACTGAGCACCGTGTACGGCTGGCTGAGCTTCCGCCCAGCCTGGGTGCGCTACGATGATAGGCGTCGGGCCATGCCACATGGCTTCATGCCCTCCTCGCCACGACGACGGCTCATCACGACAGCTATCCTGCTGTTCTTGGTCACGACCTTCATACCCTACCAGTTCGCATACCTGGTCGCGTGTGTGGTACAGCTCATCACCGCAGTACGGGCCCACCGCATCGCCTGTGAGATGCCGTCCAACGCCAACCGTAGCTTCTACAACTACGCCCATGCTATTTTCTCCCTGATGCTCTGGGTGCTCCCTATCAACATACCTATACTGGTCGTCTGGATACGCAACCTGACAGTGCACTGGTTCACACCCTTCTCCTCCCACCACAACGTCATGTCGATTATGCCCTTCATCGTCCTTGTCGAAACATTTACCGCGGGGAAGATGGTCCCAAGGGTGACGGGTCGCCTGAGACATATCACCAGCGTCCTGATCTTTGGCGTGGCAGTGTGCGCAGCTGTTTACGGTGTATCGTACGGCTACATGATTCACCACCTGGTCAACATCGTCGCAGCCTGGCTTGTTGTGATACATTCGGCATCTGACTCGTGGTCCCTGGCCGGGTGGAGCGCCTTATTCGAGGGCAACCCCGAGACGCGGAAAGGAGGGAAAACCCCATAGGAGCAAACGCCTGGTGGCTGGCGTCGCCTCATCCGACACCATGCCACTTAGCTAAGCGACCATCAGCATCACGAAGCTTTCTGAAACATAGCGAGAGTCTTGTTCTGCAGGGCGGCATTCTGGATATATTCTTTCATACAAATCATTACGTGGCGTTGGGTTGCATTTACAGGTGGCGGCCTGGGCGGCTGTGCTTATCGGGACTTGGCCATCTTCGCGCAGACACAGGTCTTTGGGTTAAGGGGTTTTAATCGCCAGGTTCCTTGGGCTGGGACCGAAATAATGCTTCTGCTTCTACTTCTTCTGTTCACTTTTTATGACTGCACCCGAGGCTGGTTCTGTCGTCGGCGGAATGGCTTACCCTACGATTCTATACACACTCCGCCACAGTGCTTTGACGAAACGAGACGGACGGGTGATGCGGGATGGATATATACCTTTTTGGCTCATGATAGAATTCTTGACTACTCGCACAGACACAGATTCACACACACACACACATTCTCGACCTGGAACGAGCGAACGGACTTGGGTTCGGTACCGGATATTTGGCAGGTGTCTTGATCCCTTTGCAGAGGCGCAAGACTTCGTTTTAGCTATTGTACACTTTCTGGGTGGAAGAAAGCCATTGCTGCTGGGACAGAGCAGGACCTCAGGGTATCGCAAAGCCCGAGGACGTTGCTTGTATGACTGTACAGGGTACAAGTTGCAATGGAGATGGACGTGGGTGGCACTTTCAACCCTGGTATAGAATATCGCAATGGACTCAATGACTACCCTAAAAGTTCCTGATGAGTTGACTTCTGAAGGTTGCCCGTAACCGACCAAGCCCAAGGGACGGACGGGCCAGTTTTAACGGAACAATGAACAATGGACAATGAATGTGTTGCTGACTAAGCTTGGCCTGTGCCTTGGCCGAGGGGCCAACCTCGTTTGGAACAGTATCGGAGAGCGAAGCCAATTATACCCCCCTGGTCACTGTGCCCATCTCACTCACTCAGTCTGCCTTGCGAGGAAGCTGGACTGCCAGTCGTGAGCACCCTCCCAAGGTCATACGTCCCGGATGGCAGCGGCTGGGGCTGCCCCAGGGGCGCCGGCTCACCGAGTCCATGTTAACCGGTCAGATGGGCGGCTCTATTCGACCCATGAGATCACCTCCAAGGGCAAGATGGCCGCGAACCAGATTGGGGAGCCTATTCCAGAGGATTGGGTCCAGATCGCGGATGCTGAGACGCGCAGGAAGGTGATCCAGTGGAAGGTGGTTGTTGGAAATGGCCTCTCGGAGGAGCTGGGGTGGCCAAAGGGTAGGTCGTTGTTGGCCTGACTCACCGAGCCTCAAGCGTGACCGTCAGCTAATAGAGGACCTCAGACGTGCAATATCAGCTGGAGTTCCCGGAGAATTACTGCCTGAGATGGCACAACTCGGCGGGCCCCAACAGAGAGGCATGCGTCTACGGCCACCCGCAGGACTGCTCTGACGAGTTCCTTTACAAGCACCCCCACGAATTCATCCCGCATGTCCTGTGGCTTCTGAGTGATTCTCAAGACCACAACCAATGCCCGTGCCAGCCATGCCATGTTGCGACAGGCAGGAAATGGCCCCAGTCTCTGACGGCCAAGTTTGAGAAGAAGGCAGCAGCTTTGGCAACGCCCGCTGCCGAGACAAAACCCAAGAAGGCGGCGGCCGCAACCACCAGATCCACCGCCACCAGGAAGAAGTCCGCCGCGGCCACTTCAGCCTCCCAGACCCCCACTCCTGAGGTCACGAACAAGGTGCTCAAGGAACCCGCGGCTCCAAAGCCGGCCAAGAAGTCTGCCACTCCTAAAACAACAGCATCTACGCCGGCGCCGGCGCCCGCACCAGCACCAGCACCAGCACCAGCACCAGCACCAGCACCAGCGACGGCGACGGCGACAGCACCCGCCGCTTCTCTGCAGGCCGTTGCCACACCTGCCGCACCGCACCCAACAGTGAACAATGAGCCAACCCTGTTCCGCCGTGGCGAGATGGTCTGGTTTCAACAGGGGCCGGCATGGAGGATTGGTATTATCAGACAGGTCGGCGCAGGACACGTACCCGGCTACGTCGTGACACCCCTTGCGCACTCCGTCCTCAATCTCGCCGACGTGCCGAAGCAGCAGCACGAAATGCGGCCATTCCTCACCTTCAGCGTGCCGGCCATTTCTATTCCTGAGCTGCAGAACCAGACATTCTCCCAGATCAACTGGGAAGCCCTCCTGAATAGGAACGCCCCGCGACCCGAGTTCATCGGCCTCGAGGCGTCTAAGATGGCTGCCCTAGAAATTGACGGCTCCTGGTCCACATTCAACCGGCTTACCCCAGGCCCCAAGCAACCCCAAAACAAGAAAATGCACGGTGGTGTCTTCCTGGGTGCCGAGATGATCCGCCTGGGCGACGCGATCCGCCACAGAGAGAAGAGCCACGGCATAATGGAGGTGACCGAGATCACAGTGACGGCGGCAACCCCCGTCCCCAACCCGGCCGACCCGGCCAACAAAATGCATGCAGCCACGTACACGCTGAGCTTCCGCGGCATCGAGTACGAGGCGTCGCTTGTGGCCGAAAAGGCAGCGCTCGGGCCGCAGCCCCAGGGAGCCATCTTCGTCAAGGACAGCGCCTTCCGCACGGCGGCGGCCAAGGCTACGGGCGCCAAGCAGAAGTGCGTGTGGACGATATCGTCGTGGGACACGGTCTGGGCAGAGCGGGACGTCGGCGGCAGGCTCTACGTCACCAACGAGCTCATCGGCGTCACGCAGGGTGCCCAGGTCGCCGAGACGGCCTTCGCCACGGGCGTCTTCAGCGATGCAACGGCATACTTGAACAACCGCATGCAGAACGCCGCGTCAAAGGACTTCGGGAGGAAGGCCAACCGCCGCACGACCGTGGGGGCCGCGGTCGCGCCGGGGCAGCCGCTCGTATTTGGGGAGGGCGTCATCGAGGAGGAGGGCTTGGAGTAGGGCACTTTGGAAGCAGGGGCAACTTTATAAAAGGGGACAGTTAATACAATTACCTAGGTACTTAGATGGCCACTGGGACCCCCCAACTCCCGGGACCCAACGTGCAAGACATGGGGAAGCAAACCAATTCACCAACCTTTTTTTTATACCCAGAGCACCGCTTCCCTTCTGTCTCAACAGCTCAATGGTGCAGTTGAAGCGTTTCCAAGCGGTCCCAGCAGCCTCCAACAAGGACCCATGGATCAACAAAGCACAGTACGCCCAATGTAGCAGGAAAGTCACTCTTGCCAAGTACATGGGCTCTGGACGAAGGGGTCAACCACAGAGCGGCATCGCCAAGACCAATATAACAAACACCCATGGTGAAGGCTTGTTGCGCCTCACAGGTTGTCTCTGGCTTGCTGCCCCAAAGCAATTCTCGTATGACCACGAGAACATTCATTGTGTCTAGTAGTTTTGGGTGCTTGCGAGGTTCCGGCGATAATCTGGACGATGAAAGCAAGGGCCTCGGGCTTTACTGTGGTACATGGTTGATGGCATAATACTTCAGCGAGATCTCGGTCGACACCGGTGTCAAAAAGTCCAGTTCACGCTGAGCGTGGTGGCATCAACCAAAGCATTGGGACCCGGAAGAGACAAGCCACCGAGTCGACCTCGCACAGATGGACTCTGGCGCATACGTGACGTTCAACCAGCCCCCTCGCCCGCCACGTGGCGTGATACAGCAAGCCTACCGGCCACGCGGGCGGGAGCAACATACAAGGCCCGCCATGGTGGCCAGCCGGTCCAGAGCCAGGAGCTGGAGGCAGGGCGCAGGAGAGGGCTGCCGAGCTGATCGCTTGCGCTGCTCGTATCATTGGACACCTACTTGCCGATTGTCTTACGAGGCCAGCCCATCTGCTGAGCTGAGCCGGTATACAGAGTACGGGTTTCCCTTGTTCAAGCATTGCAGGCAATCCTGCAAGGACTGTTGAATGGCCAATCTTGATGACATTGAAATTCCAAGACGGATTCCCTAGCTGACGATGTCGGGAGCAACATCGTTGGTTTAAAAGAAGACGCTACGTAGTACCCATATAATGCCAACCGGGTATATGCAATGATAATCGTGAATAAATGAATCGCTTTTCCCTCCCTTCGAGCCCAGTCCCCCAGATGTGCGTTCTTGAATGTGGCGGCTTCCGTGATACGTGTTTCCCTCGGTGCCTCCAATCGGAGTCTGGCCTGACAGCCCTGCCTGACCCGGGTACATGCTTCGCGGGCACTGCAGCAAGCATCAGAGCGAGCATTCCTTTGCCGGCAAGGCACAAGGCCATCTGTGCCATATCATCAACTGAATGCCCGCCACAAGACGAGGCCTGTGTTCAGCTTAGCCTCGTCTCAGCCATCTTTGCCTGGACACTTCTCATGACTTCCGGGTCGGGTGCCGGCTCAACCTTCTGAGGTCTCAGCCGTTCGCAGTTATTGCACTTTTTGTGCGAACAACCAGGGCACGTGTCGCCGTCCTTGGCTCCTGGGGGGAATTTCGCGTAGCACTCGTGGCACTTATAATACGGTATCGACTTTGCGCCGAACTCATCGCCTGGATAGCCATAGGGATACTTGTCCTTCTTGGGTCTGGATTTCAGAAGTTAGCATTTTGACATCTGGTCAGAGGGCCTGTTGGAAGATGGGGTGGTTGGTACATACGGGTCTCGAGGGCAGTCTGTACACCGTGCATGGTTGCACTTTGAACAGCTCAGCTTCCCACCCTGGAATGAAGTCTCCAACCCGTCGAACTCGAGGCACTGGCAACAAGTCCTCCTGACGCGCTGCCGAACCTTCTTATACACCAGTTCTTGACCTCCCGGCTTTCCAGGCCTCCTCAGAACGACCTTTTCGTGGGAGTTGAAGTTCCAGTCCGGTACAATGACTGCATTCGCCGTGCGTTCTCTTAGGATTTGGTCCCTCTTCTCTCGGCTGGCCAACTTCTCTGCCTCGGATCGCTTGGGAGGGTAATAAGTACACTGGCCGCAAGCACTGTGTTTGCAGCCGTCGCACTTCCCGGACTGGTTCATTCCGTGGCCGCATTGGTGACAAGTCCGGTGTACGCGCATACGGATGGGCCTGTTGACGCGGAGGACATGGCCGTCCATTTGGTACCACGTGTGGGGGTCCATGTCAAGGCCAAAGCGTTCTGCGAGCTGTTGAGCTCGCTCGCTGTATATCTGGGCCCGGGGGATGCGTTCTCCTTCGAAGATGGCCTGGGCATCATCGAGTTGCGCAGGAGCACTTTCAGGCACCTCGGCGGGTTCGCTGCTGGGAGTCAGTCATGGGACCTGTTCAGAGACGACATCTAGACCGTGCGGGGGAGAGCTGTGTCAAGTAGATAATGAGATCACGTTGGGTGACATACGATGGAGCTGGTGGATTTGCAGGCGTGGTAGACGGGCCAGCCACAGGCGCGGGGGATACGACCGCAGCAGTTGTCGGTACAGTGGATGTTCTTTTGGACGAATCCGTCTTTCTCAAGACCGTCTTCATCCTCATTAGTAGTTTCTTCCCAGCGCTCTTCACCCTTTCCTCGCGGCTCTCAGCCGGGGCGCCTCCCATATTGGAAGCCATGTCGGTTACCGTGCAGTTCGGGTGGCCTTGGTCGCAGGAGATGGTATGATGGTGTCACTGGAAGGAGTCGACGTAGTCGGCTGTGGGAATTACTTCATGTCGTCCGGGTCCAGAAACGGCCACGACGGCGGGGAGATGCAGGCCGGACAGCAGTGGGGATGATAGATAGTTAGACCACTGGCGCTTTTATTCGGTGACAGGATCCGCAACCTTCTCAGGGATAGAGGGCAGAGAGAAATAGAGGGTCTCGGCAGGCTTCTGGGCGGGTAGACCGAACCGCAATTCCAGGCCGACGGGCTACGATTGAAGCTAAGGCGTGACGAAACAGCACTGGGCAACGCGGCAGACCGGGCGCAGACCAGACGAACAATGGCAGAGCGCTCGTCCGGCCAATCCAGTTCAAGTGGGCTGTCGGGAAGTCGTCGTCCTCAATTGCCGAGAAGCAAAGATCTCCAGGAGTCGGGTCCTTGGTGGGTGCAACTTGCAACGCAACAACAGCTTCACCGTGGACCGTGTGGCAAGGCAAGGTTTCTTCGCATTGATGTCCCCTATTCGAAGGTCTGAGCAGACGGGTAGGGGCAGGGCGCTGTGTACAAGGCGATGTGTATTGCGGTATGGCACGCTCTGACGTGCTTGTTGTGAGAAAAAGTCGAGGATGTAGAGTCGTAGGAAGAAGTTCTGAACGATCCTGGCCTCTGGCTTTGGGATGGGGGACAAAGAGAATGAACGGGGCGGGAAATGTGTGAGGAAGACGAATGAGGGAGAAGATTGGCGAGGGCGGTTAGAGGCTGGACGGAGGGAGGAAGGGATGGATGATGGATGAATCAAGATGGAGTGATGCGCTGCACACATACATCCAGCCCCCCCCCCCAGGAGGTTGTCGGGGGGTGGTACCTAGCGGGGGAGAGACACAAGACGAGCAAGCGCAAGCCGAGGTGGATCGACTAGCAGCCGCACCAAGGAAAACGTTAAACAGAAACCCTGCAGACAAAATTACATGCAGCCAGCAGCCCCAGGGGATGCAGCCCAGCCCGGCCTCTGATAGCTGGAGCACTTGAGTAGCTGCCCAGCTGTTGATGTTGGCGGGCAAGTCCCAAGGGCTTTATCTAGTGTAGGACAAGCTTGGGCGGTTAGATGCCACAGGATGGGGACAGACAGACAAACAAACACAGGCCTGAGGGGGGCGAGCGGGCGAGCGGGCGAACGAGTCGACATCGGGGCATTGCGAGGGTCCGGCGCTGTGGTTGGAAAGGAAGGACCTAGGCACACAGGTACACAGGTACAGTACACAGGTACACGGTTACACGGTTACACGGTTACACGGTGACATGTTGTGCTCTGTGGCCTGTGTTGCAACTTGCAAGCACCTGGGCACTTGGGGGCCCGGGGAGGGGACGACGTCGTCACTCTCACGCCAGACTTGCAGGATGGCGCAGGGAGCGAGAATGCCGCGCATGGGAGGCCAGTCCACGGCAGCCAAGGTGCGCATGTCGTCTCGGCCGGGAAACGAGGTGATACCACAGTAGGTACCTGCCAGAGCTGCCAGACCTGCCAGAGCTCGGCCCAGCTCGGCCCAGCTCTGCGCAGCTCTTCAGGCCTACCCCTACACCACACAGCAGGCCTCGCTGGCGCTCTGTACTCTGAGCTGTGATGAGAGGGGGGGGGCTCGCAGGCTCGTTGTGCCTGGCCCCCAGCAACCCAGCAACCCAGCCGGCCATGCGCGATGGACACGGGCAAGACGGGCTCAGCTGGTGCGGGAGGGAGGGAGGGGGGCCTGGAAGTCAGAAAGTTTGTTTCCATGCACCCGCGGGCCTGGGCAGATGCTGATCCGCAGCTGCAGGGATGGGATCTGGACGGAAGGTGCCCCGGCCTTGGGGCCCAGCCTGCAATCAGCACCTGCCACAGGAGCGGGCAGGGGCAGAGATTCGTCATGTTGTTTCTGGTGGTCGGCAAACTGTGCGGCCGGGGATTGGACACGACCTCGGTCTGTTGAATGTTGCGAGTAGACAGACACACGTGGGTGTCGCATTGTTCTCTGGTCCTTTGCGAACCCGCCTCCCCTGCGCGCTTTGGTCTTTATTGTCTTCTAGACTGGCAAGCTGGCTGCTCGCGCGCCAGCCAGGCCGCGGGGCTGCTGGGCTGCTAGGGGCTGCTAGGGGCTGCTAGGGGGCTGCTAGGCCTGCACACCACCTGGGCACGTACTATGTAGTAGTAGGGCTTTGAGACCAGTCGACGCCTCGCTCAGTCTGGGCGGCCAGGCGCGAACAAGACATTGGCCAGACCATGGCGCTTGTCCCTGATTGGGAGTGGCTCTCTGCGCCAGGTACTTTTAATTGCCTGGTGGGCGGGAGTGCTCCGTCAGTCCGTACGGCCCAGCACCCAGCCAGCCCAGCCTGCCAGCCTGCCTGCCAGCCCAGCTTGACACCTGCTAGTACTACTAGTAATAACACCCTTCGTAACGTTACGGTTGCGGCACACCCAGCACTTCAGCCCTCCCAAGACTCGGACCATTGGCCATCTCGGCCAAACCAAGGTTTAACCGCCCGCGCCCGCCTGCTGTTGGGTTTGGGCCTGGCCCCAGACGCCCGGGTCGTGCATTGTATTGATGCGATGCGATGCCATGCCATGCCATGATGCATCGAATGGTGTTGGCACTGCCACCGTTTTCATCCAGAGGGTGCGGTACTAGAACGCGTGCTCGACAGCGGACCTGACGGGCTGCCAGCCTGCCAGCCTGCCACAACAGGCAATGTCTTCTTGTGGTGTACCAAGTAGGCCTGGTGTAGCCCGTGCCGTGGTGGTCTGCTCCAAGCGGCGGTTGGGTGGGGGGGGGTCTGGAACGCTCGGGAGAGTAACCACGCTGCCGGGTCTCGGGTATCCACCAGAGGCCAGCGACAACTTAAAATTCTCCGCAACGAACTCAATTGCCAATCGCATCACCATCATCATCACCATCACCACCACCGCCACCACCACCGCCCGCTGCTGCAGCAGTCAGTCAGTCAGTCAGTCCATCCCGACAACAACGGGATCTTCGGTTCCATAATGCAGTCCGAGGCGACACCACCCTTGAGGACTTGATTAGAGTTCCATCGCGTGGCCTTGTCACACGCCCCAGGCCTGCAACACGGGAGGGAAGCCCTCACCCTGCGTGTCTACGCAAGTGTATCCGTACCACAGTAGATACATTGCACACGGAGTACCGGGGCACGCTTCGTGACCCACCTGCCCGCCCCCCTCGAGATTAACCACCGGCCCTGGGCTTCCTGCTCACTCGACCTCAAGACTCTTGACTCATGCCGTCGACGAGTGTCCCGGCACACTGGCACCGACCACTGACTCGCGCGAGTCGAGATGGCGTGTCTTGGCGTAACCTTGGGACTGTGTTCCGTCCCATGCCCACACCGCCTACGCTGCGGCTCCGCGCTCTTCAGACGCATCGGGACAGGTGTCATAACCTACTGACGAGCTTGACTGACACACGGCGCGCGGCAGTCGGGTGCTGAGAGGTGGCGGCGGTTTTTGATTCTTCCTGATACCGGGGGACTGGGAGCACAGGACCCACAGTTGCAGACGCCGCCCCCCCTCCCCTTGGTGATCACCCCACTCGGACGGGCCAGCGCAGGACGGGGCTGTCCCACACCGTGAATGAGCTGTCAACGGAAACAGCCAGGTTTCAGGGCTGGTTGGCAGCTTGTCACCGCCATGCCGGTGGCAGAGTGTGCTGATTTCTGCCGTGGGCTGAGGAGCCTGGGAGCACAGGATGAGGTGGTCAAGTGGTGTGCTTCGGGCAAGAATACATCAGAGCTGTCGCGTCTCCACTGCCGGCCGGCCATCCCGCCCGCCTGGACAGGAGCCCACTGCCTCTGCGGCCCAGCGGCGGCACGTACCGCTGTGCTGGGCTCAGCCATACCCGACCACCCGGAAGCGACGATCCTTGGCTGTGAGACCCGACGCTCTGGTGACCGCCCGGTCATTGGCCGTCTCTGCGCCGTCAGCACCCAAAACCATAAGGGTGCTGATGAACGGCGGATCCCCCCCCCCCCCGGAGCTGATTTGCCCAGTTGGCAAGAGCAATTGTCCCTTGCCGCCAATCGGTTCCTCGTTGCTCCTGGCGGCCAGTCGCGGTCAAACATCCTGGGCCGCTGAGGAACCCGAATTATCATCTATCTACGGAGTACTACCATCCATGCACGTCCGCTTTCGTTGTCAATCGGCGCCTTGGCCGGCGGCCGACTCCCAAGCAGGCATCTCGCCCGGGCTCACGCTGCCATTGTCTCTGTGTATTTCCGCAAATGTTTCTAAACATTTTATTTCTACTGTGTACAAATGTAGCACATGTCATGACGACCCACAGCAGTCCGACAAATCCGGCGATAATCCGGTGATCAAATGGTTTTAGGCTGAATATGCTAAGCGCTCGGTTCGGCGCTTCTTCACGTTTGAGGTTCGCCTATAGCAGCCGGAGTGACGGACTGCGCGGCCGCAGAATGCGTGCAATTTATTACCGTTATATAAAGAACCACAGAAGCATGCGTCTGATAAGTTAGATGGCCAAACTCAACCTCTGCTCACGGCATTCCAAGATCCACCCTGGCACGAGTTCTGAGCCGCACGGTAAGAGCTGCAACACCTCATCGCTTCAGAGCCCCAAACAGCGATGCATGAGTGAGCAAGAGGCTCTGCAAGGTTCTGCCTTCTAGCAGAGTCCCTTGGTCCTACTCCTGGATTTTACGCCGTACCTACCAAACTGACCGCACTGCTCTGGCACACACGGGGCTTGTGTTGGGAAAAAACCAACTACAGCTGCTAGATAAATGCCACGAAGCTTTTTGCCAAGGCTGGATCAGAACATCCTCGATTGCCGTTTGATCTGCCCCAAGATTTGGAATAACCTCGGGCTGCAGAGAAAACCGCCGTGCTCTCACGCAGACATTTGTGATCTGTGATCGCCACGACGCATTCGATCTCGGCGTTGGATAGCAATCAAGATTTTTATGATCCAGGTGAAACGGGTGCACGAGTCCGTGCAAGCTTGCGACATTGCACAAGCAGACAAGGACTGCTGCTTGTCCGTTGTCCATCGCAGCAATCCGCTTCTGTGACCAGAAAGCCTGTGACCAGATTATTGGGGACGAGATTTGGAGCTCAGGCTGCGGCTTGGCGGTGCAGCATATGACTGCATGGCTCCGGGCCGGCCTACGGAGTACATACGTACCTAAGTAGGTAGATAGATGCTATGGCGCTTGGCATGCAACGGGGACCCTTCCCTTGACACTTTTATTACTGGCTTCTATTCTGACAAGGTGTCCTGCCTCGATGCTCACTGATACGGACCCTGGCATCGGGGATTTTCACATTCAAGCAAGGTACATGGCAGGTGGTCCAGTCCTTTATTGCCCCAGTCCGTCGGAGAGACCCTGAGCAAGCACCCGATGCGTGCCTGGCGTTTTGGTACACCATACGCAACGGCGGAGTATCATGGTCCGGGTATCCGCATTGAGTCTCTGTGCCTTTATGCTTGTTGCAATGGCTCTCGCATTTCACCTCTTTTAGCCCTGTATTATGTGAGTACATTGGCCAGTGATCGGGTTCCGAAGTCAACCAAGCTATGTTTCCAATCTCAACAGGACGGAGGGTCCGGCCACTGGCGTAGACGATGTGCTAGCCAGTCCGGCCGTATTGGTGGTCAGCGGCCAGGGAAAGAAACCAAGAGGCCTCTTTCATGTAGAGATTCAACAAAAACTTGTTCATAAATCTCTACAGGTGGACTTCAGAAAAATGGCGAGGTGGAAACACGACCATGTCGAGTCAGTCGGTCATCGGCTATAAAGTACGATAAGGATTAGCAGCCCGCCCCTTATCTAAGCGGCTACCAACTACAATCTTGGTTTGTGACACTGAGCAGGGGTGACCAGTTGAGCAATCCCGACTTCGACATCAACAACGTCACCGAAAGACTCTCGCGGCATCAAGTTCCTGCGTAGCACCCAAGACACTTATCACGCGTCGTTCCACGTCAAGTCCCCTTCTTCGGCTGTGCAAGACAAGTCTGCGCAGTCTGACCCACCACGACCGAGTCTCCCGAGTGTTCCATGCAAACAGAGTCCACCAAGAGTATAGACCAAGAGCCCTCGAACAGCGCCACCACTTCGCAGAAAACCACCACCCAAGATGGCTTCCGTTCTCCTGAACCAGGCTCTCTCGATGGGGGCTCTCGGTCTGGGCTCGATGGCGTCTCATCTGGCCGCGCGAGCCCAGTCCTGAGGGCGGCCCAGTCTGTCGAGGCTGGCGCAGAAGAAGAGCCTTCATCGGGTACATACGAAAGTCACTACACCCTTCCGGGGGAGCGTGTGGCTGCCTACGAGCATGCTACGGCACCGAGTATTCCAGCAGCATTCAAGGTCATCAAGCGGCCCGCTTCTGCAGCAGAAGGCCCATCTCTTGCAGACTGCCCTAATGGTGTGTGACCAATCTACGCCTGTGGTAATTGACAAGAACCAGCCAGGCTGACTTTCATTCTGCCAGAGATTCTGACTCAAATCCTCTCGCACCTCCACCCGGACTCGCATGGCTCTGTCGCACTCGTTTCGAAACGGTTCTACTCTCTAATTGCTGAGCCGCACGCATGGCGCATGGCGTTTCTCCGCTACTTCCCTGGCCCAGAGGCCATGGGCATCTCAGCTGCCCATCGAGACGCAGACACGGAGGAAGCCAACAGAGTGCGGTCGGAATTCCGGTACTTCACCCGTTTGACGTCTCTGGCTTCGTGGCGGAGTGAATATCTTCTGCGCACCCGGCTCCTGCGCAGTGTCGCCCGCGGCAAGCCCGGAGCCAGGATCGGTGGCGCTGGAGGATCCCTGAGACCCGCTCACTCATCCAAGAAGGCCGGCGCTGTTCTCACCTACAACACAAAGCTACCGTGGATGATCAGCAACATACACGCTGTGTTTGACGACAACAACAAGCGAGGTCCGAAGGTCATTGTTGGCACGAGGGACTTGTGTGTCTCTACCGTCAGTGACCCCTCGAGTGGAAAGGTTGAGAAATGGGGTCTCGATGATCCTTTTGCATTCGCCCAATTGGACGAGCTGTTTCCGAATCTGCAGCCATTCGGCGTCGGGGATGGTCCAGCTGCTGTGTACAATGTAATGGATGTCAGTCAGCCCTACGGAATGGTGGGAGGCGAGGGCTTTCCCGGTGGCCGTCCGTACTTCCGTGCAACCAATGAGCTGCGTGGACGGTATCTCGGCGAGCAGAACAACATCATCGACATGAGCCCCGAAGTCCCCAAGATACCGGAGTTGTTGGAATCCATATGCAGTGTATGGATCGCCAAGTCTTCGGCAGTTCCCTCGATCACTCAGAACATGATCGGGCTGATGACTGGGTCTACGCTAGGCGTGGTCACTGCGTATGCTCTGAATCACGATTTCGCGGGCCCTCAATACAAGGCTGGGGACATGACCGCACGCTGGGTCCTTAGCCCTGGTGTTCCGATTGTTTCCCTCAAGGTCGATGACAGCTTCAACCAAAAGCGTATGTCACTAGGCCGCGTGTGGGCATGCGCCCTCAACGCCCTTGGAGAGTGCTTTGTGTTGACGCAGCCCCCGGTCCCACCGACGGAGGCGAGGCGGAAAAGCTCGAGCACCACGAAATCTTCTTGGACTGCTGGTCGCACCGCCTACTGGGAACTTATCGAGTCTACGCGCCGTAGAGCACGACCAGACGATCTCGACAAGAATGCCGTGCGCGGAGCTTATTCCCCACGCTCTCCGTGTGATGCCATGGCTTTGAGCAAGGACCAGACCATCGCCGAGGCTCGTGAGATCGAGAAATACCTTCGCTACGAGCCGGCTCACTTCCGGAAAGTCTGCGAGGGCTGGGACATGCGGAGGCAACTTGAAGTTGACTTCGCCGAGGAGATCATCCTTACCATCCTCAGCGGACAAGATGAGGAACAGTCGCCCGAGATCATTCGTTGCAGCAGATCCACTTTTGGAACAGCTGACACCTCGAAGGTGAACACCCCGACTGTTCTCACCCCAAACGTCCTGTCTCCCACCCCAGTGAAGTCCATTTTCGGGTCTGGTGCCAACACCCCTGTTCTTGCTTGCTCTCCTGCGCCCGAAAAGCCAGAACCAACCGGTGTGCAAGACGCCAGGGAATGGCAAATAACGAGACTCTCGCTGAAAAAACTCGGCAAGGCCCAGATCACAGCCGTTGCCTTGGACAATTCTATTACTGCGCTATTGGCACCCTTTGAAGATCCTCTCAACACTGACTCTCCGCACTCGAAATCGGGAGCGACCACACCGATATCGAAGCAGACTACCGGGGAGATACCGGGCCGAAGAGCTCGCTTCTTTGGAATAGGCAGTGATTATGGCAAAGTACTCGTCTGGAACGTGCGTGACGGATCATCAGGCGTGGTGGAACCGGTATTCTCGGTCCAAACAGAATCTCCCGAGGTTACGAGCCTGGCTATGTCGGCGCTGTACCTTGTTCACGGAGGAAGCGATGGGCTCGTACAGGCATGGGACCCACTGGCGTCTTCGGTGGAACCCATCCGGACCTTGAATTCACGATCTTCAGGCCGGGCGCCACGGCATATCCTGAATGCCAATCCTGCCTTGCGACATGCCGACTACTCGACCTGTCCCGCCATTTTTCTGGACCCGGACCCGACGGTTCTACGAGGAATCCTGTGCTTTGGGACGTTCGTGCGATACTGGTCTTACAGCTCCACATTTCAGGGTCTAAGCCGCAGACGCCGTCCGCGCCATTCAGACATCCATGGGAAATTATCGAGTCGCCGTCAGGGCGATGCGGTCATGGGTTACATCGCTGCTGAAGAAGCCGAGCTTCGTCGCGAGGAAAGAGATAGCGCGCGAGAGGATGCAAGACTTCGAAAGCGCTTCGGTGTTGGCTTGGGCGATCTGACGGAGGAAGAGGCCATAGAGTATGCACAGATGGTATCTGAGGAGGCTTTCCTGCTCGATGAGCAGCGGCGCACGAGTGCCAGCGATACCGGGTCCGCAGTAGACACTGGTGAGAATGCGTCGTCGTTTGGGAGTCTCGACACGGTTACGCCAGATCCTAGCATGTCTGGGTGGAGTCCACCCAGCGGGATAACTCCAGCTGCCGGGGCGGCTAAAGGTGCATCTGACCTCGACGACGACGACGGCTATGAGCAGCAAATCCAACGAGCTCTTAGACTTTCCCTCATGGAGGATGTGAACGAAGTCGGCCAGTCACCTCGAGCAAGCAGCTCAACGGATTTCGAGTTCGCTGTCAGATTCAAACCCACCAAAGAGAAGCGGTCCACGACAGTTGCGGGCTCAGCAAGTCAGTCCCACAAACCGTCCCAATGGGGGCAACCTTGGAATCAAGCCGGGGGGGACACCTCGTCGCCGATCAATGTGGATGAGGTGGACGATGATCTAGCGCTCGCTATTCGCCTCAGCCTTGAGGAGGAGGAGCACAGGCAGCAGTATCAGAGTTCCGGCCTTGGCATAGAAGAGGATGGCTTTCCTCCACTGGAGACGAGCGGCAAGGGCAAAGGCGTCCTGCGGCATTGATAGAGTCTGGCAAGACACAGGGCGGTAGAGGTGGTGGTGTGTCGCAAATTTGGTTTATTTCACTTCCCCAGGTAGTCCTGGTGTCTAAAGGTTTGAGCAAGGACTCGACGCGCGTGTTATTCTAATTTTGATGTTACCTCTAGCCTTCCGTGCCCTGTGGTCGCGCCGCCCGCACTTGCCATCCGAGCTGCAGTTGTCTCGTGGGGTCCGCCTCAGATCGGACCGTGTGTTGTGCTAGGTTCTGCTGCTTGGCATGCACGTTCCATTGCCGGTCCTGACTTGCTGCCGTTGCATTGGCTCATGGAGACCCGCGAAGTCAATTACCTCGTACTCGTTGATTCCGTAGGCGCGGCTTTTCCGTCCAGTGAACAGGTCAAGACTGCCCCCATTTTCCAGAGTCTTCGCCACAACAAAAAGATATCAAGGACACGGGAGACTTTTCGCCTGAGGTGAGGATAGATGGCCACCAAGCTGCCGACGCCCAGGACTCGGAACGGAGTTGCTGGGAATCGGGATTGGTCCTGCGGTCCACCTTGCCAGATCGACGTCCCATTGCGGTGCGGACCGATCAGTGAACTGTGGAGGTGGCACGTGCTTTCACAGCAGAGATATCGAGATCTGACAGCCGTGGACATCAACCCCTAGACCGTCTTGCTCTACTGCCGGCCGGTATCACCCGTTTCAATTGGTGCTTGTCTGCTCCTCACTCTTCTGATTCTGGCACACCGAGCTATTTCGCCGTGCACCCAACTCTGTTGAAGCAACCACGTCCAACAGTAAACTATGACACCTGAGACGGTGTACGACGGCGAGGCTGTACAATCGAGATTGGTCGTCAATCGAGGCAAAGCTCCATCTCTCCACCGGGACCAGTGTCGCCGCGGCCGGGGAAATGGCTTATTCACTTTCAAAGAAGCCCATAGTGTCACAAGAGGAACTGGGCACGGCCATGTTGGCTCAAGCCAAGACATCACTGTGCATGTTGACCAAGGCCTCTGTCCCATCATTGGTGGATCCTGAGTTTCGCTTAAGACACACCCACGCTAACACCTAAACAAAAGTTGAATGTGCTCCATACCTGGTCGTTTCACTTCATTTCTCCGCGTCATGTTATTCATACCAGATATGCAAAACTATGTACAAGGGCCAGGCCCGGTTCTCGACATTCAGCATCTCGCCAGCCAGCCAGCCACGCCCCTCGTCATGTAGCCGTCCCTGATGCCGACCGACATGTCCAGGCTCGCCTGGCAGTGCATCTCGTTGGGGCAGACGATGAGCTGGGCGTCCGGGCCGGCGGGTCTTGGGGCCTTCCTCTTGGCACCGAGCGAGCCCACGCCGACCTCGCGGGCGCCCATCATCTTGGCCGTGTGGCAGACGTCGTCCCGGTAGACCTCGTCAGCACCGACGACCAGCAGCAGCTTCTGGGCCTTGAAGCCGTCCCAGAAGTCCCTGGGGGCCAGGACGGGGGCGGCCCAGACGTCGGCCTCGGGCTTCCAGCTGGCGGTGATGGCGACGAGGCTGTGCTCGCTCATGAAGTCCCTGCCAGAGTTGGTGCGGAAGCTCTCTGCGGTGGCGAGGTTGGCGGTGCGGGGCGAGATGGCGACGGCGCCCCTGAACTTGTTGCGCGGGGCGGGGGGCAAGGCCAGCGGGGTGATGCCGGGCCTGGGCTGCTGCAGGTGAGCCAGGACGGCGAGGGCCATGTTGCCGCCGGCCGACTCGCCGCCGATGATGATGTCGGCCGGGCTGCGGTACTTCAGGATCAGGCGGAGGGCGGCGACGGCCTGGGCCAGCTGGCCTGGGTACTCGCACTCGGGGACCAGCGTGTACTCGAGCAAGACTGGCGAGGCGCGGGCGATGCGGGCGGAGGAGACGGCGAAGGCGGGCGAGTGCAGCGGCACGATGAAGCCACCGCCGCTGGGAGCTGGTCAGCACTGGGCTTCGGGGCAGCAGGGGCAGCAAAATGACGACACATACTGGAAGTACAGCAGGATGGGGCCGTTCTGGGCCAGCTTGCAGTCGATGAAGTGCAGCATGGCCGGGGGGAAGCCGTCGGTGTCGTCGACCAGGACGGGCTGGTGGGTGAGGTCATTTGCGGCGCAGTAATCGGCGACGGTCTTGCCGGTGGTGTTGGAGACAAAGACCCTGAGCTGCCTGGGCTTGAGCAGGCTGATGGCGGTGCCGAAGCTGGCGGCGGCGTTGCGCCTCAGGGACCTGGCGCACAGGATGCCCTCCCTCCACTGGCGGTACGAGTTGGCGAGGAAGAAGGACAGGATGGTGCCGGCGACGGCGGGGAGGACGCTGAGCAGGCTGGACAGCTCGCCGGCGGTGAGCTTTGGGCGGGTGTGGCTCGACATGGCTTGCCTCGGGAACAAGGACAAGGAGAATATTCAGCCCATCTTTCGCTTGTCGGCTGGGAGGGGGGGGGGAAGGTTGGCAGGCGGGCCTGCTATATAATGCAGGCCCGTCCGATGATGATGCAGCCAGCAGCGAGCACCCACGAGGTTGCCCACGCGGTGGCCTGGCCTTCCTGTTTGGGTAATGCCACAGGTCAAGCTTCCCGGGCCGGACCTGATGAGCCAATCGTAACTGTCGACGGCGACAGTCACGCCCGCCCTATCGGTAGTGCGGGCAGGCGGGCGAGTGTGCTACCATGTACCACAGTAGTACGGGGACGGGCAGACGGGATGCCAAGGCCTGGAGGCACCCTGTGCCGGTGACGGGGGTGGGGCCGGGGGGCCAGGTCCAGAGGCTACCAGACTTGCCAGAGCCCACCCACTCGGCCTCAAGCTTTCCGCCTTGTGGGGCGGGTGCACTGTGGTCGATCCCGACCAGGCCTCACAAGCCTATCGGATCTCGACTCTGCCGGGTGCTACCCACGGTTACCCCCCAAGCCCTCGTCCGATCTGCCCCAGACCCTCTTCGAGAAGACGTGCCTCTGGCTTCTTGCACGCTGACACACGGTTTCACCCTCTCTGCTCTGGCAGGTGTTTTGTGAAACGGGGGTCCTCCCATCGTCTGTGCCCTCGTTTGGCCGCCGCACGCTAGAACTGTCAGCCTTGTCGTCGTCGCGTTTGCGTTTGTCCTGGCTCCGTTCCCTGCCATGGCACAATATCACCGCAGCATCACTCACGTTGCTCTCGCACATGTCTACACATCTGAACAGCCTATCGGCGGCCTTCAGGCGCCCAGGAGCCTCGGTGACAGCTGCCATCACCCGTCCATCCGCCCCCAAACAGAGGGACCGATAGGCTGCTCATCTCCGGGTGGGAAGAGACAAATGACTCTCTGACACTCCGACCGACGATTCAGTTGGCAGCCTGCGCCGCTACATCATGCCTTCCGCATGCTGCACGAGACATGCTGGGTGCACTCTGTCTCATCACACCTCGCCCTCTTTGCACACCCAGACACTTCATGCTGGAGCTTGTGAGCAGGCCAGGGGTCCCACGCCGTCTGAACTTGGCCGCGACTACTATGTAGTACATGTCAAAACGGCCAACGCAATGTCGGAACACCTCCGACCTCAGAGGACAGACACCCCTCCTGCGACAGACGCACAAGGCCACGCACGTTTTGCAGCTGACCCATGGAACCAAGCCAGAGGCGCCGTCGGGTCTCGCAATCATCGCCCGTATTTCGACGCGGTCACAAGTGACGGGTGCCACTTTATGCGTGCCGGCTTTGGGTCCGCGCCAGCCGCTGGCCCATGTTGAGGTCTGGTACACTAACGGATATTACAGTGGCACGATACCAAGTTGGCTGCTGTAGCATTTCGTGACGCTCAAGATCGCCCTCCATGCTGCTGATATGAACCCTTCATTTCCATCTGGTGGTGCGTGTGATCGGCCATACGAACGCATGCAAGTGCGATGTGTGCGATGTGAACATGCCATGCCGGGCACAACCCTCCAACCAGACACACTGCGGTGTAGGCTGCACAGTACTCGGAAACCTCAAAGGACACAGGCAACGGTTGGAAACGGTGGTGTAAGCAGAGGCTCCCTGGGCTCCGGGCTGCGATTGAAGTTGCGTGGTGCCACGGACAGTCGTGGTCACGTCCTGCAAGTGCTCACCAGGCTGTGTAGACGGCCCATGGTCACTCAGACCCTTTCTGCCCACCTTCCATTTAGCTCTGGGGAAGGGGGCCGCACAAAGAGGATCATGTTTTTGAAGTATCTGTGTCGCCCTTTCAGGCAGAAACTACACACTTCCCAAAACTATTGAAGAGGTTGCGACATCATCGCCCAGGCGTGACCAGTATTGGCGCCCTCTGCTTTCTACACTTCCCTGCCAAAGACCCAAGTGTCGGAATCATTGTAAAGGTGGAGAGACTCTCTATGCAGAACAGTGGGACAGGTCTTCGGATTCGCACCCATCAATGTGATAATGACTTGGCCAATTTTCTGAAGTCGTAGAAGAGGGGCAGAGGATAGTTTGTTGACCAGCGTGGGCCCTCGGCCATGTTTCCAACAACCCTATCGCCCACCAACAAGCCGAGCCTTTGGTGCACATCTGGTCGGCATCAGGTGAGCAAGGTGTCGTGGAAGACACGCCGGCAACAAGGCGGTGTTTACAATCCTCCGCCGACCTTTAGGAAGTAGGCTCGAGTCCCAAATCGTCACCCATACCCGCTTCGAGGTCGTCAACTCCTACTGCCCAGCCGCCAGAGGGCGAACGCATCAACCTCAACACCCTACTGCGTCCTGACAAGTACAAGTAGCCACGGGGTAAGCTTCCACGCGTTTGCCACGAAACTACGCCTACATCTGGGTTGCCATCGGGCCGAGTGCTCTAGGACTCCCAGAACGACGCTCTCTGTCACACCCCGCGCCCACTACTGGCGCGGGACATGGGCTTGCATGTCCTGGAGGTATGTGGTTTCGTTCCTAATCCCCATACACATAAAACGTATGTGGCGCCTTCATACAGTGGTAAACGCTCAAGACCCACCGTCCTGGAGGTATGGCAAAGTACTCTCGAGGGTTACCGGGCAGCCAACCCGCCGTCTACGAAAGACTTTTGCAGCCTTCCAGCAATCAGACCGAACTATGTCATGGTCAATAACTCAATTGGGAGAGCGGCAGAGGCGTGCTTCATCGACTACAAGATAATGTTTCCAGCCGCCATGCCCTTGTAAACCCTAGCTAGATACTCAGTCACAGTTTCTAGCCGCGCGAGATCTCTTCACCACTTGTCGCCCGACACTTGTTCACGAGAGACCTGGTGCGAGGTCCAGTGGTTCATGGCAAACCTGGCCCTTCGCATCTATTCGTCTATTCTCCATCTTCGCCACAATCTCACAAAGAGCTCTACTCTTTGCCTCTCAGCTACAAAGAAGTGGGCGAAGTGTCCGCACGGGGGATTCGACGGAAAGTCTGGGCCGGGAACCATCGCAAGAGGAGATGCGAGTTGTTGTCAGGTAGACTCAAGGGGGGCAAGGTTACAGGAGACTCACGGCAGGGCATCTCTTTTACGAAACTATCTGCGCGCGGATCCTAATTCAACTTAACAAATGACAGTTGTTCTGAAGATCAGGCATATTGTCTCGAAGCCGATTCCAAACTCTCAATACTCGAACATGTCCGCTTCCCGCTTCTGATCAGTCCTTCATGTATAACACATGTTCATACCCCAGCTTCCACCATGTGTACCCAGGTAGTCCATCTTCTGGCGTCCTGGGCCCAGACAAAACACGGGCCGAAGCGATAGTTCGTGATGCGTGCATGTTTGGCACGATACAAGCATGTAATGGTCTTCCCTTGAAGATCCTAGAAATCCGCCCCGCTGGAGCGGTTGGCTCAGTGTCCTGAGTTTCGCAGCCAGAGAGGGACCCAGGTGTTGCCATTGCCATTGGCCATCAGAACCCACGAGAGATCCTGACATTGCGCCAGACAGGCAACCGCATCATGATATTGGACAGACTCTCACTTATACTAACCTTGTTTGCCTCGCAGTGCGTATCAATGGAGCGCATACAAGGCGTTGTGTTGGCCGCCTCAATTGTGGACCAGGCCAGACACCCGAAGAGTAAAAATGCTCAGTTTTTCATGGGATCTACGAGATCATTGCCCGCGACATGAGCGCATTGGCCCAAGTCCAGTGACAATTCCAAACAAACTGCCAGCGCACGGGTTTCGCTGGTGTGGACTTGTGTGTATGATCCAGCGATTGTGTTTGGAAGATGAGTGATTCGAGGAGAAAGCTGGACAGGTTCCGCGGGCGAGCATCATGCCAGTGCAGGTTTCCTTATGCTGTAGCCACTCTCTGCGGCAGTGTGGCTTTCCATTACGTCTCTCGGCCCTGCATTGCTGGGCGTCTGGGCCAGTTCCCCACATTTCCGGATCGATATGTACTTAAGTATACATATATATACATTGTACAAAAGATGGTGCGGTGGTACAACCAGAGTGCGATTTGTGTGAGCTCTATGGCCCACGCGCAAACATGCACAGCTTATAGACCTTTTTTTGCAGCTTTGCCATCTAGATTCGGGTGCCTCGAGGTCACTGAAGCATCGGAACCAGCACTATCGGAGAGCAGCTGGGTGACGACGGACCGTCCACGGCAGCCGGAGACGAGGTTCAATCCACTATACAGCAAGGCTGGGCACTTGAGAGCCGTGGGCGAGAGACCCCTGATCCTTGCAAGATCCCACCGCGCACAGCCCTCGCGACGTCCAGGGCTCCACATGCCTCTTGGGCCAATCGCCAATAACCAATCTCCCCCCCCCCAAGAGACGCGCAATAGCCGCGCTCACATGGCCGGCAGAAGACAACAAGTGCCCAGCAAACAACCCTTGGTGGCCGAGGGCGAGGGCAAGATGCAAGAATGAGACGGCCTGCCGATGGATTGAGATGGATCAGGTGCTGACGCGGCTGGGTCGGGCTTGCAGAAGGATGTGTGCTTGAGGAGGCTGTGGGGCCAGCAATCTTGTCGATGATCTGGACTTGCTCCAAGCTTCAATGAAGATCAGATGCTCATTTGCCGAGCAGCGTGAATAATCAGCTTTCGGCACCAAAATGAGTCGCTTACGGCGCCTCATCAGGGCGAAGCAGGAGTGGGAAAGCGGTTGCGAGCGTGGGGACCATCTCCCCGAGGCCGGTCGCCATTACCATCACCATCGTCGTAAAGCATGGCTGATGGCCGCCTCCTTTTTGGTGCTGTGTAGACAATGGTGCGCGACGTGGTGGCCGCCGCGTGGCGGTCGATGGGAGCGAGGTGGCTGGCAAGGGCCCGCCCGGCTGGCCCACAGTCGGTCTCTGGAAGCTTTGACACACCCGTGGTTTGCCGTTGAGACGGGCGACCCGCAAACCGACTGCCGATTTGGGCGGGAGGAAAAGGCGTTGGCAGATGGCCCGTGGCCCCTGGGCCCGTGGGCCGTGGCCCGTGGCAATAGCGCCGAGTCCTGGGGCAGTTGGGGCGGCTGGGCGGTTGGGGTTGGCACTTTCTCAAGGTTCCAACAAGGCGTGACGAGGCAAAAACTTTGACGGCTTGGCCGTTGGCGGGTATCCCTGCGCATGACATGATCTGACCAGCAGCCAGGGGTACGGAGTAATAAACTAGTGCTGCCATCCCAGGCCTGCCAGGTTATCCGATGAACTCATGTGTGGCCGCCGGCGCTGCTTCTGTCATTGTTTCTGGTGGCCCTCAAGGCGTGGAGGAGAATGATGGAGCAGGGGCGGAGGGACGTGTTTCATGCCCTGGGGGTATGCGCGCGCCGTGGGGACTGTTGTATTTGCTGTCTGGGAGCTTGAGGTTTATTGTGATTACATACCTAGGTGGTATATGGCAGAATGCCTCCCGGGGATGCTGCTCCCACCGCCCCTGGCAGCCCTGGCAGCCCTGGCAGCCCATGCAGCCCAGCCCATGCAGCCCTGGTAGCTCTCACCTTATCTTCCTCCTCCTCCACGGCTCATCTCGTTAAGGCCCCGCAAAACCACATGGCTGCTGACGGCAAAGGGCATGCTCGAGTTGCAGCGTCGGTCACTTGGCCACTGCTGCAATCTCTGCTTCGAATCGCCAATTTCTCCCGCTGACACGTCTGCCTCCCTCGTGCCCTCCTGCAACTCCTGCACCACACTATCGACCACCCTAATTTACACGACACCACTGCCACCACACTACCCGTCGCCCCGCTGAGACAAACTCTAAGCTCGGCGCACACCAGGGCCCTGCGCGCGCATCTTGGTAGCGAGGCCCCGCCAGGGATCCCCTGCCCACCTGCCCACCAGACACCCGGCCGGTTGAGCCCAGGTCCAGCCCGCGGTCCGCTCTGTGGGACCAGCATCCCTCCCCCATGGCCCATTTGCTTTTCCGCCCTCCCACTTCGCGACATTTGTACCGTGCTGCGTCCACCGACCAGCGCCTCCCTCTGTCCTTGACACTCCCCGCCCTCGCCGAGGACGTCTCTGCCTGCCTGCCTGTCCGTGCTGCCGGTGGACAACCAAGACGGGGCCCAGCAACCAACCACCACCACAACCACCACAACAACGACGACGACGACGACGACGACGACGACGACGACAACGACGACGACAACGACACCATCATACTGACAAGAGCAACGGCTGGCGCACGACGACCTACCCGCCCGGGCCCCACACCAGCACGAGCACCCCACGGCTGCTGCTGCATGTCCGTCGATTTGTTGCGTTGTTCGAGCAACTCGCAGCCAGTCGTCCCCCAGAGTACCGTCATGATACCCTTGGCATGACCCCGTTTTCCTGACCCACAGCCCGACCAACCTGGAACTTCGGCCGCCCGGTCCTGGAAACCAGAAGAGAAATGATTGCACGCCAGACATTGCGAGTCGGGGTCATCGTTGGCATTTGCATCGGTGCCCTTGGAGTCCTCTGCGTCGCCGCCGTCGTCCTGCGGGCTTGCTGCTGCAGCACACGACCAAACTCGACACAGATGCCGCGCACAGCAACCTCTGAGGACCTGAAGGACGACGCCTTTGAGATGAGGGAGGAGGTTCCCAGGACTCGGATCGGGCGCGTCTTCTCCAGGATCATCTCCAGGCGCCGGAAACCTCGAGGCCAGGATTTCTACGAGCTCTCCAGGGACAGCTCCCACCCGGGGACGGGCTCCGTCAGTCAGCAGTATGCCTCCCACGCGTCGCACGCCGAATTGGACCGTAACGGGCTCACCTCGGCCGGGGGCGCGAGGAATTGGCGCAACCAGAGCACCGACGGGTTGACCGCCTACCAGAGAGCCATCCAGAAGTTGGACAGGGAGGCCATGGGACCGGCGCCACCTCATGCACCGCCAGCAAGGAACTCGTTGCATGGCATCACCCCCGAGGACAGTGGCCACCCGCCACAGGGTCCGTCACCACCCGCATCTGCCCCCTACAACCAGCTCCAGTACAGCTCGCTGCCGTCGATGCCCTCACCAGCAACTACTCGCCTTTCGACCAGGCCCGACCGCCGCTTCGATGTCCCCTCTCCCATTACAATTGCACCCCAACAACTGGCGTCGGCGCCGCTTGTGAACAACTCTTCCAACCCCGACTCAACCTTCATATCCTACTCGCCCTATCAGTATCACACACCTCACACCGTCTCGCCCCTGCCGACCGGTGACGTGGGCCCGGTTTCCAGGCACGGGCCCCCATCCTCACCCTCATCCGAATCCGTTCAGTCGAGCCGAGCCTCGCGGTCTCCGGCGTCACTGTCGTCACTCAGCAGGAACAACTCGGCTGCCAAGCCGATCGAGTCTCGTTCTTTGCCCCCGCCAACCCCGACATACCACCAGAGCCAGAGGGCACCGATCGACACCGAGAACATAGTGTGCCTCGGTCCCATGCCCGACAACATGCAGTTCCCGTCGTCCTCAAATAATCACTTCAGGTCTCAGACGCAGCAGAATCCCCGCTCACCGCCCATGCTGGTCATACCAAACGGACAGCAGCGCAGCCCCCCCGCCTCGCCAAGCAGCCCCCCGAGCCCCGTTACCCAGGACCTGTTCCTGCACGACCAGAGCCCGCTGGCGCCTTACCAGAGCCCCGTCAAGTCCGTCTTCACGCGCGAGCTTTCCCTGCACTCGGACCGCCCGGGGACCGAAAGCTCCTTCCGCGAGGCCGATCGCCGCGGGTCGACCGACAGCCTGGGCAGCAACTTCACCGTCGAGGAGGAGGCGCGCATCCAGGCCCAGATCGTCAAGAACCTGTCCATGCTCGGCCAGGAGCGGGTGGGTGGGGAGGGCGACATTGTGCACGTCCCTCAGCCCTCGCCCAGGAGGTACAGCTGGGAAGATGTGTGATTCTCGGCCTCACCAAGCGCCAGTGAAGCAACTTCCTTGCCCCAAGTTCGGGCACGGCCGGTATTCTCGGCCCGATAACCAGCTTCTTTCTATTATATCAACACACCCATACGACGTTATAATCCCGGTCCTTTTCTAGGCCTGTCAACTTCAACTAATTTCTTTATGTCAACTATATGTATCAATATCTCTCGGCCATTATACCTACTACTACCCCTGGCTGGTGGGAACCTGTTTTTTGATAACCATATTAACGCGTTGGAGTTCGGGATTTTGAGAAGTGGGGGACTCCTTGGGTCTCCCGGGGGCAGAACAGGACAACGAAGGACATCATGTACGGTTATAAGGCAGGAAAAGGCTTCGCGAGGCGTTATGGTTACGGAGATTGGCTTTGGTCTTGTGGGTGGCACGAACGGTGACCATGCAGTGCTGTTGGTTCTCAGGAGACAGACCGGCCCCACTACTGCGAAAGACTTGCAGATCGTCTCGCCCAATAATGCACGGGGCATGAACGAGGATGAAGGGAAACGGAGGAGGAGCCATTGGACAACGTCATTGTAGAGGTAGCCATCAGAGCCCAGTCAATGATATTCGCATCGAAAGAAGCTGCCTCGAACGACTTATTAAGCCCTATCGGACATCACTCCAATACATTCCAGCACCAGCGCTGGTGAGGACAGTTACGGAACTTGCCGACATCTTGCAACGACATGGCTCTTTGTCAACCCAAGAGACGCGGCATCTCACCAGTCTCAACTGCCGGCCGGCCTTTCCACTGCCATTGGCACACTTCAACGTCAATGTTCTAAAGCGAGGTCTGCAGGCATGATACCAAACAATGCCCACTGCCCACTCTACCAGGTCTCCATCCATATTCCGACGGAATAAAGAAATTTCTTCGCCTCCTCGTTGTTCTTCACCTTGCCTCCAATGACCAGAGCATCCTCCAGCGCGCGGCGCACAGAAATCGGCATCCTACCTGAATTTCCACAAACCACGATGATTGGTGACACACCGGACTGGTCGAGCATGGCACATATCTCTTCCGCATATCGCCGGATCTGGTGCTGAATATACATCTTTCCACGGTCGTAGTCGACGCTCTGGACCCACGGTGTATTCTCAGCAGTCATGGGCTCCGCAGCGGACAAACTGTCGGACTCGGGCTTGATTGCACTCCGCTCTGTCTGGGAATAAGGGTCGAGGAAGGCCCTGTCGGTTTCGGCAACAGGGTCGCGCGAAAATGCCGTAAAAACACGCAGGTTGCTGAGTGTTTCCCATTGCCTGCCGTAGTAGTAGTCGACTTCTCTGTTCCGCGCGCCGAAGAACAGCAGCGTTTGCCCTGCTTTCTCGTGAAGCTGACGCTCATGGATGAGACTACGGATCGGGGCAATGCCAGTTCCGGTGCCAATGGCTATGAGCGGTCGCTCAATGTGACGCTTCCCGTGTGGTGGAGGGTGTGGGTTTTTGGTCAACCCCACAGAGAGTTGAGTTCCCGGCTTCAAAGACTTCAGGTACCTGGAACAAAGGCCCTGAATAAGAGATGTCAGCGATGTTACATGGTCAACGATGCCGAAGCTGATCTAGGAATATCTTCACCGCGATGAAACATACCTGTCTAGGCTTGCGTATGATCGTCTTGTACTCAACCATCGCGGCGAGGATTTCAACGTCATGGAATTTGGCCTCCAGAGATTCGTGGGAACTTGGATGATTTGCGATGCTGAAAGCCCTCCCACGTATCAGAGGAAATGTCTCCAGGGCATAATTGATTGGTATCTTGACGCCCGGAAAGTCCCGGAGCACCTCTAGGATTGTGCGACGAGGGCGAGACGTGTAGTCGTAGAATTCCTGGCTGTTCGCCTCGGATGTGAGCTCCAGCAAGCGCTCCTTCTCGCGCTCATCTGTGGTGTGGCGCCGCAGATCTTTGAGGAAGGTACGGTTAGGAATTGCATTGAAATCGATATTGTGAACGAGCAGATCGCGCAATGTGGCGTTCTTCGGTGGATAAAGGTTCCGCGGGCAGCGCAACCCTTGCGGCCTGTGCTTCAAGTTCCTGTCGATCGCAATTGCGCTGTACTGCCAGATTATACGCTGGTCTGCATTGATCTTCCACCCCATCAAATCGATCAACTCTTCCACGTCAGCAGGGAAGTTTTTGGGATAGATGATAAGCGTGTCGCCAGGCATGAGAGCTGGAAGTGAACCATCACTCCAAGCCGTTCTATTGACGCGAATCTCGAGCGCCCGTACGTCCTGCCAGTGGCTTCCAGGTGTCACACGGTTGTTGTACCGCAGCTCGGCTTGGTAAGACTGGGGGAAGGCGACCATCTTTTGCGGGGGCAAGTCCTCGGCGCGACACAGCTTCTCTTCGTTCCCGGTCATCTCAAGACCATACTTCCTTGGGTAGTCTTTTAGGATGTTGTCTTTGTCCGGATTCCAACGCCCGTTGTCGGTGTTGGACTTGTTCCAGAGCAGTTCGCTACGGAAAGCTTCTCCAGAAGTATCGGATCGGCGAATAGCCTCGTCATCACGTTCCTCCCTCTGGCTCTTGGGTTTGTCGACATGGCTGAGGGCGGCATGATTTTCACGATTCGCGTCCCAGCGTTCTTGGTCCGACAAGGAATCCATCTCGGCCAGTTCGATGGGGAACTTTGGTGGAAGAAGTACGTCGTCTGGGATTGGGTTGATGCCCGGGGGGAGTGGGAATTCAGCGGCAAAGCGAGCCTTTAGGTTATCAAACCATGGCAAGTAAATGCTGTCGATCCTGTAATGAGATCAGCATCAAACGCCCAAAGGCAGCAAACAGTCAGTCTAACGCTGTCTGGGTTGAAGTGTTGGGCTTGTGCCTGGGACGACTGCCCCCGAAAGGCCAGATGATGGAAAAAGCAGCAAGAGATGCAGCAGGTATGATACTCACCCGTTGTCGTGCCTTTCGTCTCCTTCTCCAGGGGTGCAAAACTCAACAGCGCCTAGTTGCAGGAGCCGTTTGTGCAGCTTCCTCGCAGCCCAGTTGAACCTTTTGGCCCGTTTGTTAGCTAAGCAAGCCTGAGATACGAGGCAGTGTTGGGCCTCACTTTTGATAGGAACTGTCACCAAGGCCAAAACTGGTAAACCTGACGTGGCTTAGACAGTCCGGTGGTAGCTTCTTGCGCAAAATGCTCTTCCAAAACGTAGAGGCGTTGGCCGGTGTGTCACCCTGTCCAGTTGTCGAGGTGACAAAAATGGCAAGGGGATACTGGGCTAGTTCTTTCTAGATTTGATCTGTCAATGGCCCAGATTCACCCACTTCTATGCGACTCTGCCCTTTTTTTGGGGGGATGATGGAGCTTACCAACGGCACATCATTCATCTCCTCCACCTGAGTCTGAAAGCGCAGCCCCTCTGCTGCTCTACCTATCTCGTGGGCGATCTCCTGACTCTTTCCGGTTTCTGTGCCATACAGGACAAGCAGGGACCTGTTGGCGGTGATTTCCGTGGTTGTGCCATTCGCCCCCTCTCCTGCCTCCATGGCTAACAGCAACCTGAATTACGGATGGCCCCTTCCCAATGACTCTGCTGTGCCTCCTCTCCGGTCGATGGAATTGCTTCTTCTACAACCTGGTCCACGGCTGAAGTGTCCCTTGATCTATGTGTTTCTCCACTTGGGGGTTCAAGGCTTGATAGAGAAACAGGAAGGAGTCAAGTTGAGTGGGACAAGAAATGAGGGCCACTGTAAATGCGAGCGACTGAGATGAGACTTGTTGCAGGGTGCTCAAGCTGATGTCGATGCTCTAGAATTCTAGGAAGGCCCCAGATGAGTAAACCTGGGGACGAAGGACATGTGGCTTGACTCCTGATATATTTGACGACGTCCCTTACGAGGCTGAGTGGCACAAGTATCCCCGCATATGCCTCTCTAGGGAAAGATACATTCTGGGGTGCCAGGTAAAATCTTCAGGGATCCTAGCGAACATATGGTAGCCGATCGTAGACAGTAGCGGCAAAACCACCATGCACCAGACCAGCCGAGGTCGGACGCTGAGTCAACCAAGGTCACTACTCCTACCCCCAACCTTAGCCCTCTAGAACACCAGATTTTGAGAATGCAAAGACAGTGTCTTGAGAGATTTTTGGCTGCTGTAGGAGGGCACAAAGTCCTCGGATCTGAGAAATGCAACGGCCTGAATGCCATGTTCCATTGGTTTTGAAGACTTGAGCAAGGCTGCGACGTCACAGCCGTGACTACATGACCCGGAATCTGGGGGCTACTGGTCCTCGTGCAGGCCCGCAATATAGAACGATGGCTCATGGGACCAGCCTTGAAAATTCGCCCTAGTCTGATTCTAGAGACAAATGGCTGGCCACAAGCTCGACATCATGCTGCGGTTGTCAACGGGGATAATGCCCATTCTCCTGAACCTATCAATCGATATGTAGGAAGAAGTGTCTAGGCATGTATGGAGTATTGAGAGTGTTGTGGCGGTGCACGGCCACCAATGGAGCCAGGCGGGGTGTCGAGAGGGCATCATCAGATGGAGCTGGCAGCCAGCCAGCCGGTCCAGGTGCCCTTGACCGCTTCCCGCCCAGTGCCGGGTCAGGGGGCCTTCTAGAACAAGAGGCGAGGCTGGAAGGCTCCATTTGCCGCCAACGGCACGGAAGCTTTGTGGATGCAATGCCACATAGAGTGGATACCTGTGCATCACTCTGGTTCCATGTTACTGCAGTACAACAGTCATCCAAGAACCATTGTGATTGTTATTGTTGATGGACTTGGGACAATTAAACAAGTGCCAAGTTGATTTGTTGTTGACCAAATACTTGCATGTTCTAGTCATCTTTGCATGTGAATGTGGATGGAGCCTGCCAGCTACAAATGTTGGTGCTCAGTCTACTACAGCCTGAAGACACAGATGCAGATATAGATGCCGAGAAAGGGCATACCAGTTCCTGAGGGAAAGGCTCCTGGCATGGAAAGGACCATGGCAGTGTCATTTTTGGTAGCTGATGAAAGATGGACAATAATCCTAGGGTAGGTGTCTGGGAGGAGGAGCCTGTGACTGGGTTGGTCGAGGTGAATGGCATGGCATGAACTAAACATCAACTGAATGGGAGTTTGCATCTTTGTCTGAATCGTCCCAGCTCTAATCATAGTTGAAGTGGGGTATGGTGCGCTCAGAAAAGAGGTCTTGTACAATCAATCTCTGCGAGCAAACGGTGTAATGGCAAACTGGGTTGACAGCCTCCTGGTTTTATTGGCCTGCCCGTCTGGAACTCCGAAGGGGGCAGCCCTCTTTTCCAGGTGCCTACAATACTTGCCACAGTACGTATTGTAAACCAAACAGCCCACATTGTTGTCGCTGGTGTCACAGCATTTACTGAATAAGCAGCAACCATAAAGCTCTTCGTCCTGTCTGCCTCGGACATCATCTACCAGACACCGGCAATTCCACAATACAATACACCTGCCCGTAGGTAACCTCCTCCCTGGCCCCTGCCTGCCCTTTTCTTGATTCCTTGATAGCCTGGTCTCCAATCGATGGGCCCTCCCCTATAAATTGGCAGGCATCACAAAAGTTGAGCTTTCCATCACACGGGCCAATCAGCTCACAGCTCTGCACAGAAGCACAGCCAGGAGGCAAGCAGAGCAGATTCTTGAGCAGTCAAGCAGGTACGTCGTGCAGGCATTTGATGCGCCACACTTTCCCGCTTTAGTAGTAGACCTGGCTCCTCCCCTCCCTTCTCCCTCACCCCTGCCCGCAACCAGCGCCAGGGGCCGCTGGCACTGCAACTGCAGGCACCTAGGCTGGCAGGCGAGCCCCAAAAAAATTATTTGACCAGCGCGACAACAAAGGGCTCCAAGGCGCAATGTCGACCTCCCTCTTCTTCCCTCCTCCATCTTCACTCCCAACACCAAAGATCGATCACAGCAACGCTCACCCCACCGTCAAGCCTCCCCCCCCACAAGTCATCTAGGGCACTAAGCTACCCTTTTCCTCCCCCTCCTATTGAGAACAGAGTTCAATCCTTTGCACCTGTCAAGTACCCGCACGTCGTCGAGACCCTCGCAACTACTTCTATTTGCCGGTCCACCTCAAGCAACAGCTCAGCTCAGCTTGATCCAGCACATCTCTCCATCCTGACTAACACCACCCAGACCCAACAAAGATCACCCATCCGTCAATCACCCAGATCAACCAGCCAAAATGTCTGCCCCCCAGGAGAACAAGACCGCTGATGCCGCCGTCAACGACGTGACTGCCGCTCTGTCCAACACTGCCATTACTGAGAAGCCAGCCGATGCCAACGCCCCCAGCCCTGCTGAGGGTTGCCGCCTCTACATCGGAAACCTGGCCTACGCGACAACCGAGGAGGGGTTGAAGGAGTTCTTCAAGGGCTACCTTGTGTGAGTCACCAGCCTGTCGTGCCCTCCGAGCCTGGCTGCTGTCATACTGCCGTGGCTAGCTTCGCACAGTGCCACGCTCTTGCCGTCACCTCGACATACCGGGCCTCAAGATTTTTGCATGAGGGTAGCTAACCCGTTTTACCTCCCAGCGAGGGAGTCACCATCCCCAAGAACCCAAGAACCGAGCGCTCTGTCGGCTACGCCTTTGTCGACCTCTCGACTCCTACCGAGGCCGAGCGAGCTATTGCTGAGCTCTCTGGCAAAGAGATCCTGGAACGCAAGGTCTCTGTCCAGCTTGCTCGCAAGCCCGAGGCCAATGCCGAGAAGACGGATGCCAACGGAGAGGGCGAGGGTAACCGCCGCCGCCAGTCCACCCGCGGACGTGGTCGTGGTGCCCGCGCTCGTGGCGGACGGGCCGGCCGAGAGACCAAGGTATGTTTGCTTATCCGTCGGCCCAACGGTTTGCATACAAGGAGAAGCTTACATTCTGTCTTTGCAGGACAAGAAGGAGGAAGGCGCTGAGGGCGACGCTGCGGCCCCCGCCGATGCCGCAGCAGACACTGAGGTTCAACCTTTGCAAGACATCACCAACAAGACCAACAACACTGACCCTGATGGCAAGACTAAGACTCAGGCTGCTCGCCCCGCACGTGAGCGGCGCGAACGTGGCCCCCCGGCCGATGGCATCCCCTCCAAGACCAAGGTCATGGTGGCTAACCTGCCCTACGACCTGACCGAGGAGAAGGTATGAGAGAATCCCGGCTTGAGCTTGGTTTTTATGCGCTGACTCGGATCTTCCTCTGCAGCTCAAGGAGCTCTTCAGCGCCTACCAGCCTTCTTCTGCCAAGATTGCGCTGCGTCCCATCCCTCGCTTCATGATCAAGAAGCTCCAGGCACGCGGTGAGGCCCGCAAGGGTCGCGGCTTCGGTTTCGTGACCCTGGCGTCGGAGGAGCTGCAGCAGAAGGCCGTCAACGAGATGAACGGCAAGGAGATCGAGGGACGAGAGATCGCTGTCAAGGTCGCTATTGACAGCCCCGACAAGACCGACGAGGAGGCCAACGCTCCTACCAACGAGGGCGAGAACGGCACCGAACAGGCTGCTGCCCCAGCGGCTACCCCAGCGGCTGCCCCAGCGGCTGCCCCAGCGGCTGCCCCAGCTGCTGCTTAATCGCAGTACTTGGAACAATACCGGACAGAACCGCCCGACTGGACCATCAACTAAGCAGCAAACACGCACGCGGGCTGTGATTTTGGAACCATCATCTTAGTCTTATCCTGGCGCATCAGCAAGGCAGATGGATTATACTATGATTCAGCGTGCGGACGGATGAATATGGCTAGCTTGGACTTGTGTGAATGGGGCGGGATGGTCTTCGGCGTCCGAGTGGGGGTTGAGATTGTGATATGGGCAGCAGAAGAATCAAGATTGCCTCTTTCGCATGCTTGCGATGCGCAGCTTAATTTCCACGAAGCATCTCATCACCCGTTCACATCTCTGTATTGATACACCATTTCTCTCATATTCTTCACGGTCTGTACATTAGCGGCACCCGGAGAATGGGGTTTATGGGATGGGAAAAGTTCATGCCGGTGAAATTGAATGAATGACCGTTGATGATTCTCCAAAAAAAAAAAAAAAAAGGAAAGAAAGAAAAACATGCTCATGTACTTTCACACAGCATGCCCATTCACGAACATGCTTTGGCATGCAGTGTGGCTGCCAGCCTGGGCTGGTGGGCGAGCGCTGGTGAGATGGATGGCCACTTCTCTGTATTAGTACTGGCTTACAAGGACATGAACGAATAAATCTGAAGGGCAAGTTGATTTCCTCCACGCTATGTACTCGCTTAGGTTTCCGTACCTAGGCACGCAAAAGTGTACTGTGCTATCTACCGTCTGCCGTGTAGACAGACCACAGCCCTGGTTCCCTGTGGATTGTAGCGCTGGCGCTCTAATAAGTCAGCCATCGGTTTGGAGGAAGGCCATTGGCCGCCATCCTGAATTAACCCCACATTACCTGTATCCATCGTCCCCAAAAGGCCCCCATTCACCTCTAATAAATGCTCAGACGAAATCGAAACAGCCGCGACGGAAGTTCGAATGCAGGCGCAGAGGGGCAATCCCAACAGGCACATTTGATCGAATCGTTCCGAAGCCTACGAGCCCCTCCCTGGCTTTCTCCCCTGGGACTTACTTTATCGATCTTTGTTCCCTGTCGAGTCCACTGAAAAGAGCCGCGCGAGCCATACGAGCCACGGGTTTCGTCCACGAAAGTTACTTGGAAATCTAGCGAAGACAGGAGCACCGACAATCGGCCCAACATGGCTTCTAAAGCCATGTGGGAGGTGGACCCAGAAACCCGTTCAAAGGTACGCTGCAGCTGAGAAGGGGATGATAGCAACCTCGTGCCGGCCTGCCGGCCTCGTCGCCTCCGCCTCCTTTCGGGCGTCCTGTTCGCTGACGTGGCTTTGTTCAACAGCTCCTCGCCATCCAAAAAGAGTCCGGAAATTCCCTGTGTTGCGACTGCAATGCGCCCTCTCCGCAATGGGCCTCACCAAAGTTCGGCATCTTCATATGCCTGTCGTGCGCGGGTGTCCACCGCGGACTGGGGGTCCACATCAGCTTCGTCCGATCCATCTCGATGGACGCATTCAAGCAGACAGAGATCGAGCGCATGAGACTGGGTGGGAATGATAATTGGAAGAGCTTCTTTGACAAACACGAGACTACCAAGATGACGGGGATGAGCTGGGACGACGCCACTATTGCCGAGCGGTATAGCGGCGACGTAGGCGAGGAATGGAAAGAGAGGCTGAGCGCCAAGGTGGAGGGAAGGGAGTATGTTCCTGGCGAGCGCAAGCCAGCACCAGCGAAGACCAACACGGGCAGCGCTTCAAGGTCGGCGACACCCCTGAGCGGCACGGCAAACAACAATAGCAGCAGCAGCAGTGGCAGGCCGGAAAGCCCCAGCACGAGCGGTGGCAAGGTCAAGGTGGACGACAAGTACTTTGAAGGCCTCGGGGCTGCCAACGCGGCGAGGCCAGACAACCTGCCACCCAGCCAGGGTGGGAAATACGCCGGGTTTGGAAATACCCCAGCGCCTGCCAGCCAAGAGGAAGGCCTGCCGAGATTCGACGAGCTGCAGAAGGATCCATTGGCGGCGCTGGGTAAGGGCTTCGGCTGGTTCACGTCCACGGTGACAAAGACAGCAACTACAGTGAACAAGGACTTCATACAGCCAACGGCGAAGCAGGTATGCCATCCCTCCTCCAAGGCATGATCTTGTGGTTGCTCCGCACTCTGCCTGCCCATGCTGACGCATTGCACAGGTTGGATCATCAGACTTCGCGGCCCAGGCAAAGGTCTTTGGCGGCCGAATCGGCCAGTCCGTCCAGCAAGGGGCCAGGAGCGCATCTGAAAACTTCAACAGGTTCGTCGAAGGGCCAGAATCAGGCCAGGGAGCCTCGCGCAACGCACCCCTGGATGAGAGCAAGAAGTCGTTCTGGGACGATTTTGCCTCGCTGGCCGACCAGCGCAAGCCGCAGAGCAGCTCGATTGGAACATCTGCGATGGGCAAGGGCAACAGCAGCAGTGCGAGGGCACCTGCTGCTAAGAAGGACGAGTGGGATGACTGGTGATGAGGTCCAGTAATGAGACGAGTGCAAATCACCCAACACCCTTGAGGTATTATTGATTTGAGGCGTCTCCTACAGTTAGCAACCAATTTCCTGTACAATCGAGGGTGTCTTTTTTTTCTTCTTACATGTGGTTCCCCCAACAATTTGGCGAGGTGCTGGGCGACGAGATAAATAAATGTTATACTTCTAGACAATAAATGAACGATGAGAACAGAGACCGAGTGCTATAGTGGAAAGGAAGGACAAGCATGTGACATTGGATTTCGACTGGGTGCGGGTCCGCCGAGGGCCGCTACTAGCCGGGGCAGGTCCGATGCGGCTTTGAAGTTGTCGCTCGGATGCATGACGCTGCCCTCGGCTTCCCCCTCGAACCTTTGCTCTCACCAGGCTCAGCCCCCGTTACCGTCAGTCACAAGCATGTCTGCCCTACGTATACTTGTCCCGGTCAAGCGGGTGATTGACTATGCTGTGAGTCCTGACCTTCAATTGAGTGCGCAACTCGACCCAACCCCGCGCCTCGCGGTCGCAGCATGCCACCGGCACCAAAACCGATGCTGACCTGGCCGATGTCCTCTTCCAGGTCAAACCTCGCGTCAACAAGGCCCAGACGGGTGTCGAAACTGCTGGTGTCAAGCACAGCATGAACCCCTTCGATGAGCTCTCGGTCGAGGAGTCAGTGCGCATACGCGAGAAGAAGTCGGCGCCGGGCGGAGTCGAGGACATCTGCGTCATTAGCGCCGGCCCGCCCAAGGCACAGGACGTGCTGCGGACGGCGATGGCGATGGGCGCTGACCGGGCGATCCACGTGGATGTCAAGGAGGGCGAGGACCTGGAGCCGCTGACCGTGGCGAAGCTGCTCCAGAAGACCGTCGAGGCGGAGAAGAGCAACCTGGTGATCCTGGGCAAGCAGAGCATCGATGACGACGCCAACCAGACGGGCCAGATGCTTGCAGGCCTGCTGGGCTGGCCGCAGGCGACGCAGGCGAGCAACATCACGTTCGGCGAGGGCGACTCGGTCAGCGTGACCAAGGAGGTGGACGGCGGCGTGGAGACGGTCAAGGCGAAACTGCCCATGGTGGTGACGACGGACCTGCGGCTCAACGAGCCCCGGTACGCTAGCCTGCCAAACATCATGAAGGCGAAGAAGAAGAAGCTGGACAAGAAGACGCTGGCAGACTTTGGTATCACCAACGAGCGGAGGCTAAAGGTTCTGAAGGTCATGGGTATGTTGAACCTGCGCCATTGCATGATGCTCACTTGCACGGGACATGCGCTAACAGCAATACAGAGCCTGCTCCGAGGCAGGGCGGTGGAAAGGTCGAGGACGTGGACGGCCTCGTCTCGAAGCTCAAGGAGCTGGGCGCCATCTAATGGTAACATTGTCTACCGAGCAGGCTTTCTGCAAACACGACTTCCGCAGAGAAGACGGAGGACTAGTTGGAGAGCATACTAATATAGACAGACGGTGGCGGCGAATGGAGGCGTGATCGTTTACAATGAGGGTAAAAGTTCACATTTCAGATGCCCTTGTGTGATTTCTACGCACAGGGGTCAGAAGCACTCTCGACGCCCAGGTTTTGTTGGCCGTTTTAAGTGCAGCTTGTGAACTGCGCGCTTGACTTGTGTGTGTCCATTGGTCAGTGCCCGCGAGGTCTCCTCGAAGTAGAGACCCGAGCACGTAGAAATATCGGGCATACGCAGATCTGATAGACCACAGCACCGTGGTCTGAGATGAAGTTTGAAGTTTTGCTGGTCACGTAGGCAATCACCTGTGCGGCCGCCTGGGCCCACATCTTTGATTGATCTCGAGGAAGCACTTCTCGGCGACCACAGGGAACAGACAAACAAACCCACACAAGGCAGACGTTTTGAGCTAATTGGGAGGTATCAGATCTGAAGTGACAGATTCAATTGAAAGTTTCTCGAGGCGTTGGCGCGCCCAAAGGCATCGGCATCCTGGGAAAATACTCAAGATAAGGATAGGGAGAAGATAAGCGGCAGGGGCAAGGTTATGTCCCTTCCGCTAACATGCAGAAAAAAAGAGCTCCCCCCCGCGATCGATATCGGAGGCAGATGGGCCCTCTGTTTAGCCCCACCGTGCTCAGATCCAGGGGAATGACGTGCCCCCAAACTGGCTAGAGCCAGGACAAAAGGCTGAAGGGCCCGGCTCTGCCCAATGGCGTTGGGCAAATTCTGCTTATCCGGACGCGGAACGCCAAAATTATACAGACTTCTGATTCACAGATTATTCATTTGACTGACTCCGACGTCCCTTCTCACCCGTCCCCATCGTCCTCCCACAAAAACCAGACTCAGCGCTCTCGACAGCCAAAACAAAACGTCGCCCAACCGAAAAGCAGACATCCTGGACCCCTCGCACCCACAGCACCGCTGGAACTTTTCTCATATACCCCTCATTGCGTCCCAAACAACAGCCCTTATGAACGGGCGCCCATCGGAGTTCACCTCTCAGGTAAGCCACGCCCGACCTGCACACAGCCCAATCCTGTCCCGCCTGGCCCGCTGCCCATGCCATCACCGGCCTATCGTCTTGTCCTCAACCGCCGCGATGGCCGCCGCCGCCACCGCCGCCGCCGCCGATGCACTCGTCTGGAACCGACCCCAGGGCTTGCCCAAGGCTAACATGACTCTTCCCGCAGGACTATCTCTCAGGTTTGTTGCTCCGCGCTGCCCATGTGTTTGACTCACCGCCCTCTCATGCTGACGCCTCGCCCCCAGACCATCTCTGGAGGTCCCTCCAAGCTTAAGAGGCACCCTATCTAGCCGCTGTGACATTTGCCGTATAACCCCCCTACTACCATGTTCTCTCGCGTTTTCACTGCTGCCTCTAAGTCCTCGGCCACCGGTGCCGCAGGCATGGCGTCTCGCCTCCGGCCAATGGCCACTCAGGCCCGGTACTTGAGCAAGCAGGCCTTTGATGGCAGCAAGGGCAGGGCAATGCCCTCCTCCAGGCCTCGGGCTACTGCTCCTGTGGACAACCTCGATGCCACACTCACTATCCGGGTAGGCAGGCCTTTGCCCACTCGTGTCACCCAGCGCTGTGCTGACTCCCCGAGGTAGGACGGCCCAGTGTTCCACGGACAGGCTTTCGGTGCCAACTCGAACATCTCGGGCGAGGCCGTCTTCACCACCTCCCTGGTCGGCTACCCTGAGTCCATGACCGACCCCTCCTACCGTGGCCAGATCCTGGTCTTCACCCAGCCTCTGATCGGTAACTATGGCGTCCCATCCAACGTCCGGGACGAGTTCAACCTCTTGAAGTACTTCGAGTCCCCCCACATCCAGTGTGCCGGAATCGTCGTGTCCGACGTCGCAAAGAAGTACAGCCACTGGACCGCCGTGGAAAGCCTGGCCGACTGGTGTGCGCGTGAGGGCGTCCCTGCCATCTCTGGTGTTGATACCCGTGCCATCGTCACCTACCTCCGAGAGCAGGGTTCCTCGCTGGCCAGGATCTCCATTGGTGACGAGTACGATGCTGACGAGGACGAGAGTTTCATCGACCCGGCCCAGATCAACCTCGTCAAGAAAGTGAGCACCAAGGCCCCCTTCGTCGTGTCCGCGCCCAACGCCACCTTCCACGTCGCCCTGGTCGACTGCGGCGTCAAGGAGAACATCCTGCGCAGCCTGATCAGCCGGGGAGCAGCCGTGACTGTGCTGCCCTATGATTTCCCCGTCCACAAGGTCGCCGCCGACTTTGACGGCGTCTTCATCTCCAACGGCCCCGGTGACCCTACTCACTGCCAAGACACCATCTACAACCTGGCCCGCCTGATCGAGACCTCCGCCGTGCCTGTCATGGGCATCTGCCTTGGCCACCAGCTGCTGGCCCTGGCAACCGGCGCCCGCACCATCAAGATGAAGTACGGCAACCGCGCCCACAACATCCCCGCACTGGACTTGACCACTGGCCAGTGCCACATCACCAGCCAGAACCACGGTTATGCTGTTGATGCCAGCACCTTGCACCCTGACTTCAAGGAGTACTTTGTCAACCTCAACGACGGGAGCAACGAGGGTATGATGCACAAGACCAGGCCCATCTTCTCGACCCAGTTCCACCCGGAGGCCAAGGGCGGTCCCATGGACAGCTCCTACCTGTTCGACAGGTACCTCCAGGATGTGCACATGTTCAAAAACAGCCAGAATGTCTACAAGGACAACAGGCCTTCGCAGCTCATGCTGGACCTCCTCTCCAAGGAGCGTGTCGGGGTGTAAGTGGGATCCCTGCCCGCGTTGCTTTACATGAACCACCAGAAGTCCCGAGTCGCTAACATGGAGCGATCAAGTGAGCCTACGCCCCTGGCGACTGCCCAGGCCTAGATGTGATGATGGTTCCTGTTTCTTGTTTGAGCGGTTTTCATGACGGAATACGTCTATGGTGGTATTTCTGATTAATGGTATTTTGAGAAAAAAAAAGTGCTTCGGGCTCCCGGTGAAGGAAACCAAGATTGTGCCTTGACATTGGCTGAGTGACGTTTTGAGAGCCTGGGTTATGTCTCCTCGTTTTGCAGTGCGACACGCTATGCATGCTTCCATTGAACCTCCCGTTCCACGTGACAGAACCCTTGCGCACCATGATGGTCGTGTTATGTCGGCTCTCGACTTCCTGTTCGGGTGGGCTTTGTCGGTGTAGTGTAACAGAGATGCCCCCGGGGAGCAAGATGGCGGCGGAGATTCGCGGTTCAAGAACGAGACAATTGGGTTCGTCCTGCTATCACCGGCGGAATGCTGCGCTGAGCTGTTGCCATCTCGAAATGACGAGGCAGGCACAGTATGGAAAGAGAAGAGACCGGCCCATATATACAGAAAGTATGACTGCAACGAGGTAGTTCAACCGGATGAAAGTTGGCTGTTCTTTATATTTGTATCTTGGGTCTTTGTGAATTGGACTGTCAGTGTTAATCAGGTCCGAATATTCCCCACCGGGGTGGCTCTCGGCGGATGCACCATTTCGTTCAAGAGTGGTGGGCCAAGTGACCATGAATAAATACATAGATAGCTACGGACCCAACCAAGTTGGTATCTGTCTGTGGGTTGGTTCAGGTAGAGTCACACACCCTCGGCCGGCCCCGGCAAGGGTGCTCCGTCCGGCCCTATCCATGCATACTTGGGCGGTACAGACATGGACATTTGGACTGTCAGAACCCCCTTCCCCCCCCCCCCAACCAGCCCGAATGCAACGCTCACATCGCACTCAGCAACCCAGGAGAGCCGATGGACTCTACGATGGCAAGTCTGGCGGCGGCGGAGCCCAGGCCGTCTTGTAGACTGGAGCTGATGACGGCCTACGGGCCCGTCTACCGGGAGGTGCTGGGGACGGCGCCACGGGACTGTGAGCCGACCGAGGTGCCCGTCATCGACCTGGCTGGAATCTACGGGGACCTCGAGTCCCGCAAGGCGCTGGCGGCGGTCGTGGGCGAGGCAGCAGAGAAGACGGGCTTCTTCTACATCAAGAACGCGGGGATCCCAGAGGGGGTGATCAATGCGGCGTACGGGCAGGCGCAGAAGCTCTTTGCGGAGCCCGAGGAGGTGAAGCGGGCGGTGTCGACGGCGCACTCGAGGTGGTTCAACGGGTGGACCGAGAAGCACGGGAGCCACCTGTCGCCGTCGGAGACGCGTGACTTCCGGGAGGGGTTCGGGTGGCGGTACGATCCCAAGTACGACCCCGACCCCAAGGACCCGGATGCGGTGCCCGAGGACATCAAGGCGTGGATCAGGGGCGAGGACTTTGTGTGGGAGGGGACCAGCCACCTCCCGGGCTTCAAGAGGGACATGCTGGCGTACTGGCAGGAGTGCCTGAAGCTGGCGCGCAGGATGATCAGGATCTTTGCCCTCGCGCTGGACCTGCCCGAGGGGTACTTTGACGGCATTGTCACGTGACCGGGGGCCGACGGGGTGCTCAACTACTGTAGGTGCCGTCCCTGGATGGCCACCATGTGCCGGGCCCGCTGCTGACGACGGCAGACCCCAAGAACGAGGGCGCGGCCGATGCCCCCGTCGACGTCGGCCTGGGCGCGCACACGGACCTCCAGTCCTTCACCTTCCTCTGGCAGGACTCTGTGGAGGGTCTGCAGGTGCTGACCAAGGAGGGCCAGTGGATCAAGGTGCCGCCCATCCCCAACACCTTCGTCGTCAACATTGGCGACTTCCTGGCCCGGCTGTCCAACGACCGCTTCACGTCGACCGTGCACCGTGTCTACAACCGGGCCCCCGTCGACAGATACTCGATGCCTTTCTTCTTCGGTGAGCACCACTCCTCCGTGTTCCGTTCCGGGGCTTCCCTAGAGCACGTACTTACCACGCCAGCACCAGGCTTCAATTTCAATGAGAAATGCGGCGTGCTCCCGACGTGCACGAGCGAGAGCAACCCCCCGAGATATGAGCCCATCACCTGCGGAGAGGTAAGCCCATGACACAAGTATCTCGTCCACGCTGTCCTCGGCTGACCTTGCTGCCCACCAGTGGTGTCAGTTGAGGTTCGAGAAGGGGAGTAGGACGAAGCGGCCAGCCTGCCAAGGTGTTTAGTTGGCCGTGGCCTCTGGGACATTTTAATATTGTACACATAGGTAGCAGGTTCTATATACATATATTTCTCCCGCAAGGGTGGCTCCAGGGGCGCCGCTCAGCAAGTCGTGCGAGTTTCATATGCAAACAAGCTGGTTTTGGCAGCCAGGGGTGGCCTGGGCACTAGGGGTTGCACCCGGAAGGTACCTAGGTACATCGGTGCCCGGGTAGCTGTGGGCGCATACCTTGATACGCGCAACCCCCAACCGCACAAGCAACCAAGGCCACACACACACACACACACACCATCCATCCCCCCAGGCCCAGGACGATTCAGCCCCATGAGGTAGACCTGTCCACCACACTCAAAAAGACACAACCCAGGACGACATTCTACCTCAGCACACCTTCAACCTCAATCCCAGCCACCTCTGCCTTACCGCAATCGCTTGAAACCTCGCGACCGTCAAGATGGACTTCTCGGACAGCTTGTGAGTTGGACTCGACCCCGTCCGCGCGCCGCCGGCGAGGGAGCTCAGAGCTGCCCAGCTGTTCTGGGGCGAGCTCGACCGCCAGCTAACATGTCACCCTGTGTCACAGCCGCATCGTCAACCTGGTGGTTGCCGTCATCATGATCCTCGGCGGCATCTCCCAGTTCTTCCCGCTCGGCTTGTACGTATCTCTGCCTACCGTCGCGCCTGCTTGGGCCTGATCCCGGCTTCTGCCCGCCCGCCCATCCAGCCATCTAGCCATCCAGCCATCCAGCCATCCGGCCGGCCGGCCAGCTAGTCGTTGCCCTCGCTACGTGGTTTCCCTGGCACTTCCTCCCACGGGCCGGTCACGGTGCTGACCTGCTCACCCTAGCCAATCCATCATCATCGGGTGTTATGTCATGATCTTCGGCGTCGGTAAGCAATCCTCCTCCCCAACCAACTACCGACCTACCTTGCCCCTTTGCGTGCCTTGTCTAACGTCGCCTCCTCCGCACAAAAAGCCACCGGCCTCCTCGAGTTCCAGATCCCACCCCAGGTCTCGCGCTACGCCTCCTTCCTCTTCAGCTTCATCGGCCGCGGCGCCTTCTACATCTTCGTCGGCTCCATCCTGCTCGACGGCCATGTCCTGCGCATAATCGCCGGCTCCATCGTGGGCCTCATCGGCGTCTGCTACGCCGTCCTCGAGTTCATCCCCTCCATCGAGCCACCAGCCAACATGAGGGAGGCTGACGCCGGCTGGGGCGCCGAGCAGGTATAGAGGGCTCCGGTGTGGGGGGGGGGGCGGTCCGGGTATCATCTGCCCGCCCTGAAATGCCAGCTGGAGGGCTCCAGGTTCTTTGCACGCCACCCTCCACTTGCTAAACTATGGGTGGCTTGGTGTTGCCGAGCGCGACGACCTGGGGCAGCGCGGCGCGCCGTCTTCCCCTTGTCTCTTTTCCGGAGGGTCGCGGGTCAGGCTGGTTCGCGAACGCAACTATTGAATATGCGGCTTTCTCGGGCAAGAGCTCAATAACCGAAAGGAGGGCGTATTTTTGTATGATGGTGTGGGACGGGTTTGTCCTCTTTCTTTCCAAAGACGCAGCATTGGGGGGCATTTGGGGGATTGGGAGAATGGGGAGACGTCTCGCACGAGTGTGGTTGGCTTTTTGCTGGTGCTCTTTTCAAATGCATATCTGTACAAGTTTCCACGCGGGCGGTATCGCGCTCGGCGCGCCGCGGCATGAAAATGGTTTGGTGGCGGGAAGGGCGGGCGCACAAGGGCGAGGCATTTGAACATATGACTACGAACTGTAGACCGGGAAAGATATATACTTGGCATTCTAAGCTGTGCCCATCTGTTGCCTCCTAAAGGGCACTGGCAGTACTCCCGCTAGCAACCTCTAAGCTGCTCCAGCGAGTCTAGCGTCTGTCAAGATACCGGTACATGATGTAAGATGCGGTATATAGATTCCCTTGGTGACCTTGAGGTCTTGCCTTGCGTCTTTGCAATAACAATCGCACGCTTTGTCTGTCTTCCGACTCCGTCCAATGCAGAGCGGCCAGAGCCGGTCCGATGCAAAAACACAAAACGCCCGCCCATGACCTGTTGAGCCAACAAGGCCAGCGCAAACAGACCTGGAAAGCCCCGACCGTCCAATTGATACCCTTTTGTGTAGCTACCGTATGCTGTGATGCCGCCCAGGAACGCCGGAAAGGGCACTGATTCCCAGCGCCCGTGCTCGGAGGAAATAGTGCTGACACCCTGTAATAATTGCTCCTCCCCCCTCCCCCTCCGAAAAATGCGCTCCTGAATTCTAGGCGCCGATGACGATTGCTTGCCCTCCTAGTTCGAACGAGTAGTGCCGTACTCTTAGTCGCTGAAATCTCCCTGGATCGACCGCTTCCTGTAATCAATTACCAAACTCCGCAAGCTCTCTCTCCTTTGCTGCGAGGAGCTCTCGCATTCTCTCCGCCTCCCTCTGCAGGGCTGCCCGTTTCTCTGCCTTGGATGGGTCACTCTCGCCACTTCCGCTCCTCGAGTGCAGGTATTGCTGATCCGGCGGGGCTGCCAGGCTTGCGGTCGGGTACATGTTAGGACTCGGGGCTGACGCCGACGTGGCGGCTGGTGATCCCTGATACATTCGCTGTTGTGCCAGCTCCTCGGCGACCCTCATCCTTGGGGACATACTCGGCGCTCTCGGGACGTTGGTCGGGTTCAGTATCGACTTGATTGATGACAGCCGCTTGTTGCTTTCGGATTCGCCCGAGCTGGGATGTCCTGCCTCGCCGAAAGAGCGTTTCCTAGTCGGTGAGAGAAACGATGCGGGAGAAAGTGAGGACTGCCGGCCCGCGCTCCCTGCGAGGGAGGTGATCGGGGCCAACCGGTTGTCGTCGTTGAGGGAGTCCGGGGCCAACTCGCGATGGTGCCGTGGCTGAGAAGATTGGTATTGGGTCAGGTCCCCAGACGGCAAGGGCGGCGACGGTCGGTTCTGCCGGAGGACGCTTTCGGGGACCAGCTGGAGAGCTTCGTGTTCTTCCCGCCGTCGCATGCCGAGGTTGACCGACCCATCAGGGTTCATCGAGCCGCGCGCACTGGACATGTCGGGTGGCGGCGAGCTCGACTCGACCGACTCGACCGGGGCGCTACCCTCATGGCCACCGTCGTGAGGGGCCGGTATAACTCGTTTTCTCCTTTTGATCACCGACTTTTTCATCGTGACAGGCCGATGGACGCCGTGGAGTTTGTAATAGAGACCTTGCAGCACAATCAGCCAACCCATCTCCTTACCTAATGCAACCTCTCAAACTTACCGCATGCATTACAAATCGTGTGGCCTTGCTCATCTCTCCTCCATAGGGGTGTGATGGTGGTTCCACAATTCTGGCAGGCAATGACCACGGTCGTGTTTTGCGCCTGGCTCTGCAAAGCTGCAATATCAATGGCATTCGAGTCATCCGCGACACCGGGCTCTACTTTGCTCGGGGTAGATTGCCGGCCCTGGAGGACGTTCAGACTTGCGCTCTTGGCAACCCGGTTGTTGTATGCCGGGCAGCCGCTGCAGCCTTCCGCGCCTCCCGTGCCATTGCACCGGCCACCGCCAGGGCACGTCCCTTTGGACGTTTGGTCCGCGGCAACATACTTGGCCCCGGCAGCTTGTTGAGCAGCCTGCGGGCTGGCTTCTTTGGGAGATGTCGAGCCCGTCGCCGACTGTGACCCGCTTGGTACTATTGTCGGCGGCCGCTTCAGGTTGGTCGGGCGAGCAGCATTCCTAGCTTTCAGGTACAGACCACATGCATTACAGATGGTAGCCCCTTGAGGCGACCTCCGCCAGAGAGGAGTCCTGCTTGTTCCGCAATTGCTGATAGACAAGGTTAGGATAGCTCGCACGTACCGCAAAGGAAGGTCTTACCTGCAGACTTGACCAGCCTGGGTCTGAACCGGTCCGCAGCTCTGGTTTGGTGAATCCAACATGCCGTCTGGTTGCAGACGCTCATGGGCAGAAGAAGCGGGACTGATGGGATGAGAAGTCGGGGCGTGGGTGATGGATGGGCTCCTGTCAAGATGGCTTGGCTTCAAAGGACTGGGGGACCTGCCGCATTGAATCCCCTCTTCAGGCGGAGGCGATCGAGCCCTGAGATTTGAATTATCGTTCTTGGACGCCACGACGGACCTGTTCGGCAGAGCGGTGCGGAGGGGTGCCGATTCATCCTTGGGAATGCGCCGGGCGGCGGTAGCTGCGTCCTCGCTCAAGGCCATCTTGGTAACGGAGTCAAGAGCAGGCCGTGTTCGCCCTGGGTCGTCAGCTTATGCCGGAATATGACAGTGACGCGTGTGGCGAGATCCCCAGGGTCTGGTGACAATCGTCTGTTCCGGCGTCGCACAGGCACTCGTGCTGCTAAGTTGGTCAGGCTATCATGGGCTCGATCGCTCGTGTAGCATCAAGTTTCGAAGGGTCGAGGCGGCCGTACCAGCACCTGCACCCAAAGCGCCTGCCTGTTGGGTTTGGCGGCGGAGGCGGCTGTGGTTGATGAGGCGTGGTGATGGGCCTGCTGAAGTCGAGCAGGAAGGTGGCCTAGGAGAGTTGGGCGGCGAGCAGGGTGGCAAGACGGGTCACGAGACAGAGCCGAGACGCGGATTGGGCGTAGTCGCGACGGAAACAGAGGGTAAAGCGGCGGGGGATCGATGGCTGATGAGCCCGACCACGAAGGACAACTCTAGCCAGTTTGGATCAAGGCCAAATACGAGCGTCAAGCATCACCCGGTTGGCGAAGGACCGGGTGTGGAGGGAGGGCCTCAAATGACGACGACGAGAGCGAGACAAGACGAAGACAGCCAAGTGGATAGGGATGCTCGGTCGACTAGGTGGGCAATAGGACTGAGCAAGGAGGGGGTGATGTGGCCGGACCGCCCTGGCAGGGGGCAGGAGGGTATAGAAGCTCTCTGGGAGGTGTCTTGCGGTGTCCTGGGTTGACTTTTGGAGTCGGTGGTGGTGGTGATGGCTGTGGTTGCGGTTGCGGCTGCGGTGGTGGTGGTAGAAGTGGAGGAAGAAGTATGTAGGGATACGAGGCAGGCGATTGGTTGGGAGTTGCCGTCCTGGGTCCTCGGGTCCTTGGGCCTTGGGGCACCTGTGGGCGTGTTGCAGAGGATAAGAGGTGGGAAGAGGTATTGGACGATTGTGTGTCATATGGAATGTACGGGGCCACGAGGGAAGCGCATACAAATCATGCCTTAGGACGGACGAACGAGGAGGCTCCCTGGTGCTCCTAGGTTTGACTGGGTACTGTAGCATGCCGGGGATGACAGCCGTTGCAGTAGCCCCGAGGGAGTCAGCCCTCCCTCCGTGTGTGTGCGTGTGTGCCCCCCGGGTGGTGTGGATTGGTTTTCCGTATGGCTCTGCTGGTCTTGTTGGATCCTTGGGCTGAGAGGGGGATGGTGTGGAAAAGAAGGGGATCGAGAAGGGGGTAGGCGAGCAGTACTACAGTACAGTCACGTCACTGCTTGACGGGTTCAGCGTGCTTGTTGCTTTGGGGGGAGGGGGGTGTGTTGTGTTGGTGCTGTTTCCCCCCCTACACTTTCCTGGACGCCGAATCTCCCCAGAGTGAAAATATCCTCTCTGCCAGTGCGATCCTGGGACTTGGACCAAGATTCATCCATCAGTGGCCTGCTCGAACGCTGGCAACTGACTGACAAGCAGATTGACTGACTGGACGGCCGGCTTGGGCTGCATAGGACATTACTCTGCTAACTCCGTGCAGACAGATACTTTGACACATTCCGAACCAATCAGCGGTATTGGATTACTCAGGGAATCGACAACCCATGCGAAGTCTAACTCAGCCTAGCGACCCTGATCCTTACATGGGCGACACTAGCAAGACTACCTACGGAGTACCTAGTAGTGTACAGTACTGGGTTGTAGTACTAGTAGACTCTGGAGTGAAAACCGTACAGCCCGTACCGGCTATCAGCTAGCTATCTTTTCTTTCCCTGGTCTCTCTGTCCTCACCGCAAATTACGGAGTACTCGCATCCATGTACAACAACCACAAGGCAGATCATTGGGACAAGTCCGAGCACCGCCCCCGGGCCCCGGATATCAGATGCACACTGCTGCCCCTGGGCCATTTTTATTATCAGATCCCCCGGAGGATCCCGTGACCGCTGAGTGTCCTGCCAGCCTGCCTCAGGTGCTTGCCCAGGTGGCTTGACGCTGCGGGCAGGGCGAGGCGAGACACCAGCGGCAGTCCAGTATGTACAAAGCGCAGATAATATTAACAGATTGCGCCCCCCACCACAAGTGCCTAGATTGGTCTCGGCTTTTCTGGCAGGCTACCACCCTGATTTACAGAAGGCTGCAGCTGCAGCTGCACACCCCTTGTGCCGTGCTGTACCTCGGCCGCCCCCCATCAGTGTACTGCTGTGTACTCCGTAGGCCTACACGTCATGTGCTAGCGTCGCAGTCCTGTTTAGACTATCCGCCCGACACATTTGTTGATCCTGAACCGCGCTATTATGGATCCCGACCATTGCTGAGGGTGCGGGAACGGGAAGGTCAAGGTGAGAGGAGGGGATAAGAAAAAGCAAAAGCAAAAGTGACACTCCCTCGTTAGTGGGTTTTGTGTGCGCGTACGCCGTCCAGTACTGTGTATCCAATAATTATGCAATCACCGCGGAGTATCCGAACTGCCCGGCGGCCCCCAATGCAAGTCATTCAATCTCCGCCTCCTGAGGGGGGCCCAGGTCGCCAAGTGCCAAGCTTTTTTATCAACGCAGATGGATCCTGATAATCGAATTAGCTCCAAGATCAGTCGAGGCTCTACCCGCTCAGGGGTGCCTGACCGGTGGGGGCCGCGACTTCGGAGACGGTGCCCAGGTCTAAGAGCTGCAACAATGAGGCGACTCGCAATCCATCTTGCCCCTCGGTCTTCTGCAAACACTTCCCTTCCCTCGACCTGCGTGCCTGCTCAATGACACTAGAATCGTTCCACGGACGTCCCATCCAACAGGGCTACAAAATTTGCAGTTGAGTCACGTCGCACCGCCCTTCAACTTTTGGCGCATGGCAGCCTTCACACCGAGAACGTCTGAAAAGAGCAACGCCCTGTCGGATTGGTGATATGCGGCTACTCCTTCTGGAATTATTTTCTGTAGACAGGCCGCGGAACGTACGCTGTACGAATACCATCTCAAAGGCGTGCATATCCGCCAAAATGATGATAACCTGTCCTCGTCCACAGTCCAGCCTATCCGGCCGCCGATGTACCTCAAAACGCCAACCATTGTCAAATGGATATCTTGGCCTCCAAAAACTCCCTGCAGTGGATAACATGCGCGAATACCCCCCCCCCGGCGAAATCTTCGTTGCCCCAACCATAGACTGAGGTTTGATTCAAGGCCTCAGTTCAAAGATCCACGTCCGAATCCTCCACGTCGATGGGAGGGAAATTTGCGCGGTATGTAGAAAGCGCATCTTTGGCCAGGTGAATTGGAATAGCAATGGCCAGGGTGCAATTCAGCCAATCGTTCCTCCTCGACATATCAATGGTCCTCAGAGGGTACGGATTGTTCAATTCATGGGTCGGAATCTCCGTGTCAAGTGCCCATATTTGTACGGTATGCTGGATGATCACGAAAGCGAACACGACCCGCGGGAACTGCTCGATTCCTCGTTGCGCCCAACGATTGCGATATTTCTCCACGCCTTGTCGGCAGAACTGCATTGCCTGCGCGTGGACCGTCTCCGTGAGTTGGTCGTCCCCGACGTCGGCAAATTGAAGGGTCGGAAACTTGATGATCAGAATTGGACTGGAGTAGGCACAGTGTCCCAGTAGCTTCGCATCTCTCTCAATCGATGCGTTGTACCTCAGGATTTCCTTGCCGATCAGGTCGGCAATTTTGTCGCGGAGGTTATCCTTTCTATACGCACAGATGCGAATTTGTAGTTCGAAGAGGTTCCGCAGTGCTCGTGTAACTATCGCTAATGTGTTAGCTCCTTCCAACAGGAGATGGGCAAGTAGAATAACAAACCTCTGAATTGATTCGACTCGGCTCTGATGAGGGTTTTCTTGTCCTTCAGAGGAGAGAAAAGCCCGCTCAGGTAAGGATGGTCAACAAGGTCACACTTCCAGGAGTTGGGAAACAAGGAGTAAAAGCCGCAAAGCGACATGAGCTTGTGGGCGTGTGCGGCCTCCTCCGGCCAGTTCCTAATACCCGCCATCCTGGTCCTCTCCAGCCGATACCAGTCAAGGCTTTCTTTGTCGACATCGTACTCATCCCGTAAGTCCTCCTCAGAGTCGTAGTAGTCGTCGAGGTTGGTGGGAGGATAGACATAATCCGAATCCGAATCATCCTTGTCCCCATTGTCGGGGTCTTGCCCATCTTCCTCGCTGCTTTCACTGCGCCGGGCCCGACTGGTGCCACCACGAAGACTGGGTGAGGCGCTTTCATTGTGCGAACTCTCATCGTCAACCTCTATGCTCTGGATGGGTTCGTCCATGTCGCCAAAATCGCCCTTCGCAGCATGAACTTCCTGCGAGTTGGGTAGGTACTCCTCGAACTCGTCTTCTTCAGCGGACTCCTCCTCAGAATCGGGGGCTACGCCGTAGTCATAGTCGTCCTCGCGAACGCTGAACGAATAAGCAAATGGGTCTTCTTGGTCTTCTTGCTTAATCGCGCGCTCGACTTCAAGTCTAATCTGCTGCTCAGGGCCGTGGTCGTGGTCGTGGTCGTCGTCATCAGTTGAAGGGCTTTTGGGCACACGTGCTGTTGGGCCTGAAGGGACTGGTTCTGAGTTTTTGGTAGGTGATGAAGCGCCTTGACGTCGCACTGCGGGTGACTTGGAGACTCTTCCCGTCCACACCCGATGCAGTCTACTTCCAAAGCTCCTTGCAAGCCGGGCTGAGAAGTTGTATGTGAATGAAGGCATTGTGAGGTAGATGGGAGCAGTTGACAGAGGCCAATGAGAGAAAGAAAGAAGCTCTTTGAGTCTCGAGTGCTGGGGATGAAACGAAAGAAAAACCCCAGCTTGACTGAGGCGACGAGAGTGAAAACGTTGTGTTGTGTCAGACCAGATGAAATGTGGCACGTATTTTCGACAATGGAAACAGCGCTCATTGTACGTCTTCGCCCCCGATTCGTCTCTCCCCTCCCACTTTACACTGGCAGCGACGCTCCTGAAGGCAGCCCAGCAGCATGGCAATGAACGGAAGTGGGAGTGAGGCGTCAGAAGCAGCGGACCGCCCCGAAAGCAGCAGCAACAGTGCTGTGGCAGATAAAGGAGTCGCCGTTTGGGTGTGGTCCAGGAAGTGGGCCGCTTGCGGTAACTGATTTGATGCCGTTGGAGTCGTTCGCAGCGGAACGGCCAGAACGGGCAACTACGGTCCCTACTGTACCTGCGCGCCTGGCTGGCCTGGGAACCAACCCAGGGCAGGAGGTGGAGGACCCACCCTGCAGGGATCAGGGTGCTTGAGTCCCACCTTCCCAGGTAGGCGAGCAGGCACGCAGGCATGTTGGCATTGCGTGGAAGAAACCAGTGCCTGTGCCCTGCAACCTCTTTCCATCCAGGCCCAACTTTGCTGCCGCGGTTCTGACGCGCCAGACTAAACGACATCAGCCTCCTTTCCTTTTTTCACAGTCGCATTCACTCTCAACACCGCGTCTTTACCGCGCTACCCCTCTTGACCACAATCCCAGTCGGAGACTTCGTTGCCAATTGTAATCTCCTCTCCTCTCAGCCCTTTGTCGGGTTCTAACAATGAGCCTGCTTGATCCAATCTAACGCCAAACCTGATCACCATGTCTTCAACTGACTGGGCCACTCTAAAGGTCGTCGACCTGAAAGCAGAGTTGCAAAGCAGAAGTCTATCAACCAAGGGCGTCAAGGCCGAGCTCGTGAAACGATTGACGGAAGCTGACGCTGAGGCTGCCGCCGCCGCCGCCGCCGCCGACCACGAGGCAGTGCTACCTCCTGGGGGAGACATTGCGAAGCCGGCTGATGATGCGCCGCAAGGAGAAGATGCCGTCGTGCAGCACGCCAGCGAGGAGGATCCGCCCGCGATCGAAGACGTCGATGTAAACATGACTGACGACGCCCCCAACACCATTGCGACACGAGCTGGAACCATCACAGAGCCCAAGGTGCAGGAAACCACAACCACTGAACCTGCTCAAATCCAGCCTGATACCAACAATACACCCTTGCCGCCTCCTGAGGCACCTCAAGATACGTCTCTGGATTTGCAGAAACGTAAACGCCGGTCCTCCACACCGCCTCCTTCTACGAAGCGGGCCAAACAGGAGGAAGAACTGCATACTGAGGAACAAGAGGACGTTGTTGATTACGAGACTGGTGATTTATCTGGCAGCCCAGGGAAAAAGCCTCTCAATGGCAATGCAGAAACACATGAATCGCAACAGACGGGCACGGTCGAGGACGCGAGCCATTCCCTCGCAGAGCCCGTAGCCAGTCTCGCACACAACACGACTGGGGCTGGTGGGGAGAAGGCCGCTCCGACCGATGCGACTGCAACAGAGTCTTCCAAGGCACGCCCGGTACCGCAGTCTCCAGCGCAAAACTCAGGGTTGGACGTGAGTGGCGAGGATGCTTTCATGAGGAGAGTAGCCATAGGAAGGCACTCCGAAGCACCTTCGCAGGCGTCGCAACCATCGCACCAACCGCACGAGGACCGACCCGACACGACTCAACAACCAGCCACCGGCTCCGCTGTCACGGACCCTGAGCCTTCAACCCCGTCAGCCCATCCACCAACCTCCGCCCTGTACATTCGGGAGCTGATGAGACCCTTGAGGTCTGAGACCGTCGAGGAGTACATCGTCGACTTGGTAACACCACAAGGCAGCCACCGAGATCCCAGCCTGATCGAGGACTTTTACCTCGATCAAATCCGCACGCATGCGTTCGTCAAATTGGCCTCGGTCTCGGCCGCTCAACGTGTTCGTGCTGCAATGCATGCCCAAGTTTGGCCGAACGAGCGTAATAGGAAGCCTCTCTGGGTAGATTTCATCCCCCCCGACAGCATGAGGGATTGGATTGACCAGGAGGAGTCTGGGGCCAGAGGCAGCTCAAGCCGATGGGAAGTCGTTTACGAACAGGACGGCGACTACGTCGTGGCTGTCCATAGAACAGCTGGGTCAGACAACAAGTCGTTTTCAAAGCCGCCTCCCACTGGCCCAGCTGCCGGCTCCGGGCCTGTATACCCAGGCATCGAAGCCGCGCCTAGAGGTCCCCGCGGTCGTGGTGGCCCGCCCGCTCGGCTAAACAACCCGAACCTGCTTCAAACACAAGCGAACCCTCCACTTTCATACCAACCCCTCAGTGAAGACATTGCACAGCGTCGAGTTGAAAACATGCGTTCCTTCTACTCGTCGATACCATCACAGGACCTTGGCAAGGACTACCATCGCTACACCTTCGAAAACAGTGAATCCTTTGTCGACAGAGGCACAGAGGTTTTCATCGGTATCCGACCTCCTCATCGGGAGAAGGAGCACCAGGAGCGTCTTCGCCTTGAGCGGCTCGGGGTAGCTGGCGCCGGCGGTGGGGCCGACGCCCAGTCCCGCAGAGAGGACTTCCGGCCGGGGCCTCGGCCTCCCGTCTCTGATTTCGACCGGTACTCGAGCGACCGTCGCTTTGGAGGAGACCGCCGGCCTAGAAACCGTGGCTTCCGTGGCGATCGGGGACCTCAACGATATCGGGGAGAAGATCCTTACCGCTACAGACCAGGCTATTGAGACCTCTCACAGAGACTTGGGATGCAATGGTAGATCGCTATGGCCGAGGCGCAGCCTGTATTCATATCTCCCGCATCTAGCGGTCCGGCGTTCATTTGAGCACAACTTGGGGTTAGTGCTGGGAAATAGGTCACCCAGCTCTCCAAGTTCAGGCATCTGGCCAAGATCCACGATCTCGGGGCAATGAGTGGCGGGCAGATTCCCCAAAGATCTCCTTTGCGGAACTCAAATCACAATTTGTCGAGGCCCAAAGCCAGGTATATTAGTCTCGGTTCAAAAGAGCGAGACGACAGACGATTGGAATCACGCGGAGGCACTGTAAAGCAATAGAAACTGTAAAAAGTGACGAGGTAGATACCCTGAAAATGAGATTAAATCGACCGATCCGATGCGCTCTGAACCACTTTTCATTCATCCTTGCATTCCTTACATACCTCATTGCGCGTTGTAGACTATTCCTCGCCCTCGCCGGGGGGTTGCCCCTGCGAAAAGCCTTATCGGCCGCTTATCAGTCCTTCCCCAATGAGCCATTGGGAGGGGCCATTTCAAAAGTTTTGGGAACTGATTTCATGGCTAATGTACTTACCCTCCTGCTGCGGACTCAGTCTTGCAAGGCGACCAAATTAATTTGTTACACATCCTGACATCCAGAATGGCAAAAAAGCGTGCAAGAGATGCAGACGGTCAGTCTGAGACGGCAGCCACCTCAGTAGACAAGATGGACGAGGATGGCAGTTCAGACGACGAGGTAATATTTACACCCACCTGCTTGCTCAATTCATGTGCGCGTCCCACTAACCCAGGCCCTCAGGACTTCAACATCGTTAACGTTGACTTTGAGTGGTTCAACTTCGACCCCGAGATTGACTTCCACGGTGTCAAGCAGCTCCTCCGGCAATTGTTTGACGTCGACTCTCAGCTATTTGACATTTCCGGGCTCGCGGACCTCATACTACAGAACCAGACTATCGGCTCGACTGTCAAGGTCGACGGCAAGGGCAATGACGCATATGCCTTTCTCACAGCCCTCAACCTAAAGGAGCACAAGGACAAGAAGCCTGTGCAAGATCTGGTGGAGTATATATCCGCGAAAGCCAGCCAGTCTGGCAACGAGAACCTGGCCACGTTCGTTCCCAAGGTCCTGGCGGAGAATCACGTCGCGCTCGTGCTGGGAGAGCGTCTCATCAACATGCCCCCCGAGATCTCACCACCAATGTACTCCATGCTTGTCGACGAGGTGGAGGCAGCCGTGGAGGACAAGGAGCCGTACGACTTTACGCACTACCTCGTGGTCTCCAAGACCTACAACGAGGTGCAAAGTATCTTGGACAGCGAGACACAGAAGCGCAAAAAGGCCAAGGAGGAGACGCCGATGTTCCACTTCCACCCAGAGGATGAGGTGTTTGAGAGGCATGCCGTGGCGTATGGGAGTTACCCGCTCACAAAAGACGACGAGAACGTGGCGGACAGCAAGAGGGCCTTCCAGGAGATGGGGGTCAGGAGCATGGGCTACATGGCCTTGATCGAGGCGGCCAAGTTCCCCGAAGCTGTGAAGAAGGTCGCAGAGTACTTGAGTCCACAATGAACAAGATGGTCACGACCGGCTCTAAAACGGAGCATCGACTAGATTTCTTTTTGGATGTCGTGTGACAAATCATTGCTTTTCAAGATGGGATTGCCCCTTGTTGGGCTGCTGCTTTACGCCCCAGGCTCTAACCTCTGCATTAGATACTCCACCTCGACCTCCTTCGTCAACGGTATGACAAAATCCTTGTACATAGCCACGACGGCATCGACGTTGATCTTGCTCTGCTCCACGCCGACGCCCACGGAGGGGTCAGTCCCGTAGGTCTGGGCCTTGAGCTTGAGGCGCTCGAGGACCTGCTTCTCGACGGCGGCGTTGGTTATAGACGCGCCGATGCCCTCGCGGTCGCCCGCCTTGATCATGCGCGTGTAGCCTTCTGGGTCGGACTGGAACTTGGACTCGGCGACGAACTTGCCGAAGTGTATCCTCCGCGAAAGGGCCTGCAGGACGGCGATGTCGCAGGTCGCACTGCTACCATAATTCTCCTGCGACACGCCCCGGTCCCCGCGCCCGAAGTCTGGGCACACGCGCGGCAAGAATTGGTCAATGTAGAAGCGCTTGATCTTGTCGTTGACGTTGACGTCGTTGGGGTGGAGGATCCTGGGGTAGTCGATGGCGGGGAGGATGGGCTTGTTGAGCGACGAGGGGAAGAAAGGGTACTCGTCAGGCGACTCGTAGCGGCGGATGAGGGACTGCAGCTTCTCCTGCTCCACCAAGTACCAGTCCATCAGGGAGAGGTCAGTGTCTGGTATGGGGATGGCACCGGGGATGTAGATGTTGCTGTTTAGTGGGAATTGGACGCGCTCGATGAGGTGGAAAGTGATTGTATCTTCCAGGCGACTGCAGCTCGGCCGTCAGTTCTGGAACACCATTATTTTCAATGATTGCAGCGCTCAATGAAGGGTTTGGTTAGCCTCACATGAGCTGGAAACGTATGCGCGACAGGTCGAGCGCCTTGGAGGCGTCGGAGAGGTCGATGAGGGCATCCATCGCGAGGGTGCCGAGCCGGGCTCAGCAGCAAGAGAACAGTGCTAGTCGGTGGCGGAGGGAGACGAAGACGGGAGTGCTCAGCCTTCGGAAATGAGCCTTTTTGTCCTTCCTTTGGATATTCGAGAGGACGGGCGACTTCTGAGTCTCTGCGCGCCGGGACGGCTTAAATACTCATCGGGGACTCCTCGACGGGACTTTGTCAGGCTCGGTGCGGAAGGTGGACGAGGTTCTGATGAACAGGGGTGTCAGCGATGACTTTTGAGTTCCGTGCCGCATCCGCCGTCTGGACGGAGGGTTGGCGGGTTGGCGGGGTTGTCAGGCCGACTCGCTCCCGTCGAGTGACGCAAGGGTTGCCCGTGAGCCCGCGTCGCGTGCGGGTACTGCATAGTTGTAGTAGGTGCTAGTGTGGCAGCTGCCAGGCGACCTGGCCAATCTCTGCCCGATGCAGCGGCGGGTGGTGTCCCTCGAGCTCCAACACCCTCGCCTCTGGTCTCGCATCTACGCGACCCTATACTCGCGACTCGAACCGACATTTCCAGTTGCTCCCACCCACCGACACTGCCCCGGGCTCAACCGCCTCTTGTCAGACTCAAAAACACTTCTAGAACGCGGCGACTCACCCACCGGAGAGGCTGGCTGCACACAGAAACCTTAGCGGCCGAGCTCCATCCGAGCTCCACTTGTTCCCCATTGTTTGACGCATGGCCAGCACCGGCGACCACAATGCTTTTTATGACGACCATGGTGATTCGTCAATCATCTCGGTGCGCAACCTCTCCCACCTCTACAGGCACTCCATCTGAGGAGCCTCTGCCCGTCCTCTTTGTCCCTGCAGACCGGAGAGGCACGCCCTGCTAACGGCAGAGTTATGAACCCATGCAGACCCGTGGCTTTGAGGCTTTTGGCCGCAAAGTGACGACCACGGCCAGTCAACTGATGGGTCCCCTCTCCGACCCTACGAGCCACCAGCACTACCAGTCCGCCATGGGCGAGGTGACCAAGCAGCTGCGGAGGCCGACCCTGCAGCGGAGTATGTTTTCCAGGGCACGGACAACACCGACCGATCTTGTGCGGTCAAAGCTTTCTACGACAGAGATACAGCAGCGGGCACTCTCATACGTCCCAGACGCCTTGCTCAGGGACATCCCAGAGGATGATAACTCTTACTCGTTGTTCCAGGGTTTCAAGGCCAGCTTCCCGGATTTCACCGAGGATGGGAAGAAGCACAGGAGAAGGGTCTCGAGGGGGCGAAAACTGATCGAGGATACACGGGTCGACCCCAACAGCCCGCAGGCTGTACAAAAGCTGCAGAAGGAAAAGGCTGCCATGCTGCACGAATTCGAGATGCTGGGCGTGCGGAAAAACATGGCAAGCAGCGAGATCCGGGAAATCGACAACAAAATAGCGAATCTAATGGGAATGCGCAAAATTATCCTAGAGAGGCTGGCAGGCTTCGAACAGGACGAGGCGGTGCTGGAACACGACAGTAAGAGTGACAATCGACCCTGCTGCCGTGCGACTTGCTAACACCCGTAAGTTATGGATGTTGAGAACCGTTTAGAGGAGGCTGAAGAGCTGGCCGCAGAAGCCGAATCTGTGGCAGCCCTCACGCCCACCAAAGGCAGCGACGCTGGGGAAGACGATGCGGACTTGGGATTCATGTCACAATCGATATACGAGAAGCTTCCCTCCGCTCATAGCACGCCGACCAAGTCCAAGAAGCCGAGGAGTTTGCGGAGGAAGTCGATGCCGATCCTGCATGAGCATATCGAGCCCGGCACCTCTATCCGCGAGATCCGCGCACACCAGGACCCCGTCACAGCCATGGACTTCGACGCCCCCTTTGGCACAATGGTAACTTCTGCTCTGGACGACACTGTAAGGGTCTGGGACCTGAACGCCGGACGCTGTATTGGAGCCCTTGAGGGCCATACGGCCTCCGTCCGAGCCCTGCAGGTCGAGGACAATATCTGTGCTACGGCATCGATGGATGCTACGATCCGTCTGTGGGACCTCAGCAAAGCCCAATACGACCCTCTTGGCGGCCAGCTCGACCAGGGTGAAGACGAAGACGGCATGGCCTTTGAGAATCCGGAGGACCAGCCGGTAGACCCACCCGAGGGTAGCATGGACGGCTGCGCCCTAACGACATTGCAAGCACACATGGACGAGGTCACTGCTCTCCACTTCAGAGGCAATGTCCTGGTATCTGGCTCAGCTGACAAGACAATTCGACAATGGGACCTCGAGAAGGGGCGATGCGTGCAAACTCTCGACGTGATGTGGGCTGCTGCCCAGGCCTCGGTCACACTGGGCGAATCTTCCTGGAAATCAACAAGTCGCGCCCCTGTACCAAACGCCGACTTTGTTGGTGCACTGCAGGTCTTTGACGCTGCGCTCGCATGCGGAACAGCGGATGGTATGGTCAGGCTTTGGGATCTTCGTAGTGGTCAAGTTCACCGGAGCCTGGTTGGCCACACTGGACCCGTAACATGCCTCCAGTTTGACGATGTCCATCTGGTAACAGGAAGTCTGGACCGGAGTATTCGAGTAAGTCCTCCTTTCGCCCTATAATGTCGCAATGCGGTATCCTTTGGTCTTTTCCGTTGAGTTGGTTTAACACCAAGCTTCGCCACAGATATGGGATCTTCGAACTGGGTCAATTTATGATGCATATGCTTACGACCATCCCGTCACGGCCATGGCGTTTGACAGCCGGAGGATAGTCTCGGCCGCGGGTGAGGACGTGGTCAAGGTATACGACAAGCTGGAGTCCCGCCAGTGGGACTGCGGCGCGGGCGTGAAGGCTGCTGAAGAGGGCAAGGCACCGCCAGCCACGGTTGCACGCGTAGCCCTGCAGGACGGCTACCTGCTCGAGGGTCGCCAGGACGGTATCGTTGGCGTGTGGACTTGCTAGAGATGCGGAACTAGAGTTGTGGAAGAACAGGCGAGATGTAGAGAACGGATGTGCACATGCCCACACACATACCTGCACCTATACAATCGCATCATTGCATTACTAGTAAGCCAAGGGGAAAATGGATGCACCCACGCCCCAAAGGTGTAGGTATATGCTTATATTGACCGGTAGAAGACCAAGCTAGGGTTTCTAACTCTACTTGATGAGGCTACCGGCCAGGTACCTCTGGACGCGGAGCATTTTGCACTACCTACTAAGTAGGTACAGTGATTCAAACAGCGCATGCCAGGCTTCATAGCAATTGTACATTTACATTTCCAGTCTTCAACGCAGGTTGGCTTGTCTCCGTGTAGTTTCTAGGGGCTTGGCTGACGGGCAAAGAATCCAAGCCTGCACACATGACTGCAAGTGGTGCGAGGCAGGCCTGTGATGACCACCACCTGCTCAACAGCGCAAACTGGCTCTTGCTCTTCGGAGGACGGTGTGTCTCGTTGCTGCGACCGTATGGATGCAATCCAGAGAGAGCATAAACACGAGGCTCTCTGGCCAGGCGTCGGCTCAGTATCGAAGCGATTGACTGGAGATCCCGGTTTGGAGTTGAGGCTATCCCCAGTCTTCTCGGCCGCAACGGTCTTAAAGTTACGCCTAAAAAGAAAGTCCGACCAGACCTTGCTCGCTAACCCACCAACATCGAGCATTTGCCATTACAACCTCCTCGTCATCGTGTTCGTATATCTATCGTGCGATCGAGACTGCCGTGCACTTGTTAGCCCCATTCTCGATGGGAGCTCACCGCCCGCCATGCCATCACGATTACTGAGGTCTGCTCGGTCCGTGGCCGCGGTCTCTCACAATACAACGAGTTGACACTTACTACCTAAGTAGCTAAGTACCTAGGTAGGTAGTTGACAGTCGGCAACTTGTTGAGATGATGGGGTCAGAGCCATGGACCGGGAGTCCGCCCGTCCCCCGCGCCAATGCAACTTGAGCAGTGGCCTTTGATGGAGATCCTGACCTGTAGACGTCCTCGAGAGTTTCGGTCAGGGGCTGCCACCCACCTACCCCCGCCCGGGCGCCCGTCGTTCCGGCACGTAGCTTCCTGTCTATCAAATGAACCTAGAAATTCTCATGGCTTCTTCTGTCTAGTTTTCTTGCTGCTTCCTTCTGAGACAAATAAACACTTCTCCGTCCTCCCTCCTGGAACAACCACTCTCACCTCACGCCTACGACTGGTATCCTCACTTTGGTTACCCTAGACGAAACTGCCAATATGTCTGCGCTTCCAATGGCGCCGCCGGCCAAGGGCCCTCTCAGCCGGTATCGCTTGCTGTCGCCGTCGGCATCACTCAGAGTCTCCCCTCTGTGCCTGGGCGCAATGAATTTCGGAACAGCTTGGGAGTCGTATATGGGGGCGTGCGATCAAAAGACTACTGAGAGCATTCTCGATTACTTTTATGAACAGGGCGGGAACTTCATTGACACAGCAAACAACGTAAGCGTCACTCTTCAGCTGTCACGGATCCCCGTCTTTCATGAATGAATGCAAATCTTTGAGTTCCGCAGCAGAACTAACGTCTCCGTCAGTACCAATTTCAACAGTCGGAGCAGTGGATTGGCGAGTGGATGAGGAAGCGTGGAAACAGAGATGAGATGGGTGAGCACATATCCGGGGAGGCAGACGCAATGGGGCTGAGAGGCCTGTGATGATCGATGGCTTACCAACTATGAAATAATTCCAGTGGTCGCCACCAAGTACACGACAAATTCGATGGCTGGTGAACTGGGAGAAGGACGTATTGTGAGTGATGCTACAATCATCTAGTGCCATCACTAGTTGACTGACATGTCTCGAAGATGGCAAATTTCACGGGAAACGGGACCAAGAGCCTACACGTCTCTCTGAAGGCAAGCTTGAAGAACCTGGCCACCGATTATATTGACCTTCTTTACGTCCACTGGTGGGACTTCTCTGTCTCGGTAAGTCGCACTGCTATCATTGTTGTAGCCATCCGAAAAGGGCAACAGATGTATACTTAAGCTGACACTAGACTGCTTTAGATCCCCGAGCTGATGCAGAGCCTCAACCACTTGGTCGTCCAAGGCAAGGTTCTATATCTGGGCGTGTCTGACACACCTGCTTGGGTTGTCTCCAAAGCCAACCAATATGCACGGGACCACGGCCTGAGGCAATTCTGCGTGTACCAGGGCCGCTGGAGCGCAGGGAGCAGAGACTTCGAGAGAGAAATCATCCCAATGTGCAGAGACGAGGGTGTAAGCATTATTCTCAACCTGACTTGGGTTGGACCACAATTAACCGACCGACCACATTGCAGATGGGCTTGGCTCCTTGGGGTGCTCTGGGCGGCGGGGCATTCAAGACCGAGAAACAGAGAAACTCTCAAGAGGGCCGCAAAGTCCAGGCCACCGAGGAGCAGATCAAAGTTTCGGGTGTCCTTGAAAAGATCGCCAACCGCAAGAACACAGCCATCACGAGTGTCGCTCTGGCATATGTCATGCACAAGACGCCATATGTGTTCCCAATCGTCGGTGGCCGAACAATAGACCACCTCAAGGGAAATGTCGAGGCCTTGAAGCTGCACCTGTCTCGTGAGGACATGAAGGAGATCGAGGGTGCCGTGCCGTTTGACCACGGCTTCCCCACCACCTTCTTGTACCAGGGGAAGTCTGTCGACCACCCAGGTGAGGTTTGGCTTCTCGGAATGGGAGGGACCTTCGATTATGTTCCTCTACAGGAGCCCATCACACCGGCTGAGAACTAGATTGTACCAGCCGGTGGGCCCCGAGGTCATCTTCGCTACTTTCGCTAATGGCGTGGGGCGCTTATGACAAATGGCAGCTCAGGAATACTCATCAGTGCCAGAGATATTAAAACCACCAGTGCGCTTGGGGGCCGAGAGACATTCGCTGGGAATATCAGAGTTGCTGGGGGTTGGCACGGATGGCTTGCTGGTGTACTGTTACCGGGGCATTACCGGGGCGTGATGATGAAGTAACTGAGACCTGTAATGCCACGACCTATTACACATCCCACGTCAGTCTTAACATGCTTTTCGATGTTTGACTTTGGAATTAGTGTTTGTCTCTTTGAGGTTGGATATAGGGGGGCAGGAGGTGGCAGGAGGTGGCAGGATAGGAGGCCCGTTCGGTGTTTAACAGGTGAGTGCCTGCCACTGTCCGACTTTGCTGCTAAATGTACTTTCTTCGAGCCATAATCACAGAATTTCCATGGTAGAGTACTGAGCTACCTGCTTAGGTAGGTACAAATGCCTAGACCAGCGCTCTCAACGTCTACATTAGGTTATATTTGTGTATGTGTGTTAGGCAAGTACATTTACATTGGGGACAAGCAGGATATTGGAGGACTTGCCAGTTTAGCTGGAAGGAGCCAAGGCCTTGCCTCCTTCCTTCAAACTTAGGTATCCAGGAAACTGCTCGGGCTCGAGCACCAAATAGACGAGTGCTCTCGCCCATCGACCCGAGATCCCTCATGAACTCCCGTGCTTGATCTATTTCTTTGTCAGCCGGTACTCGCCTTTTGCGATCAGGATCGGCCGTGCCAACATCCCTTCTTTCCAGCTAACATGTGAGCCAATGGATGGCCGTCCCCAGAACAACACGATGTCAAATCGATCCAGACTCAAGGATCAGCCCAAAGCTGCAAAAGCCCCCGAAGTGAGGGTGGCCAGCACCCACAAGACGCACCCGCGTACCTATTCCCGCCATGCCCTCAAAAGACGGCACACCTCTATCCCGGCACAGGAGCGACTCCTCGCCCGTACTGGGAGTCTGAATGTGACAGAGGTAAAGATGGCAGAGCAACGCAGCCCGGCTGGAGCACAGCACCCTCCGCGACCTGGTTCGGACAAAGGTACTGAGAGCGCAAGCTTCTCGACGCCCGCGAATAAGACGGCAAATGACCTCGCTTGGGAGGCGCTCGCCTCATCCTCCCCCGTGTTGACACGACAGGATGATGGCTCCCAAGACAAAGATATTCTTGGCGAGGTCTACACCGTCAAGTGCTCCTCTGGCCAGAAAAGGCCAGGGCACGAGCAGCCCGTCGTCAAGTATGCGTTGAACAACTTAGAATCGAGCCGTCAAGGAAATAGCCGTAAAACTGCAAGCTCAGAAGGTGGTTCTCCGGGGTATGGGAGCCTGGAAGGATCAGACGGCGTCCAAGATGGTGAGAAGCGACGTTCATCGTGAGGCCAAGAGTGCTGCTGATGCCATAATTCGTTGCTAGGGTCTTCCGTTTTCGTTGAAGATACACAGCCTGATGAGATTGCCTTGACATCCTCATCCGAGGGCGAAGGGATCGCCATCCCCGGAATCTCAACTGGGCAGAAGCCAAAAAATAATGGCCGTTTCCTGGTCTTCGACCAATCGCCACCAGAGGGCTTCAAGGTGCTCCACAAGCCTCGGGTGAATCCAGAAGTGGATGAGCCTGGATCCAGGAGAAAGAGGCTGACGGGCGGCTTGGATGGTTTTACTCAACACGAAGCACGTTCCACTTTCATGAGAAAGAGGCGGCGGCTTCAGCACCTTGATGCCAACATTGGGAGCCTGGATATGACTCAAACCAGCATTGCCTCGCAACCACAACCTAAGAACAACTTGGTTCAACAGAATACCAGTCCTGGTGTAAGGATGCGGCCGCGAGCTCAAACAGCTACAGGCCTCTGGCGAAAACCACAGCTTTTCGGCACATCGCAATTCGAAATAGAGCCCGAGGATTCTGTTCCATCCCCTGAGACGAAGATAACGCCAACGAAACGCGACAAACCAGAGCTTGAGAGCTTCGACCCCATCATTATTCCACGGACTGATTCTCCCAGGCCAAAGAAAACTGTCAAGTTGGAATCACCAAGCGATTTCCCTGGCGAGCCGGTCCAGGACTCTAGTCCCTGCATGCGCCTTCACCCGAATCGAATTTTGGATGGGGACGGCAGGAAGGTAGGCTCACTGGCACTGCGTCCCGGCCCGTCTTCCCGAATCAAGTCGAATTTCGTGATCTCAAACACGGCCCTGATGGATGCTGAGGGACAGCCCTGATATGGGATCACATATGCACCCGGGAGAAATCATGCCGGGATCAACCTGTTGAACGACGTACAGCCACAGGCAAACGGAAGGGCTATCGCTGACACTTTTCTTTGTTTTAGCATTGTCAGTCATTTCCATCTGGCTTCATAGGTATCTAGTCTATCTCGGAACACATCAGTAATTTTGCTAGACCTGTCTGAGGAACCATGGAAGGGAGCATGCGGCCCTGAATCAGAGGGTCAGGTCTTACCTCGTTCTGTCTGTGGTATCAGTCTTGGCATCGCCTCCAGATCACTCTGTCGCAATCGTGATGTGATTTTGGACCCTGAAGCTATTGCAGGGCCAGCAGCTATTTCGCTCCCTTCCCCTTCGCCTCCGTCTCGCTCAATTCCCTGATGACCACCTTGGTCTGACCCTGCCCACTGTAGTCCTCCTGCCCCGTCTCGAAACCGGGGCAGACGCCCGCCGCCATGTACTTCCCATTGGAGGAGAAGGCAAGCGATGCCACACTGTTGCCAAAGTTCTGGTACTGCTTCATCCTTCGCTTGGCCTCGGCATCCCACAGCGCCACTGTCCCGTCGCCGCCACCGCTCGCGAAAGTCTTTCCATACACGGGGTGGAACGTGAGGGCATTGACAGGAAATACAACATCCCCTCCGCCTTCCTCCTCAGGAGCCGCCTGACGGTGGCATTTGAATGCATACTTGCGCGCCTGGGACTCTGCCGAGTCCTCGAACCACTCCACGGCCACGCGCCCCTCGATTGAGCTGGTGGCATAGCCGGCGTCGTTGGGCATACACGCCACGGCCCTGGTCAGAAACTTGAGGGACGACTCCCGCTGCTGCCAGGGCTTGATCTCGGGCGCTGACGAGGACGCGAGTTGTTTGGCGATAGTGGGGAGGTCGAAGATGTGCACCAGGCGCGCCGTCATGGCGACGACAACCTTGGTCGGGCTGGAAGACATGGCATGTGGTTTCCCCGGTAGCTGGACGACGGCCGGCGGGCTGTCGGGCGCGGCGGTGTTGTGAATGTGTAGCGTGCTGTCCCACGAGGCGGAGACGAGGAGTTGGTGCTCGGCGGAGAAGACGACGCAGCGCACGGGCTTGGTGTGTTCGCTCATCACGGTTTGGGAGCCAGTCTCAAGGTCAATCCTGAGTTTGACACGTCGTCAGTGCTCGTGGTCGGGTTGTTCAAGGGGTCGTTTCTTCCTACCTCGTTACCCTGTGGTCCACCCCAGCCGTGTAGGCCTCGTTGTCTGTAGCGCCAAAGCACACGTCCATTACGGGCGCGCGGTGCTCAAACTGGCGAACCAGTCTCGCTGTCGGCGCCTCGCCATCCTCGACTTCGTAGAGGTAGACATTCTTGTCCCATGAAGACACGAGCAGCCGAGTTGATGATTCCGGGGCGAAGACGACACGCGACACGGCGTCGTCTGGGGGCTGCGCGACCTCAAATTGTGTTGCTATGAATTGTGTGTCAGTATATGATGGGTTGACCTCGCATTTGGAAATAGTCCATACCTGGCGCCATGGTATGGGCTGTGAGAGTCCTGGGAGAATGACTGTGGGAGATGCTCACTGCAGAAGGAATGCGGTTGTTGTTGCCCTGTCACGACAAGGCGCACTGTAGACAGTGCTGTGGATTGGCAGGGGAGCTAAGCTCATCCCTGCAGCTTTTTTTTGGCGTGCTGCGTCCTGCGTGGGGCAGCTTGCGCTCACCAACGTCACACTCACCTATTGCTTCAGGACGCTTCTCGCACTACGGTAAGATAAGTCAACCGTGCAACATCCTGGGCCACCCGTGATTCAAGATGCCGTTCGCACAGCTTGTCTTGGGCAGCCCAGGCGCTGGGAAGAGTACCTATTGCGACGGCAGTAAGTTGGCCTATCAACAACCTGCAACCCCGTCCCGGCGTCCCGGCGTCCCGGCGTCCTGGCTCCAGACTGACAGACTGCTTCCTTTTCTCAGTGCACCAGTTCATGGGCGCAATAGGCAGACAGTGTTCAGTTGTTAATCTCGACCCTGCGAACGACAAGACAAGTTATCCATGCGCTCTAGACATCCGCGACCTCGTCACGTTGGAGGAGATCATGGGCAACGACAACCTGGGGCCGAACGGCGGGGTTCTCTACGCCCTCGAGGAGCTGGAACATAATTTTGAGTGGCTCGAGGAGGGGCTGAAAGAGTTGGGCGAGGATTATATTCTCTTCGACTGTCCCGGCCAGGTCGAGCTCTACACGCATCACAACTCCTTACGCAACATCTTCTTTAAGCTCCAGAAGATGGGGTTCCGGGTCCGTTGCCGCTGGTTCCCCCCTTATGGCCCTCCAAGGTATGCTGACGGAAGACTAGTTGGTCGTCCTACACCTCTCCGACAGTTTCTGCTTGACCCAGCCTTCACTCTACCTGTCCAACCTCTTGCTCGCGCTCCGAGCCATGCTGCAGATGGATCTGCCACACATCAACGTCCTCACCAAGATCGACAAAGTCTCATCATATGACCCGTTGCCTTTCAATCTCGATTTTTACACCGAAGTGCAAGATCTCTCGTATCTCCTGCCGAGCCTTGAGGAAGAGTCGCCTGCGCTGCGAAGCGAAAAGTTCAAGGCGCTAAACGAAGCGGTCGCAAATCTGGTGGAAAGCTTTGCCTTGGTTCAGTTCGAGGTTCTGGCTATCGAGAACAAGAAGAGTGTGATGCACTTACTGAAAGTAATCGACCGTGCAGGCGGATATGTTTTCGGGGGCGCGGAGGGAGCCAACGACACTGTCTGGCAGGTTGCGATGCGAAACGAACCGTCCATGCTTGATGTCGAGGACATACAAGAGCGATGGGTTGACCAGAAGGATGAGTATGATGCAGCTGAGGCTAAGGTGGAGGAAGAACAGGCCAGGCTCAGAGAAGAGAGCGCGGGCCCGATGGGACAGGCTGGTGTTGATGACCCTGATTTCGACGACATGCCCATGCCGCTTGCTTCAGAGTTAGGCGTCAAGGTTACTCGGAAGAAGAAATGAGGGGCTTCAATCATTCCCTTCAGATTCGCCGGAGTCAGGGTCGAAGTCGTCACCACGGTCGATCATGGCCACATCGGCAGCGGCGTCATTCGCCCCGAATAAGGTGTTGAGCGCGTCAGTTTCCTTCCCAGCCATCTCGTCTTTGGCCGCAAGGATCATCTGTTTCGCTCGCCGAATGGCCTCTTCCTCGACCTTCTTAATCGTGCCGCTGACGCGCACAACTCGAAAAATACAAGGAAGACCGGGGCCCTGCTTGGTCGGCACGTGCTTCATTATGGTAAGAGCCGCCCAGACCAGGCGGTAGTGCTCTCTTGAGCACTGGAGAATGCAGGTTGACGTCGCATTTGAGAGATACTTGACTGTGTGATCAGTCAGCTTGGCTGGTCAGCGCGGAAAGAGGGCGAGAACAGACCTCTAAGGCTGCGCTCAACTGCGCCGGCGCCAAAGTCACCGAAAAGATCTGTGACCTGTGCCTTGATAGCGTATTGGATGGACCGAGCATTGCAGGCGTTGGCGGTAGGCTGGTTGTAAACGAGAATGTCGGGTAAGCCCGTCTTTGCCTGGTTCTGGGCAGCCTCAGGATAGACGATGTCTACAAGAAGATAGCGCTCCTTGATACGAACCATTTTGGCCGTGTCGCACCCTCCCGAACGTGTTGTGGATGACCGGGAAGGGCAGGGGAGTTGTGGAAATAATGTAGTTGAATGCTTCGGTTTGATAGTGCAGGCTTAGGATGGGAATTTGCTGGCCAACCGAGCGACCAGGGCCAGACTGGAGTGGGGCTAATAATAAGCAGAGCTCAGTTGCTTCTACCCCTGTCACTTACAAACGCCACTCCACAGTCCATCTACTCATCATCTGTTGGAGTCTGTCGGATGAGTGCGTGTGTGACAACTCCGCGGGCTGTGTGATCCACGAAACCCCCCCCCCCCTTTCGAATGATTCCAAGTAAAGCATTTATACGAAATATTCAAATTTGTCCAAAAGCCAGCCTGCCGGGACACAAACGCGCTCCATACTAGGAACCGGGCCGTCATGAGCCAAACACTCAAAGCAGCTGTCCTGGTCGTATCGACGACAGCGGCCCAGGATCCCACAACCGATGCCGCCGGAAATGTGCTGCGCTCGGTCTTCGAACAGGATGGAGCCGGTCGTTGGAATATCACCGAGACCAAGATTGTCCCAGACTCCGTGGCCCTGATCCAACGACAGCTCATGCTGTGGGCTGATTCCGCGGATCCGGTCAATTTGATCGTAACTACTGGTGGCACGGGCTTCGCCGTCTCGGACCAAACACCAGAGGTATTTTCCTAGAAGGGGACTCTTTGTATACTCTCGGCCGTTCTATCTGACAATGTGGACAACCAGGCTGTGTCTGCACTCCTCCATAAACAAGCACCTGGCCTTGTACATGGCATGCTCGCTGCTTCGCTGAATGTCACACCTTGTATGGCTTCTCCCGTCTGAATAATATGCCGTAAGCTAACGCTTCGAAAGTTGCCATGATGTCGAGGCCTGTCGCTGGCGTCAGGAACAAAACTCTAGTCATCACTCTCCCTGGGTCACCAAAGGGTGCCAAGGAGAATCTCCAAGCCATCGTCAAACTTTTGCCTCACGCCTGTGTCCAGGCCGCCGGCGCCGACTCTCGGTCTATCCATTCTGGTGGAGTCGAGAAACTGGAAAAAGATGCTGGAGTCGTCTCTGCTTCCAACCGTTCTCACTCACACGCTCATGCTCACGGCCACGGCCATGGCCATGAGCATAACCATAGCCACGGACACGGACACGGCCATGGTGCTCTCGTCAGGCACACTGAGCCCAGTGATAACCCGTTATCAAATGATCCTCGGCTCGGTCCCACAAGAAGGCACAGGGAGTCGCCCTACCCTATGCTGCTGGTCGAGGACGCCTTGGCGCTCATTCAGGAGCACACTCCTGCTCCCGTGGTCACGTCTTGCAAGACTGATACAGCTCTGGTAGGCGCAGTCCTTGCCGAGGACGTCAAAGCCACAGAGAACGTTCCAGCATTCCGTGCCAGTATTGTTGACGGGTACGCTGTCGTGGTCCCCAAGAATGGTAACATGAAAGGTGTTTTCCCGGTGACGGCTGTGTCTCATGCCGCACCGGGCGAGGTGAAGGAACTCAAGGAAGGGCAGATAGCTAGGATCACCACGGGTGCTCCTCTACCGCCCGGCGCAAGTTCTGTCATTATGGTTGAAGACACCGTTTTGAAATCCAAAACGGAAGATGACAAGGAGGAGAAAGAGGTGGAGATTTTAGCAAGTGATGTGAAAGTTGGTGAGAACATCAGAGAGGTTGGGAGTGACGTTAAAGCAGGATCGGTTATCCTTCAAAAAGGTGAACAAGTATCTGCTGTCGGCGGTGAAATCGGCCTTATGGCAGCCGTCGGTGTCTCACAGGTACAGGTATACCGTCGGCCTGTTGTTGGTGTCTTGTCAACTGGAGACGAGATCGTCAACCACGATCGTCCTGGAGCCCTGCGTTTGGGCGAGGTGCGTGATACAAATCGACCTACACTCATATCAGCGGCCAGGGACTGGGGATACCAGGTGATCGACCTGGGAATAGCCAGCGACAAGCCCGGCACCCTAGAAGAGACTCTCCGAGATGGCATGCGACGGGCTGATCTGATCATCACCACCGGTGGGGTTTCCATGGGCGAGCTTGACCTATTGAAGCCAACAATCGAGAGGGCTCTTGGCGGCACCATCCACTTTGGCCGGGTGAATATGAAACCAGGAAAGCCAACAACGTTTGCGACTGTTCCGGTCAAGAGTGAAGGAGGGGAACGCGTGGCGAAGGTCATCTTCTCTCTCCCAGGCAATCCAGCATCCGCGCTGGTCACGTTCCATCTATTCGTTCTTCCGTCTCTCCACGCCATGTCGGGAATGTCACCACCAGGTCTTAGCAAGATCCCTGTGTCACTGGGCCATGATTTCAAACTTGACCCGGCAAGGCCGGAATACCACCGAGCAATAGTGGCTGTTGGAAGAGATGGCACATTGGTAGCGACCAGTACCGGAGGACAACGAAGCTCCAGAGTCGGCAGCCTAAAAGGAGCAAATGCCCTCTTGTGTATGCCAAAGGGTACAGAGCCCATGCAGAAAGGGACAAAGGTGGAGGCACTGCTTATGGGCACCGTTAGGACTGATGAATGAAGCAAAGGCGTTTGTGGGTGAATTGGGCCCAACTCGCTTTGGCGACTGGTGATTCAGAAAAAGATGGTTTGCATCACATCTACAATGACAGTGTCGCATTTTCCAAACACGCTCAATTCCTGGATCTTTGCAACCGTCCCTTGCATTACAACAACCCTCCACGTCTCCATACTGCAGCTCTTGCTGCTACTCCCTCTGCCACGCTCTCCTGCCAAAGCTTTGTCGCGAGCTATCTCGGCATTCTTTTACATCTTGAATCGTGGCAATCACCGTTCTCTGACCTTACTGCCAACCGAGCCAATGTGGTAACCTCATCCACTGCATCGCACGCACTTGTGTGGCTCAAGATGTGTCAATTTCACTATAGGAAATTTGATACTTGCGGTCATCACAGCATAGAGGTTGGTCGTATCTGCAACGAAGCTCTCTGGAGAGCAGGTTTGCGCGGCGTGCTCCAGGTTTGTGTGCCCAGAATTCTGGAGAGATCACTGGAGTGGTCTGGGAGGGACGACCACGAGCCACCGAAGCCAGCCCTGTTCAGAGCCTACGATGGTTTCTGTGATATGTGTGTCATCGAGTCCAAGGTAGGGTTGTCCCAGAAGCTCCGGGCCACTTGTATCGTTGTGATACTGATCGTGTCACCGCTTAGCTGCCATGCACTATATTACATCGAAGCTACTCAGATCACGAACTGGATTACACCCAGCCTTGGAACACGTTTTGCCCGGACGATCTCGCACCATACCTTTGCTTTGGCGGGATCATGACAAAGATTCCTGAGCTCTTGGGCCTCTCCGACCAGTTTAAAAATGCCCGAATCAAGCAAGGCCCGCACATAATCTTTCATAAGAGCTTGGAAAAGCGTACTTGGTCACAGCTTCGCAAGGCCTTGCCCTTCACATTCCCTGGACAGATTGAGAGCGATTGTACACTGGGATTCAGTGAAACCATGGAGAGGTTGAAGATTAATCTGGGAATTACTGAGTATGACAAATATCAGGTTATCCACGCCATACAGCATGGTCCTCACCCCCGTGTGGTTTACAAGTAGGTCCACCTCATACCCATCAGAAAAGGCCTCTGTGACTGAAATGTATTCCCAATCATAGCCGACTCTTCAGACACCGCGGGATGCCCCTCGGCCACTTCAATGCCAGCATCATCAACATTTGTCAACAGGCTGTGTCTGTCATTCGGGAACAAAAGGCCGCAGTTCTCAACGAGTTTCCGGACCAGTCTCCAGCTGCAGATTATTCCGATGAATCTGCCTTGACCACTCTTACGAACACTCCAGTGCTGTCGGATGTGGAACTTTCTGCACCAAAAACACCATCACCAGAGACAGAGGGTTCGGATACTCCAAAAGATGGTGGATCTAGTTCTACTACTCGCATCCCTAGGACGCGAGCGTCTAGACTGGCTGAAACGGCTACAGCTGTCAAGCATACTTTGGCGACTATCGCTCCGTCTCAGGATATCAGACCATCCCTGAAGCTTTCCACCAACGACGGTGCCTCGGCCTTGCAGAAACCCGCAAGAGAAACTTCCCCCTTGCAGCTGGGCAAAATCAAATTAGAGCCAGCAGAGGGAAAATCTGGCCTGGACGGACGAATAGACCCGAAATTGTGCGCTCATGGAGCTGAATACGAACAGCGAAGTATAGCGGAATGTGTGAACAAGGGAAGGCGCATGGCGATTGCTCAGCAGAGTGTTGATGAGTGGTGTATCAGGCCACTAGATCAGGGCTTCATAAGCGGCAACACAAAGGCCGCTGCCCGAGAGAAAGTCGGGCAGGAGGTCGGATTTCTCGAAGCCGATCCACAACAACAGTTGAGAACCTCACCTCAGAACTCCGGTCATGGGAAGCCAGTCGCGGTTCTTATTACCAACCTGGACGAGTGTTCAAGTGGAAACTCCTAGAGGGTCATGGGCCCTCTGAGGCCCAAGAGCGGACGACCTTGAGGCAACAAGGCTGCTTACCCCCCCAGATACTTGGTGCCGAGCCATCTCAAACGGCCCTGCAGCCTCCTATACAGCCGCAACCCACCAGAGCACCAAGATCACCGGCCCAAAACAAGGATGCTGTCGTCATATCCATCGATTGCGATAGTGATGTAACAATGGAGGAACCTGCCCAGAGTTCACCACAACCTGGGATGCGCCACGATCCAGCCACAATCCGTAGGCTACAGGCTTGGGCGCTTGGGTGAAATCTCTGCATTGGTGAAGGCTTTTCGAGGTATCTTCTTTCGCTGCGCAGATAAGGGAGAACTATCCTCGGAATGGCGGTGATCAGGATGCGCCGACGCGGCTGTCTTGGTTCGCCCCCAAGGCAGCTAGATTGAGGCTGTTGTATCTTCGCTTTGTTGATTAACCAAATCTCTCAAGGCTGAACGTCAGCTTGATAGCTAATATGACTTGTAATTCTCAAGTGCAGTCCATCCCTTCGACCAGACACGGGCATGTCATCATCTATCAAGGCTGAGAGGAAATGCATGGATTCTAAGGACCATTGACACCTATCATGGCCCGATTCGGCACTGACAGACACCAACTTGATACCACGATCATCAAGAAGCGATCAAGATGTAAAGACATATTTTCTTCTTCAAAGCTGTTCTCGTCATAGGAAATTGTCAGGGCTCTAGGGACTTGATTACAGCGCTAAGTCGATGCGACATCGCCTTCCGTCTCGAGAGTTTGTAATGTCAGGGGGGAAGAGGGCAAGGGCAGATTGCAAGGGCGAGGACGTCATCCTTGAGTCCCGGTAAAGGAAAAGTGATAGTTTAACATGTGGTTCTCGTTCAATAATACAGGCTTGCTCTAGATAAATAAATCCAATGCCTCCACCCCTTCCATGCTGGTCCCAAACGCCGTGGATGAAGATGATGTGGTTCAAGTCGTCGTCGTTGCGGTTCGAGGTAATCTCGAAGAGTTTTGGTACATAACTCCCTGCTGCAGTGTCCTGCTCTCCTCACACCTCGCCGAAGTCCGTTGCCTTGCTGGAGACAAGCAAGCCGATGATGAGACCGAAGAGGCCCAGAACCGAACTGAAAATCTCGATGACCAGGATTTTAACAAAGAGTGTAGGGTCTGCGGCGTCCGCCAGAGCGGCACCGCTGCCGTTAATGCCCACCGCAACACCACAGACCAGATTGCACACACCGACTGTCAAGCCCGACCAGAACAGAGCGAAGCCGGTGTAGTATGTCTTGGCGTCATACAGCTCCTCGCCCTGGATGCCATTCAGTTTGGCCGAGAAGACAATCGACATGATGACACCATAGATGGCGACGACCTCGCAGAAGATGATGGAGATGAGGTTCTTAGTTCGGATACGGGGAGCGCGGACACCGCCGCCGACAATCGAAGATCCGGTGATGAAGATGCCCCTGGAAAAGGTGAGTGTCTGGGACTACCTCGAGCTCTTGAAGAATATCCGTACCATGCTGCTCCAACTACCGACAGGCCGATACACAGCGAGATGCCCAAGCTTGCCCAGCCTGTTGGGGACACGGACTCGAGAAAGGCGCCGACCTAGATGCGCAGTAGTGTTAGATGATCCTGTTTGACTGGTCTTAATATATTGCCGCTGTGCTGGATTGACCTACGTTGAAGGCCTCGCCGCTGCCAGTAAAGAGCATGTCTGGGCCCCGGTTAGCTGGATCTCGACGAAGTCGAAGGCTGGGCTCGCCGTGAACGTACAAGCTCCCACAATGGCCAGGGCGCCGGTGGCGCCGCCGAGAGAATATGCCGTGCTCATCCTGGGCGATGATGGAGGGCTCCGTCAGAGGGTTGGTGTAAAAGGTTGTTTTGTCTGTAGGGAGCCACAAAGGTTACGCGGAACACAGCTCAAACCGATCAAAGCTCCAGAAGGTCGTCCGTCATCAACAAGGAGCTGGTACGGAGTTACCTATTGCTCATCACGTGGCTGGCCAATCGGCAGGCAAATGCCACCATAGACCCGACCCGCCTTTAGCCGGTTGCGGCTTTGTCATCCCTGCCCGTAGGCTCCCCTGGCCTTACTCCAGCTACTGCCTGGGTATTTATACTCAACCTGTCTCATTCACTGACAACCTCCACTTCCAATCGACCGGCACCACAAGACAAGATGGCGTCCAGCGGCCAGCAATACTACGAGCTTTACCGCCGTAGCAGGTACATTGCGCTGCACCGCACTTTGCTAAATCTACATCGCAAGGGCTAACAGGCATGCGCTCCGCGCTCTTTCTGAACAGCATCGGTGCCACTCTCACAGACACCCTCGATGACCTCATCACGGACACCCGCATCGACCCGCAGCTGGCGATGAAGATTCTGGCCAACTTCGATCGCGCCATCGCGGACGTTCTGCAGGACAAGGTGAAGGCGCGGTTGACATTTAAGGTAGGAACAACCTGCTGGGAAGCAAGTGTGCTCGGCGTCCCCTGGGACCCGAAGGGCAAAGGGAGAACAACTCGCTGTGGTAGGAGGAGACCAATACTGACTCGGGGGCACCTTGCCCATATATAGGGATCGCTTGACACCTACCGATTCTGCGACGAGGTCTGGACCTTTTTGATCAAGAATGTCCAGTTTAAGATGGAGAATGGCGGACAGGCCGTGGTGGCCGACAAGGTCAAGATCGTCAGCTGCAACGCTAAGCGCCCTGGAGAGGGGCAATAGATAAAGCGATGATCAGAGTCATCCCTCAGGTTGTTGTGCCGCCTGCAAGTCCCGATCCTCGCATGGCGTGATAGGCACCAGTGCTGGCGGAACGACACATCTGTGCGGGCTGTTGGGCACCTCGCCCAAGACTCTCTCTTTTTCCTTTCGGCGTTGAGGTTCACGGGTGGCTCCATCAGGCGTTTTGAGACAGGTTTACAAGGGACACAGGGCTGCGAGTCTGAGGACATTCTTTCCCATAGACGCATAACAGTCTGAAGAACGGGGTTTCTCGTCCAGGCTTTGAGCCTCCTGCAGAGTAATTTCGTCTTGACAAACCCATTGCCGGTGTGCTAGTTGTGATGTGTGACAAGAATATGCACTCAGGAAAAGGAGGCAATATGCGCTTGTCCTACATTGTGGCCCTGATGCATGTTTATGAGCCATTCCACGTTGCCCTCGGTTTCTAGGGTCTGGGAGGTCAGGGGGTTGTGCATTCCAGCACGGGCTTCTATTGAACCACCCAGGCAGGCGACCCAGTTACAATTCGACCATATGGCAACCTGAAATGTCGAGACAAGAGTAAAGCCAGATTACCCATCCCACCCCTCTATTCCCATCCTTTTGTCCCTGCGAATACGCAGAAATGATTCGTCAGCGTCGCCCAGCCGGGGAAGAACCAGACCCCTGTTCTGGCACCGGCAGCCCAAGTCATGCGGCCACATCCGGACCTGGCGTCATTGAACCGTCGCGAGAGCCGGGACATCGACCGGGCCGACAGCGTCCTTTGCTCAAGACGAAGACGGCACATGTCGCAGAAGTCGCAGAAGTCGACGCGATGACCTGGGCCCAAAGAAACCACTGGATCGTGCTGGCGGTTGCCAGCGGCGCCTGCGCCGCGTTCAACGGCGTCTTCGCGAAGCTGTACGTCCACGGGCTGGCCCCTAGAGGGGACTTGCTGGGGCACCACTTGTTCGGGGCTGGTTCGGCTGGCTGACTTTAGGCCAGTACAACGGGAGACGCGACCGTAAGCTTGACGCAGCGCGTTTCTGTATTCTTCCACCTCGATTCTATGGAGGGCTTTGTTGAGTACATTGTCCGCGCCGTAAGCTGAGTTGACCCTCACACCTGACCAATGCACCTTGATCCCATTGGACTGCGGAGACCATGGAGCATCTCAAGAGCGCCAGACTAACCATTCATCCTAGGTCTTCTTCGGCCTGAATTTAGTCTTCAACGGAGTAATGTGGGCACTCTTCACACAGGCGCTGTCCCGTGGCAACTCGACGACGCAGGTGTCCATCATGAACACCTCGTCCAACTTCTTTATCACGGCCCTCCTCGGCCTTGTGATCTTCTCAGAATCCTTGCCCCCTCTTTGGTGGATCGGAGCAGCCTTCCTGGTTGCGGGCAACGTCATCATTGGGAGCAAGGACGAGGGCGGGAAGGCGGCAGGAGCGGGAGGGGGCGAGGACATGGCCTCCTCTGTTCAGGATAGCTCTCTCGGGTACGAAGTGGTGCCAGACGCAGATGGGGGCGTGGGCCATTGCTTCAAAGACGAGGACGTCATTCAGCTAGGGGACCTGGATGACTGAATATGACTTTCCCCAAGTTGTAGGCTCGGGGGATGTGGATGAGATGCCCCGCCACTCTGTGACCCTGGCTGTACCTACCTCCCTCCTCAATAGGGCACAATTCAAACCGCTGCGTAGGGTTCGGCCAGTTCTACTTAATTATCCAGCAAAGTTTGAATAAGCCGCAGTATCCGACACATTCCAACTCACCCGCTCTTGATGTAGTGTGGTCCAATTGCTCATTGTTTTCTAGTTGCACCACTCACAACTCGACATATGTTCGTGTCCCGAGGTCTCAAAGGTCACATGTGCACGGTTCCGGACGGAGTGAACTTGAGAAGAGCCCGCCCGCGAGTATAAGGTGACATGTCCAGAGCATCCACAACTCACTTGGCCACAGTCCCGGGTAGGGACATGTTCTTGTCTGCCAGTGCCTTTCTCAAATCAGCGAGGGTGGCCTTGGAGATGGACGATTCCAGGAGGTGCCTTGATGTCCTTGATGTTGTCTCTTTGTTGACAAATGTACCATCCTCTTTGATGTGATCATGAGTAGATAGTATTTAGCCCCTTAGCCTTGTCTGTATATTGCAAGGCTGAGGCCATATATCAAAAACGTTTATCACAATAAGCTGGCACCAGTAGGGCTCCAATATAATACCAGCAAAAAACGCCAATACTAGCACCCTAATAGCGCAAATACCCCGCCGCGCAAGCACGGCACTAGCTATAAAAGAATAAAGGGAAACTAAAAGATCTAAAAGGAAAAAAAAAAAATAATAATTAATAGCCCACTACTACCTAATATACTACTTTTCCCCTACACCTACTTTATACCTATATTACATATACCTATTTACTTTACTTATAACCCTTTATCTTAACAATTTAATTATTTTACCCATTTTAAAAAGTAAACCATTTAAAATACTAGCATAATATTAGTATTACGCCTTATATACTCGTATACTAGTACTATTATGCCCAAGCTATAAAAAACCTATAATCCCTATAAGGGCGGCCAAATTCCTTACTCCTAAATAGCGCAACCCCTTTCTAATCTAACTTTACCCCAGCTTAGCATTAAAAATGCAATATATAATAGCCAACTTATAAGCATATAATTTAAACATAAAAAAAAAAAACTTAACTAATAATTTAAAAATAAAGCTATTTATTAACACCTTTATGCTAAGCAAGCCAAGCTTATACTACTCCTTTATAATAAAGGCAAACCCGCTTTAATCCTTGCCCTAGCGGCCCCTTTTATACTTAAAAACACTACCCCCCCCCATTTTAAAGTATAAGGCAAGCTTAACCTATATAGTATTACTATTACGCCTAAGCTAAGCTACCGCCCTAATAAACTCCCTACCCTTACTTATAGTAAAGAATTTTATATAGCCCTATAAACCTTTTTTTTTAACCTCTACTATTACTTTCACCTATATAAAATTATAAAGTTATAGAAATAAATAAACTATATAATATACTATTTAAAAGGCGCGCCTAAATAAAATTAAATTAGCTTTATTATAAGAAAATAAATATAAGATATAAACCTTCTTACTACCCTCTTTACAAACTTTAAAAAGTTTCTATATAACTAACTTTTTAATTTTACTATATATACTATTATTATATTTACTATATTTATAATAATCTAATAAAAAAATAATAAATCTATTATAAATTTCTTATATTACTACTAAAAAGCTAAAATAAAATTCTTTAATAATCTTATAAAATTATATTATATATATAATATAATTAATAAATTTAAGCTAAGCATTTATATAGCACTTTATATATAGGCGCAACCACCTACTATATAAAAATAAGTAGTTAGCTAAGCCTAGCATATAAAGGTTATAAAAAGAATAATACTAATTGGTAATAATATAATACTATTATAACTTTACCAAACTTTTTAACCCCCTTTTATATATTATATCTATTAATAAGTTGGGCATATCTCTTAATACTATAAAAATATATTTATAGCAATAATAAGCTAATTATATATTTAAAATACCCTTATAGCTGCTCCCATTTAAGCTATTAAAAAAAAAGTAATATTTTTATCCTTTTAACCAGCCCTCTTAATAACTTATTATAACTATTATTAGCAAGAATATTATGCTAATATATATTTTAAATTATGCCAAAATAACTATTATATTTATAAGTTAATAAACCATATTAGTAGTTAATGCCTAAATACCTTTTATTATAACTATAAATAAAAGGGCTATATTGCTGCTTAATGCCCTAAAATCCTTTTAGAAACCAACTAATAACCCTTAGAGTTATAAGTATGCTAAATAACTAATAGTATTATATTAAATAAATAATAATTTTATATTAATATATAGGTTAGAATCAATAATTATATAAAATTCTTCTAAAATATTATTAATTTAAAATTAAAAAAAAACTTTATTAGCTATAATACTATTAATATATATAAGTATTAATATTATTTTAAAAATAAATTGCAATTTATTAATATTAGTAACAATTTAATTCCTTTTATAATAATTATTTTTTTATTTAAATAATAAACTTTTATAGCATTATATATATATAGCACTACTACTTTATTATTATAAATCTATTTAATAAAAATATTATATTTAGCTTTTTTTAATTAAAGGTAGTAAATCTATTTATTTAGTAAAAGTAATAATAATAGCACTTTTCTTTATATAAAAACTAATTTAATATTTATACCTTAAATAAACCGTTTCCACCTAGCACCATTATTATAGCCATTTATTTTTATTTTATTTTTTTAAAAGGCGTAAATAGTAAAAATAAGAACCTCCTAGCTATACCCCTATTATATTTGCTAGTTAAGTATATTAAGTTTAAAAACATTTATTTAAAAAAAGTTATATATACTTTTATTAAATATATACTTATAAATTATAAAATAGAGCTAAAAGAGAATACTTAGCCTTTATAAGAACTATTATATCCCCTTTTAGGTATAAAACTAAAGGTACTTTAAAGCTATATAAATAATATATTTATATAAGGATTTATTAGGCTATTTATTAATTTAGTAAGTATATTTATTATATTTATGCCTAAAAAAGGAGAGAAGCTATACCTTTATATTAATTATTATATACTCAACCAGCTTATATATAAAAACTATATTTTACTACCTTTAATCTTTAAAATTCTAAATTAACTTAAAAATATAAAAATATATACTAAGCTAAATATTAAAAGTATATTATTAGGTTAAAATTTATACAAATAATAAATAAAAATAGCTTTTATATAAAATATAATTATTTTAAGTATATAATAATACTATTTAAACTAACTAATATTCCTATAACATTTTAAGATATATTAACTATACTTTTATAAGGCTTATAAATATATATTATATTATATATTTAAATAATATTTTTATTTTTAATAGTAATAATAAAATATATATAAAAATATATATAATATTTTAAAACACTTATATTAATAGAAATTATATTTAAATTTTAAAAAATATAAATTTAAAATTATTTGGGTTAAGTTTTTTAAATTTATAATTATATTTAATAGCATTATTATAAAGTAAAGTTATATTACTACTATTAAAAAATAGCTGCTATCCTATAATATTTATAAAATTTATATTTTCCTTAAATTTTTAGGCTTTTATTAATAGTTTATTTAGGTATATTTTAAGGTAATTATACTTTTAACTAACCTCCTAAAAGGTAGCGCTATAGGGCCAATTAAGCTTTTACTTTATATAAAAATAGCATTTAAATATTTAAAACTATTTTTTATAATAGCCCCTATTTTATAATACTTTATATTCTTGCTATATATATATTTTAAGATAAATATATTTATTAAAGCTATTAAATTAATTATTTTATAACTTTTTTTTAAAAAAGCCTAATATTTAATTATATTTAAGTTATAAAAGCTAACCTTTATAAAATAATATTATAATATTAGTAATTTAAAATTACTTGCTATTATTAATACTATTATAATTTAGTATTATTATTTATAATATTTATAATATATTATAACTATTTTAACTAATTATTTAAACTTAAAATATTAATATATAAAAAAAAACCTTTTTATAAAATAACTATAATAACTTAACATTTTAATAGCAATAAACTTAGTAATTAAATATAGGTTAGGGAATAAAAATTTAGCAAATAGTTTATTTTATAAGCCTAATTATATTTATAGAAACCAAATAGAAATTAAGCTATAAAAACCTAGTAATTTTATAATATTAAAAAAAATAATAAATTATAGCTATAGCTATTAGAGTATAAACTTATATTTAAAAGAAGGGGGCCTTAAATAATATAAAAAAGTAGTATTAAAGTATAAAGTGCACTTAATAGCTATAGCTACTTAGAATTAAAGTGTATATTTAAATGCCCTTTTATATAAAGTAAGGAAGTAAAGTGTAATAATAATAATAATATAATTTAAGCAACCTATAATAGTATACTTATAATACTTATAGTAAGAAAATATTTTTATATAAAGAGGGGTATAGTATAAAAGGTATAAGCAATATAATAAAGCTAGAAAAATATGGTAACTAAAAAATAAGCTGCTTTATTTTAATAATAAGGTTTATATATTAAACAATTTAAATATATAAATAAAACTATTATATACCTATTATAATAATTAGCTTATAGGACACCTTAATATTAGCAAGTTAATTAAGCTATTTATATATAGCTATTATTAAAACTTCTTTTAAAAAAATATAAAATAATATATTAATATATATATAATTTACTAATATATAAAAGTGCTTAAATATTAACTACTTAGCTTTTTAATGCTGCTATTACTATCCTAATAATTATAAAAGGAGATTTTAATAAACTTTATTATAAGCCTATCTTTATTAATTAACTTATATAATAATAAGCTTTATAATACTATTTTATAATAATAAATTGCTTTATAAAATATATAATTTATATTATAATAATTATATGGCTAATAAGTAGTAGCCTAGTAGATATTTTTATTTTATATATTTTTATTATATTTAAAATACTTTAAGGAATTATATTAAATTAAGGCAGCCTTTTTACTAATTATTTTTAGGCGGGACTTTATACAAACTTAAAGATAAAATAGCGTATAAATATTACCTTTTACTTGTAAATTAATAGTTAAATAAAATAA